TGAGCGAGGTTGGGGTCGTCTTCCCGACGCAGAGCTTTCTGTACCCCAAGACTCTCTCTGCAGTTGGCGTCGATCAATTGAGTCAAAACCTCGTGTGAGGTCTTGACTAACGAAAATGACGTCAGGCTCATTGTCCAAAGTCGAGCAAGTGATGGCCGTCCATGGTAGACGCTCTGAAAACGCGCCCTAGAATGCGTTCATCTAACCAGGTCTCGGCTCAAGGTCTCAGGGTCTTGGCAAACCATCCTAGTTCCTGATCGCCAAGCCGTAGGCGGAACTCCGATAGGTCTCGTGTCCCCAGGCTCAGTTTTGTCCAGCAAAATACCACTTTCGCAATCTTGCATTGTCGTGGTAGCTGGCCCGCGTCAAGAATGACCGCCCAGAGCATGGCAAAATCCTCCCACCATGGCATGGGCAGCCTAAGAAGCGGCACGTTCGCGTAAATCCTCAGCGGTGGGTTTGGGTATGTGGTCCGTGCCTTGTCGTTCCGGAAAATTAGGCAATGCGTCCAGTTCTGCTGTCAACGCCTGCGTGTCCAAGTTCCTCTTGCGCCACAGCGGTCCCCAGTGTTGGTGAGCTTGTTTGAGGGCGTGTCCGGGATGAATAGCCGCTTTCCGCAGACATTCTCCGTCAGTTTTGAGTCAAGCGTTCCTTGTACATGAGTAGATGTGGAAGTTGTCCCGCAAGACGCAAGTTGTCCCAATCCCGCTGTGCCCTGCGGAAATGCTGCAACACTGCGATACCATGTCACATGGCTATGATGCAGATGGCTTGTGAGGGGTGTGCCACTAGGGAAAGACCACAAACCATGAAACAGAAGTTGATCTCTCTCTGGCGTAGATGGCGTTGCTCGCCTTAGTGCCTTTGTGGGCTGGGCTGGAAGTGCGTCGGTCACAAAATTATTGGGCCCCGCAGCCCCAAACGAAAAACAATGAGCACAACTTACAACCTTTGCCGATTTGTCGCCGTGGCTTTCTGGATTACAGGTCAGCCTTTTAAAGAACAGTCTCCGTCGCACTGTTTGTGCATTCCCGTCTGTGAGTTGCCATCCCCCTGTGTCTCCAACGCAGTCCAGGGAATCCGGGGTGATTCTGGATTTCCATCTTCTCAACGACTGCCATGGGGTCCTTTCCCAAGAGCTTCCAATCAATGCTCATTCGTGCACTGCCACTGTACGGAGACTCGTGAGACCCAGCTCTTGGAAGGTGTGGTTGCCGATGGCAAACGGACAACCTTGACAATTTTTGCGCGGAGTCTAGGTGGGTCTTCACCAAAGGAGAAAAGCGTCGCCTTCCTCGTCTGGATTTGTGTACCCAACTTTCCCGGAACCTTGGAGAACACCACAATTGGCTTGAAGTCGGCGAGTCCCTCCGGGACACATTCATCGTCAGCAAGCTTGACTGTGTAAAAAAATCGTCAAGCTACCTCCAAGAGATGCGCTCATCATCTCCAAAGCCTGAGCTTCCTCAACGGAGTCAGTGTTGAATGCCCAAGTGCCGGATTCATCAACATCAAGGCTTCCAGGGAGTCTACTGGGACTGTATGACCACCATCGTTCTTTGTCCAATCTTCAGCTCGTAATCACCAGGAGCGTTGTATCCATTTGGCCTCATGCTTCTTTGATCTTCCCCGGCGGTTGTTATGGTGGGCAACCTGTGGCTTCTTCGCATCGTCCCTTCTGTGCCACCATCTGGCTTCCCTAGGATCTCGGTGAACGTCTCTTTGGGTGTCGCGCCATTCAGGGTATTGTTTTCAATGGGAGTCTCTGGCATGTCCAGCTCCCGTAGTCCATGTGTTTTTTGTCCTGATGGCTCGTAAAGTGCTTGGGATCTTTTGCGTGCTGGGTAAGCAACGACTTCACTTTCGGTGCAAGATTTGTCGGCTGCTCCTCCAGTAGAAGACGAAGTTTAGCGTTCGGCTCATACTCATGATTCGCTTTGTCCTTGTACCAACTGCGTGGTTGCCCCCATCGACCTCCACCACGTGGCAAAGGAATAGTGCGATGGTCCGTTTCCGGCGAGGTAACGTGAGCGTTGCTACGTTCTGCGACCGGCACGGTTTGTGTCAACAGAGGTCTACGAAGGGCACGCTTGCGGCTCAACCATGGATGAAAATGAGACCATGCTGCTAAGCGCCACTGTCGTTCTACATATCTTCCCCATGGAAGCCTGCATCTTTGGATTGTGATGGCATCGAACGCCACGAGGTCTTTGAGATATTGCCGCAGTGATAACTCTGGCATGCTCGGCCTCCGGCGGCCCTCCCCCACAAACAGATGTTCTTCTGTAGAAACCGTTTCTGCGCACCACTCAAAGCCCCACCATGTCTGGATTGACGGATGTGTCTATGGATGCGTTCTCGTTTGGAAACATGTGTGCTCACATTGTCTTGCCAAGCAAATTGCAGCAACCCCGTGACAGTGAAGAGGCTCACCAAAACAATCAAGAGGGAGTCTTAAAAACCACTCAGACTGTCCTCTATAGTATCATCCCAACTGCGAAGCAGATTGATGTACATGTCAAGCCAGCCACCCTGGATCCTATGCTGGGGGACATCCCCAGGAACTCCGCGTGGAGGCCGCCCCTCGTTCCCCCGCCAACAAAATGCTCCCTCCCTGCGAGCTATAACTGCGTTGTGAAAGCCCCCCCCCATCCCGCGTTTTAGAAGGCCTGGAAAACACAGCCCCGCCCCCCGCCCCCCCTTCCTTCCCACCTCCCCCCCCCACTCCCGCCTGCAAGCAAAGTGTGTTTTGGAAGTCCTGGAAAATGCATCCCCCCCCCCCCACTCATTTGCCCGAGCCTCTTTCAATACATTTGCTCAGCACGTAAGTCTTGAGGACGCGCGGTTTGGGGGCGTAAGGTCTGAACGTCGGGACGTGCGGTATTATCCACGGACGAGCCTTTCCGGTTTGGGTTGCCTCGCCGCTCCCCGGCCGAGGCGGGTCGCCTAGGGTTAAAATTGGATTCAATTGGTGGTGGAGACAACCACCCTGCCGGAGCTGGGCAACATTGAGCGATGGCTTGAAATTGCCAGGAACAAACCTATGACAAGCATCCCACTTCCCTGTCAGTTCCTACTATTTCTCGCTTTCTTTCAGTCGCGTTGCTCTCCAAAACAATTCATTAACAGGGGGTGGAGTTGTCCTCCTCGCACAGCGCACGGAGCCTGACAACGCTACAAGCATGCGGCGAGTACAGTAAGTACATTCTTCTCGGCATATCTTGGTCCATCTACTCCTGCTGGCCCATGACATGTGACGTGGCGCGTATCCCTACTGCTGTACAGCGAGTGGCCGTTCTTGCATGCCCATACAGCGATCAAAATGGGTGAGCAAGGGGCCTAGTGATCTGCAACCGGCAGGCCTTGCCATGGTCCAGCCAGGTTCTACGTCTGCGGTAGGTCGCCGTTGGGGTACCTTTGAACTTTCTTGGGCGAAGGATGAATCGTGGGTGATGCAATACATCCCCTCACAGCCTTGGGTCCCGTCAGCGGTCTCGGGGCCCTCAGCGGTCTCGGGGTTGGTCGCTCTGCCAGTGGAGGCCTTGTCTGTGGGGCCGGCCTGTGTGCATGAAGGACATCTTGCGACGACGCCGAAAACCAAGAACTGTCCACGAGCCTCGTCCCGGGCTTCTTTCGTGGCTTTGGCCTAGCGGCTCCTGTTGTCCAGGCCGTTGAAGCCACAGCCACGCAGCAGAGCACGGCCCTCGGAGTCAAGAGTCAACTACCACTTGCAGCATCGGAAGCCGTCGACTATGGACATCGCAAGTTGAAACCTATGCCAGGCCAAGTTCGCAGTTGCCTAAATTGCGTTGCCACACAATTTTGATGTTTGAAGTCCTGCATGCGCTCAGACGAGGTGTGCTTACGTGCTGTTTTGCACCTGATCATCACTGGTCCAACCGGTGTCTTAAGCCCAGGCACACCAGCCAAAACGACGGCCTGCAAAGGAGAGAGCGAACCTCTCGTCAACAGGGCTGACACAATGTTTGCCCGGTGCGCTCAACGCACTTAATGTGGGCCTTCCTGCTTGCAGCTGTCGCATCTGCGACCCGGAAAGCACCATCTGATAGCATGGGCAAAGCGATAGTTGGAAATAGAATTGACGTATTGTAATTTGTGCATGGCGCTTGCTTGCTGTGACGCAGTACAATGTCGCTGCTATTCCTCTGGCGTGATCGGCCACGGTTCTGTCATGCATCCAACATGGCTACACTGCGCTCTTGCATGCGTAGCAGCACCTTCTTAAAGTTGTTTGACTGTTGTGCTGCATGTTTGCGAAAGCGGCGCCAGCAAAACGCCCGTCAGATATACTGTTCGTATAGAGCCAAAGTAAGGATCATCAGAGCCACCTCTCTAAGCAGTGTTGGACCTGCACTGCTGTTCCCATGCACCCTTCTCCTGGGCCCTCACAGATTGGAGGGTCTTCCAAAGGAGCTTCCTGCGTCAACGTCAAGACATCACGTGCCGATAAATGCCCGCATTCGTCTTGCAGGTGTATCACGGTGTTGCATGCAAGTGGCACAAAGATTGCGAAGCACGCTGCAGTTGCTTGCGCGAAACAGTGGTTCGGTTGAATATGCCTGTTCAGCAGGTTCCTGAAGCAAGGACGACCTTGAACGGGCTTTGCCAAAACTGGGGGGATTGGGCCAATGTAAACAAGCAACTGGCATCTTCTGGGGGCAGCACAAGCCCTGCTCCGTCGCAATCGGCTCCTCACCAAAGCTCAAAGCTGCCCACATGCCCATCTTGGACCTTCCAAACCTTTCACAGCGTTTGGCTCACGCAGTGTCGTTGTCCTCAGGCCGTAACTGTAGCTCTTCGGACCAGTACAACCTCCACGATATTTACGATGCAAGAAGCCCAAGCAACACCAGAAGAGGCTGAGGCCTAAAAAGTTCCCCTCCAGAATCGAAGGCATAAGCGCAAGCAGCTAGGAGCCCACCTCACTTGCGCACAGCCCACACACACCCAAAACAAGGAAAAACCACACGAAGACGATCTCACTGATCGTCGTTGATGTTCCACCAAGCAGCCTCTGACATCGACACAGGCCACAGCTGCTCCGAGTGGTGGCACAGCACATATTCCTTGGAAGTGCTGCTGGAAAGTGGCTTGCCATGCTTTGCGTCGTTCCCTGCTGTCATGCAGCGTGGGGGCGTTGCGGCAGAAAACATGTCATCAAGGTGCAGACGTTCTGCTCGGTGTTGGTGCCCCAAGATGGCATACAAAGACTCCGCAGAGACCTCGCTACTTGATCTGTATGGCAACAGCAAGGACAGCAAGGAGTCTCTGTCTTCAGCCATGACCCCTGTCTATCCGAATCCTCCATCCCTTCTCCCGACCTTCCGAATGGCAACCCATCACTTCTGACATTTTCCAAGCCCCGAAGGCATTCAGCCGTAAAACGAAGCTTCCTCCAAGCTCTTGTACGATAGGTTAGACTTGTAGGAGCAGAAGATTACTTGCGAGCATCGGGAAGCTTCGCGTCCAAGTTGCTGCGAGCGCCGCAGTTCCGCGCAGCCCCAGGGCGGCAAGGCCTTTGAGGGTGCTGCTAGGGGCACAGCGGACACCAGATGTGACACTGTTTGACTGAGGCTTCGGCCCTGCAAGCGACAACCGGCCTGCGACAGTCACATTTAAGCTGCTGTGCCTGCCTGCTCGTGCGCCTGCGGTGGTGTTGACTTGAAGACTTGGGTCTGCGCAGCAGCAGCTGCCAGGACCAAAGGTTTGCTGTCTTCTTCGCCCGAGCTCGACCTGCTTTGCTCCGCCGCTAAAGGAACTTCAGAATTTCAATGCTGGGGCTGGATAATTGCTCCGCCTTTGCTTGGCGCGTGTTTTCTCCGATGCTGTCGGTGGTTAAGGCCAGGATTTGCTCACTTGTTTCGCGACAGTCGCCATAGACAATCAAGACAAACCCCACAGCTTTCAACATGCCTATGTCATGTCATTCTATGGTTTTGTTTCAGAGTTTCACATTCACAACGCGGTCATGAAGCCCTGAAGGCTTCATTTGGTGTCGTCCCTGGCCATCACGGTATCCGGAATGTTGCGCTATACCGTGCTGCGCAGCTATCGTTTCACAGCCATGGGCTTCCTTCCGCCAAAGTCATAAATAAGCATTGTATTCTACATTTCCCCCACAATCCCCATACACACTTCGTTTCTTTTGATATCTACTGATGTCGAATATGCCGACTTGGTCCTACTTTCCTGATTCAGCCTCAAGAGAGTGCGGCTGAATATCTGGCCCCCGAAAACGAATCTTCGCGCGCATGTCAATGTGCTGCTTGATGATCCTTCATGTAGTCTTCCAATGCCAAGCTCAAGTTCCGTGAAGTTCCGTGTTCAGCTCTCAACCAGAGGTTTACTCTGCGCTACCTCTGAGATGTTTTTCCACCACACTGCAGACGCCGAGGCGCCCCTCCGCTTGAACAGTACAGGGACCAACTCACCCCCTGGCCATCTCACTACCCGACCGTCCACTCTAACCGTCCACTCTAACTAAAGCCCCAACAAGGGCCATGAGTCTGCCCAGACACACACAGACACTTAAGTGAACCTTCACTCTCACAAAAAAAGCTTGTTCCGGAAAAGTCGCCGGGGGCGACATGTCAGTTTGACCAACATCTCTCCCTACCTGTGTCAAGGCATCAATGCAACCCAATGGCCATCCAAACAATCGAAGCCCAGGCATGCTTCAAAATCTCAGCGACTCACCCCATACTGTACTTGTGTGCATACGCAAACGCTGTGTCAGGGCCGCGTCCACCCAGGCCTGGAGCGCTCATCCTGCGGCTTGGTCTGCTTTGCGCGTGCCTCCGCCGTCTCGCCTGGTAGGTCGATGACGTGCGTGACCAGTACGAACTTTGAACATACATGAACACACAAGCACGATAACCCGGTAGCTTTACGAGGCCCAGCTCGCAAGCAGCATGACACAGGCCCCACAAACCCTGCTCATCCCAACTCTTTCAGGCCTAATTAACAAAAACCCACATCGTGCAGCCCCGACGGTGTCCTTAATCAGCCTTATGTGGCACACCATCTCACACTGCACGATGATCAACAAATCATGCTCGGCATTGGAATTACTTGCCTTCTCTCAGCCAAAGCGGGACCTCCTCAGCCCCCAAAGCCTGCAGCTGTTGCGTGTGTCTTCTCTGCTGATTCTTGCTTCCTGCGCCTTTGAACTGTGCACCCTTCGGTCCCTTGCCAGTCGAATCAGTCGCCCCATGCGAAGTTAATGGTTCCTCGAAGTTTCAATATCCTGATATGTCCTGATCCTGGTCAGGCCACATGACTTTCCCTATTGCATTTGTATTTCTGTAGGCAACCCACTTTAGCTTTTCAGTCCCCGGGGTGCCCGACAATCTCTGCCAGCACGACGCACGTGAGGAGACTGCCAGTGGTGTCTCGTGCCTCTGCAGGGTGTCAATCCGTTTTGTTGACTTGGAATCCCCAGCTCTTTTGCAGTCGGAGCTGTCTCGCACCGTGGCGCATTGTCTGACAACGAAGCTCTCCTCCCACCTGCAAGATCTTAAGCGATCCACGTGCACCCAGCAAGAAGGTGCCATCCTCAGAACCATGAGGACCTGCATGCAGTGCTCATGCTTCACGTTCCATGTTGCCCATGAGGTCTGCACTTGCCACTGAGGGTCGATCAAAGTGAGGAGAAAGGCGCACCAGGCAATGGCCCGGTCTCATGTGAAGGGAGAACGTCTCCTGCGCATCACGTCGGGAGGTGATGTGTTAGTTCATGTGAGTTCGATGTGCATTTTCTTTTTTTTGCTGTACAGTATCCTGATCTGCCCTCAGTTTGCGACCTAACGTTGCTGACCTTGCGTCCCGGCCCTCCGCAAATCGAAGAGGAAGACATTGCCGGCCTGCACAAAATGCCCGCAAAGAGGCATAGACAGGCCATGCAGGCGTCACCTGCGTCACCGCCGCCAGAACGAAGGCAAAGCCACCCCGGAGAAAGCCGCAGGTTGGTACCTGCTGCACAAGCGCTACATTGCGAGTGCTGAGCTAGCCTGGCGGAACCAACTAGACGAGAAGTATACAAGCAAGTAATTAGTACAAGTATTTGTACAAGGCGAAGCGTTCATGCAAGTAGCTGTGCAGCTACAGTTGATGATGGATTCTGGGCACTGCTGGCATGTCTTCTGCTCCATCATCTGGTGCTGGGACTGAAGCCCTCGCAAAGCAGGTTCCATGAAGACCTGGCAAGGAATTGCGTGCAAAGCCACGGTGCTCCATCAACTCAGATACCAGGGCACAGGCATCGGTAGACATCGATGGTCGGTAGGCCTCGACAAAGCCACGTGTCGAACATGATGACATTCATGGATAAACAGTGCACAGTCTCTTAGGATGGAAAGTGGGGGTTGATCTCAATGATCCTGTACCCTCGAACTGCGAGCCTTGGCCACCGCTGCCCACTGCTAGCAGGGCGCTAGTCCTCCAAACGCAGAGATTCTTCATCAAGGGCTCGCAAGGTGCTGTAGAAAGGCAGCTCAATCCTGGCAAGTGGTAGAACTGAGTTCTTGCGTGCAGCAATCACAGCTTAGTTCCAAACTCGTCGAAAGCCAACGCCGGCAGAAAGGGCAGCACCGGCATCGCCTTGCCCGAAGGAATGAAGGAACAGGTGGACAAGTCTCTTTGGACTGCGTGTGGTTGCCGCCTGAACTCCCAGCTGCATAGCCACGGCACCTGCCTTTACCTGCAACGATGCGCGTGAGCAACTGATTTGAGAAGTGCTTGGCAACAGCAAAGCTTTCTTGAGAAATGATTTGGCATTCTAGAGGGCACCCCGTGAACAGCACACGAACCCATGCTGCACTGCAAAGAAGCCTTGCTCTACGCGAGCGAGGTTTCACATGCAAGCCTTGTTATGATTTAGTATGACCATGTCAAATCAAGCCTGCCACAAGTAGCAGTCCCTCGGAGTAGCGGCCACGAGGTACACGCCGTGCACTCCATCCTGCGACTTAAGGCAGCATGGGTCCGCGAAAGCGGAACTTCAGATGATATTTACCTTCCGTAACTTTCTTGCATTCTTACACTAAACCTGGACCATCACTGTTTTTTGCACAATGGACAGCCTCTCTACCGCAGCCTTTTGCTGCAAAGGGGACGAGTGAGCCCATGCAAACACTCACAGGAATTCCCAGCATCCATTCCTGGCCAGTGGGCTTCTTCTTTGCCTGTCGAAGTGCAGCCCTTCGTAGGCTGTGAGCACTGCTTCACTATGTCCAAGGCCCTTTGGATCTGAACTGCTGAATCGGATGCCAGTAGCAAAGCGCGGCGTTCCTTTGGCTGAGGCCTAGCTATCACATCAGGTTCTACCAAACTTGTCAGTCTGTACAACTGGATTATCGCCATTCAGGCGAGGCTTGGTGTCGCGCGATATGTAGCGGCTGGAGGTCTGTCACCCCAATGCAGCCGTTGCTGATCCCGGGTACCTGCCTGAAGCGCCTGACTCGAAGGCTGCCAAAATGACTGCTTTCAGCCAAAAGTAGAGGAGTGGGCAAACCAATTTCTATGCACTGTCAAGAGTCAAGAACTGTAGAGAAACATGCTCCAAGCAGGTGGACAGCTCTGCTGTCACTTTGCGTCAAAGGGGAGAAACAGCGCATGCGTGCGATGCCCGCCAAAAACTTTCACAGACCACCTCCTGTCACCTAGCCGAGGGACCCCAATCAACTGGCATGGCCAGCGCCATCTCCGAATTAAGCCAACGAATTCCCATCCGGCGCAGCGCCAAAGCGCAGCTGCTTAAACGAAACACGATGTCTTGGAATAAAAAAGTGTCTCAAGGCATGTACACGGTGAGTCGATCACGGACTGTCTGTCTGCAGACAGGGCAGTGGGTCAGCTTCCGCGCACATCCATCCTTGATCTGGCAAGTGCTCAGTTGGCAGAAGGTAAAAAACAAAACAAAAAAACTGACTGAACCTTGCCATGCCCAGCAAGCCGGCACGTGGCCAAAAGGGAGCATGACGATGTAGGTGCTTGCCAAGGCAATCATGCTCATATTTCAACCCAGTTTCACACACGCAGAGATGCCGGCAGCGAAGAAGCACCTTGTTGCTGCAGGCTTGGGGCTTTGGGCTTGGGGGTTAGGACAGCACCCTTCCCCGCGCGCGATTTTCACTCTCCCGCAAAGGTCTCTCACAAGGCAGCTGGATGGAGGCAACCCTACAGCAAGGCACTGCGCCAGACCCACTATCAGCTCGCCTTACCATGCCTTGCCATGACACTGGCCAGGCTAAATCACAATCACAGCAAGTAGGATCCCCAAACCGGCCTCCAACCACCTCGACAGATAGACTAATCCCTAACAGGCTGCTCATCGAAACCTCAAGATCCCTTGTGATCCCTTGGTCAAACTTGGTTTATGGATGCTGGCACTATGTGTAAGCTGCCATGAGCATGCATGCAACGAGGGGCACTTACGCCCCCACCCCACCCCACCCCTGTCGGGGGGGCACTACCATGTGGCTCCATAACTGCATCTTAAGTGAGTAGCCCCAGTTACCTCAACTCACCTCAACTCACACCCTCCCTCGATTTTTCGTCTTTGCAAACAACTGCCCAATCCCTGACTATTACCTGATTCCGAGCAATGAGGCACGGTGTTGGCCAGACGGTCCAGGCATGCGATGCAGGACCGGTCGCTCACCTCGGGAGCGTCTCAAGATGCCAGGCTTTCAAGAGTTTTCAAGCTCGGCTCGATACTCGGTACTCACTCAGGGCTCCCACGGCCTCTTCTCGCTGCGACAGCAGGTCTGCACGCTCCTGAACCGTGCTTCAGCTCACAACTCGGCACTCGGTTGCGACATCTCAGCCAGTGCTGACCCTGGCTCAACAGAATCACCTGCAAGCAGCTGTCACGTCTCAGCCACTGTGATATGACTGTCGTGCTGAGTCTCCTGTTCCAGCCCTTGAACTCGCTGGTAGAGTTGCCTGTGATGAATTTGCAACTTTGACACGCTCCACCCATGCCATGAACCCTCGGTGCAATGCACCTATTGTTACCAGCGGATAGCCCTGAACAATCATTTTCTTGAGCCACGGCGAACGGGTGAATACAGCTTGTGTCTTCCAGTAACTACACCCCCCGCGCAACTTAGTGCAACGGTAGAGGCGTTCTTTTCCGTTAGCTGGAAGAACACACAAAAGAATGTTCGCCTAAACTATACTCCACTGACCAGTAGTGAGTAGCTACCACCCGTCAGGGAGTTGAGAAACATCTACACTCTAAAGAAAGGTTAGTTACCGGCTTCTACTGCTCAGCAACCAACTCGTCAGAGTGGTGTCCATGTGCGAAGCTTGAGAAGATGATCCACGGTTGGTGCAGCAAATGCATCCAACTCTTCCGAGTGGAGGTCTTTCCTCAGTAACGGCGAGTGGTTTCACCTGTGAAAGGGTCGGTGACTTTGTGCTCCCAGCCGTTGAGGTACCAGATCACGTTCTCGTAATCATATACGACCACCCGATTGAGCTGCCCGAAGGATGGAATGCAGTTCACGACCTCCTCTTCCTGGATATAGTGCTGGTCGCGTGCATAAAGCATTGCCCAGTAATAAGCTTCAAGGCGGTTGAATCTGGGATGACGTGGCTCCCGCCCGTTGATCTCCTCACCATCGACGTCGTAGGGAAAGGTGATGCCAAGCGGTCTCTCGAGCAGCTGCGTAAGCTCATCCAGCCTGGTCTCAATCATTTGATTGACCCGTTCACGGCGCGCTCGAAGCCATTCTCCCTCCGTCTCGGTAGGGTTGGTTGGCTCAACGCGTCTGCGTGAGGCAGCGGGCTGATCTTGCTGGCTCGACTGACGTCTCGCAGCTGGAGGTCTTGGTGTGGCGGAGCGCAGTCTTGGCGGCGTTGCCTTGCTGGTTGGCTCTACATAGGAACCAGTCCTCCTCGGTGATCTTCCACGATTGGCACCATATGCCGATGATGATCGGGTCCTGTCACGAGTGGGGTCATTGGCTCCCTCCGAGTGCTGTCTTGCAGGGGACGCCGAAGCCCTTCCATAACGTCTTGATGAAGATGCCCTTGGACCATCCCTTCCGGGAGGAGGAGGTGCGCGCATGTAGCCTGCACTCCTCGCCCTCGAGGCTCTGACCCATTCCGGATCATAGGCAGTCCTGGCAAGACGTCTGTCGTAGAAGCGGGTATCGCGCAGGACTTCATTGAGTTGCGTCTGGCCCATAGAGGCAAACCCTTCCGGGATGCGAAGATTCCCTGACATGGTTACCTCAGTGGGTGCCGGATCATCGTAGGTCCCGGCGAAGCCAAGTTGGACTTTGAAGAATTCTGCCAACTGTGCTGCAAGCTCTGTGACCGAGGCTGGCTCCGGAGTGTAGATCTCGCCATCAAAACCGAGGATCGAAAAAGGAAACCTTTGGCCGAAGTACGTCTGCTGTGTGGCATAGATGAGCATGGCCGCCTCGTCAAGGATGTAAAGCCTGGAAGAGAACGCGATGAAAAACGCTCGGTTCAAGACGATCTCGGTGTCACCAGGCATCCAGGCGATGCTAAGGCGAGCGTCAGCATTGTGGCTCCCTGCAAACTCTTTGCGACCACGCGCATCCCCTCCGGGTGCGGGATTGTGAAGGCGCGTAAACAACTCAAGCTGGGCGAGACTTCCGATGTCAATGCCTTTTGACACGTAGTTGTACGCATCGAGGGGCTCGTCGAGAAGCTCCAGCAAGTGATCACCTCCACCCCGCTTTGCGAGACTCTTCTTCATGGCCAAACACTTTCCTCTGACTGCCGCCGGGAGACTGATGTCATCATCGTCACGACCCTGACGGACGCGATGTCGATTCATGGCCAACCCCTTCCGGGGGGCGATAGCGAGGAGATCAATCCCCGTTCCCCTTCGGCTGGCTTCATCGCGCGCCCTTTTGGTTTCTGTGACGTGTGCCATATCGCTCTCGGCAGAAATACGGACCGAACACCATGGGCAATTGATCATCCCGTCGACGAAGTCCCGATTGCATGAGCCGCATCTGAGAGTGGGAAAATCCACGAACTCTTGAATTACGTAATGCTCAAGCTTCGATCGGTATCTCACATCCGTCCTGCGCCCCAGCGCGGAGTACCACGTCTTCAGACGGGAGCCCCATCGAGCGTTACCCACATATTGGGGCTTTGCCTCTGTGTGAAAGGTAACGTCGTCTGCGTTGATGGCCTCCCCGTTGACGGTGATATTTTCATCCTCCGCGATCTGAAAGGGGGAATGCATGTTGTTGCAGATGTGCTTGTACTCATCGAACGAGAGGTCTTCCGCCTCCGAGCAGAGGAAGTCAATGTAGCATCCCGGCATGGGGCTCTTGCTCTGCCACCTCCGGAGTACATGCTCCTCGTAAATTGGCCCTGGCTCCCGCCCGGCGAGGAAATCTTTCCTGGCCTTGTGTACTCTGACTCTCAACTGTTCGTACACGCGGTTGTGCCAGATTGGGGTCAACGACTTGCGCTCGTACGCATAAATGAGATACCTGTTGGACAACCAATCAGGAGTTTCCACAGCATCTGCTTTCGTACGAAGAATCCTGACCCCGTCCAAAGCAGCTAGTTGCAGGTCCACAACGAACTCAATCTCCGCGTTTTCGCGCACGCCCTGATGGTCCCTGCGTTCCCACGCGGGGATAGGGGACATCATGAGGAAATTCCGTGCGCCCTCAGCGGTCGCCCCGCACCCGCCTGGAATGAGGCCGTTCTCCACGATGGAGCCGAAAGAAGACCATTTGGTGCTGTGGTATCCAAGCGGCGGCATCTCCGTCCACATCTCCGATTTGATTCCCTCAGTTCCCACCGGGGGCCGATCCTTCAATGTCGGAAACCAGGATTCGGCTAAGTGGTAGACCGCTGCATGCGTGTCATTGAGGTCCGTCTCGTCAGAGAGGAGGGTTGCATTATGCCCCTGGATGGCTCGGATGGCGTGGAAGACGACGAGCTTGTTGAGACCAAAGTTCACCTTGATCTCGAAACGGAGCTTGTCGTTGTGTAGCAACGCGTCTACCACGTTTTCCACCCTCAGCCCCCTCCACATCTGGGATAGTTTCTCGAAGAACTCGTCCCATCTAAGGGAGTGATCCTCTGCCGCTTTCACATGGAGGTGCGGCGCGCGAATCTCCGCGAAGCCTCGCGTCAGGAAACTGATCTTCTTGCTGAGTGCTACGCGTGCGCCCGGCGTCAGCCAGCGGTAGTCGTCTGGCAAAGGCGGGAGCTGATCGGCCGTCATCCACCTCGGAAGCGCAGGCGGCTTTGGCTTAGCAGCCGGCGTAAATGGCTTCTGAATCGTGGCCTCACTCGTCAGAGGGGCGTCCATGATGACGACCTCATCCTCTGACTCCTCCATTGCGGCCGTGGGACCAGCCGGGGGCCGGACATCGGCCGAGGAAGCGGCTCCCTCGATCCTGCCCGGTTGGGCGACGTACGTCTCCCTTCCCTTGGCTTCCGCCGGGAGCTCTTCCGCCTCCACAAAGTCGTCGAGATTAACGACCTGTGCCTCAACGGCGGCCTGCTTGAGCTCCTCTTCGGTGGCGTCCTTCACGGCCTCGAAGGTGGCCTTGATGATGTCCTCTGTGATGACGTTGAGGAGTGCGGATTCGGCACCTTCCACGACGCAGCCGGCCCCAGGTCTCGTATCAAGGCGAGCAAAGTCCAAGTCAGAAATTTCTTCCTGAGCATTCGGGACCTCGGGAACCTGCATCATGCTCGGCTCTTCCATCTCCCCCAGGAGTGGGCCAGAAAGGACGATCTCCTCTTCAGCCTCCCTCGCCTGAGGTGGGTTTGGATCTTCGATCGGCTTGTGGATGAGCTGCGCCGACGCAGGTGGCACCGTCAAGAAGGGTTCCGCCTTCCCCATCAAAAAGTGGTTGTGAAACACCACATCCCTTTGGTTGGCGACCAACTGATCACGAACCTTCATAAGCTGATGATTGACAAAAACACCACGGAGCAGTGAACAATGCCATGGGACCATGACCTGTTTGTTCCTGTCCGACGCATCAGCGTGGAAGTCGTCAGGCTTGCTAGTATGGCCATACATTTCGATCGGATCGACAATGTTGATGCCAAGGGCAAGCATCGCGTCAGCGTGCTGTTCCATGCAGAGACCGTACTCAGGTCCTGTGGGAAACACTTCAGAATGATGGTCTCCTGTGAGAACGGTGATCCCACACACATCATGCCTCGCGAGGAGCAGCCTCAGATTGCGAACAGCCTTCTCCACGCGAAGCCGTTGCTTTGTCGGCCACTCATTCAGCGCCTCAAGCTCCTCCTTGGACCGGTTCGTGTACTTCGTGTTGAGGTGCCACGTGTATCCATGATATCCGTGGGACCCCCACACGTCGTTTCCGCTCCAGGAGATGATAACATGGGTCGCCACTCCGTCAGGATGGGGGTTCCGGCCAAGGAATGAATCTGCCTTGGCGTGCAGCTCATCGAGCTGTGCCCCCCAGACCATCTCGTAATGGATCGAGGTGAAGCGGCGGTCATGGCGAAGGGCCTCCTCGACGTAGATACCCACGTTTGTACGATGTGTGGGTGATCGCCCCTTGAACTGGCACAATGCGAGTGATGAATCGCCAACGACCAAAATTCTCAACCGCTCTTCCGAGGGGAGTGGGATCCTCTGTAGGGCAGGCGAGAAAAGCTTGCCCATGAGCTCAGAGGTCACATGGAAGCACGTGTACTTCGACGCTCCACGACTGAGAAGTTCAACCTTTCTGCAAATGTCATCATGCCTTGTCGCGTCCAGAACTCCTGCAGATCGTGGTCCCCATGCGATATTGGCGAGGTCCTGTGCATATCGGTAGAGCACATCGATCCAACCCCCCAGGGTAGAGTCCTGAAGAGCTGAGGTGTCTGCGTCTCCCTCTGCAAAAACCCGGACCCCATGATCCCTGTAGTATTGTTCATACAGGATCGTCCAGTGTGACGTGGGGTGCTCTGCACGCAATGCGCGCCACCGATACACAGGAACAATCCCAAGAAACAACTCATCGTCCGCAGCATCGGCATCTGGCTCGACCACAGCGTCAGCCAGGTCCCGATAGGAAGGCGGGAGCAACAGTCCAGCCATGGCGTCAGCCCGGCGATCGGGGTCCTGCAAGGCAAGCTTGAAGTCCTCGATGCGAGCCTTCCGCTCTTCCTGGGAAAGAGCAAGTGCCATTCCTTCGGACAATGGAATCGCGGGACACACAGGAGCGTAGGAATGATGAAGGGCTTGTGCCACCGCTGCGGTAGCTTTGCAATGTTCTTTGAATGCGCTGTGAATGGCTCTAGCAAGCGATTTGGGGTAATTCTCGGATTCTTTGAGGCACTTCGCATGCGAGTGATCACCAGTGCAAACTTTAGCGTGAATCTTCTTGTGTAATGTTTCAAGCGTAGTAGCAACGCACCATGGCTTTTTGACGGGATTATGACGTCTGTCTTTAAGTCCAAATCTACAACCGTCAAATTTAGCATAAACAAATGGATGAAGATCCAACCATTTTCGGATCTTACTCCAACCCCAATACTCACAGTCACGAGGCCATTCGACACAGTACTGAACACCAACCTGGTCCAACCCCTGCGAAAGATCCACAAATGAAGCCCACAACTTCCTAAAATCCTTGCGTGCTTCCAGAACGGTATCGCGGTTTTTAGGTATTTTCAGGTTGATTCTGGTCCAAGCACTGCCCCCCGTACACGGGAGACTGACCCATGTGAGAACCTGAGCGCCAGCCCTGTGATAGGATTTGGCAATTTTCAGGACTTCTTTACGAGTATCAGGAGAATTCAAATCCATGCTTTCTGTGATGCGGACGACCTTGCATTCGGGAAATTCCGAATGAGCAAGTTCCCCAATAATAGAATCTTGATTACAACAAACCTCAATGATAACCCTTTGAGCTTTCCCCTCGGGCCTGGAGGGTTCTCCCTGCTCGGCAGTCGCCGCGCCAGCGGGATGAGCCTTTGTGCGCTCAAGCTTCCGCTGAGAGATGCCCAACAATCGTAGAGCATTGCTCCACTTCTCAGTGCTTGTAAACGGCTTTGTCAATATATCCGCTGCTTGGAGCAATGTGTTGATGTATGCAAGATCGTAGTGCTTCCTACGAAATTGTTCCGCTATCCAACCTAAGTTGATTCTCTGCGTTTTATCAGCGTGGCGGAAAGCAGGTGACTTGCCAGACTCGAGTATCCGAATGGTAGCTTGGTTATCTTCAAGAACAACTGGTTGAATGGAGTGAGGAACAGACATGATCAAACCCATATCTTTGCTGGTCCTAGAGATACCAATCTCATCAACATCAACACCCCCCGAACTCCTAATTCCGGCGGTCTCCCTATGGAGGATAGCCTCCGCCTCCGCGTGGCGGCGATATTCGGCAGTTGACCTCCGGTATACCAAGACGCCAGCTTCGAAGTCGGTTGGGGGCAACGTCCTTTCATCCTCATCAAGTTCTTCCCATGCAACGGCCTTCTGGTGAATTTCCCATTTCCCTTTCCGGAGCAACCAAAGATCCCTTATAGGATGGCTAGAGAGCTCAACGGGATTAGGTAGGGATTGCATCTTATTGAATACCTCAACCTGCCTTCCGTCAGAAAGGAGATACTTACCAGTTTTGGTGATCTTCGACATTTCTGGGAAGGGGTGAGTCTTAGAGTTGAAATCACCTTTAGGTACGTCGCTTTTTAGTGCTTTCAGGGCTGCATCTCCCCCCGCGTTCAGGAGTACGCTCCAAAGTGCGGATGAAGGAAGTCCCAGTGCCCTGAGAGACACGTTTGCACATACAACTTCAGCTTCAGTAGAGCTGAGCGCCGTGCTTGTTTGCTTCTTACTGAAGGCAGATAACGGAAAATAGGTATTAGGGCCTACAAGTGCGAGGAAGCCGCCTGAGGTGCTTTTGTTGTCGTGCTCTCCAGCGTGATCTGAGTCTGCAAACAGCCAGAGTTTGCAGTCCTTCAAATCATCTCCTATAAAACAGGACATGCGATGATCAAGCGTGGAGGCGACGTAGCACATAAGGCGGTGTAGTGCTTTGTCACAGTCGGTAGACCATTTGGTGATGCGGCTAGCCAGACCCTGCACAGCTCGAAGCAAATCAAAGCGAGCCATTCTAGCAGCGAAAAGTAGCTTCATGAGAACTCGGCTTGCGATGGGGGCTAGCTTCCCTTTCGGTTCAGCCTCCGCGTCAGTGGGGCGAGCGATCTTGTCATCATAAAAAGGTGTGGTCACCTTTTTGAGGTGATGCCATTCCGGGCCTGTGAGTTCTTTGTACCTATCTACAGCTTGCTGCAGAAAAGAACTCATGTCGTAAACGACTTGCTTGGTCGGAGCATACATGGCACCTTTGTGATCGCTCAGCTGATTGACATCATAAAAGGCATGTTTGCGAGCTTCTTTCTTGGCGGAGTTCTTGTCTCTCACGCGCTTAACTGCTGCAAGGGCGCTGTGCTCGGTGTGATTGGAAGTGGTAAGGTAGGTAACACCGGTCCAAAAGTCACTAGACTTCCGTCCAGGGCCCCCCGAATCCCACGTCTCGGTTGGCGAGTCCTCTTTGCCTAGAGGAGCAGCCACGGTGAGTCTGTGCGACCCGAGGTCGAGGGCGAGGGCTTCCGCCGCGCGAGGTTTGAATGGGACCTTGCGAGGCTGAACATGGTGCCGCACGATGACCCCTTCTTCCGGGAAGTACTCGGTGAAATCCTCCTTAACAACCACACTTGCAGGCTTGGCTGCGGGATCAGGCAAATGTTTGTCGAACACATGAGCAAAGGGATGATCTGAAGCATTCTGCTTCTCAGTGCGAGAGATGTGCTCACAACCCAAATATCTTCCGATTGGGGTAGGCATGTCCATATCGATGCGGGAGCCAATGAGTTCCCAGCCTTTGGCAAGGTTCTCTTTAGGCCCGGCCATCTTGAAGTCATCCACGTACACTGCTAACAAGAGCCTAAGTGTCGGGTGAAAGAATACTGAGGGCCACGCCGCTGGGTAGACAAGCTCAAATCCTACCTCCTTGAGTCGTTTCTCGCAATGTTGCTCCCAGAAGCCGCCGCTATCTGGGTGCCCGTAGAGGGCCAACCTCAAACGCACAACGGGATCTTTATATTTCCCTATCCACTCTTTAGGCCACCGCTCCCGCGGGAGGCGTACCCAAGTGTCTGCTCCTTTAAGGGTTGTCTGAGTGTACGCCTGTTTGCCATCTGCTTGTTCTACCCCATGGTTTGGGGCATGGCCATAGGCGTCGAGAACCTTCCCTGCCTCCATGGTAGCTGGACTGGAGCCCAGCTCGCTAAAGAGAGCAGTGTCGTTGTTCTCATCTCTGACATTATTACCCTGAAAGACGGTTCGACCCTTGAACTTCCGTAAGGGGTTTTCTTTGGGAAGCTCGCTACCTTTTTCAACGCAGATTTCAAAGATCTTGCCTACATGGGCTTTCTTACCCTTCTTAGCAGCTTCTTTTGACACGTCATCCCACTCTCTGACAGTTGACATATCCCAGGCCTTCTTCTTGATGAGTTTATCCCATTCCATATCCAATGACGCTTGAGCGTCTGAATCCGTCATGAGTTCCTTTTTGCCCACTGGCCTAGCAACCATGGCAATGGCCTCAGTGATTTCCTGAAACGTTTCAGGGAATGCGCGGGCAACTTTGGTTCTATGCGGATCTTCAGCAGTTGGAACAGTAGGCATGCATGGGAAGTCCTGGGACCCAACAGTTGCTTGACCAGAAGAATCGGGACGTGCAATTACACTAAACTCGGTTCTACCAATCCATTTGTATGACAACTTCTTATTACGCCTCCTAACGTTGCGCCATTCATCTGCGTCGGGGATAATCTCTGTACCGCCTAGCGGCATGATCTTGGTGACTCTATCCCTTCCGAGAGAGGCAATTGGAACAGGGCAATCGGTGAGGTCAGGCGAAAACAACTCCTTTCTGGGAATGTAATGGAACCTGATCAACTTGTCCCCCCGGATGACCCATTCATCCTTGGAAGCATTCGCCACTGCGGCAGGCTTGCCGCTGCTGCTTGATGAACCACCACCACCAGACTCGAGTTCTCTGAGAGCATTCTCCCGGACTTCGTCTTCAATCGCTTTGTCTTTCTGCTTCTTAGACAACCGAACCCAAAGATCAGATGGAATACTATCTGGCTTTCTGGAACCTCTGGTCCCGCCATATCTACGTCCCAGGGTACCCCCCGAGTCGTAGTAACCACCCCCTTCCGGAATGGGAATCATTTTCCCACTCTTTGGATCAATGACCAACGAGGGTTCATCCTTCCGGTCGGCGTCAACGGAGTCCTGCTCAAGAGCAGGCTCGGCATCTTGGTTCGTCAGCGATTGTGACACTGGGCCTTCTAAAGCATCAGTAGCAAGACCTTGCTGGACCTTTTCGTACCTTTCACGCATGGGAAAAACAAACTCTCCGTTGGGAACATGAAACTGATAGGCCTTTACGGGTTTGAGGCATTCATGAAAATCCTGCCGATTTAATTCTTTGAGTGGAAGTGCAAGGATTTCATTTCGCCACTTCATCCCAGGCTGAAAATAATACCCAAGGAAAATTCCGGGCTCAGAAGTTGGTTCGAACCTGTCGCGCTTCCTGCGTTTGTTCTTGGGACCAACCCAGTAATCGACCCTACAACCAAAAGGAATGATCTTTCCCGGAAATGCGTACCCGAAGCGTTTATACCAAGGTGTATACTTAGGCCCATTGAGGTTGCTAACATTGAAGGCTGCGCAGGAGTGCTCCAACGCCTGAGGCCAATACACATGGGACAGCCCAGCTTGGAGCAGGTTGCTTCTCGTGCCTTCGGTGGTTGCACGGACGGCTCTTTCAGCAATGGCATTGGATTGATGAATATAGGCTTTCGACAATTCATGTCTCCACCCAAGAAATTTCGCAGAGGAGATCAACTCTTGCGCTTGGTCACTGTAAAACACACCCACCTCGTCAGAGGAGGAAACAAAATGCTGCAACGCGGCAATGCACTCGTCCTCTGAACGAAGGGCAGAAGGATATGCATAAGTGAACCCGGTGAAAACGTCCTTCATAACCAACGCCAAACGCGACTCTTCAATGGCGACACCCTTATCCCGATAAACAATGATGTGGTCAGCAGTCAGGTGATCACCAAAGGCCTTGGCTTCGATGCTGTGCGTCCCGTCCGTTTGATAGGACGGCTGCTTGTACATCTTAGCCCTTTGGCATACGTCGCAGAATGGATTCTTTGGCTGATGGGACATCAAGTGATGGGTGCTTTTTGCTTCGGCTTTCAGCTTTTCAAAAGCACGCGATCTCTTGCCATCCCCTTCGGGCACTCGACCTGCTCCATCACCTGGAGCAACACTCACTCCTTCAGGATGAGGAGGCGAATCGCTCGGTTCAGCAGGTACGAGGCTTCCTCCTTCGTCTATCTTGTATAGCACGGACTCGGGAGGATGAGCAGGAGGTGGAAGGGGTGCTACCGCCTCACGCAATTGCTCTTCAACTCTAGACCAGTCCGGTTCAGGAGGAGAGGGTTTGGCCTTAGAGGATGCGGATTTCTCCTTAGGAGAGCTAGTTGGCTTACCCTTCGATTTGGTTTCGGGTTTTCTGGCACGATCTGGAGAGCTCTTGGGCAAGTCCATCATTGCTAGATCATGTAGTGTCATCTCTTCATCAATCTCGACAGGAGCAGCAGGAACCTCAACGCTCCTCCGCGGAACAAGGAACCCATACTCTTTCAATTTGGTAATCTCATCTGGGCTAAGTTTATGGATAGCTCGGTTGACATAGGCCGTGATGCTCCACCTCTCACCTTTCCAGGGAGTGACGCAATGATAGGATTTGGGATTGAACGTCACAACATTCTCTCTTGAATCCCACAACTTCCCTACCATTGAATCTCCCGAAGGAGAGGTCATCACCTCAGTGTCACGTTGGTTCTTCTCGAGGCAGTTATCATGAACCCACAACTGCCCGCCTGTGAAGTCTCCAAGCGAGATTGTGAAATTGTCGTGGTCACGATGATTGTTCACATCCTTGTGCATCTTGACATCGGAATTACAATTCACAGCTAAGGACGTCACCGGCCCATCAACGCCATGCTTCCTAAGATATCCCAGGAGATACTGAATGACTTTGGGGTAGGACTTGGATCGTTTTGTGATCCCTTGCATTCCCCCATGAGAAAACGCTCCAAACACGAGATATTTTGAGTCGCGGTCATCTTTGGCGCGGATCGCACTGCGACGGCTCTTGGGCTGTTTGAAAGTTGATTCTTTGAGTAATTTCAAGCACGACCGATGCGAAAAGTCCTGATTCTGGAGAAGCTCTTTCGCCACGATCTCGGGGTCCGTACGGCTCCCGCCTGATGATGCGGCGATCCTTCTTGCAGGGCACGCAGTTCCTTCTTTCCATGATTTGAGGTATGGAACATTATCCCGTACATCAAGGTAAACCTTCCCACTGCCAGGAACTTTGAAGTATGGTCTCTGAAATCCTTTCCAAATGAAATCATACCCTTGCTCCATGCATCTCTGACCAACCGAAAGAACGCTCGGAGTGTTGGGCAACACATATGGCTTGGCAACGCTATTGATGGAGGGAACCCCCACCTCGCATTGCCTGTTGGCATAGCCCGGACCATTCGCAGTAGAGATGTTGATTGGGCAGTCTGATTCAAATGGAACCAGATCCGCGAGCTCCCGCTCGGAGATGAGATCTTGAGCACTCCCTGTATCCCCTATCCATTCCATGGGATGAGAACATAACGCTGCATCTGGTTTGGCGGGGCACGTAACCCTTAGACCCTTTGGAATGCAGTGGTCGCAACCAAACTCGGTATCACAACAGAAGTTGCACTTTGCAGGCACACCATCGAGACTGCTCCGCACAGATGCGCGTAGCATCCTTGCTGCCATGAGCGCATCCTTGGTGGATTGTGCGTTGCCCGATGGAACGTCCTCAGTAGACCAGCTACTTGTGAAGGTACGTTTGGGGTATTCAACAGAGTACTTCAATTCTCCATCTCTAAGAGGGAAGTTGATATAGTCAGGGCTGTCATCGAATGACACCGCTGCAAGCGCCAGGTGTGTAAACTCGGAATAATGAGAGGGCCAACACGACTCATCCTTCCGGAGAGTGTAAGCATCGGCATGGTGAGCCGTGCCTGCCATCATTGCTCCTAAAAGGCAAACCGCAGTAGGAATGGAATGACCACCGCCCTTCTTGCGACCTGAGCCCCCAGACTTCCGCGAGCCATTAGAACCCTTGGAGTTCTTACTGCCCTTTGAATCCTTAGAGCTAGGCCTAGAGCCTTTGCGATCTTTCTTCTTCTTCTTGTGCCTACCCTTACTCTTGTCAGAGTGCGCTGAGCCTTTCGCGCTGCCTCCGGACGGAGCCGCAGCACCTGGCTTTCCCGTATGCAGGAAGGTGCATTTGTCTCCACGGTCACAGCGACCTTGCTTGAAGAATTTGCACTCACGTGGACCGCGACTGGGAGAGCCTGTCCTCGAGGGACTGCGCGGACCACGGCCTCTGCCGGGTGTGGGTGTGCGAGGGCGCCCGGATGGCACCTGGTGCTTATACTTACACTTTTCACCGTTTTTGCAACTACCATTCTTGACGAAGGCAATGCAGAAACCTTTGGGCACCTTCTGGGGTGCTGGCATGGCAGGCACCTGAGGGGCGCCTGACTGTCTTGCTATGCGCTCACGATTTCTCTCAAGTCTTTTGCGATTGATGTGCGCAGTGGCAGCATCATACAGAAATTTGAAGGACCTCTCAGCGGTTCCTTCTGCGGCTCTTTCGTAGACATTGATGTCGTGCTGAAGGGCTCGGCACTTTTTGATCTGTCTATGGAAGAGAGGTTCAAGGACTGTGTCTTCAGGTGTTTTCTGAATCCCTGAAAGAACAGTATCCCAGTTCCTGATGAATGTCACCAAATTCTCGTTAGTCATGGTGACTGACAACAAGTCTTCCATATCATAAACAGAATTGTGCAAAGCATTGGTAGCAAAGTACTTGTGCAAGAGAAACAGGATCTGCCTACCTCTCACAAGCCTTCCGGCGTGAGCCTCCCTCTCTTTGAGGGTGTCCATCTGGCGTGCAAAATCGCCTTCCAGAACATTGGTGATCGCCGACAAGATCTTTGCATCAAGCGTGGTGAAGCCGTCAGTGTTAATGAGATCGCTCTCCTTAGCATCCTTATCCCAAACGTTAGCAAGCCATTCAAAGGCTTTGTCTGGCTTGTTGGAGGCAGCAACGACTGCTTCGCGAACCCTAATCCGCCAATTGCGATACTGCTCGGGTGTAGGAAACTTAGGAAAGACGATCTTTTCGGCTTCTTTGGACTTGTTCTTGCTACCTTCATCCTCAGTATCCTTGTCATCCCCCGACTTCTTGCTACTCCTGGCCAGGGATTTGAGCAGAGCCTTGAGCTGCTTGGGAGATAATCCTGAGTCAGATGACGAGGAACTACTGGAATCCCTCTTCTTCTTCTTTTTGTCTTTCTTCTTGCTCTTTTTCTTCTTGTGATGGCTACTGGAGTCATCATCATCACTGCCGCCGTCATCCCCATCATCTGGGCCACCACCGTCAGGGGGGCGTCGGAACCTTGGTCCCATGCCATCCTGCGGAGGCGTGTTGATAGGAATCGTCGGAACAAGTCCCGGGGGCACAGTGGGCACAGAGCTCGAGGCGTTGGCATGAGCCTCAAGAGCGGCAATTGCCTTGCTGAGCTGCAATTTGAGCTCAGCGTTCTCTCTCTCAGCTGCTTTCCGCTTCTCGGACTCCTGACTAACGACTACTCTGAAGTCTCGGACCTCAGCAGAGAGGCGATTGATCTCAACCTCAGATGAAGCCTGCACTGCATTTGTTGCCTGGGCAGCAGAAACGCGCACACTGTCAAGCTCAGAGTTCATGAGATCAGCATTGCTCATGGCCTTAGCTTCCGCTAGGTGGAGTTGCTCCTGGAGCCTAGCATATGACAAATCTGCGTGCGATTCTGCAGATCTCAATTTTTCAGCCAAGGCATGAGCTTCACCGCGAGCCATGTTTATCTCAAGGGCCTGCGATTCCAATTGAGTTTGGCCTGTTGAGAATCTGGCTCTGGCTTGCTGTTCCTCTTCTCCAAGCCTTGTTTCGGCCTGAGCAAGTTCAACTCTTAGTTTCGACACTCCGGACATGACATGGCTACCCATAGATAGCATCTGCTCCTGAAAACTGTTCGTGATCTGACCAAGGATCTGGTTATGGCGATGCTCAGCAATCTGTTCAATCAGAGGTGATCTATCATTCTGAATGAACGTCTGGCTTACGTTAGCTTGGTTCTGCATGAGTCTTTGTTCGCCAATCATTAAGCTGTTCATCGTCGCGGAGTTCGGCATAGAGAAACTCGGTGCTGTCGGATTAAAGGTCTGAAGTGAACCTCTTTCAGCTACATTTGGAGCTGAAGCTTGTCTTTCATGAGGAGACACGACCTGCCAAGGTGTGGTGGTACTGAGGCTACTAGGTGCTCCTGTGGGGGCAGCAGCTTCCGAAACCGCACCTCTCTGGAAGAGACGCATGTCATGTATCCTCAGGGCATTGGTGGTCAAAGGAGGTTCACTGTCCCGGGGAGGAGCCTCGTCACCTGGAGCATTACCATCAAAGGACATACTCAGGCTACTAGCTCCGTCTTCCGGGATAGGTATACCTGCAGGATTAAGCGGAGCAGAATCCGACATTGCAGAGTTGGTCTAACAGAGTGCTACGGCTGATAACCTATTGTTACCAGCGGATAGCCCTGAACAATCATTTTCTTGAGCCACGGCGAACGGGTGAATACAGCTTGTGTCTTCCAGTAACTACAGCACCGCCCTTCTGGATACATGGCCTCTTCAGAAGCAACAGGGCATCAACCTGCAAGGGCTCTGATAAGCAGGGGTCAAAACTCAAATTGAGGATTGCTCTTCACACGAACTGCCACGAACCGCCAGCTGGGATCGCACCTGGGATTCGAGCTCCGCAGTCTCGGCATCACTCACCTGCCGCTGGCCTGAGGGTATCTTTACTGCACCAGAAATTCTTCACGAGTACAAGCCGATATCTGCTTTATGTCCAGCGGCCTTGCAGCTGCTCCTCAGACGCCCTGGCACGGTCACCGCTTCACTTCTTGTGGTGCAAAGGAGGAGCTGCATCACTGGGCTCTGGAGCTCATTGCGAGCACATGCAGATGCATGAGGTGGGTCGTCGAATTCAGAACCCTTTTGCACGTGGCATCTCAAGCCCAGATGCCTGACAAAACTTTGCACGAGTGTCCCCCGAAACGCGTGAGTCCAATTTGCAAATTGATACTGCAAATAGGGCGTGGAACCTGCAGCATCTGAAAGGCCAGTGAAGCAGAATTGAGGTGGTGCTTTGAGCGAGCCCTGTTCCATTTCTTCACGACGGTCTCCCTAGAGGATGGCGACAAGGCCTTCGATGTGATCCGTTCGTTGGCGAATGGGGGAATAGGGCATGTGAGGACAGAACTGGTCCCCGAGGAACAGGTCAAACCCATCTTTTAATAGAGCTTGGGACTTGGAACACCAGGCAGCAGATCTGGCTGTTGCTGGTGGAAACGGAGGGTGGGGGGGGGTTGGGTTGCATTGTAGAATCGATCCGTTTACTACTGGGCAACGCCCGCCTTGCACCATCGCTCAGAGCCAAGCCAAACATTTCAACTGCTCGCATACTTTCAAGAACTGTCGAAAGATTATTGTGGAGGTGGGCGAATGGCCTGCTGCTACGTTACAGATGCTTTAGAAGCCTTCTGAAAGGAGGCACCACTAAGATCCCAGCAAGGTTGGTCTGACACGACTGCTCGAAGTGCTTGGGCCAGCTGAGGTTGGGCTGCATTGCTGCTGTTCGGCGACCGCGCCTCAACAGCTCATCATTGGCCTTCGACAGGTTCGCCGACCGATCCTTGGAAAGCGTTGCACGCAGAGTCACAGAAGGGCCTCGGCCAACAGAACAGTCGGAGTAGGCAGCAGTCTCCTGCTCAAGAACACAACTAGCAAGAGTAGTCTCTGGCCTCGCTACAACATCAAAGCACCCGAAGTTTCCATCTAGTTGCGCGCTCGCTGTCGAGGTTTGCCTGGCCATGGAGCAGACTATTCACAGAACATTTTGAACGAGAATGAGGCATGAAGAGTATCAGCGGGCCAAGACCTTCTGGCCTGCAAGACTCGCCGGAGCTCGGTTTGATGACTCAGCTCCCTCTTCAGTTGCCGAAGTTCGATCTGAAGATTTTGGTGTTCCTGCCACTGCTGTCTTCCAGACTCTCAAGCGCAACTCCCATGAATCAAAGCCTGTCATACCCAGACATTTTGCGGAAGCACAAGAGTGCGTGAGAAATGCTCCAAGCCGGCGCCCGGCCTTCTGTAAGCAGTAGGCACATCTCGATGTTTCTTTTGCACTGACTTCAATCAACAAGAAGCCGGGCGTCGGCTCGAGGTTCAATGGAAAAGCCATCGCTCTGAGACATCTCTTGTGGCACATGTTGTGCGCACGGCTTTGGGTGCAGCACTGTACTAGCCACGTCTGCGCAACAAGAGATTGATGTCTCACAGGTGCTTCTGTACAATGCTTGCAGATGCTTGCAGTTGCATGCGCGAATGCTCCGAAAGATTTTGCATAATGCACGAATTCAGCATCATCTTTACTAGTGACTATCCAAAATCCTCCTCGAATTTGAGTCCAGCAAAGCCTGCTTCTTTACAATACAGCGGCTGTGCTGCGAAAGCCTAGGAAGCTTCACCCTCCCATGGTCAACCCTCCACTGTACAACAAATCATGGAGCGAGGGTGGACATCATGGAGGTGCTGTAGTAGCCATGTGCACCAAGCTGGTGAGAGGTGCACATCTGCAAACTTTCAAGCATTGTATACGTCTCGTGCTGTACGGCCTTCGAAGTCAAGGGACATGTAGCCCCCCACTGCCTTCCTGTACTAGCTTCTCATAGCTTCTCATTGCTCATGCGACAAGCACGGAGCAGTCCACCCTCAAGTGCGAAGTTGTCTTTGGTCGTCGGGTATTGCGCTCGACCCTGAACTCCTCTTCCGTCTCCTCGTCGTCCTCCTCGTCCATCTCGACGAAAGTGTTCCGCACCACGATCTTGGGCTGCTGCTGTGCAAACTTGATGCGCTCCCGCAGAAGGGCCAAATCTGCATCAGGCAGGAAGCGAGGCTCTACACCCTCATGCACGCCTGGTGCAGTGGATCCCCCGTTTGCTCGTCGGTACGCCGTTTTCTGCAGCGTGAAAGCTTCAAAAAAGCGAGAGCGCACACGATTCCACTCTTCCCGGGTAACCACGCCTCAGCTTTGGACGATGCTTCAGCCGCTTGTTTGTCTCGTACATCAGGCCCTCTGCTCTGATTCAAAGCCAAGCTGCATTGGTATGGTACGAGTTGGCGACCATCCAGCAAGTTGTAAGTTTGAGCACTCTCGCCAATGTTCTCCTGACACTTCGTGATTTCAACCCCAAGGTGTGAACTTGTGCGATCGAGCACCCAATACATCACACAAGCTATTGACTCTTCCTAAACACACTTTCGTGAAAACCCTCTCCAGAAACAGCTGAATGTAGTCGGACAAGTAGAACTTGCTGCTGCCAGCCATTCCTGCAATGCGTCAAGGCTAGAAACCAGCCTGCTGCTATGAGTGACGAAATCTGAAGATCATGTCTCTTCGTGGAGCACCAAACATCGTGTGCGCGGCTAGCAAACCGACCTGGATGGTAACGCACCCAGGTGGTGAGTCCTGACTCAGACAAGAACATCCCACAGCGAAGCACTGAATCGAGTGGGATGCCGTCATCCCTGGTGGAGGACCTGGGGGTGCCTAGGGATTAGGGGCCGGCAAGAAGTCCTTCATTGAACGTCTATGCGCATGCCAAGGAGTCTCAGCCCCTCATCGTGAAGCTGAGCGGCCCATGCGTTGGCCGGCATCGATTCGTGTCACAGCATCGCCTGGATTCGGACTCTGCGCTGGCAACCTTAGCACTACAAGCCGCACATCCATGACACCTTTTTTACCCTTTGTGATGCTTCATTGATGCAAACAAACAGGACATGTTAGGACATGCTCTATTCCAAGTGACTGGGGCATGCCCCTCTTGAAGCTCTGAATGGCCAGAACCTCGGTCGTCTACAGAGACTACGTGACTGCGTGCGACTCTAAACCCTAAACCCTAAACTCTTTTGCAACTGACCCGAAACCCTAAACCCTAAACGCCCTACACCCTAAACCCTAAAACCTAATCTGCAGCAACACGAAGCAGTAGCCGCATGCGACTCGCAGCTTTGCAAACCATACATGGTGCAAGTAAGGGTTGAGGTTTGAGGATCAAATCAGCTGCTGCCAAAGTGCAACATAGAACTGTTGGTCCATGGATCGCATCTCCGATATTCCTGGGCGATTGAGGAACCATTGCGCCGTCCGGCGACCAGACTCCAACCTGCAAGTCATTGCAAGATGCAGGCAAGATGTATCCAACATCTGACCTCTCCTTCACAATGAATAGATCTTGCAGCATGTGCAGGAATCTGGTCTCACATCTTCGAGTCTACCAGGTCGCTTGTCATCTTAATGTGAGGCAATTCGCATGATCTGTCGCATCAGGCTGTGGAATAACAGACAGATCAAGCACCATACAAGTATGTAGAAGACATTGTCTCAAGTTCCACTCACTTGTATGGATGGCTCCATGGCCGAGGCGCAACATCATGTAGTGGATCTTCGCCCAATTGGCAAACTTGTCTTCGGGCACGCGAAGCACACAATTCACCAGGAACTTATCAGGCTCTTCTTGAGGATGGCATACCTAGGCAAGCTGACGCATAACAGGTCGCAGTGCACAAGGTGCTACTCTTAAATTTTTCATTTCACCATCGGATCAGAATGCGTCTCACTCTCACACAGTCTCTACGCAAAGCCTCGACATGCTGGACCAGCCAAGGAGCCAGCAGTCCCTCAAGCGGCTCGGACTGATCGAAAAATGCGCAGGCGCTGTCCCCACGCTCAGGATAGTCTCGTCGCACCTGTAAGCACAAGGAGTCAGCATAGTAAGCCGTGTTTTTTTAAAGAAGTTCGGGGATTACATGAGTCTTATTGAGTTTTGCTGAGACACCCTCTGATGCAGTTCGGTCTGCTTGCTCGGGTCATAGAAGAAGTAGTTCATGAAGTGGCCAGCAAGGTCGCCGAACAGGACGCTGCAAAGCCGGAGCAAGCGCCACGAGGCCCAACGCTTTACAACAGCATCTCCGGGAGCCAGCCTGACAAAACGTTCAAACGTCTGCTTCTAAAAACTCAAAGCATTCTCATCATTCTTTACAGTAGGCAGATTCAAGTAAAGCCTCCAGTCGGGTGTACAAGGGAACGTTGCCGATTTCCATTTCTTGTGGTACACAGGCCCTATGCTGTAAAAATTGCAAGTCACGTTGGGCAGCCTCACACCACTGTCCACCCAGACCCCAGGCCCTTAGGCGTTTGGGGTGAAAGAACCCGACCTCCCTCCTTTCTCCCGCTCCCTCGAATTGAAAAGTGGCATTCGAGGAATGTTTTTCAAGAAAAGTCCCAAAGCAACTACCCCAAGAGCTTACCCCAAACATCCCCAAACATTTCAACACGGCAGCTCTCCACACACAAAAAGGAAAGATGATTGCCATTACCTTCTGAGATGAGTAAAGAATCCACGGCCGGGCGCTCTAGACCGGATGGAAGTTGCATCCGGGGCTAGAGTCGGTCGGCTGTGGCAGGCGGAAGCCGGATGAGATGAGTCCGGAGTCCGGAGAACCGATGACGGTTTCAAGCATCGCGTACGCCCGTTCCTAAACAAGCGCCCGAAATCCGAGCAAGCATCGGGAAAACATATGCAGGAACCCCTTAGCGGCAGCGTCGACGCACCGTTTGGGGAAACTCAAGTGCTGAATTTTGCCAAGTAAGAACATGGATCTGAACATGAATCTGCACGCATCCCGTTTCTCCCCGCTTCTAGACGCGATCCTTCGGTGTCCGACATCTCCCAACGTAGCAGGGCTTGACAACAGTGAAGTCCCACATGCACGGCGAGGTACTGCAGCTCTCGAGACGTACGGATTCATGCCACGAGGCTCTGCAGCTTTCGCAACACGAGAAACACATGTGCTGCGAGCCGAGCGAAAACAGCCCAGACACCCAAAAGTCACCACAATGTGAGCCCGGACATTCACAAGCTGCGAAAGTTGCGAATCTCGCGAGGCCCGCATGTCGCAAAGCGATGACAGTTCGCTGTGGCACAGCTGTGGCCACTATCCTGTGGCATTGCAGGCCTGCTGAACTGCTGAACTAGTTGGCTTGGCCGTGTTTCGTGCAATGGCCGTGTTTCGTGTAACACCTCTTTGCCAACAGATCCGCTCCTTTAAATGCCAGAACCCCAAACAAACCGAACTCAAAAAGAGCCTCTAGGGCTTCTAGGCCCTCTAGGGATGGGAGAGTGGGTAATAGGCTGTCCAAGCCTGTAGCTGGTCTACAGGGTGTCTGGGGCTTTCGGGCTCTCTCTGTCAAGCACACTCACTCCGCAAAGCTACAGAGTGAAGACGTCAGCTTAACGTACTCAAAAACCCGCCCAAGCCGTATAGGTGCATAATCCCTCCTGCAACGATAATCCCTCCTTTAGCCCTCACACACTGACAGGATGCACGCGGCTGCCGTTGTCTTTCCCCAACCCATCCCCAACCCTCCCTCCCCACTAAAGCAAGACTTCATCTTCGGCCAAGGGACTGGTTAAGCACTTCGAAGCTGGAGCCAGGACTTGGATCAGCACTGTGCTGCCAAGCCCGCACCTCAGGTCGGACAAGCACACCTGCGGTGTTCTCAGGGGCATCGGTGATTGTGATGTCCTGCAATGCAAAGTCTGAGTCAGGATATGTTAAAGAGTCAAGGGACTTCAAGCCTCAGGCACGAGATCTCTCACAGCTCAGTCCTGGTAGGAAAACTTGATGAGGTGGCCACCCCAAGGACTCACACAATGTGAGAGTGTTGACAAAGGCCTCGCCAAGCTGATCTCCCAGCCGTCCTGGGAAAGCAGACCTGGGGCCAGATGGAACCAATCCTCAACGCGCTCCGGACGGACGGCCATGGCGATGCCCTGATTCGCACTCAAATTTACCAAGAGTGCTGAGATGTGAACCTCTTTTGGGCAATCACGCTGCTGATGGCAAGCACTCCAATGCATGCAGTAATGCGCTCAAACCATGGCAGACTCATGCACGCACAACTTCATCTGCGGCAGATTAATTCATCGCTGTCGCTCCTCGACATCCACATACGCACGCTGTCGCCAACATCCTGTGTCCGGCTGACCCTTCGGAGGTCGAACTTTCAATGAGGCCTCGATGCATCACGATGAGAAAGCACTCAAATGCATGTCACGCGGAGGACACATGTGTCACACATGGCTTATATCGCAACGCAAATATACGCATATCAAACATGTGTAGATATGTAAAGAAATAAAGAAACAAATGCGTAAGCAAATAAACCTATACATATATATATATATAATTATATATACATACATGAGAGAGTGTGTGTGTGTGTATATCTGCATATGTATAGAGGAAAATGTCCAAAACATGGGCTTGAAAGTCATGGGGTTCTGCTGCACTGTCGTAAAGGACGTTTGCGCCGCTCAACAGTTGATGAGCACGGGCATCGAGGCCGGGTGGCCTGGGAAGGTGCCCCAACACTTTCACATGCCTGCTATCCGCATTAGTTTTTAGATCTCTCCAGAACAACAAAGAAGTCAGGATCACGGGTTAAATCCTTGGTCACCTGAGCCATTTAGCCTCTCTGATCTCCTGAGACCTCCACCTCTTCTTTTGTGCGGGTACGTGCCAAGGAACTTCAGTGAGCTCTAGCCGCCAGCCACCATTCTTTCTAGTTCCAAAGCAATTATTGCTAGTGTCGACGTCATACCTGTCCGGTGAATGGTTATGCTCTTGAACTGGCGAAATGCGTCGCAGCTGCATTCAGCCACGGGTCTTCTGGTCCGGCCGACGTCCGCAGGCAGGAGTCTCACAATCTTCAGATCAATCAAAAGTCGGTCGCAATTTCTGAGTCAAGGACCCAGGTCGTAATACCCGAATCCGCACCAGGATATAGAAACGACTCATCTACTACGAAGAAGGATGTACGAAATTCACTGCTGACCGGTACTTTGTCAAGGAGTGCGTCGGCCTTTTGCAGGAGAACTCTGGAGGGCAGCGCTGATGCTGCAGGCCAGGCTTCCGAGGCTGGACCCTTGGCATTGGCTCCGGGCTGAGAGAGAGAGAAAAGCTTGCTGGCAACAAGCAGAACCCACATTCATTGTGCGGGCCACGCCGCGTCCATGGCTTGCAGTCCGACGGATGGCACTTCCAGTACCTGAAAGACCTTGGCTGCCAGCAAGCTAAGGGGGCGTGCAACTTTTATTCTTGAGGAAGCCAGCGGCGGTGGAGCATGCGGCATGTCTTGTTCTTTTACCTGCTCTTTCGTCAGGATGCGCAGTACCTAGGAATAGCAGCATTAACAGGCGATGGGACAGCGCAGCTGTGCTTTGCAAGTTGCTGGATTTGAAAGATGCAGTGGCACCGTCGGCAGAAGCACTTCGCCGGGAGGAGCCTTACAAAGTACTTTCTTTTCTTCAGTGGAATTCAACTTGGACTCTGCGGCCATGGATGCGGCCAGTACTTCGTGCACCCCTTCAGGATTCATGGACATCCGCTACGCCACCAGGACTGTTTGGATGCCGGGATCGACCTGCCCTCACAGCCTAGACGTGGAGCAGGAGGGGGATGCAAACGGATCTTGATGTTCTACTCCCACAACCAGGGCAGGGTTTTGAACGAATGCAATTGCATCGTTTGGATATGTTGGGATGATCGTGTCTGCTGACATCTGTGTTCGCCAGTGCTGCAAAGAAGAAATAAGTTGCTCAGGAGAGGCGTATTGTGAAGGTCGTGTTCTTGCGTTTGCTGTGCTCCACAGTGTTTTCAGGTTTGCAGCCGTGCTCTGCCGAGCTTGGAGGAGGCACGTTTTGAGCGTTGTATAGCGTTGTGCTTGTCGTGCTTGTGAGCATTGCGGTGTGGTCATTCCGAGGGCTGGGGGGTGGTGGGAGGCTTGCACAAAAGAAGGCTTCCGTCGGTTGTGAGTTTGCTGGTGGTGGGAATGGACCATGAGGGGTGTGGCCTACAACAAAAAAAACTTTTTTGGCCCGGAAGATTCGGGGAGAGTCATGGAGAAGCCGGCGTACTCAATCGGGGAGGGAATATTCGAGAAACACCAAGCTCCCGAAAGCCCTTGAATTCTACTTTCGCGTACCCATCGCGAACTTTCGTGGAGAAACCGCTACCCGGAGCTCTCAAGTGAGCCTTAATCCCTTGGAACTTCAAGGCTGAAACCCGGAGAACAGAGCTCCTTCAATCAGAAGCCCACCCCGACTCTCCATGATTGTCCTCTTTCCTTCAGCATGACTTCCCTTGCTGCGTCGTGTGGACATGCTTGCGCACGCAGCTTTGCAAAGTTGCAAAGGAATTTCCGTTTGAGCAAAGGGCCCGAAGATGACAGTCCCAATCCCAATTCGCAGTCGGCAGCTTCAAACCTGGGTCAACTTCAAGTGCTCATCTTTCTGTTGCTGCCTACCTTGCATTGCGGAGTTAGGGATCTTTGCACGCAGCGAGCTCAAGCGCACAGAGGCAGGGCCCTCCTTTGCAAATCCAAGAGACGGAGGCAACGTCGGTAACATCTCAGCTGCTTTCTTAAGGTCTTTGTCAGGCAGCGCAGGCCGAGGCGGCAGCGACATTGTCAGAAGTTCCAACACATCCATGAGGGAGGTCTCGAAGGCATGCGAAGCCGCCAATGGCTGCTAACTAGGCTATTGCAAAAGACTGCTTTGCTCTTTCCTTGTTGTATGGCACTCCGTTTATGCGCCTGCGTAGGGTTACACGGAATGGCACTCCAAGCCAGCCACGAGCCGCCACATATCAAACCATGCATGGAATTGCATGCCTGGAGCTCGAATTCCTAGTTGAAAAGCTTCACAATGATTGCACAGCAGCTGTACCGTTCCAGCGTCTGTGACTGTGCGTTTCCAAGAAATACACCACCGCAGCTCGTGTGAAAGTCCTGCCCTTCTTCGGACAGGCGAATGGTCCGCACCGGCCCAGACCTCAAGTGAACAGTCGTCGCACGCGATTTTGGATCAACAGTACAGTCTCATTCGCACTGGTTAGTTCATTAATGCTAGGTTTGCTTCTGCTCTGCAAAGTCGGGCTGCACGGCCCTTTTGATGCAACTGATCTTCAGGCGTCTCGCCTACTCTCTGTACACCGGCCAGAGCAAGCCCGTAGAGCATGAGCGCTCACCGAACACTACCAGCTTCTTTGCCTGCTGCTACCACTTTGGCAGTGCTGCAGTTGGGTGCTAGCAGCTGCTGACCAATTGCTGAGATGCAGCTCCGTCGCACATGCATAGTGGCAAGGCAACAGACGGGAAGCCGAGAATGCAAAGCGTGCCCAATGCACAAATGCACAGCGTCCTTCTAAAACCGAGATGGCCACTGTGAGACCGCTTTCAGAGCGCTTTCAGAAGTGCTTCGTAAGCATTTTGAAGAGCCTATGTTGACACTGGGATAGAGGCTTTCCGGAGTCCCATCTAGCGAATTTATATACAGTAGCCCTTGATATGCCTGGGCAGCTGTCACGCCTGCCCAAGTTCTAGACGCTCTGGTAGCTCTATTTTCCATCATATTCCATATGTTTCGGCAAAGTGCCTGGAAGGCTGAAGTCGATCCTCCTGTCAGCCGGCAGGGTGCCTTTGCATGACATGCTGAGGTTGACAAGATGAGCCCACGTCCTTTGTCTGGATGCTGTTGAAGTGCGAGTCTACCTTGCCATAGAGCGGGCCCGAACTAAACAGATGTTGTTGATGTCTTTGCAAGAGCTCTTGCGCAAACGCTTCTACGTGATAAGCTTTCAGCACAAGCCAAGTTTCATTCAATACTCTGATTTCAGCCGGCTGTGTCAAAGCAACCAAGAGTCGATAGGCACTACGTAAAGCATCCGAAGTCGGAAGAGACGACGTTGGCAGCTCCAAGACCTGGTGGCCAGAGGGGTGCATCTTCAAGTTTCCAACTTTCGTAGAACCAGTGTGTGCACAACATGTTGTGCCAAAGACCCTGCAGACCCTGCAGGGCCAGAGCCTGTCGACTTATAAAATGGTACCCAAGTAGTGCTTGCACTGTGGGGCGAACAAGGATGATGTTAACCTGGCGGGTTGCCGCACGTGCGTGGAGTCTCGAACATTCGTGAGCCTCTCGGTGTTTCCTCAGGGCCTACACATGTTAAGAGGTGTCCGAAGATCGCGAACAGCATGCTGTTGTGATTTGTGTTATGTTGGCTCTCGCATCCGTTCTAAGGGGATTCTTGCGTTTCGTCTCGGTCCCTTGCGCCAAGCAGAAATGCCGAGCACATCGTTTTTGTGAGGGCCCTTGGAGTGCCCACGGAATGCTTTCTTTTTGGGGAGTCATCTTGGAGAGCTTTTTTGGGTGGTCATGGTGGAGTGTCTTTTTCACGCTCTTGGCGTGTTTTGGGGGTATTTTGGAATGCCTTTGAAGTGGTCTTACACTGTTTAGGGCCGAACACTTCACCGAACACTACTTTGCGGTTGAGCGTTTCTGCGTCAGCTTGTGCATTTGCATCCTTTCATGTCATGCTCATGTTCGAACACCTTTGCGCACGAGCCCTCTTCGTTGCTTCCCACACCAGCCATAACCTCTACACGACTTGAAATTTGAAAGCTTGCAGCTTGACGTCGTCAACGATCGAACAGTAGTTTCCGCACATGGGTGGGCTAAATCTTGCACCCCCTGTATAAGAGACAAGATTTTGGTCGTTGGAACAAGTCGGTGTCGAAGGCTTGCCAGAGCCGATGCTAAAAAGGGGGTGCGGGGAGCTGACCAGATGGACGGCAGTGGCATTGAACACCTTCCATACCGCAGTGCTTTGATTTGCTGGTTCCTTTGGACCAGGCCTGCAGGTGCTGCTGCAACGTGGGGCTGAGGGAAGGTTGCGGTGCCTGCCGAGCGCCACAAAGTCCGGCATAGAGCCCATCTTCCGGGTCAAATGATACTGTATGACAAACAGGCATAAACAGGCCAACCTTTTCAGCAATATCAAGCATGACCGTATCCATTTGGGCGTGGGCCTGGGCCTGGGCCCCAGCACCAGGAAAGCTGCCCGCATAATATGCACCTGCCTGATCAAGCTTGCTTGCAGCTGTTACCCCAGCCATGCGCTTAGTCTAGCTGCACAAGATCTAGATGGACCAGTCATGACGTTTCGTCCTCTTGTTCATGCAGCCAAGACACATTCCTCCCATTCCAGCCTTGCCCTTAGGCGAACTGCTGCAGCACTGCATTGCATAGCTCAAAAGGGTCTTCATGTAAAAAGTGTAATTAACAATAAAAGAGTATCACAAAAAGGTCTTCATGCAAAAAGTGTAACTAACAATAAGAAGAGTATCAAAACTGCAAACAAGACTACGCGTACTCTGGGAATTCCAGATAAGATGTGGAAGAGCTGCCCGTGAACTCAGGAAGGGGGCGAAAAAGCACGCCCGCTGCACTCCCGGCTACGAAGCCAAAACAACCCTCCTCAAAAAGCCTGTTGTTATGAATGACTCACGGGCCGAGCAAGAAATCTGGACGTCCGGGGGGGCCTCTGAGAGCATCACACGCCTGTCGCAAGCTTATCAAGAGCCTGGATAAGGATGGAAGCTCACAATAGCTCAACGTGACCCCATCCACTATGAGCTTATCCCACTAAAGCTGCCGAGAAACGACGCCATGACTCCTCAGGATCGCTTGCTCTCGAAGTGCCTGGTGAAGCCATGCCGGCGCAGCAGATGATGCAACGAAGATCTCATGCCCCGCCATAACGCTCTGGCTATGGCCTTCCGGTCCCTGCCACTTGGCACTTTGCTCTGCAAAGAAATGGTGCAGCTTCTGTCGGCAGGCCTTCTTCAGCAGCAACAAAATCATGCCGCGACGTGTTGTGCCAAGGCTGCGTGGTCAATTCAATTCGGCGCGCCTCCGCTCGCGCAGCTGCTTGAGGGATTCCTCCGCTCTCGACTTCATCATTGCCATTACTAGCTAAGCAAGGAAATGTGTTGGAAGATTGCCGCCTCCAAGAAGCTCCGCAGTCTCCCAGCTACTTGCAGCCTCCCGTATCACAGATATCGCAAGGCGACTATGGCTGGCGACCGTTGACTTCAGGGAAAGGACGCCGGCCTCTGCCAAGAAGCCCAGCTGCTCAGCAGCTTCCCCTCACAGCGACACAAACTGCAGGACACAACGCAAGCGGCGCAATGCCTGTGGCACTCCTTGACTGCGAAATGCCGATGACCGATCATCAGACAAAAGGACAGCATCATGAAGGGCAGCTTGGCTATCATACTGAACTGCGAGAACTCCGGAGAACTGCAAAACATCACACATGGGGGGGGGTTGCCCTCGGCCATCGGCCTTCGGCCGCCCTTAAGCTGACACGATCTAGTCTCGTCGGCTAAGTCGAGTCGACCAGAGCGCCTCTTGCTGCGTGGGCCCTGGCCAGGCTCGGAATTAGCGCCAGGGCATCGCTGGCGTCTGCAAAGGCATCCTCAAAACTCGAAACGCCGGTTCTGTCAAGTTGTGACCACTCAAAGCCACTCTCGTCCCAGGTCCAATCCACCCCCGGCTTTGGCCAGGGATCCTGCCACTGCCCGAGCTGGACATGAAGCTCGGCGCGGAGGCAAAGAGCTTCTGCACGCGAAGCCTTGCAAGCTCAGCAAAGCTAGAAGCCGTTACAGAAGCAAAGCTTGTGAATTCCTATGTGAGGCGGGCGAACACCAAACCAATGCCTGACAGCTCCCGTAAGGATCAGCAGCCAGATGACTACGCGACTCAAGCAGAACAACTACATCAAGCATTTTTCGCTGCAACAGTGTCAAAATGTGTCGAGCCCGAGCGGGAGCTGCACAGCCAATTTTAACAACAGCCAGCACGGACATGAGTCAAGCTGGCCTCCCCCAAGTCTCAAGAGTCGTCTGCGCTCGAAGTCGGCCGGCCCAACCATGGGAACACGAGAAACGGTCCAAGAAAAGGTCAAAAACACCGACATTCTCCTTCAAGAAGTCCCAGAGCCCAGAGCACAGCAGCTTTCCCCACGCAAAACACAAAGATGATTACCATTAAGAGATCTTTAAAAAATCACAGCCGGGCACTCGGATGAGATGAGTCAGGAATCGCATTCGTGCATATCATGTGCCAGGGATGGCGTCAGCGGCCCGCGCCCAAAATGCGAGCACCGAGCAGACCTCGAGAAAAGACCATGGTCCGTAGCGGCCGCGTCGCCCTCTTACCCTTTTCGTTGGAACCCCCTAATCAGTATCGACACACCGTTTGGGGAAAAACAAGGAAAACTATGTTGCCAAAGAACATACATCTGAACGCACATCCCCGCGAATACTAAAATAGCGTGAAGATTTCTATGGAAAGATAATTATCCTCAATCTATATTTTCTTCCCATTCATGTCGGCTTCTCTTCTTTCTCACCCCGTTTATCCCCCCGCTTCTAGACACGATCCTTCGGACTTTCGGACATCTTCCGACGTAGCAGGCTTTGGCAACGTGACGGCACATGTACTGCGAGGCTCCGAAGCTCTCGGAGGTGCAGACGTCGGATTCATGCCACCAGGCCCTGCAGCTTTCGCATCGCGTTTCGTGAGCCCAGAAGTCCAAAAGCGAATACGGTTTCGAGGATGGCGCCCGCCCATTTACTTCCGCGCCTTGGCCTGAGCATCATTGTCCAAAATGTAAGCAGGTCTTGCGAAAAGGTTCACCATGGCGCTTGGAGTGAAATGCTTTGTAAGCCAGTAGGCTGATTTGCTGATTTGGACGTGTCGTCCAGGACGATGTCCGGTGCTTTGTTTTTGTTTACCACGATGTTGATCTTGGCATCCGTGTCGGTTAGGCCGTTGGCTTCGAAGTAGAGTTGTTGTAGGAAAGCTGTCCAGATCTGATGGTACTTGTGCAGGTATCTGTCCGCATGCTTTCAATGCATCTTTCGTTGTTTCAAAACGCCGGTGAGCTCTTGGTCTCCCAACTCTTCTGAAAAATTACTTAGTCTGTCCATAATGATACGAACAAGCTCACATGCGAGTGCTGCCAAGTGCTCCGCATCAATGTGGTTTTGCTGTACGACATGCTTTGCAAGAAGAATCTCCGGCCTCATTATCTGTGGCGGCTTGGATGGCCTCGGCATCCGGAGCAAGTGAGACCCGCAAAGCGACTCTTTCAGCCTTGAAGAAGAGGCCCTGGCCTCTGAGAGGAGCATGACTGCACGTGGGAGCTGGCCCAGCTGAACAGCACCAGCAGCACGGCGCATGGGAGACTCCACACCTGGGCTCTTGCCCAGACCGCTGACACATGCAACTGCTAAAGCACTTTTAAACCCTACAATGCCACAAATTACGAATATGTTAGAGGCATTGTCTTGCTGTGGCACGAGCACGCCGCGCCGCCTCTTCGCGGCGGGATGCATGCGCGGCAGCGGAGAGCTGAAGCACACATGCAGACGAGCTGACAGCAGCCTGAGGGCAGCCACCATGACTCAGATGTCTTCATCTGCTTTGAAGCATGCTCGAGTCGAGGAGCCAGGCCAGCAGTCGCGGTGCATGTGTACTGGCCTGGCAGCTGACTTGCTTCTTTACTTGGTGGAACACATTCGGTTCGGGGCACAAGAGGGTGGACGAGGTAAACGCTCTGAACTCTGAACATGCCTGGCTACCCCAGTAGGGTGTGCTGCCACTGGCTTCGTGCCATGCCAGCGCAACACGTGAAGGCTTCTGAGCGAGACAGTTGTGACAAGCAAGCCTACAGTTGGAGACATATCAGTTGTCACACAAAGAAAGGCGACCGGCGGGTCAAACAAACGAAAACCACATCACATACCTCAAAAAACGAATTCTGTACAGCCCAGTTGGTTTGGAATGATTTTGGGTGCTGTGCGTCACAGTGGTACACGTTCATGATCAGGTGGCATGTCCCTTCCTATGTCATCACGAGAACTGGCCGGCACCTTTCCCAAGCCTTGGGCAAACAACAGATTCCTTGCGATTCCTCCCATCCAATTTGTGCCAGACCCTTTATTTTCTATTTAAATTTGGAGATACTGATACTTGAAAATGTTCCATAGACCGTACCACCGCTTCTTCGTTCAGGCTGCCGCGAATGCTTTTTGGCTCAGAACTTGTGGCACCTTCATCAGCGGGCGTTCCGCTCACCACCAGCCGGGGGCGCTCAGCTCTGTGAAGTGGAACTGAGTCCTTGTACCACTGATAACCTTAGTTGCTCGGAAGTGTCAAGTTGTTTCCCTCTGTAGCGGTGCCCGCTGTGTAGGTTGCAGATGGTTGCGGACCCGGATTTTTTATTTCAGATGGCACCCGACAAACAGCCTCCTCCACCAGCTTTCGCCAGGGTGCGAACGGTGCCCTGGAGGCTGACAGCCAGACATGTTAGAGAAGCTGTGCCTGCCCCAATCTCCACACCTAGAGGGCAAGCACGCAGGGGGTCGTGCATTGTGCATTCTTGTGGTGAGCCACTGCTTTGGTTCGGGGAGGCTGCCCTTCTAGCCCAGGCACAGGCTGGTGGCTGTCGCAGGAACACCGGCTCTGACAAACCCAAGTTCGAGGCCTCTCCAAGGCTTTCGCGGATCCACGTCGGCTGTGCACTTGCAAAGTGAATGCGAGCTGCAACGCAACATGTAGCAACGTCAAGCCCAAGCCTGGAGAACTTTTTCGAGGCTTTGCCTGGGGCCACTCTGCACGCGCCATGGAGCAGTCTGGACACAACATTCGTCACTAGACAACACATGAGCTGCAGCTGCTGTGCAGGGGTGAATAACATTGAATAACTCAGAGCAAGCCCTTTAAACTGCCTGATGGACTCATCAACCTGGCAGCCTGCAGGCACTGCCCATACTGCACACTACACTACTACCGCTATGCGCAGCGCTCAAGATCTCCTCAACAGCGCAAGTGCCTTTTGCCAGCAAGTTCAGGTCAGAAGCACCAACAAGCGGACGCAAAAGGGACCTGGCATTGTCAAACCATCGATCAAGGCATCTGGCATCAGTGGCCGCGCCCCTTGTCCCAAACAAGCCAGGACGACAAGGCTGTTACGACATCGGCTGTCTCGGGATGACAGCGAGCACAGCGCAGTTCGTTTGAAAGCTCCTCTTGGAAAGGCAGGAGTCCCTGATCTAGTTGGTTCGGCGTACGGAAAAACTGCTTGTTGCTTGTTGCATGTCTTGCAGGGGGGTTTAGCGGATGTCCTGCAAAGCCTTGCATTCGACGCACGCCACTTCTGGCTGCGCCTGAAGAAGGCAGCAACTTAAAATGGCGCAGCTAGGAACACAGGCATTCACGCGCCTGCGCATTCTGCTCGGCCTCGCCTAGAAACGTTACGTCCCGTGGCCAGTCAGCAAGTTGAGGGGACTCCGCAGCATCGGAAGATCGCACGAAAGACTCCAAAGCTCCTGCCTCAGGCTTGCACAATTACTTGTGCTTGCAGCTGGGCTCATCAGCTCACACTCTCAAGAACACGTCCCGGTGCCTTAGGCAGGTCTTTGGCGAAATACCTTGTGACAGGTTCGTGAGCAAGCAGCAAGCAGCAAGCAGCTACTGGTAGCAGCTACTGGTACTGTAGCAGCTAGCAGCAAATAGCACCACACCTGCCATGGCCTAGATCGTAAAATGGAACAATAACCCCTCCCCCCTGCAACTTCAGCTGCCAGCAAGGGGAGCTTCCGAATCTGGCAGAGAAGAACAGCCACGTCTCCGAGGCGTCTCCTTAGCTGAAGCGACTGACAAGGCGTCGTAGCAGCAAGCCAAGTTGCGCGAATGCTTTTTGGTTCCTTCGGTGAAGGCCCAGCCAGCTGCTGCAGAGGCACTCTTCACATAAGCCGGGCGCCCTTCGAATTGGTCGGTCTCCACGTACACGCCGCGGATGTTAGGGTATCGACTGGCCACTTTGAGTTGCATGGCTAGCAGCGGCTAGCCACTGCCTCAAGTCTGAGCAGGCCTTTTGACATGTTTTGATGCGTTGGATTGCTTCTTTATGTGGGGACTCATCAATCTGAAACATGGCCTCGGCAGGTCTTGTTACTCGGGGTGTTCTAGCCTCTTGGCACACCCCCTGGGAGAACCTGCTTGAATGTCAGCATGGCATCCTATAGCGTCAAGGGTACCATGTCGGGCATGGTCGGGGTTGTCTCTTGGAGCCAAAAAAAACAAAGTTTCCAAAGCATGCTCCTGCACCTCCATGAGGATCCAAACTCAGACGAACAGTTGATGCAAGCGCAAACCACGAACGTCTATGAATATATACGCCATGATCCATGGTCAACTGATAGCAACTGCTTTTTTCGTCTGATCTCTCAGGACGGACGTACTCTGTCGCTTGTGAACACGTATGTATCCGAGGTGGGGCACCTTGACCCAACTAGCTCATAGCATCATTTGCCGCCGATCCTTTCTCGGCCCATGCTTGCAACACATCAATGGTCAAGGTCTTTGGAGTATCGTCTTGCCATATGCAGGCAGCTTTGCGCGAGTCCGGCAGCTGAGTTCTGAGAGCGGACACGCCTTTGCACATTTTGAGGGCATCCGCTGGAAAATGGGAAATACAATCTCCCCGGAGAACGCTTCAGCAAGCGTGGAGGAGAGACGGTGGAAACCAATCTCCATGTTCGTTGTACTATAGGGACTCACTGGTGAATCTGTCTTGCATTTCTCTTGTGTTTCACGGACGCTTGCGCTACAGCGTGCTCGAGCACGGACTAAGACTGAGAGGACGGCTGTCCATGCCACCAATGTGGCGAGACCCCCTTGCGTTGGCACGTCTTCTTTCGTACCGGAACATGACCCATGTATACTCCCCTGAAGTTCTTGCTTGATTGATTTATTTTCACAGATTACAAGATATATAAGATATGTAACAAAGGCAAGGTCGTCAGTGGCGGAGCAAAATCAGCAAACTTTCAACTCCGACATCTGCGGACAGAAAGCGGCTCAAGACATCCCAGGAAATTGGAGATGCTCACCATGGGTTTCTGGAAGCAATGCAACGCAATACAAAGCTACTGTATTCGCCTATGGTCCAGCTGTGCTTGATAGTAGGTGGGGATCCACTGCTTCTTGTGGCCACATGTGTCACTTGGCTTGTGACTACACGGTGATCCCATCGCGGGTGAACGGGTTCGGGCAGTCTTGGGCTGCAGGGTTTAGGGCTTCAGGGTCAGCATGGGTCAGCACAGCCACAAAGGCCTGTAGAACGACGGCAGTCGCAAATGAAACGGTCAAGTGACAAGGGCTTGCAGTCGCAAGTCGCCGTAGATCCCATTCATTCCGTTAAGAGAGTTGCAGTTCTTAGTCTGAGTGAAATCACGTCTGCCCATGGTCTGGAGTCCCCGATCAACCTGAGTCGTCGCGCTTCGGAGCCCGTCGGTCCTCCGCCTGTCAGGAACTCACTTCGACTGACTCGCCTCTGTTAGAGAAGTTCATCGGCAAACTCAATTTCTTAAAGCCTTGCATGCCGATGCAGCCCTGCTGAACATGGGTGAGTTGGAAAGTGATGCGTTTCAGAGACTTGGCAACTCAGCTGATCCCCAGTCATCAGGCCTCTTCCGGAACAGCGGATTCTTTTGGCCTCAAGGTCTCCTCTATTCTTCTCTTGATCTCACCTTAGTGGTAAGCTTCGCTGAGCCTGCAAGTTCCTGAAACCCCGCAAACTTTCCACGAACGTGCTGGAACAGACGCGTAAGACAGAACCAAAACCTCTCGAATTTATGGCTTTCGCCGGTTTCGCCCGAGTTTCCAAAGCTGACGAGCTCTGCGGCGCCACTGCCATCATCAGTACAACACCTACCAAGACAGATACGTCAGCAAATCCAAGGTCGGATGAGCAGAGCCCTTTCATGTCGGCCTGACTGAGTTGTAATGCTGTCCGGCGTGGTGCGTCGGATGAAAAGATAACCTTGGGCTTGGCCCTAATTGTACTTCAACCTAATTGTCTTTGCAACGTTGTTGAATGCTGTCTCACACCCTTCAGCTGTGCAGAGCACCCGAAACCGAGGGGCTGCACACAGCGTGCATCCTCTGAGCTTGCAGTGATCTCGACTGCGGACCGCAGGATCTGGTCAGGCTTGCCAGATGCTTGCGATGGCTGGTAGATGACCTGAGAGATTTTTAAGGCCGGGTTGGACAGCCTGTGCTTGCATCGGCAGTACGTTGGTCCGAAAGCTCAGGTGTCCAGTTCTTGTACAATCTTCAAAAGACTCGGAACTCATATGTCGTCTGGGGCCGACTGACTCCAGTCCGAATGGAGCCAACTATCAGGGCACCAATTGCAATCCAGTTCAACGGTCATCCTATCGAAAACTGAGGCATTGCGACGTAGGAGGTGCCAGTGGACTGTCGGCACTACTACAATTTAAAAAAAGAGAAACTTCGCGACTCGGATGCAGCAAACATAACAAAATCGTATCAACCAAGTTGCAGCGTTGACTCCGTTCAATCTTGCCAGCGCCTGAACCTGCCAGGCATAGCAGAATGGCAAGGCGAAAGTGTTCCAAAAGGCCTCAAAGCAAATTATCCGTCCTTCACCCCACCCCTCCCCACCCCGGCCCACCCCACTATAAAGTGAGCTCAGGTGCCTCTACGTGGCCTCCCCAGGTGCACTTCTGGCGCATGCGACCTTGGCCGACTCAATTGAATTCACTGCCCACACTGCCCACACTGCCCATGGCCCATCCCATACCACAAATGCCCGGAACTGCCACGCTTGCCACTGGTACTCCAATGAGCAGGCGAGCTGCTGCAATAGCCCTCGAAGTCTTCCTTGGCTGCCCAAAGGAAAGGTATCGCAATAAGCTTTAACGTACGGCATGGTTCGTAGATGACACCTCAGCACGACACGATGCCAGCCCGGCTCCTGTTTTCCGAATCTGCTCGGCCCGCTGCTTCAGCAGTTTCAGACAGCGGGTATCGGCGGGTTACAAGCTTCCACCAAGGGTTGCTTGTGCTGAGCTTGGTTTGGAGGAGGTCGCCAACTCTTCGAGAACACTTGGGTTTAAACAGATCACGTACTTTGCGAAGGCGGGGGCTACACAACTGTGGATGCGGGAACTTCCTTCTTGCCGTCCTCTTTGCGGCCAAAAGCGGCCGCCTAGACCTGCTCAATCAAAGTTTCTCGGAGTTGCACGTGACCCTCTCCAGTTGTTCCAGCCGACGCCTGATAGTTAAAATGCGGATACCACCATGCCCTGGATCGGCGGCGCATGATGCCCGTGTAGTTGACCTACACCTATGCCTTGCAAGTGCTGTCAGGTCGATCCAGGCATGTGTCGTAGGCCGTCTGATGTCGTTGTGACATCACAGTCCACGCATCAAATCAAGCGTAGCATCCCTCCAGCCCGTTCGTGAGTAGCACATACTGCAGAATATTGTAGCCATTGTAGCTTCTTGTTCGGGGCAATGTCTTTGACTTCGGACTTGGCAGATGATCTTGTGATCGATTTGCTCAATCATGTTCATACCCTCAACAAACTCCGTGCGGAATTCGCCGGAGCTTGTTGACAGGTTGATGACTCTACTGGGTCTGCTGCTCCTCATGGGATGGCGGCTTGGTCCAATCCCGGCTGTACATGTCTTCGGTTTGTCTGCTCCTAACACCATTAAGCATGTTCGAAAAAACGTGGCCCGCGTCAGAGGCACTCCGTAAGCGATGCCATTTAGCCAACGCTGCAGGCGATGATGTGCGCGGTACCCGAGTCCAGTCGGTGGAATAGACGTTCCTCAGCAAAACCGGGTTTCCTCAAATCACAGTACTTGCTTCGAGCAGTCAAGAACACACCTGGTCAGCTCGCGTCCAGCCGAGACTCTCTGTCTGCTTTGAGCGGACATCATCCAGCAAGGTGCCCATAGCATTGACAGTCCGAGCAAGGTTTCTGGCCCGCTGCCATCCATGAGAGCTGCTGGTGCTGCTAGTGGCTGGGTGGTCCTGCCATGTCATGTCGTTGAGTCGTTGTGTGACATTGGAGTGGCCCCTGCAACCGCGAACAATCACCTGACTGGCAGCTGAGCAAGCCTCCACCTGCTTCTGCTGCAAGTCCATGGATGCGCACTGCGTCGCCTGGGATTCTCAAAACGTGGCTGCAATCACGTCAAGCTACCACCATGCTGGCCTGCCGCGTGCTGTGCGTCCAGCGAAAAGCTACACTTCATTGGCACTTGTTCAGGAAGCGTGGTGGCAGTTGATCTGCAAACAGCACCAAGTCACAGAAGCATCCGACCAACTTCGTACACGCAAGGCTGCTCGAACGGGGGACTCGCTCTCGCAGGGGCGTCCACGAGCCTCACCTCATGTCATGTGTCCCGAAATCAACGAAACTGCTGATGCCCAGGTCAGGGCCCAATAAGCCTCAATAAGCCCATTTCAGCGTTGCAGCGACAGGACTCAACAGCTTAGCAAGCTCCTCCTCCTTCCTTCTACGTTCCGAACAGAAAGGACATGCCCTGCTAGCGAGCCATTTGTAATTCTCTCCCTGGCACGAACATCCCGCAGCAGCGATCGCATGGCAATCCCTGCTCGTGACAAGTTTCTCGCCCGTCGCCAGTTAGCCTCAATGCAGAAACCATGGGCGCCGAATAATATGCAAGTAGTGGTGTTGGGACATGTTGGGATGATTAACGCCAGCTAAGAAGGCGTGAGGTCTTCAAAAGCCTTGCAGGGAAAGAACAATCGCAAACGACCCCGAAAACGTGCATCACAAAGACTAGACTGACTTGACCTGGAGCGCAAGATATCAGATAACGTCAGATATACAGCGATATACATCTAATGAATTCGGGCCTTGTCGTTGTGACAGTGGGCGCAGCCGAGTTGGATCCATGTGTCTTGTCATCGTGCTAAAGCAAGCATCAAGTCACTTCCACCATTCAGTTTAATCGCTTCATCTACTGTTCCCGCCCCCCGTCTCCCGCAAGTGTTACTGTCAGAGTCTGTTCGAGCCCCTGCCTCCACATCCCTGGTTTCTTCTCGGCTTCTGGCTTCAACCTCGCCAGTGTCCTGGGTGGCGTCGGGGAATGTTCTCCAGAATGACCGGCTGCAGCTAGCAACTGTAGCAACCGTGCCTCTGTCTGGACACTCTTGGTATTTCGCTTCACGCAGTCCCAGGCCTCAACTCCGCAAGTCTCCGCTTGACATGTCCAAACAGAAGCAAACGAATGCAGCGGTAAGCAAGGGTAGGCGGCCCGGTAGGCACAGGGGAATTTTTGATAATTATTGCATCAGCAAGGATGCTCATCTGCTCATGTCCGACAAAGCTGCGTGAGCCAGCTGCAGCTCTTGATCAATGCATCGATTGTCAGGCACCGGGGAGTGACAGCCTGCAGCTTTAGACTTTCGCAGCAGCGTCAGCAGACAACAGGGTCGCACACTGTACGAGCTGGAGTCTCCAATCTCCACCTTCGGCCCTTTCCCGCTGCTCTGCTTCAGAACTACTCCGCGGCCCAGCAACCGTTCTTGCCATCGGTGTCTTGGAGTCCAGGTAGCTGCTCCACGCCGAGCAGAGATCCAAACTCTTCCTTCCAGAATGCGTCACAATGTGTCAGCCGCAAACCCCATACACTCCTTGCTCTGCACGAAGCCGACTTCGGATATCCAAGATGCTCTCTCTCGACAGCAGCAGCACTGAAGCTGCAGCTGTCCCATGGTCACCTTATCTTCTCAGGCTGCACTTAATTGAAGAAACCAAAACCAAGATAACAGCATTGGTCCGTGGCAATTGCCGGCATGACGCACATCACTTGCAGCTTAGTCGCAGGGAGAGGAACAGGACCGATCGTTGTTTGCCGACTTGCTTCGAGCCATCACAGCACCATATCTTGACACCCGAACAGTACTTTGCCCTCCCTCCACTACCATCAGGGTGCACCCTACATGTCGCCACACTTCATGCGATTGAAAATCCAATGCAGGAGCGCTACTTCAGTGGCTGCTGCCTGACACGTTCTCGGAGCGTACCCTGTACATATGAAAGAAGTTATGCATGCCACCAAGCTGCATCTATGAAAGGCTCGAAGTCATCTCTGTGGGCCTCCATGAAGTCTACGCAGCGCTCTCGCATCTGCGCCTCGGACGTTTTGTCAGTGCCCACGTGCACAGCACATGCTTGTACAACCTCCCTCTTTTGCTGTTCGGGTTTTGAGGTGCACTTGCTAGTCGCTTACACCAGCCATACTTCCACGCGTAGCCGACGTAACCATGCAAGGCACAGGGATGCACGAGAACACGGAGTTCACATTCTTGCCCATGGCCCCATAGCTATGGAAGATTGCCCACACCATGCAAAGGTTTGTGCTGGAAAGCAGGCGCACGACCGATTAAGTCTCAAGGTCAAGTTGCATGAGCGTCAAGTTCGTCTGCAACCAACTGGTCGGCAAACCTCAGCTGACGGGCTGCCATGGGGAACCCGACTCAACGCAACAGTGAGTCAAGGAAACATGGGTCAAGCACTACAAAAAGCCACTGCACAGGAACTGCCTTGATTGGTGCACGAATAAGGAACGCTCGAAACAAGCAGGCGCCATCCCCCTCGACTTCTTTGACCCAAAGCCCACAGCTTTTGAGAAGGTCTTGGTCCTGCAACAGCATTCAACTTTGCTCCTCGGTGCGATTGGAGTGAATGAAAGCCTCTGTCCTTCTTCAGCTCTCTCGCCCATCCTTCCGTACTGGAGCTGGGTGAAGAATTGAAAGCACCTCAGATGCCAACAGGCACTTGTCCTGCTAAGCATCTGCTGGGCATACGGCATACGAGCTCGCTTAAACATTCTAGACACGCTTGATATCCGCTGAATACGTTCCGCGGCATCACAAGCTGCCCAGGCACTGCCTCCCATAGGCCTTTCGAGGCTGCAAAGGCACTTCGTTGCCCCAGTGTCGCACAAACAAAAGCCATCACGCCGAAGGCACAAACCTATTTCGTAAAGCGAAGTTCTGCCAAATTCTCTTGAACAACTCCCGGCGCCTCAACGCGGCAGCAGGGCCCTTTGGCAACGTGGGCCCCGCAGCTTTGAAGGTCGGATTGAAGTTCATGGGCCTTAGTCTTTGGAGCTTCACGTTGCAACAGTACACCGGGTCTTCGCCAAAACTGACAGAGAGGAGTATATACGTCAGCTTCTTAAACAACCACTAGCTGCTCCCAACCAATCAGAGCAGGCCAAGGTTCTTGATCTTCTTCTTGGCTTTGCCTGGAGGGGCAGACATGAGCCAATAGATCGAAACAGCGGCTGAAATCTGGAAGGCCCTTCTTTCAGCAAGTAAAGACTACAGTGACTATAGACTCCCGCTACATTGATGGCATGGGCACACAAGTCGTGCCTCTGAAGAGCGAATCCAACGACGGAGCTGCCCCGCCATAGCCGCCGTCGGCCATCCGCAAACGCCAGCGAGAGATCTGACAGGCAGATGATGACAACGATAACAAGAAGGCGTGGCAGATCTGCGTGGGAATTCACAGCTATTTACTGCACGGGGCAGAGCCGCACACAGTGGAACGATGCTGGCATCACAAAACATTACCCACATCCATGAAATGGGAACTACTCAACTTGTGAACCTGGCAAAGCCTGGCATCAGCACTTAGAACATTGATTGGTTGCCGACTATGCCAGTACCAGGTCTGCAGCGCAAGCAAGTTTCCGAACGGACCCCTGCCTGTGTGAGACGTGGCCCCTACCTAGAAACGAACTACCGAAGCTGCGCGCAACACAACGTCAAGAAACTACTAAAATGGGCTTGAGAACTCTCGGGCTGCAGAATCAAATCAAACCTGACATGCTTACCCAAGCTTGCAGCAGTTGCGGGTGGCCTCCATGATTGCAGTTGACTAGGCGACTACAGTAAGTGGCGCTGCATGCAAAGAACTTGCATGATCGCGCATGCCGAGTGGACCCGAAGCTTCAAGGAGCACAAAGTTGACTCAGCAGGCCGTCGAGCGCGCTGCTCTGCATGCAGCAGTAGGCTGTCGGCGCCAAGAGCTTGTGTGCCTACGATTTTTGGTGCTTGTGAGGCTTCCGCTAAGAAACACAGCAAACGGCAACAAAAATTTAAAAAAACAAAAAAAACAATAATTCATGTGCTACGCTGTGCTCACACGTGCATCGCGGCTCAAGCCTTTCCCAGGAAGGGGCTGGACCTGACTGGGGCATACAGAAGAACGAAGCACTCAAGTGAACGAATGGTTGAACCCGCTCACCCGTTTTCGTTTGCTCTCTTGCATCCTTAACATGTCGCCCCTGCACTGCATCTCCACCGCAGCTTGCCCGCCCTCCTCCTGCGTCATGAAGAAATCCTCGGAGGGGGCTCCGCCACGGAGTGCAAAATCACTCAGGTGCCTGTTCCTGAAACTGACACCAGCCGCTTCTTCATACTCAGCAAGGGATCGATAGCTTCCCAACTCGAAAGCATCCGGGCCAGCGTTGGAACCACCTGGCAATGGCCACCTGTAAGTTTCTTCGAAGAATGGCAATGCCCCGGAGCCGAGCAAGCCATGCAAGCGTTTCCTGGAGCTGTGGCTTAAATCCCGATACAGTTCGCGCATGTCGTCTGCGTAAACCCTCCGGTAGTCTCGCTGCCAAAGATGAAATACAAGACCTGAGCAAGGAGAGAAGAGGTCCCAACCATTTGTGAACAGTCGCACGGTCATCAGAATTTCTTCTCCGAAGAAAAGCATACGCAATCGAGGGTCGTAGGGCACCTCACGTATCACATCAGCGGAAGAGAATGAAAAGTGTGCGCTCCAGAAAAAACTTGCTCGCGGCTCGTCCCAGTCTCGAACCAGCGACCGGTAGCGGATGTTCAGAACATTGTTGCTGTCGAAAAACCCGGCGCAATTCAAGCAGGCCGTTAAATTTGTCGGGGTTTCAGTGTAGGGCATACCCAGAGGATAAGCTCTGCCATAACTGCATAGAACGGGCTTGCTAGAGTGCTTCGCACACATCATGAGCTGGCAGCGGGCCTCCTCATCCCATGCAGGTACAAAGCGCATGTGGCTGTCAAGCTGTAAGTAGAGTTCCTCTCCTCGCCATAAGAGCTGAGCAAGATATCTGGCCCAACATGGGCCTCGTGCATCGCCTGCTTGCATGCGGATCATGCGTAGCCTGCCCCCAAGCAATGATTGGGATCTCATCTTAGCTTCACCCGGAAGCTCTGGAATCAAGTTACCAGTCCCATGCTCGTGCGGGTCAACCGCGCCATCAGCATCGATGTGCCAGAGCCTTCGCAAATCATCCAGGCCCTCCCCGGATAAAGGCTCACCATCTTCAACATCACCCTGCCACACCAGACCCACGTAAAGCAAGTCTGGTCTTTTGCACTGATGCAACATGGACTTCAAGGTCTCTGTTAGCTCCGGATCACAATATGCAGCAATGGAAACAAAGATTCGACCGTGTGCAATGTTGGATTGCGATTGCTCGCCTGACTGACGTGCATACACACGCTCATCCACTGTTGGTGTCGGTGTGGGATCATCTTGCACATAGCAGTTCGATCTGTGAGTCTTCCAAGCAGACTGAAAGCACGTGGCATTGCAGAACTTTGCGATTTTACAACGTGAGCAGCGGAACATCGCTGATGGTGCTTGGCAGAAGTTGCAGTTGTTGTCGCCGCCCTTCTCTGAATCGGCAGTGTGGGCACCCATGGCTGCTAGCGGGCCGAGAGCAAGACACAAATCTAGCAGTATCAAGCTGGTGCTAGTACCAACCATCCTCGAGAGGCCGTGTGGTAATCTACTGGTGTCTCTGGCTGTGGCAAATCGGCCCTCGTGACTATCTTATTGCTCGGCCCTCTCTCCCTAACCACGCTTTGCCTGACGGTTCTGGTTCGAAAGCCTTCGCAGATTCACAGCTTGAGGAATCGGTTCCAGCATCGTTCCCCGAAGTGCTGGACAGAAGTGTGCGTTTGAAAGTGCTGTGGGCTAGCAGGCCAGGCACTCCCAAGGGCTAAGGTGACGGCAACTACCGTGTTGGATCGGCTGGCTTCCACAACCTCGGGCACATCGTCTGTGTTCCGTCCTGGTGGAAAAGGGTCTCTGCGCAGGAACAACACTCCAGGCCACCCGACGGCTATCAGATGCGACTGCACAGCAACAGCAAGTAGCTGGCCAGACCTTGACTCGTGGGTGTCGCATCCCGCAAGCGAGGAAGGCATCACAAGGCATCCCTCACTCGTCACCCCAATCTCAGGTAGCTGCACCGGCAAAGGCCATCGCTCCAGATGCAGGCCTGTCGACTGCAATATGCCCAGACATGCCGCAGCTTCTAAGCATGAACCGCGCGGCAACCCCTATGTTGGTTTCATGACGTTTCGTTGAATGAAGCAACATTCCACCTGGAGGCAAGGTCGGCCTCTCTTGGCTGGCCTCGCAGCTAGCTGCGATCAAACGATCAAAAAATGCTGACTTCTCAACGCAGAAAACGCCCACCTTGGCCGAACCACGCCCTGCAAAAATGGAGCGGCTCGCATCATCCAAGTTTCTAGATTCTAGACACCTGACTTGACTTGCAGGAGAATCATGTATTCGAACGTGCTCAGACTCCTTTCTTTTCGTCCGCTCCCCTACATTCTGCACACATCCGCCTCTCTCCTAATTCTTCATGCACCCGCAGATTGCCCCGCCTGCCCCTGTCAAGTCCCACACCGAGCTCATCACGCCTAGGCATCCGCAGAAAAGCCAAAGACAGGCAGGACGTGGAAACCCGAGCAGCTTTCAACCTAACCCGTACAATTCAGGGCCATGCCTCGAACGTCCTCGGCGTCGCCCCATCGTGTATTCAAAGGGGCTCTTGCTCTGCTGCTAGGAACTGGTGAGTTTATTGAGCTGCGTACGGTGATCGTCACCCACTCTTTGCATGGTGTGGGGTTGCTGCGCTCTGTGAAAGCTGCTTTGCTCTCCACCCGCGAGAGTTCAGCAATCACAAGGGAATCGGCAGGTGCTGTCTTGCATGCTGCTAGTGGACAAAGTTGACATGTGATGAAGCGTGTCAGGGCATGGGAAGGAGTCTGCAGCGTAATTGTGAAATATTGTTGGAGAAATCTGAAGATTTACGGAGGCGCGTGAGCGTGAACAGGAGCATCGAGATATTTCTGGGCCACCAAACAATCGGTACTTAGAAGGCTAAAATCATGATTCACTGCTACATGGTGCTGCATGTTCTGGATTGCGCGGCATTGTGCTGCACCCACTTTTTTCATTGCTGCGTGCACTGACCCCTGAGCACAGCACAATTGCCCCCAAGCCAAGGAACTATTGGCTTTCTCATGAGCAGGTAGTGTGTCAAACATACATGCCGAAGCTCCCAAATCGAAGTTCGGTCGGCAAACAAAGCCACATAGTTCCTTGGCTACCTGCTGCCCCACCTCAAGTGGCCCACATCCCAGCTAGTGAAGTGGGATTGCGGTTCATTACGGCAAGACTGAAGTCACTGTAATCACTGCAGTTCCGGAGATGAGAAAAGATCTCGGCCAGAGCTTTAGCTCCGGTGTCAGGACTGCGTCAAATGGTCATCGTCTCACATCAACCTCTGGCCTCATCACACCAGTAAAGCACTCGTGGCATGAGCATCTCTTCAACAACTTCAGTGTTCTTCCAAGCCTGCTGCGTCGAAGCTGGCAAACTGACGCCGCCTGAGGTCAGGGCAGGCGCCGAGGTCCGGAGCCCTTGGCGGAGGTCTTGGGACCTTGGATCTCCTGTCTGGCACTCGAATGCTGACTTCCCGGGGCAATTTGTGACGGCTAGCGTGGATCTTGTCAGTCCAGTCTTAGGCGCCAGCGCTTTGAAGCAATCCCGCGGTCCCTCGCAAACTTCCAGAAGGACTCCGGTAAGTGGCTGGCATCCTGCGTCTCACAACTTGTCTCACAACGCACAGGAAAGGGGAAACTCTCCGGAATCTTCTCTCTATATACAACCCTGTCCATAACACCATCGGAGCCATCCCAGATTAAGCAGTACAGAACCGTGCAAGCAGCACCTCAGAGTGTAGCGAGCTTCGGTCTGCAGATGGTCGAGTTGTTGCATTCAAGCCAGGCACACTCGACATTGAAAAGCAGGGCTCGGCTGACCAGCATCGTGGCAATGGCAGTCAGAATGCCTGCATGACAGAGCTACATTGAGTTAAGAGCACGACCCGTAAACAACGGATCACAATAGCTGCCCAAATCCAGAGAGCAGTGGTGCCACCAAGTCTCCCAACAGTTCGGGGCTGACGGCCTCACGGCAAAACAAGCACAACAAAGTGTGCAGGATCTTGAAGGCTCCCACAACTGACCTGAGTGACATGAACCCTAAGCCCAGCTTGACCTCAGGTCACACAAGAGACATGAAAACAAGATCTTGGCAAACCATGCCTGCACCTCCTCGTAGAGCAGGGAAAGCTGCGCTGCTGCGTATGGGAAGTCTGACACCTGAAAGCCGAACAAATGGGGGTATGTCGCCCCTCCCCCCCCACCAACACGCACCCTGTGTGTTGCACACTAGATACTCCGTCGGCCCCTTGGATTTACAAACTAAACCCACATGTCGCAGGAAACGATGCCTGGGCCTGTTACATACACTGGAACATGCATGCACGACGACTAGCGAACCTGCAACTGGAAGCGCAGCTCGGACAACAAGTGGTACCAGTCCGCGTGCCTGTCAATTATGGCACACCGCTCTTGCGACTATCATGGACGGACAAAAAGCCGTCAGCTGAAGTCGCACTACAGGGGCCTGATAAAGACCTGATGCAGACCTCTGAACGGAAGCTGATGGCCTTGCCACGGCAGTCCTAGCTGCCAAGGCTGCAGCAGCAGCGAGCCCCAGGCTCCCCATCAAACGCCTGAGTTTGGACTCCCTGGCGCTCCAGGGAGACAAGCCAAGCCAAGTGCTCGGGAAGGCACAGTCAGGTTGAGTTAATCCGGCCCTACTGGCACTTGCTGTAGATTGGCCGAGCATCAAGAACCAGGCCACGATAGACAGCATGGTCACAAGACCAGCGTCGCTTCGGAGCAGCTTGGAAGCCTCGGGTATTGTTGATGTGTGCCCTTCCTCGAGCGAGCTCGACAAAACTTCGACAGTCCGATCCTTCGAAGCTGCCATAGCGTAGCTGGTGGAGCTAAGCGCAATATCCACCTCGGATCACATGCACACGGCCAAGCCGGTTGCTTTTGTCATATTCTAAACAAAATTGCATCGCCAGAAAAAAACGAATGCTAGCAGCCAGCAAGCTGTGCAGTTCAGGTGCATATGCGTGGCTGCTGAGAAACTCGGTCCATGCTTGAAGCGTCGCCATGAGAGAGTCGCACGCAACCTAACGGTCCGAGTTGCGCCATGTCTGCTGCCCGATTCCGAGCCAAGCTTGCATCCTGACTCCAGCTACCCGGCTTCCTTAGGCTTTCTTGCTTGCGATGTCCGACAGCTTCGAGCTGAGCCGGAAGCAGCGATGCAAGCGCAGCAGCCTCGCGACTTGCGCTTGCCCTTGTCATCCTGGCCAATGCAACTTGTTACCCTGTACTTTCTGCGTTGATACTGAGTTGCTGTGGGAGCCTCCTGGCGCGCGACAGCCAGATGTAAAGACCAGAGTGCCCAGCGCAGAAAGCCTGGGCTGTGTCCGGGCTGGAGAAGGAGAATGAAGGGACTATGGATCAGCTGGACTTCTGAACCACGATACCTGGCCAAAAACTGATGCAAACCATGCGTCGGAGCAGTGCAACTGCAAAGGCCCCGCGCGCGATGGAGCCCAAGTGACAAGTAAGCGCCACAAGGAGTCCTGCACTGGTTGTTGCAGAAAGCTTCTCCAACTTGTCTCCGTCAAAAGTCTTGTGTCAGCCTCAGAGCAGCCTATGTCTGCTGCCTTATGCAGCTCCCAAAGCAAGAAGAAAGGAGTCGTCCGGTTCAAGACTCTTACTTCCCGTGCTTGTGTGGGCACTGCCGCTGTGTCCTTGCACAGCGGGGGCCACGGGCAGATGTCGAGCTTTCTGCCAGACGTTGCTGCCCGGAGCCTTGCCAGAGTGGACGTGGAAGCGAGAGCACATGTCAAGGCGCTCGGACAATTTAAATATGTAAGAACAAGAAGCGGCATGTGATCCATTTTGCAACCGGGGGTCAAAATACCACGCTGCCACCGAGTGTGCAGTCGCAAACAAGCATGCTGCTGCCACCAGCTCCTGCAAATTTGCCGCACATGATGCGATTTAGAACAGCAGACTAAACACAACACGTATGAGCCCTCGCTCAGAAGTCATTGCCGTGCCCTCTGAATGGATCCTATCTTCAGGGCATCAACACGATCCCGTCCAGACAGAGCGCACCCATGTGTGAGTGATAGCTGGTGCTCGTATAGGAAGATTCAACGTTTCAGGGCTCAGGGTGCTTATGGTTTTTTCGACTATCAATCCACAACAGCGCAGTGCAATGGGGAAGCGCGTGCCACGACGGCGCAACGTGAACCCAGATGGCTGCTATGGAAACTGCCCATCATACTCGAGACGATTTACAATCGGAGAACCACGCAACACCCTATGGATGCCTGACAGTCAGCCGTGAGTCCAACAGAACATTTGCCTGTGTTGCTTTGCTGCGGGCTCTTGCAGTTCCACGTTTTTGGGTGCTTGAAGGCGGTGGTCGTTCAGTTTCAGTTGCTTCAGTGTTGCTTCCCCGTCACCCTCAGAAGCAGGGTCACCGGATGCACCGCCCTCATAAGTTGCTGTGGTTTGGGATGGGGGTCTTCCTAGGGGTCTAGGCCCTGCGCCGCCCTCAGAAGTAGCGGAAGGCCAGATGCTTAATGTATCTTGTGAGATGACCGCTGACAACTTGGCCAGACTTGTCGAAAATGTTGGTGTGTTGCATGCAAGAAGCCATCGCAACATCATCATGTACCTTCGTGCATTAACCTTCCCATGTCAGCACACTCTTTGACACTCAGAAATGAGCGGGCCTGGGCCCAAAAGCAGGAGAACACCAGGGCGGCGATGTGAAGATAATCTGTGAACGCCAAGTGGAGTTGTCGAAAAACTCCTACGCAACACCACGGTGGGTACTGTTCAAGAGTGGCCCATGAGTCTAGAAGCGACATGCGAATATTGCGAATAGAAGCTTTCAGCTGCAGTGCCTGAAATGCCGAACAGGGTAATGCCACTAACATCTGCACCAGACAGAAGAGCAGGGAGCCCTGTCAGCAACAGAATCCACATCCTGAGTTCCGCAAGTTCAGAAGATGCACTCCAAACCTACATTTATCGTCGGAGGAGCGTCGCAACTTTTCCTGAAGTACGGCTGTGCACTGGCTGTGCTCGGGGTAATTGCTGCTCTATTCAAGGCGCGTTTGGCACGCCAGGGCGTCCACCACTGGGAGAAGCAGCAAGGAAGGCATTCCCATCATGACCTTATGCAAAGCTGCACATCGGCATTCCATGGTGCCGGTACCCGCTGACCTCACAAGGTGCACCGAGGACCGCTCGGCGCAGGATTCGCGCACGCAGTCTGCTGCCACTTCCAGGCGTGTCCTCGCAGCAACGCAACCTGAAGCTTCGACGGGTCATGCGACGGTCGTGCAATATAGTGAACTGTAGTCTTGCATTTGGGGCAACCCATGTCGCTTCCTGTACTGTCTGACTGTCACATCAACGAACATCGCTCTAGGAACCCAGCTAGACGACTTGTGACGAAAGTGCAAAGCACCGCGACATGAACTGGCTAGATTGATTTCTCCCACATGCACGCTCTTGCGTCGTATGCCTGACTTGAAAATACTGGAAGCTTTCCGAGTCGCTTGTGAAGAGGAGAAGAGCTCCAAGGAGAAGTCCAGATGCCAGAGTAGCTACCAGGATTGGCACCTCGCCTCGAATGCAGAAAAACTGGCATCGATGTGCACCACCATTCTCAAAGTTGCGGGCAGAGTGTCTCAATGCAAGCGTGTGAGCAACGTTGAGCTCCACTAGCCCGCCCGTCGCAAGCGACACGGATGTCACCACCAACGGCAGCAGGCCTTCCGACAGCTTTCAGCAGCACGCGACAGATTTGATGCTGTCAGTCCATGTTCTGCCACACCCTTCGGCACCTGGAACTGCATCTGGATGCGTCAGAACAAGCAGGACGATACCCGCAGCAAAGAAAAGCAGACCAGAGCCCAGCAACGCCAATCGCAAGAGAAGCAATGCCTGAAGCGGGCAATCCAGGATGGTCTAGGCTTGGCCAGGCCTTCTCTGAGCTCTTAAGCCCTGCAAGCACAGCAAGCCCTGCAATCCCCGAAGCCGGAGCTCGGAGCACTATGCATCATGATGCCATATGCAGCAGGGCGGCGAAGAAGCGAAGGCACAGGAGGTAGACGAGGCTCACCAGCAGTGCCCAAAGGCCGGCGAGGCAGAGGAGGCGTGGGCTAGAAGCCAGGTTTTGGAGGCGCTCGAAGCAGCCCATGAACCAGTCCATGGGGGCACCTGTTGGTAACTCTGCGGATCCTGTAACTACACGTAACTTTCCTTGTGGACAGGTCTTGCGTTGGAATGGTTCGAATACCTCCAAACAGTTTTTGGGGTCTGCACGCCCTGCTCGCACACACGGGCAAGCATGCAGGCACGTACGAATGTATGTGCACACACAGACACAAAGACACACAAGCACGCAAACACAAACACAAACACGAGCACAAACACAAACACACACACAATCAATTTTTCACGTTGGTGCTGAGATCAGAATAAATGGCGCAAGAGGTTTTCCAGATCACCTCTTGAGTCTTGATCTGAAGCACCAAGCGCCTACACTTCTTGAGCTGTCATGACATCCAGCTCAGTCCGTTTCATCCAACCTCCGAACCTATCTCGCGTCCCACAGCGAGGGTTGTGCAACATGCTGGAAGAACCTGGAAGACCTACGAAGAACTCAGATGCAACATCTGCAGGCAAACTGATGTTATTCATTCAATTCAATAATATTCATTAAATTCAAGGCCATGGCAGCTTGAGGAAAAGTATGTGAAGTCCAACTGCACTCCGGGGCTGGAAACTTCCATTGCTTGAATCCTACCCTGCAAGCTAGTCACATACGCAAGCTGACGCAGCTGGACAAGCACCTGGACCAACAGACCCGGCTAGTGTCGCCCCCGATGTCAAGGCGTCGCTCAAAGCACGTGTTGGAACACAGTAGCGGTCCACCCATGGGTTGGTCTCAACAGTCACCTGCAGACAGAATCAGACAGAAAGCAAGCACGGTTGCGAACTGCAATCGCCAGGAGGGGTGGCGTTCAGGAGAAGTACTCCAAACTACTCAAGACGTAGGCCGAGTTTCGGCCACAACAAGTTCGATAAACGTTTGCAGACTGCACAGATGGAAACCTCGCTTAGGAAAGCTTCTCTTCAAATACCACCCCTGGCTGCAGATGCCGGCTTGGGCAGCTGCCATCCCCTCCCTGAACACCACCAGCCTCTCGAGGAGAGAGGAACTGCTTTTCAGTCCGCACGATGAGGACGCGTCCACCTCAATACTGCGTCAAAATTGCATATCGGCATATCCCGTGCGGATGCTGTCTGGCAGCATTTGGTATATGCTGAACCTGAAGACCTCAGCACTCGTTAGAGGCAGAGGAACCCGAATGCCCAGTACATGATGTCATTCTGAAATCCTCAACGGCCCCAAGTGCACCAATGTATAACCCAGAATCGAAAGCTTCACCTTCGACGACGACCAACACAAGATAACAAAAGAACCAAACATTCACGAAGAAGGAACGGCAAGGCTGTCCAAGACTTGTTCGAGATGCCTTCTTGAGGCTCCTCCACTTCCGTGGCCTGCGGGCCTTCGGGGCACAGCGCATGCTCGCCGATATCCGGACAGCGGCCCACCTGCCACTTAAGTCACTTAAGGCCAATGACACGTCAATGAGTTTTACGGGTCAAGCCCTCCAAAACCAAGTTCTGGCGGCCCACGCAGATGGGGGATGAAAGGTTCAGAATCCAACCGTGCTCTGTCCTGGCAGTGCATAGACCGATCCGCGGCGCGTTCCACACTACGCAGCAAGAATATCATTGACGTGCAAGTGCATGTGTGGTCCTGGCAGTGCACCAATGCAAGAGACCCAGCTCTTCAGTACCTGTGTAGCTCCGAGCACGGGGAACGCTTATGCTAGTAAGGCATGAGGCAGTGCAAGACATGCCAAATGCGCAGCGGTAAGTCGGTAAGTCTTAGCCAGTCATGCAGTCGGACTGCCGGCGCTCCAACCACAAATGCGACCGCGATGGTCTATGCCCCGTGTAAGTCGCTGGAGGTCCTGCAGGGAACAGGAGGAGAGCCCCTTGCGCATCATTCTCAAAGAAGCTCAGAGTCTCGGAGGCCACTAGGCCAAGACAATAGCCATCATTAGCTGTTGACGCTGTCAGCCGAAGTTGAAGCTTCTCCCCGAGCCGTCCCGGCTTTGGACCACCCGCAAGCCTTTCAAGAACATGGTGCCGAGATGGCAGCCAGAGTACACGTGCTTGCAATGCTGCTGCCATGAAGTCATGGCACATTATGCACACTGCTACATGCAAGCAAATGCAGCCAGATGTTGCGAAGCAACTCGTTGCAATTGCCACCATCGAGAAAACGAAGGCAAGGCCGCAACAGGGGTCTGTGCCTGGAAATCTTGCAAAAATCTAGCAGGGCAAACTCAAACGATCCTCTCCTTCCTCGTATCCCATACTCTCCATGTGCGTGCAGGCGGCAGCGTCGCCGCGCAATGCCATCTGTTCTCTCGGAGACCTGGAAAAATATTGACATGTCTTGTCCTTCCCAAAACTCTGCGAAAGCGAGGAGGCTTTGGGCTTTGGTACGGGGAAGATGTTGAAAAGCAGGTCACTGTTGCGCCGTGACTTCAAAGGCTGCCCCTTAGCAGCGCCGAAATGACCACTTCATTTGACGCTGGGCACGCACGGCGCGAAGTTTGCACAGTATTCTGAGACGCCTTCATTTAGCCCTAAGACAGTAACTTGGAAGGTCCCGATCTGCTGGATGACTGGACCGGTGTAGGGGAGGCATTGGGCTTCAGGACAGCTGTCGAGAGGCAAGGACTGTTGTCCGCGACAAGGCATAGCAGGAATGCAGGAGCACGCCTGGCGGAAAGACTGCTGCTCAACATTGCGAAGACGCGGCGGCGGAGTCGCTGCTCGCTGCCTGCACATGACTGCACATGTGCACACATGTGCACACATGTGCACACATGTGCACACATGTGCACACTGAATCTACGTCGGAAAAATCTCCAGTCCTGGCCTCGCTGCCGCCATCGAAGCGGAGTGCTTCTTTTCCAAGGGTTCCCTATTACCAAGTATCTTACATGATTATTTCGTCCATATGCTTCAGCCTTTGTGGTGGGCTCTTGCGCTGCATATTCGCAATGTAACCTAGACATGTCTGAAACGGCAGCTCCAGTCAGAAAGGGTGGCCAAGAAAGTCCTGCAGTCCAGCCTTTGACATTGTACCAAAATTCTTTCAGCGAGTATTCGCTGGGCACACGACTGCAACAGCGCTGCACTCCGAAGCAGGATGAGCGATTCTTTTCCCTTAGCGCAAGCGCACCGTTCCCACAGAGGAGAATCCTAGAATCCTGCAGAAAAAAAACCTTCTCTTTGGAACCAACCACCGGCCAGGGCCAAGTTGGGGCTTTTTCTGGCCCGTTAATCTGGCCATGTGGTCTGCCTATGACAGAATTTCGTGGAAGGTCTACGCGCTGTGCCCCGTACCTTGGTCACATCATATCCAATATCACATCGTGATAAACAAATTGCCGGAAGAAGTATGAGAAAGTGCTGAACTCAGATTCGGGAATCCCTTCGGCTAAGCCCCCGCCCTCGGCACAAAGAGCTTTTTAGGGGATGACCGGAGACGGTCTGCGCTCGAAAGCTCCGAAGGCTTAGCTACCCACCCCCCTAACTGAATGTCGGGCTGGGATTCGGGGTGGTCCGGCCAAATTATTGTTCAAAACTACGTGAGGCGCAACTAGTATAGAGGGGAAGGGAACAGTTTTGATTACTCTTTGGGCTCTCGGCGCGCATCATCAAAATGGCATTTCCCCTTGTGACACGCCGGTCTGCAATGCTCTGCTGGCGACAACTGTCCCTCCCTCCGCCTGAAAAAGTCGCTATTGGTCCCCATGACGTACTCGTAGCATAATTCTGTTTAGATCTGCGCCGTCAAAAACCTTCCACAGAGAAGCTTAAACGGGAATATTGGCCAGAGCGTGCAAAAGGGGCTGCGGCCATTCAATGCAAACTTGTTACAGCAGCTAGAATCGAGGTTAGAAGTAGACTGTAGGTTCACCAAATTATGCCGCAACATCCCTGGCTACGCATCTGGCATCTGGCCTCAACCAGACTCACTCTTTACGCTTTCACCAGGCCTGGGTCGTCGCAACAGATGCGCAAGCTGTGCTACTGACCCGTTTGTTTCACGCTTCGACTTGAAAGTGATTGAACCAATACAGCTCGAAAAAAAAAACGCCAGTGCCAGGGTGCCCTTAAGTCGGCGGTCGCAGCGCTCCTCAACAAGTACTGGCTTCGACTCATCTACTGCTCATCTTCTCATATTTTGCACGCTGCTTCTGTCCGCATTCAGGAAACTGTCATAACTTACAGTACATAGCATTCTTTCAACGACTCGCCCCATCCCCTGCAACAATTAGCAAAATCGCTGGCCGCTTGCCCAACTACCGGAGATTCGCTGCAACTAGCCCGCTCCTTCAGAGCTGGATCATCCGACTCCTCGAAATATTTGCGGCACCTTCAAGTGACTAACCCTTCCGCTGTTTCGCTAGTGCCGGGTGCAGTTCAACCTCTGCAATGATGGAAGCCCCTGTGCAAAAGGGCTTGGCAAAATCTGAGCAGGGGCACTCATCCACATCCTCCGCCGAGCCCAAGATCACCGGCACGCGCTGGTGGACGAATTGCTGAGTGGTGCAGGGGTGACAAGGTCATTTTGCCGAGACCGCCGGCTACCTAGGCAACCTGTAAGCAGATAACATGTAATTTTCGAGTGCTTCAGATCTACTGTATGGCAGCGGCGCAGGGAAGTTCGATGCTCTCTGATCACTGTATTCGCAGTTCTCCGCTTGCAAGCGGTTCTGTGCAGCCCAAAGCACCGGAGGAATGTCCAAAACTCGGCTGTGTCCTGTGATCGCCTCGCATCTCACCGACAACAGCACACAATAGCACGAACGTAGCACCCTGGAAGCCGAAGACGCAACTAACGGCATGATACCGGACTCAGATAGTAATTCGCCTCGACTTCTCGGAAATTTGCTGTACACCCCCCCTGTGTGCAAGCCGCTTGGGGGAGCCGCAATCTGATGCCGTGGGGGTTCCAGGTTGTGGGCCCCTCCCATGCGCACAGACACCATGCCAAAATGCACCACTTTTGCCTGATGCACCCCCCTGCAGCCCCAATGAATGCGTGGTGCTGCACCAACTGACGTGGGGCTTGGCTTTCCTTCGTCTGCGATGCGCACGCTACACTCCGCATCGGGCCAGCCCGGCTGCCGAGGCGGCGCAAGCGTCTGTGACTATGTAGATGATGTATCTGCAATGCTGCATTATTCGGCTATTCGAAAGTGAAGGCCTTGCCGCCGGCTTGTTCCATGATGAAGGACATCGGGGCACCTTCATAGAGAAGCCGCAATTTTCCATCCTGCCACTTGCAACAGATCATGGTGACCCATGGTATTCATGCTAGTTGTCACTTTCCTTTTCGGACTTTTGGGCTGCTCTCCTTTCGCAACAGCAGTCGACAAATCACACGACCTTGCAGAAATGGTGCCTGGTTCTTGTTGTCCGCTGGGTACGCAAAGATGCCGCCATACAGCAAGGTGCGGTGGATGTCCCCGACCTCAGCACATCTCGACATCTCAGCACTGTGGTTCTTGCGAACAAGCAGCTCTTTTCCAGACAGTGCTGGCCGACAAACTGTAGCTGAGATACCATAGAGCCGATGTAGCGAAGGGAATATGGCTTGCCAGCTTGACCTGCCACTGTGGACCAGGCATGGCAGCCTTTGGCGAAAAGTAGGAATGCCAATGCTTGTGCTGCCTTTTCCATCGCGGATGTCACTGATGTACTGCCTCATCGGCTCGTCCCACTCCTCAGTCGGAAAATTGCCCTGAGACATTGGTTTGCACACGCGCGTGCGGTGCAGCACCGCGGTGACCGCACCCGCAGTACTGCTGTGCATGGTTGTGCTACAAAGGTGTCTCATACAGTTCCAGCCAAGCTGCCGCAATGTTGGCCTGATTGCAGGAGTAGATCTTGCCCCTTGCCGGAATCTTGATCCTGAGTAGGTTGGGTACAACATAGCCGCACCGGCAATGGCAGACACACAAAGACAGCAGCATGTGCCAAAGTTGCAAGCAAGTCTCGAGGGCCGAGTCATGACAAACTCGCCGATGCCTCACATGTTGTACCCGAAATGAACAGCTGACATGTATCACCATGTATCACCATGATACCATCGTGATACCATAATGATACCACCAGGTATTGTCACATTCTGTAACCACTCCGAGTCAAACCCGCGAGCTGAGGCCGAGAAGCTGGTGTCCAACGTGAAGCCGACAACGCCGTGTCCGAACGTCAGGACCAGCTCCGTTGAGGCCGAGTACAAAACATAGCCGGCAGCCACCAAGGACTGCAAAAGCATTCAAAAGCATAAAGGGATCCAGGAAGCCCCAGCTTTGCAGAGAGACGTGAAACAAGAGATTGCTGCGTCTCTCCACGATGCTCCCGGCCTTCCCGGGCTGCAAGGTGCCTGCAAGGCACCTGTCAGGAACGCGTCTGCTATCCGCAAAATTCCTACAGGTCCTACAAATGCATTCCAGTCTGCACGGATATCGCGATGTCAGGAGCTAGGTAAAACGCCTCTGCTGCTCATCTGTCAAGCCAGCTGAAAGATCTTCGGGCAGCTCGCACTCCGCCATATTCGGCTCCTGTTCGCACCATCGAAGGCATGTTTCTTGCCGGAATTGTTGTCAATTGCAGCAGATACGTGCTTGCTCAGGGCCTTTTGCAAGGCACTTGCAGGCGACTCCTAAACCCCATGTCTGAACCACATCCCAATCCTCAAAGACCCCGAAGATGGTACCGACAGGGATGCCGGCATCCACATTGCCTCGCGGGCTCCCAAAGCCATGCATGCAATCCTACGACAGCCATAGCAAAGCCGGCGCACGTGGTTGTGGCCAAGCGGCTGCTGCCGTCCAGGGGGTCAAAGACACAGATGTACTTGCCAGTCTCTGCGAACTCCTGCAACAACAAGGTTCTCTCTAGCGGAATCCTCTAGCATCCATGGACAGCTCACTGCATGCCTCTGACAGTACAGGAATGGCTTCGCTCTCGTTCGTTCCCAGCCTTGGCGGCTGCCGCATGTCACGCTTGGACAGTCAATGATACTGCGAGGACGAAGAAAAACATGTAACAAACTGGTCGGCTTCCATGGATGCGCTTAGGGAAGCTACACGTCCACCCCAAGTCTCAGCCGGCGGCCAGCCATCCACCGGCTCATCTTCCTCCTCAGAGGCGAGGGTTCCCAGCTTGCCTTTGCAGGAAACAGTTAGATAACAAGCAGCGGCAAAACAGAAAGAGAGCTTCACGATTTTCTTCAGCAACAGCTTGATTAAAACCTAGAGGGTCCGACTGCCATACGCACAAGTCACTCTCACCACACGGCATGCTCGAGCTTTACCCTTCAGCAGCCTGTGTATCGCAGCGCGTTCTTGAAGACATCGTTGGTAATGACCTTAGCATTGAAGCGTATTGCGCGTGTCGGGATGACAGTATATTCCTGCTCGTGTTGCAATGGTTGATTTCAGCACCCCGTAGCCCAGGTGTAGTCTTCCGGACAACTGAACCTTGCGGCCGGAACATCTTGACTTCGGACTCCCATCTTGGGGCCTGACATCAAGCTTCTTCTGGTCTTCACCCTGAACCTCAGTCTTAGAGCTTAGGGCTTAGGGGCCCACACGAGGGAGCTGAGTGAATACGGCAGGCTGCCCAGCGAGATTCTCTACCGAGACCGCCACTGTGCATATCACGACTCGACGGACAAGTGTGCCGACATGCCAACCAACACACTTCTAATGTGATAGCCACATGCTGATGGGGCGGGCCTTGCTAATGGTTGTTTGGCGATCCCTTATGAAGTCCAGAAATTGCGCTGTCATTGGGTGCGTCCTTACCTTCAGGTCACTTCACCGGGCGCGGAATGAAATGAGGCTTTTGTGTTTTTGTTCTTGGGAATTGTTGTTTTCGGTTTGTCTTTTCGCCTAAGTCCGTGCCATGTCAAATCAGCCGAAAATGGCTACTCCCTCTGTATGTTAATCGGATTCCCACTAACGTTCATCAAATTCTTCCTCCCTTCCTCCCTGCTTGCCTCCCTGCTTGCCTCCCTGCTTGCCTCCCTGCTTTCCTTCCTTCTTTCCTTCATTCTTTCCTTCCTTCTTTCCTTCATTCTTTCCTTCATTCTTTCCTTCCTTCTTTCCTTCCTTCTTTCCTTCCTTCTTTTCTTCCTTCTTTCCTTCGTTCTTTCCTTCTTTCCTTCTTTCCTTCTTTCCTTCTTTCCTTCCTTCCTTCCTTCTTTCCTTCCTTCCTTCCTTCTTTCCTTCCTTCTTCCATCCCTTCCTCCCCACCTTCCTTCCTGGCCTAACTCCCTCCCTCCTCCCTTTGCTTCTTTGTTTGCTTCCTTCCTTCCCTGCTTCCCTCCCTCCCGCCTTCTTTCTTCCCTCCTTTCTTCCTTCCTTCCTTCCCTACCCTCCTTCCTTCCCTCCATCCTTCCTTCCGTCCGCTTAGTAACAGTAAGAAACCATTAAGACCAAAAACGAAAAACATAATACACTCCTTAAGATCATGCAGTTCCTCATTTCACCACTCTGGAAATCTTGTTCTCACGGCTCGTTGTGTTGCACGGCTTGCACACGAAAGGGTGTGCTGCATGTTCCGGTGATTCCGATGCACTCGTCTATTTCCGTTAGCACTCAGGACTTTGCACGCGCCACTAAAATTGCCTGGTTCCAATCTATGGCATGTTGGAGTTGAAGAGCAACAGTGAGAGAAGCCTTGTGAACATTCCTCAAGCATTCCCCAGTGCCAGGTGACATTGATCTCACCCTGCAGTCCCAAGAGTTCGGCCTCGCGCAGCGATCTACGGCAGCCATTAAGATGGACGCAGGTAGCCAACCACAAGTCGGGTATTTTCGCATGCTATACGTGTTGTACAGCCTGCTGGAGCGGAGCTGTGTTGACAAGCTTCGCGATCACCTTCGAGGCCTGTCACGACATGTCGGACACTCATGCTCTCGACACTGAACTCCACGGCCTCACGGATTGAGTTCAAGATGGAGTCCAGGTCGGAGTCAATGATGCCGCGGTTGGCCAGCTCTATGCAGTAACCTTATTTTCAATGCAGCCTTTGTTGTGAATTTGAACGCACAGTACCTGTGATGGACCTGACTGCCTAGCAGGGCGGCTTTGCCCTGCTGAGGGTAACAAGACTTGTGCAGCCACAGATCGGCTGAGGGTGACCCCGGTCTGCTCACAAACCTCATCCATATCGTCCGGAGTCACCTTGACGGCAGTCCTGCAAGGAAGACACAAGCTTGCAGAGCTCGCCTGCACAAGCAACGACTGGACGTTGCTTGACCTTCACAGAGGGGCTCATCCGAAGAATCTCACCCCGAACTGGGGCGAGTGGTGCTACGCATCTGACCACTGTGGAGTGTCCTCTTCTTGGCCTGACAGTGGAATACCACATGCTTGGTGCATTCATGGGTCTGTGCCATGGACAGTCGCTGAGGACTGAAAACCTTCAGACCACGATACAAGACAATGGCGAAAGGACAATGTTTTCGTTGGCATGAAGAACAAAACTATCCATTGCGGCAAAACAGGGCATGAAATGTCAGTGAAGGGCTGGGGCACGAGGCATGGGATGGGAAGGCGCGCAGGTTGGTTGGTTGACGTGGGTTGAGAGGCAGGACAGCAGCGGAGTTAGATGGAGTTGATGACATGCTGACCCCGTGCTGAGGATCAGGCCCCATCTCTGCTGGCCCGGGACTTCCGTCGTGTGGACGCCGCGACTGCACCGGCAGCAGTGGCCGCCGCCGCACCCACAGTCAAAGCACTGCCTCGGCGATGTGCGCATTCATCATGAGAGCAGCACAGATAGTAACATTGCACTTGTCGTTGCCAGCCTGCTTCTGATGGGGCTGCCTGGCATCGACAGCTCAAGCTTGACATGAAAAGGCACAGGGGACTTTTGTAGTGAAAACGAAGATCCGATTCCGCAACGGCCTTGGTCGATGCCGCCCGGACAGGGGCTGACACGCGGCGATTCGCGGAGTCTGCCACCAGGATAGCAACTCGATAGCAACTCGATAGCAACTCGATAGCAACTCGATAGCAACTCGCCAACAAGCGCTGCACTCGAGAGCAACTTGGGAGCTTGAGCTACTCTTGAGCTCTGCCTGGAGAGATCACGAAGCCCAGCCTGGAAGTTGAAAAGCTCTCCACGCAAAATGTCGCACCAGCCGTGCTTGTTGATCCCATTTAGCTCAATAAACAATAAACAGAGATGGGAGGCCCTTATCCGAGGCTCCAGCCCGGCAAGGCCGGCACAGGCAACAGCCGCAGCGCCTGTCGTCTTGGAGGTCATCACCTCTGAGCGTTGTGAGGAGTTTTGGCGATCCTTGTCCTTGCATCTCATTTTTTGGGGAAGGCTTGAGCGGGGTGAAGAGTGGAGAGGGTCGTGTGGGCTGTAGTAACACCGGGAAGTCAGGAGAAGATGTGATGTCGCGAGACCTGATAACATGCACATTGTACAGCGAAAGCTTGCGCTGACAAAAGCTGGCACGAGCTGCACTGGAAGTCTGGGAAGCTCACTGCCAAATCAAAGCGTTCCAAAGCGAAGAGCGCCTAACTTTGCCCTTTGCCCCTAATTACTCTTGCTGAGTAGCCATGGCAGCAGAACGGCGCTGAAGTAGGTCACAGCTGCACCAGAATCCCACTAAACACAAGCAACCCAGTTTAACACAATCAGACAGCGCAAATTTGGTCATGTGATCAACGTCTTCCTCTTGTCTTCTCACGGTGCTGAGTACGCGTGGGCTGCGAGATCTTTCGGCAGCGCTGGCGCCTCAGCGGCTACACACCCCAGAACCGGTTCCACCCAGTCACAGTCATACCCAGTCCCTTCGGTGCTTTCAGTGGGCCCACTGTGCCGGCGTGCCTCATTCAGAATCTCACCGTAGCCCCGACTCCTGCCCAAGAAGGCGTACCTCCAAACAGTGGGCTCGGCCTCTGCGCTCTTCAAAGAAAATTGCAGAGAGCCCACGGCGGCGCAAGGTCGAGCCTGGCACTTGCCAGCGCAACAGCCATGATGTCGAAGAGCAGGTTTGAAGCGGCGAAAACCTGAAACGATACCACTGCGGCTCACCCTGGGTTCCCCTGACCGACACCGAAGCCGTGCCCAGGCTGTGGCCAAGAAATTTCGGAAGGCCGTGGAGTGCAAGGTACTCACCTCTTCAGCGGGGCTATCCGATGCCTATCGCCAAGTCATGCGCTTGCCAAAGCAACCCCGCCAACCCCGCCTCAGCCCTCGGATCTTGAGACCACTTCAAGAAGATCGGGTGCGGCCTTGCCACCCAGGAAAGCAGGTTTATCTTGGCTGTTTGCTTCTGCTGGGATAGCCTGCATCATGAACATGCACATGAACACGACACATTGACCTCCTCACACTCAAACAGAACTACTGTTTCCCGATTTTGGTCCAGCGCGTGCGCTCGCGGTGTACGTTCGCAGCGCAGACGAGAGCTGGTCAAGATCTTGACCACACGCCAGGGGCAAACATGTCGCCGATAGTTCGCATCTCGCCATCTGTCAGCGGAAGGCTCATAACCTAAGACTCGGAGACGTGCAGGGCAAGGAGAAGTACCAGCAACTGAATTCACACTCCGCCTTTCGAAATAACCTATTCCGCCCGGCACTGGTGCACTACTGCTGCGCACTACTGAGCTCAGAGCCTCCAAGTCTTGCTGCATGTGCTCAGAACTCCTGAGCAATGCCAAGTTAAAAGTTTTCACAGCTTTCTGGTGCCACAAATGCCCTCCCTCACGAACGGGAAACTGTCGGACGCGACGTGAGCTCGTGGAGCTAAACTAGCCTTGTGTTGCTGACAAGCTTCTTAGTTCCTGTTAGCGGCTGGTGTCCTGACCTGATCATCGCACACAGGTGTCATGTCTCAACAGTTGGACAGGGGGACATGTAGATTCGGGAGGGCATCTTGCAGCGTTGTTCAAGCTTCTGATTATCCGCGTGGCTGGATCAGCCATCTGAAGAGAATCTGCGCAGGCGTGGCGCGCAAGCGCTGCGCTGCCGACTGCACCGGGGGCGATGCCTCAGGGGCACTCGCAAGAATGGCCAGAGATGCGAAACAAATTCTGAGGAACAGTTTTCCAGGGCCTCGCAGAGACCAACTAAGTGGAACTTAGGATTGACTGTTAACTCCTCTCAAGTCTATTGTGGGTCTTGAAATATGGACTTACAAATCCAAATCCCCACCTGAGAGTCCTTCCTGAGCCCTCATGATCTTCTTGACAAGCCTTCTTGACCTTTTTGGCCGACCTTTTTTTGCCCTCGAGCTGCCTGACCCTCTTGTCAAGACGGTGAAGGTTGTCGATCGATCTTGTTAAAGCTGTGGGTGCCCGAAGAACTTGAGGCTCGGAGCTGCTATCGTCAGGGAACTTAACTTTTCTTGCTGCGGAAATCAGCGGGGCCAGGTCGAATGGGTTCAACCCGCGGCCCGATTTAAATTCAAGCCGAGTCACCAGCACATGTGGATTCGCGGTTAGCGTCCAAAATGTTTGGTACGTGATGCCTTGTTCTCGGCAGAATTGGCGAAGCTCCAAGTCGTAGCCAGAATCCACGTAAAAGCGATTCTGCAACACTCTGGGCTTGATCCTGCCCGGGAAGGCAACAGCGACTCGCCCAAACTCAACTCAGTGACCTAGTGCCAAGCAAAGGAGCTCGCCTCACGTTGTCGTAGATTCGACGGAAAGTACGTGGGTCGTAGCAATTGCCTCGTTTGACCACGACAGAGAGCGCTGCCAGTAGATTTTCAGGCTTTTTCAGGTCAACCTTTCTTGTCGGGCTGCTTATGCCCAGTTGGCGGACTTGACCTTGTTCTGCAGCCTCAGCTGCGGCTCACCCTTGGGCCCCACACGCACAAGTTTGACAGGCACACTTCAGCACCCGTGGCGTTCACAAAGAAAAGCATACATGTCACACATGGATATGAGCAGCCTGAGCTTTAGACTTGTTCGAACACACGCCACACCTTCGGCTGTCCGATTTGCCGTGTGCTCCAAACTGCTCCGAATTAGTTCTTCGCCGTGCTCTCGTCTTCTTCCAGCCTCAAGGTTCTCCTCCAGCGACGGCATGGGCGAGTGCATCACCTCATGCAGCAGTATGTTGGGGCAGGGTAGTCGAAAGAGGAATTCAACAACCGATCTCATCAAACAATGACAGTCCATGGCCACGAGGCCAGCGAGTCGATGTAGGTGGTGCCGAGGTTCTGCAAGGATTTTTGGATGGACTGCTCCACTTGAGCAGCCAGGGGCGCCTCCAGAGACTGGGCCATGAGTCAATTTAAGTGCTTAGTCTGTGCCAGGCACGAGTCGACAGCAAAAAAGTTCACAGAGACTTGGTGCTGCTTGCCTAAAAGCCTAGGATGCCTTGGAATGCCTTAATGAGAAACCCGTGATTCTCAACACTTCACCCTTGCCTTGCTATCATACGGCACTCGATTCGGGTCCTGTCCTCGCAAAGGTGTGAACCTGCAGCAAACCCAGAATTCTCAGCTCGACGAGGTTCAAAGACCTCCCCCCCCCTGCATCGTTTTTGCACAGCTCATTTGACCTGCGTGCCATAGATTCACAATGGCGGAAATCAGCAATCAAATTCCACCACGGGACTTGGTCTGGATCCACAAAGCCTCGCGCGGAAGCTGCTCTTCCTGGGTATGAGACTGTCTCCAAACACTCGAGACAGTGCGTGTGCCATGCCAAGCACGCTGTGCAAGCATCACTCGATCATCAACCCAAGGGTCTGCAGCAAGCTTGGCCAATGCGGCCCCTACTAGATCCTCGCCTGGCGTTCGATCAGCGCGGTCCAAAAGGTTGTGCATGACGTTGCATGCACATTCTCCTTTGCAGTACTTGCTTAGGCCAGGTGCTACCTGGTTGCGATAGTGCTTCGGCTGGCAGGCCGTGTCGATTCCACGAAATCCCGCCCTGGCTCTGCATTTCAAATTTATTCCTCCTAACCTCATCTGACCACCAGCATCACTGCTGGTAACGCCCGTCCTCACCGCCTTCACCACCAAGTCAGTCGTTGCGGCTTCTTTCCAAGCAGTTCCATACAAGAATGGCAGTTGTGATAGATCAGCATCACCTCCTTGGCAAGGACGACGACTGTAGGCGAGAGGCCGTGCCTCCGACGGACGACCCACGCGACTGCAAGCTTATCATCCCGCGTGCTTTACTTCCTGACTCCTAACATGTTCGCGCTCCTTGGCAACTGGACTGAGCTTGTGTTGTCCTGGATCTTGATGCCATGACACCGACAGCACCTGCTCCTCCAAATTTCCCACTTGCATGGAAGTGCACAACAAGCACCAACGGCAACCCGCCTGCAGCTACACCTGCCATCCATGGCGTTTGCCGAGCTGGATTTGCTGTACCTTGCCCAGCCTGAGACGCTACCAGGCATGATCTGATGCAATGCTCTGTGAGTTCGAAATTGAACATGGCAACATGGTTTTGTGGGGATCGTGCCATCGTTGCAGCCACGAGGCTGGGCGAGGGAACAGCGCTGAGGCACGGGGCATGGGCACAGACACCGCCAGCCGCTCCGTCGCAGTCGACGCCAAGGTCCAGCAGCGCATGGAATCAGAGGCAGCTGTGCAATGTTCCGGGGTATGTGGATCGCACAGCCCTGGTTAAGAAGCGAACGGAGAAATACGACTGAAAAAGCCCAAGCAAATCCAAGAACCCTTAGTAGTGAAATTATGGCAACAGCTCCAACTTCAGGGGAACGAAGTTCACAAGCTGGGCATCAAAGCAGCTGCTGGGTGAGCGTCAACATACGTTGCACAAAAGAGGCCCTTACAACCTCCTGGGTGAGTTTCCGTGCTGAAGAAGCAGCTGGTCCAGTTCCAGGGCCCAAGCGCCATGATGTCGTACAGGGATGCTGCCTGAAAGAAGTTCTCAACACTGCAAGACTGCAAGCTGACCAACAGGTCGGCTGATCATCTGATAACGATGCCGGCGGTCACATGCCCAAACTCGCAAAGCCTCATGCAATGGCCGGGCCTGCTGCACCGCCAGTCTATAGTACCTTGCTTTGAGAGGCGCCACACATGTCAGATGAACTTGTAAACGCAGTGGGCGGCTAAAGTTGGCCGAGGTGCTGAAGGTCGGCTTCATTCACCTCTCGCAAGCCGGTGTGCGCCTGGACAACATGGGGTCTTGTGGCAAAGTGCTTCATCAGCCAACGCCACGCCCCCACACACTGATGTTACATCATCACGTCATCACGTGGAAGTGGGATGTAAGTGGACCAAATGGCTTGTGACGGCTTGCGCCTGAGTGGAGCCCCACGAGCCACAGCGGAAATCTGAGGCACCAGAAGAGCAGCAATCCTTGCCTCGTGGTGTGTTGGGCCGCATTGGGTCACTGCAACAAAATCAAACGCTCATGCATGTTGGTGTGTCTGGTGTCTCGGCTTTGAGTGAGTTCTTGTCGGTGACGTTGTGCTGTCACAAGTATGTATGCGCCCGGAATGAAGCAAGGCCATGTTTCGTTTTGGCGGTTGAAAGGGAGTCCATGCATAGCTGTAGGGTTGAAGTTGCCTGGGCGTTTTAGGCATTCCACACAAACTCGGAAAGAAAGTTGCTGAGCTCGAAATGCTGTTCAGAATGCTGCTGCCTTGCCTGTTTGCACATGCTGGCCAAGGAAGTAACTGCGGCCGTAAAGGACAACTGTAGTTCTGGAAACTTGAACGATCTTAAACACCCCTCGATCCAGTGAATCAACTTGCCACAGCGAGTACAACGAAGGGTATGCACACAGCGTGTGGCGATGTGAGGCAAAGTCCTACGGCCCAGAAGTCGTACGTCTGCCGCAAGGGTGTGGAAACACCAGGCCCGATGATAGGGGCCACCTAGGAGCCGACAGTGGCAAAGTCAAGGCAACCTGTCAAGGCAACCTTGAGATGCACTTGGGATACACTGAGCGCCTCACACAGTAGAGAGTCCCCTTCCTTAGACAAGCTTGAGCTCAATGCGAGACTGGTGGTGGAGGTGGTTGTTTGAGCATGCCCTGCAATCTGCTGAATTGCCGCGGGGCTTTTTTCGAGTCATGACAGTTCAGGGCAGTCTACACAAGGTTCAGTCGGATCAATGGTGGATTACAGCGCTTGAACCTGACTAGAGAAGATCATGCAAGTGACACGGTACATTCTACCATCAGCACGGCCGGATTCATGGATGTCCTGAACACAATGAAGATGGCGATGGGATTGCAGGAGTGCCCGCACAAGGCTGGCACTCTGCTGGAAGCGTAGCCTCAAGGCATCCTCAAGGCTGAAGCATGCTGAAGCCTCAGGCCTCTTCTGCAGGTGGCTCAGGGGGAGGTTCTTCACCCCCATCCACCACTTCGCCCTGGCGAGGCTCGCCCTCCACAGCTTCGACGGCCTCGGTTGGCTCAGCACCTTCTTCCGCCTCCTCTGCTGGAGCCGCCTCGGCACCCTCCTTCCCTTCGCCTTCTTGCTGGGCCTGCTGCTTGTCCCAATACTCCTGCTTCTTTGAAGCAATCTCGTCGGCACGCTTCTTCTCGGCTTCCTCACGGATCTTCTTCTCAATCTCTTCGCGCTTCTTGCGCTCCTCCTCTTGCTTTGCTTTGCGCGCCTTCTCGGCTTCCGCTTTTGCCTGATCGTCGCGGATAGAGGCTTCGTCTTTGGTGAAATAGATCTGGTACTTCTTGCCCGACTTTTTGCATCGCATTAGCTCGTTCCAGGCCTGGTAGCTAGTTTCAATCGGCACGCCATCGATCATGCTGATGCTCCACCCGGGCTTCACTCCGAGCAAGCGGGCTTGACATGACACGCGCTCCACCTCCGTGCTGCCAGTCTTCCACGTGAGCCCATGTGAGCCCATGGCGAACTCCATCTTGCAAATGCCCGGCTGCATGTCCACCATGGTGACGGCCTCTGCTTCGGACGATGAAGCCTAGCCGTTTGAGGGGCTGTTCCCAGCTCAGCCGAAATCTTCACTCGGCATGCTACATGCAACGTCTATTGCAACGTCTTGCAGGGACGCCCAAGAAACTTCTACAGCATGTTGAAGGCATGTGGCACCATGTCCTGCACGGGAAGGCCCGGGCGAGAATCTTTAAGTTCTGCATCACAAAAGCCGAGGCTCGTGAAGTGCCACGTCTTGTCAGCATCAAACATGCTTCCTGGCTCGAAGGTCAGAATGCCGGCGTCCATTTCCTGGGATGAAGTTCATGATAGTCCATGGCCACAGCACAGAGTAAAGATTCGACCTTTATCCGCCGAGTGCGCAACATCTTCACCGGACACAAGGGATGGGTTCCTTGGCCCACGGGTCGGCATCTCCATAGCTACAAAGCTTAATCGCTGTCTTGGCATCTGTGAAAGAAAATCAAATTCCGAGGAGTGATCACTCCGGCACCGTTGCTTCCCTTGGCGTCCTGTTTGACCGAAGCGATGGAACGGCAGAAACGCGCGACAGGGCACTGTGCACTGAGCAAAGATCAGCAAAGGTCACAACTGAGCAATGCACGCGCATTTCTTGGAGGGTGTAGTAGGGATCCTCGTAGGTTCGCAGGTTTGCCAACCTTGGTTCCCCATGTATGTGCTTCAAAAATCAGTGCACTGTCGTTAAGCCGGGGCGACCCTGCGAGGATGCCCCAAACAACGCAGATGGCTGCCTGGCGCCATCTGCAACTTCGCAACTTCAAGACACGCCGCGCCCATGCAAGTGAAGTCATCCACACGCCGAGAGCGTGGCGAGCACGCTAAAGAAAGTGAACCAAGTGGGATCCTCACGGTGCCAGAATGACAGAACACATTAACGACGGCCTAGGGCTAGAGTGGCTAAGGTACAGAACCAGCCACACAGTCGCTGAGGCAGAGACCAGTCAAGGCAGCAAGGACCGGTGAGCTCTCACACCCTGTCCACTGAGAGCTCTGCTGGGTCATACTTCCGAGCGCAGAAGGCTGCCAGGACGAAGACGACCCAAATCACAAAGACAGCGGAAATACCTAGCATGCGCTGCATCTGACAATGGGCATAGCCACCAGGACAGGTGGGATTTCTGTCCAAACTGTGGGCAGCACATAGCCACGCCAGAATTGGAGTCCTGCCACAATCAGCGCTGGGGCTCAGGAAAGGCCAACAAAGTTGCCAGGCAGCCCTTGTGTTGGCTGAGTCCGTGGCTTGTACATCAGGTAGGAGGAACTAAGGCTGAAGCAGTACACGAAGATCTCAGGAAGCGCTTGGCATGTGACCGAAGACCGTTCTCACGTTCTCAGTCACGTCGATGCTTCTCGAAAATTGCGTATCTGCAGCTTGGGGGCTGCCCAAGGGACAAAGACGTTCAGGAACATCGGCAAGACATTCATCCGCCTTGTTTGCACACTTTCGCACACGCTCCAAACATAAAGACACGCAATTTTCTGGCGCATTGTTCAATATGTTCGATTGCAGGTTCAGACTTGAGTCACTTGTGTCGAGTGAGCTGAGGCTGCTGCATCCGATGGCCCGGGGAAAAGAGCGCCGGCGGCTTCTGACCAAATGGGACAAAGCGCAGCGGCATGTCGGGGGCGCATCGCTGTCATGTCATTTCTGGAGAATCGCTGGCAAACGTCATGTACCACCCGAGTGGACCTTGAGGAGTGGGGTGACCTCTGCCGCATTAAGACCTCGCTCTCCATACCTGCGCGCATCAGCTCGGACAGCACCGCACTCATTGTTCTGGTACCTTCTACAAGTCTCCAAAGCAATTAGACCTGGAGGCATGCAATGAAAATCCCGGTGCGAGTCAGCATTGATGTATCAAGTCATGACACGCCCAGGCCCCGTGCATCTTTCTTGAATGTACAGGCCTGGAGAGCGAAGCAAAACGGCTTCGCTGTGGTCGATTCTTGATGCTTTCACAGCACTGCCAAACGTCCTACAACAGCAGAACGCCTGCCAGCAGCGCTGGTCAAGCAAGAGTTTCACTAGCGGAAGTTTCTGGAGCCAGAAGCTGGCTGCCGAAGGAACCACACTGTACTGATGAGCAAGTGAGCTTTCAATCAGCGCACGCTAAACGACAAATCGTACCACCAAGAATGTCAAATGTTTTTCCTGTTGCCATGAGAGCAGCCAGTCTTTGTACACGAGAGGCCTTCCCTCATGCAGCAAGCTGGGACCATGCACAGAAAAAAGCAGAACCGGAGCAACACCCACTGGTTCAGTTCGGGGTTTTAGGCACACCTTCCCAGCAGTCGCTCAGTCCAGCTATGGTAAGAGCAGCATAGTTTAGATAACAAATCTGTTCGACTGGCAAGCAGTTTCTGCTCGCGCAATCTGCAAGAGCCTTTCAACTTTCATCATTCACGTCAACGAGTCAACGCATGTGCATGCGTGGCAATGTCCAAAGTTGGAGATGCTGTTTGGCTATGGGTGCGGTGAGGTGTGATGAAGAAGGCTGGGTTCACGCAATGCCTTACTGGCTGGGCCCTACACATGGTGGCTTGCACTTTGACGCGAAGAAAACATAAGAAAACGTTCCGGGGCCAGGAGACTTGCATTGCTGTCTCTTTTGTTTGGGGCGACCTCTCGCCGAGGCTCCCAAAACAACTGGGGTGCCCGCAGCAGACGGGCATCACAGGTCTCGGCTGTGCGCACACGAACCGGCACTACGAGCTCGCTCGGATTTATCTTCAGCGTGTCTACGAAACATTCAGACCACTCACTTGTTGTTGCCGGCCGGAGGTTACGTCCCGAACGGAGGTTGCCTTCATGGCGCTTGCTGTTCTGGCTTGCTCTAGCCAACCTCGGTGCTTTTGCCTGGCACTTTCGGGGGTCACATAGGGGTACGGTCTGTTGAGTCTGGTGACCAGGTGGGACTGTCCGCCGAGGCCCCAGGCTTCGGCCAAAGAACATCTGGCACGGGCCGCATCGCAACTCAGAGGCCCTCCCCTCCGCCCGCCGTTTTGCAGGACCTCTCTGCTCTCGGGCCCACAGAGTGAAGAACCTAAACTGTTTTCCCAGGATGGGCTGCCTACACCATTGTACTCAGGCAAAGTTGCCACCCCTTCTACGTGGGCTCTATGCCTATGGACCCCCTGGAATCCCCTCTTATTGGACCCTGCACTTGCTGGGCAGACTCTCCTCATAGTGGACCCCCTATGGACCTCTATGAACCCGGACAGACACTAGGGACCCTTCTATTGGACCCCAGGCCGTGCTCTCTGGCCCGGACTTACATGGACCCCCAAAACCCTATGGCCCTATGGACTCACGAGCCCCCTGCCTGCGCACATGGACCTCTGAGAGTTTGCATGACCATTCTGGGGGGTCTCCTTCGAGGATATCCGTACGAGTCCCCCAAGGGTGTTCTAAGAGGGGGGGTAGTTCCCAAAGTATAACAATCCTGTGCGCCATGAGCTGTGGTTTGGGATGCCTTGGTGGCCCTGTGGTCAGGGAAACCTTTACCCTTGGATTGAGAGGCTGTGCTCAGCCGCTGTCTGATGTTTCAAGTTGAGGTCGGGCCGAGGCGGGCCGCATCAGCCTTAAGTTTTCACAGAAGTCCCCAAGCATCCAGGCAAATCTCACCGGCAGGAGAGGCACGGACGAGCGCAAGCATCAACTACTTGTTGATTGTGTGGATGCGCTCCTGCCCTGGTGCCTCCATCTCCGTAGAGACAAGCACCCCAAGCGCCTTGAAAAGCAACCTTACCCTTGCCAACATTGCGGATCCGAGCCAAGGACTTAGGGGGACAGGCATGCTGTGTATCTTGCAAAATCACTTTTAAAGTGCCCTGCAAGAAACATGTCAGTCCAAATCGCTTCACCCGCCTCCATACAATGAAAGTCAAGTGGATGCAAATAAACTCATTGTATTCGCTGCTGCAATCGCCCTCTTTAAGTCGACCTGTCGATACTACCATATCATACATCTAGTCTATGTCCATTGTCCTTCGCTCATACCATCGGAGAAGTGCACGGCTCTCAAAACGCAGGCTCCCAAGCTCAGTGCTTGCCGGACCTGGCAGGCCATAGCAGAGCTCATCAGGTTTCAGTTCCTGACTTGGCAATGCCTTGCGATGCCTTATGCAACGTGAGAATGAGCTGCGTGCGTTGAGTGAGATTTCACTTCGCATTTGGGCGCGGTGCCAATGCTCCCATCCTCAGATTCCATGAACCCCCTTGTGCCTGCTGCTAATGCAGGCTGGGTGTTCGACTCCACTAGACCCTTCGACTATTATTCTACTATTTTCTACAAATCTACACAGCAGCTCTGCGGCGCACCAGCCGTGTTGCCATGCACTTCTCCACATTCTTCTTCAGCGCATTCACTGCCTGCCACACTGAACAAGCGCGTGGCATCAGTCCGAGAACTTCACCAATGAACTTTTTCCGTCGGTGCCAGTGAAGCCGTTGTTCTGCGAACCCTTTCCCCCCCACCCCCCACCCTCGCAGGGCCCCGCCCCGCCACTCTCCCATCCCTACCCCCCCCCCCCCCCCCCCCCCCCCCCCCAACCCCCACCCTCACAGGGTCTATGTTACCGGCTTCAGCACCCCACCACTCTCACCACCCTAAGCTCCAGCACACGCCCACCCCGTCGGCGTCACGGCGCTAGCCGTTACAATAATCTAGTCATTCTACACAAAGAGGAGGACATGAATGTGCTCTTACTAATAGCACACCTGGGTGTCGTCATAATTGGCGAACCACACCTGCAGCGGATCATTTGCTGTGGACATGGCGGCTCTTGCTGAGCCTCATCTTGACACTGCAGAGACTCGGGAAAGCCTCGAGGCGAATGACACCTGCAGCCCTCGGCCCGGAAAGCTTGTCGACCTGTTAGTTTTAAATGTTATTTCGAGTGCAGTCTCTGAGCTGTGCACAATTGTTCACATTCACATGAGCTGACAACAAGTGAACGAACTGGGCCAGCAGCCAGGCGGAGCCCTGTAATCATATTGGCAGGCTCTATAGTGGCCCCGATCATGCCGAGTACGAGGTTGTTCCTTGCCGGATCCATCTTCTTGCGGGTCTTACTTGCACAGCCGTCTTCATGAGCTACAAAGGGCTCGGGCTAACAACGCTACGACTTGATTGAAGCTGCAGGTCAGCTCTCGGGCGCTGGCCAGTACTCGTCCACCTGCCGGAAGGATATGCAATTCATATCTGCTAGCATTTCTTGAAGGCTAGTTAAGCATATAGACAAAACGACATCACGTCAGATTCCGTTTGGCTCACATGGGTTGAAAGCCACCTGCCCGCCACCGATCGCGGGTTTCAGTTGGAACTGGAAGTGCCCTCCGGCTGCATTCATCTTGTCCTTGCACATAAATCTAACGCGGCTGTCGCCCACAGCCGCTACGCCCCAAAGCAGCAAGAACTACAGCATGGGCGCAAGGTGGAGGGTTCACCTTCTTTTCTGGAAAAGGGGAACAGCCGCAGCAGAAGCTCCAGCAGCAGCAGCAGCAGCAGCAGCACCACCACCACCACCAGCAACCTCTAAAGCTAGAGGCTCGTGGACCACGAGCGTAGCCGGATTTATGCTTGACGCATGTCGCCCCTCCCGGACGCTGAGCTGCAATGGCATAAAAGCCCTTCATCGCACTCACACACACACACACAGAGAGACACTTACTCATGAGACCCGAAAGCAGTCCTCCCATTCAGGACGAATGTTTTCTCTGAAAATCATCACTGCATCGATGACATGCAGCCTGGCTTGAAATATCCACTGAGCCTTGCAGCAAATTTCTAACGCAACCGCTCTGGGATCGAGGCCCGTCTGGCTGCTCGCGCACCATGCGCTTCTGCTGCAAGAGCTCTGACGGTTGCGGCCTCCACGGCAAATGACTGCAGGAAGAGCCACAGCAAGTGCAACTTAGACCCGGGCATGTGATTCCATAACTTCCAGAACGTTTGGACCTGCAATCAAGACACGAGAACGCAACATACTGACTGTAACTCACAGAATCCACCATCTCAATAGCTCTTCTAGCTTGCATGCGCAGCATCCTAGCGACTCTCTCCGGGCGAGCAGCCGTCGCAAAGCTGGCTACCTGGCAGATATCAATGATGATATCAATATCAACCGGCGCTACAGTTGCCCAAGACGTTTCGCACCTCATGCTGCCACTGGGTGGTGCCAAAGGATAAGCATGCATTTTCTCACCATTGATCGGTACCACAGTACTGCAACACTGAAGCACCTTGTGGGTGGCGTCGGAATATGCGGAGGTCTTGTCTGTGGACTGCATGATCCTGGCACACGTTGCACATTCATGCGGAAGCCGTCGCGTGGCACCAGGGCCAAGTTAGAGCCAAGCTTAATGGTTGACGAGCGTCTGCTCCCAGATAGACCAGGTATATCGCAGAGGTAGGTCCTCGAGTTACCCATGCAGATTGGAAACCCACACAAGATCACCAAACAATGAGGCGCCCCTGATGCCTTCTTAAGCATGTCGTCACTCTCGTCCGTCCCATCCGTCGTGAACTTCAGATTTGTGTTGAAGCCTGGGTACTTTGGCTGCGCTCTGCAGCTTCCCACCCCGTGCACTTGCAACATGTTCTCATGTTCTAGGGCCAGAGCTTTCGTTGAAGCTCAGGTATGCCATACCTGCACAATCGAGAGATGACCCGTGCTCATAATGTACATGCTCCAAGCGAGGCTTCAGCTGCACGCGCTGGCATTTCTGTCTCCTCCTGTGCTGGAAATGGCAGAAGCCATGGCAAGCCATTCCCTGGCCGGGACGGAGCAGTCAGCATCCAGGGGCATTCGCGCTCCAGGATAAAGCAACCAGCCCATCCCGACTGGCACTGTGCGAGCATGATGCGGCGCGCTCGCTGTGTGAGCACATGAAGCACCGAATAGCACCGGCCACAAATCACAGAAATCACCCAAATCACGTTCACACAGAACGGCTCCCCAACTTGGATCTCGTCGACTCGTCGACCCTTGTTGCTACAGAAAGACCACGACCACAAGCTGCCTTGAATCGTTGCCAAGATGCCGCAAGCGCTATGCCACTCACCTATCGCAGGTCACTCCACCGTCCCTTTGCGGCAGATCTCCAACAGTTCACGTGCTAGACGTCCATGCAGAACCAGGGGCATCTTCACTTGACTTAAGCTTACGCCTGGTAGTTGTGGAGACAACGTTGACGACATCGAGCTTGCAAATTGCTGGCGCACTACACGGAACGCACCTCTCGGCGCAATGTGCAAGATGGGCACTGCCAAATCACCCTGCTCACGAAGGCCCCTATATGCTTCAGCTTCCGAGGAGAGAGCGGCATCCCAATCCAGGACATCTTCCCGCGAGACTTCACAGCCCGCATCGACTTCAACACAGAGCTGGAGCGAAGGCTTTTCCGAAGATGTGTCCTCCGGGAGATGCAGGAGCACGGCTCCACGCACCTTGTCTGCAAGAGCGCTGTTCGCCAGCGCCCGCACGAAGACATAGTCCTGAGCAGATTGGGCACCAAAACGATTCCTGCATTTTCCTCCTTGTGAAAATTATGAAGAGGAATCTACAACACCTAGTTGGTAAGACTCAAATCCGTTGGGCGGCCGGCAGTTGACCTTCAGGCAAGGGAAGATACTTGTCAGCACGGCCCTCCAGTGATACCAAAGGCATCTGACCCACCTTGCCTCAAGGCAAACAGCGGTCTATCTTCGAGGCTCCCCTGAAATTGCCACCCCATGCTTGACTGATGAGAAATTGCACCATCTTAAGGGGGCAGTCTGCAGCTCGTTTGAGACCTTGCCAAGGTACCGACCACCCTCACCACATCGCCGAGCCTGTACCGGCAGAGGCCACCGCGGGTTGTGACCAGTATCTCATATCTTTGCCCCACCTCCACTTCCCAAGCCCGCAGTGCGCAGCCCTTTGTACTGCTGGATTCGCTGGATCGGCCCGGTGGCATCTGCAGAAACTCGAAGACCACACTACCAGCATCCAAGAGGTATTCAGGTAATCTGTTTTGCGAAGGAAAGAGGTTTACTCCCAATAGCCCCTCTGTAGAGGCATAGAACGGGGAATAGATCGGAATTCCGTCTAGCAGGCGTCTCAGTCTTACCGCAGTGGCTTCAAAGTTGCCGCTGGTGACTGTTATCACAAGCTTCATTCGGGGCCACAGACGGTGCGCAGACAAGCCTTGACCAAGCTCGCCAAGCCCTTCGCGTATTTCTTGCGCTCTATCAGGATCTGGGCCGCCAGCAGCCTTCAAATATAAGGCTAACGGCTGACGTATTCTTAAGTGATCTTCATGTTTTGGCTTTGTAACGTACCTGGCCGAATCCCACTCTTCGCCTGCTCGCTGTTAAGTATCGGAGTGTCTTGCTTACTTTCTTCACTCTCTCCCTTCTTGCACTCTCCGTTGCCCTGCGCCTGCAGGGCAGCATTCAAAGCGGCCTCTGCCTGCGAGCCAGCAATCGGATCTTCCGGCCGCTGGTGGCTCCAGATTCGTCCTTCCTCGATGTCGCAAGCTAGGCTTGGGCCGTGGTCTTGGATGAAATCCAAGAAGTCACAAATGTTGGAGGCGAAGTTCGCTTCCAACATGCCCAAGCTACGATCCTTCAGCGCAAACACGGCGTGGGCATACATGGCATCCGCTTCGTTTAAGATGTCATATGCCGCCCGAGGGCTCGAGTAAGCGCATAGCAGTCGGTCAAAGTTCTTGCCTCGATGCGGCGTGGCGTAATTGAGTTTTTGGGTCATTCGCTCGGAGTCCGGGAATGGCGGAAGGAGACGTAAGGGTTGTGCAAGATGTCCTATATCATTCGATCTTCAGCTAGCTGCACATTTGGTCACGCGTGTACGGGTGTTGTTCGGGATCGCGGTGTTTAGGGGGATGGCATTCGCATGAGCCCATTTCGCCCTTTCCCCAACCCTCCCCCTCTTGCCTTAAGATTCCAAGGGCCCCTGACCATAAGACCATAAGATGTTCACGGATCTTCGAGCCATGAGGCCGGGGCCTCGAAAGCCAGAGCCTGCTGCAAGTGAGTCGGAAGGGAACACTGTCGGGCAGCTGGTGCTTAGCGAAAGCTCCCAGAACTGCAGATGCATCATGGGAGGGGGGAAAAAGAAAGAGAGATAGAAACAGAGAGACAGACAGAGAGACAGTGTGACTGAGAGGCTGAGACAAGACTCTTATCTGCGATTGCCGGTGGACATGCCCCCATGCCAAATCCATATGGAGTTGCATAGGGGGCAGGGGGTAGTGAAGATGGTCCGAATTCAAGCGCTCCTGTCATGCATCCGACTAATATTAGAACAGAGTGCCTGCACATCAGCAAGGGATGACAAAACCACCTCGGCCTCCGGCCGAGATTGCCATCCCCTGCAACAGCCGCTGAAGCCCTCCTTCCTCCTGAACTCATGACGTGTGTGGCGATGCACCAAGCGACATATGACTTTGGCTCTCCTTCGTCTGCGACGGCGCCCGCGAGCATTTACAAGCATAATCTCACGGTGGCCAGGACTCCACCGGTTTATTTCACCAGCATCAAATGGCTTTCTCGGGAAGGGATTGTGGAACTAATGGCTAGTTCTTCTCGGATCTTGGGGAAGAAAGTCAAATCTAAACAACGACCCGCCACCCAACCACACCCATCGAGCCACATACCCACCGTACTTGCATGGTCCTTGGGCACAGTGCTCGCCTGGATGTACCCCCAAAGATGTGCGTAGAAGTTCGTGTTTGTGTCGTGCCGCTGCGGGCTGGGGGGTCCTTGGCGTTTGCCGGGTCTGTGACCGTCGTATGTGTTTTCAATGCCAGTGGCCTTGGGTGTGGTTGCCGCTGCGGAGGGCATGTGGTGGGGGTGGTGCGGGGGTAGATTCCCCATACTCGAGGGAACTCCAGGAATCAAACAATGCCCTAGCAGATTCCACATGCTCCCTCGCATAACCCCTGCCCAGGAAACCCTTTAGCCTGTATTACTTTTGTCCTTCTTGCAGAAACCCCAACTGCATTGACAGGGCTTCATTTAACCACATTCTGTCTATGGAAGCGCTTGGGAAGCCAGTGAGAGGACAGCTGTCTTCCAAAACTGAATTATAGGAGTCATGGCTTCTGAGAGACAAGCCATGAGACGAGTGCTGAAATGCTGTCGCCACAATGCTCAGCATCCAGCGAGTATTCTCAGGAGCACGAGATGACACAGGAGATCATGAGAGAGTCAACGAACCAGAGGTCTGGGGAAAGCACGGAAAAGCGCAAGAGCCAGAGGCAGGGCACGGATGCGTGGCATATATGAAGGCTTCCTTCTGTAGCAACGGCGGTTCACTACGTCTACTGGAATCCTGGAAGGAAGCGTGCGGTTAGCTGTGGAATATTTGCGGGGGTCCGCGTGGTCTCAGGCGAGCGTCTGCAACATGGTGCGTGCACACATTTTAAGGCCCACCATAATCACACTAGCCATAAACGAAACTAAGAAACGATCTCTGACAACTGATGCAGATGGTAATGCAGCCAATATAGCCCGGATGCTATCAGGTGCCCGTTTGCAGCCAACAGCCAAACCAGAGTCCAGATGCTGCAAATTGGCTCTGAATGCCAGCTTTAAGTTCCGTTGCAGCGTCCCCGACCTGGCGAGTTCTCGAAGCATGTTCTCACTCCGTGTACTAGTGCCTCGTTTAAAAGTGGCACACGCGATCAAGTCAGCTTCAACTAAACAGCTCACCATTCCTCAGAGCCCGATGTGCAGGGTTGCAGCCTTGTACGCCCTCAAATCAAAACTTCCACATACTCCAAGTCACGCCTCTGGAAAGCTCTTGTGAATCACAGCCAGAGCTACACTGCCACCGCGTCCTTAAGGATCTCACGAATTACGGTAACAGCTCAAGTCTGCCATCCAAATCCAAACAACCAAACCTGGAAAACTTCGGGGGGTCGTGTCTGTCAGGTGCTGCGCTGCCGAAGTCCCCACGAGCCAACCCGTAAGAACCGAGAAGCGGTAGAAAGTCCAGCCGATGTCCGGCACGTCAGGTAGAAGCTTTGGAGCACCAGCAGTGGCCTTACAGTTTGTCGGTTTTGCTCGACTTGGTCCCTTGTTCCGCACCGTGCCTGGCAGAGCTTAACTCAGCTATTCTCCTCAGCTTCTATTTGCCCGGGTCTCCTGGCAGTCCTCCTGCCCCCAACCGCAGGGTATCCTGGGAGTGCCCTCTCTCCGAAAACTCCGCAGAGCATGTTTTCCCAGAGAATCCTGCAAAGATTGAGGTGCAGAGAATCCTGCAGATTCAGTATCTGGAGCGCCCCGCAAACATTCCCACACCAGATCACACCAGTTTCTCCGGAGTCCCCGATTAAACGAAGTTCAGGATGGGGATGTTCGAAGTACACACCAGCCCATCTGAAAACACAAGAAATTCTTCCTAAGAACTGAGGAGGGGCAGAAGTCATGGCCAGCAGATGCGGTCGACCTGCAGCCAGGACATTAGCCTCACCGGCCTGAATGCGCGCGATGTAAGGCTCGTAATGCGAGTAATTGGTGATAGGATGGTGCTGACGAAAGGCATCCCAACCAGCCACATTCTGCAATCCCTCCATTCGGCCATACTCGGTAGACTGGTGCCTATGCAGAAGCTCCCGCAGTAATCGTCCTTGGACCATTTCACCATTCTCGGCGTCAGCAAGAATCCGACGCAGCCGAAACATGCCGCTGCATCTCAAAGGTGTGAAAAGTGCCTGCGTGTCAGGGGTCTGCCTTGCACTCAAAGGTCTATGGCCTGTTGGACGAGGACCCTAGCACTTCAACCGCACAAAAGGAGACATAAGGAAAGAACAAGCCGCGTGTTGCTGCACGGCGGTACACAAGGTGTGACCATCCGACCACTCCCTCGATCTCACCTGCCAAAGCGTTACAGCAGCCGCCACTGAAGCTGCAGCAGCGGCGTTTTTCCAAGCCTCCCCCATCTGCTGCGACTTGAGGGAGCTTCATGGTACAAGGCTTGAGCCAGATGCCTATCATGCCTGAAAGCCCGGCATGCGAAATGCCAATTGGAATCTCTTAGAACCTGGTGAAGATGAGGTTGCATGAAGTTGCATACCCCTCATGCAGGACCACATATACCGCAAGCCATTTGCGGCTGAACTCATTTCTGCATGCGCAAGGACAGACGCTTCTGCTGTTGCGACTGGCGTTGAGCAGCTAGCTTCAAGCTGCAAGCCACATGCCTCACCATTCTAGCCCAAGACCTTTTCTTTGAAAGTCGGCCCTAGGTTTTCTTTGGGCCAATCCTGAGCAAAGAGCGATCGGATCTGCACAACTACGGTTTTTATCGCTTCCAACTCGCACCTAGTAGGCCGGTCGGCTCTCCAGAACGCAGGTCCGTCGCTTTGACATTGACCTCTGCCGGCATTTTCAGTCAAGGAATCTGTGTCGGACTTCTTGAAACGTTCGGCGCCACTCCACGCCTATGCCTGGGAAGCCTCCGGATACATGTCCTTGACCTCTTCAAGCAACAATTCCTGTCCTGTTTTTGTAAAAATTGGTAAAATCTACAGCTCAGGCAACCACCAGGCGAGTCGGCAGTCTCAGAAAGAACTTCTCAAGTCAAGTCGGTGAGTTTCATAGAGTTCCATAAGGAACGAGCAGGCAAAGGAGGTTGCAGAAACCTTACGCACAATGCCGCCTGAGAGAACTGAACTTGCAACATTGTGGACATCACCGGACCCTGCTGACACCCCCCGCCACTCTCTGCCCAAGACAGTACGAATTATCCTGCCAGCTGGGCTAGGCCACGAGTGAAACTCTTCAAGCCGTGTGCAAGCCAGAACTCCTACAGTTTGCGGGATTCCGGAAACAATCCTGGAGATGCGCTAGGTCAAATAGGAGCGTTCAGCAGAAACGAAAAACATTAACGGACGTTTGAACATGAAAGCCAGAACAGCAGGCGTACCATGAAAGCTGGGCTGCTACTTTCACTCATTGAGGCTAGAACGATGTCTCCTGCCTATTCCTGCATCTGAGGACTGAAGAGCACGCAACGGGTAGAACTATCGAGACTCATGTTGGACCAGTACTTCATTTGAGCGCTCACTGCGGCTCAGGGGTCTGGCATGCTGGCCTCAGGCACAGAGCTTCAAGACTGCAATGCACCAGAGCACTGGACGACAAATGCTCCTTACCTTACAAGACATTAATAAACCCCACGGGGGTGTTAACCGTACAAGGGTTCAGAGAGACGCATGGCGAAAATACCACGCCTGCCACGCGAAATGAGCACTGCTTAAAACTCCAGTTTTGGACGTCTTTGTCGCGCATACAAAAGTCGAAACCCTTTCCTGGAGATGTGGTTGTTGGTGAAGGTTTACTCTGTTGTAGAAAGCGCAAACATGCTGCAAATAGCGGTGTTCTTGGGCATATTCGCAAAAAGGCAAAAAGGCATCAACACTTGTGACAGCACGTCTGGTTGCAGAAACATCAAACATTCCTCTTGAAGTATGTTCCTCGCAAACGGCAAAAACGCTGAAAATTCCAGCATTGTGGCCATATTCGCAAAGGGCTTGCAACAGCGCGGCTTGTTCCAGCAAGTCAAGGAGCCTTTTTGCAGCATCTTCAAAAGAGGCACAAATGCTGAAAGTTCCAGTGCTTTGGCATGATTAGAGTATCATGGTCATAACATGTCATAACCAAGCCCCCCACCCACCGCACCTTCTACATAAACGTGCATTCGCACGGTCATAACTTCTAGCAAGAGTCGTCATCGACCTTTGCAGCCAAGTCGTCATTAATCCTCTTCAGCTCCTGCAAGCTCTCTAGCTCTCGTTAATCTCAACAGAGTAGGGCTCCTTCCTGAAAAGTCTACCATGCAGTTGCGGCTGCACCTCCATCTCGCGTGTCAGCCGATCGACGGTCGAGCGCAGTGTCTGGCTCTCCTCTCGCATTCGGCCCACTTGAGCCTGACATCGCACAGAGCTTCTTGCAGGCCGCGTTGTGTCATGCTGCATCTACATGTATGTGAGCCAGGATGTAGCCATGAGGGATCCTCCAGGACTGACAGTACCATAAAAACACACCCCACATAAATAAATATATATATATATGTATATATATATATATATGTGTAAAAAAAGTACAAGTACACATATATATATATATATATGTATATATATATATATATTTATTTATTTTCATTTATACACATATATATATGTATACATATATATATGTATACATATACATGTAAAAGTATAAGTATACATATACATATATGTCTATGTATATGTATATGTGTAGGTATTTATTTCTAGTTGCATTCATATTCATATTTAGGTTCTTAAGGGCTCAGGCCACGCGCTTGGAAAGCAATGGTCGATTACCCCGACAAAGCCCACGAACCTGAGGTGCAAACCGAGACGCCCTCAAGCCGAGATGCGGAGCCCAGTATTCTGGTGGACTATATGAGATGATGGTGGGCACTGCGGTGCGTAAGCAAGGACAACGGGATGTCAACGATCACACGACGAACATCTAACTAATCCAGCACAGCTGGCAATCCAGATTCATGGAACAGCGCCACTGCATCGTTGTCAGCCCCGGCCTGCAAGCCGGGCAGGTCTCCTTCCTGCGGCAGCATCGCAAGCGCCTGCTCCTCAGTCCTTGTCGCTCACGACACATCCCAGCCAAGGATGCAGAGCCCAGGGTCGCTTCAGGGTCTATGGGTGCCGCTTGCACTTTTGCCTTCTGCAAGCCTCAAATAGCCTCAAGCCTCCCTCAAAGTTTAGCCAAAGCTCAGCGCAAGATGTGGAAGTGGGGCAGCCTGCCAGGCGCGGAACTTATTTTCTTCGACATTCCCACTAGCAGGCTTGTAACCACCTTGCAAATCCTATGGAAACGTGCATATTTCATGGTTGGTAGCGGGCGCATAGGGCGCCGTGCTGTTTCACGTGTTTTGTAGCATTGTGGAGGCTTTTCGGGCCTTGTTGCAATCATCCTGGGGTGGTGAGGTTAGTACCGGTGAGGAGGGGGCAGAGGGGAGAGAGGGAGGAGAGGGAGGAGAGGGGAGGAGATGGGAGGAGAGGGGAGGAGAGGGAGGAGAGGGGAGGAGAGAGAGAGGGAGGAGAGGGGGAGGAGGGGGGGGGGGAGGAGGGGAGGAGGAGAGGGGAGGAGGAGAGGAGAGAGGAGAGGGGAGGAGGAGAAGGGAGGAGGAGAGGGGAGGAGAGGGGAGGAGGAGAGGGGAGGAGGAGAGGGGAGGAGGAGAGGGGAGGAGGAGGAGAGAGGGGAGAGGAGCAAAAACACTTCTAGCTCCATTCAATGTAGGACGGCATGTCACCAACTGCCAGACAAAACGGATTCAACTCCTGTCGTCAGGTTACTGGTTGGTCCAAAAGCTGCCGGGTGGTGAAGAGGCCTGATTTGTTCGAAACCGTACTAGAAGCTAGGAATTCCACTGAAGCTAGGAATTCCAGCACTTGTAGCATTGTAGCACCGCAAAGGCGCACCCAGATCGTAAAGCGCGCCGCGCGTGCGATTGCCCCAGCCCCGACCTGTCGCTGTGGGCGGGCGGCCTGAACGAGGGCTCCACAACACTGGGTGCAACCAGAAGTCAAACAAGCACTGCACAACATACGATAACACACGTGCATCAAGCGAATCCAAGCATGCTTCCGGTTTATCTTCAGCTGCGGGACAAGATCAAGGCGCTGCGCCAAGCGCAGGTTCGCCTGCTGCAGGTCCTCGAAACACTCGACAATATCGATATGTCGATCTGCTTATTTCGGTGTGTTACCTGCAGGCGGCGCCGTTTTTTGTTCCTTGGTTGCCTTCGGTTCCTTTCCCGAAGTCTACATACATGGTCTCGACGCTACACCCGCCCCAGACTCCCAGACTCCCCAAACAAAAAACGATCCCCGCCCTGACTCTTCAGAACTTGGGGCCCGCACTTGAACAACGCAACACAAAAGCGCGAACCACGTTGTGTTGGTTCGTGTTGGTTGTGTTGTTGCTTTCTTTTGTCTGTTGTTATCTCTTGTTGTTTGCCGTCGCTTGTTGTTGCTTGCATTTTAGATTGTTTGCTGTTGCATGTGGTTGTTTAGTCTTTGCTGTTCCACCACCAAATTATTTTACTTCGAACATCCCCACCTTCAGGGAGCCTCTGGGGTTGGGCACTCCAGGGAGTCTCTGGGTTGGGCATTTCAGGCAGTGTCTGGGGTTGGACATTTCAGGCGCTTGGGCACTCCTGTCTTTGGGTGGCTGGGCACTCCAGGAAGTCTCTGGGGTTGGGCACAGGGAGTCTCTGGGGTTGGGCACTCCAGAAAGCTTCTGTAGTTGGGCACTCCAGGGAGTCGCTCTGGATTGGCCCTCCAGAAAGTCTCTGGGGCTGGGTACTCCAGCTATTCTCTGAGATTGTGCACTCCAGGGGTTGGGCACGAGTTTCTGGGGTTGGGCACTCCAGGGAGTCTGTAGGAGTAGACCGGGCGAGGAGAAGAGTTCCGGGCAAGGAGAAGAGTTGAGTTTAAAATCGGACAACCCCACACCGAAGGTGGTGAAAAAACCCAAAAACAAAACCCCACTATCAAAGGACACCTCATTATAACAGGCGAGGATTTAGTTGACCTTTGTGTGCTTTGTCCTTCTTTGTTTTGTCTAGGCGAGGAAATAGAGAGGCCCTAGGGCCTTGTACGCAGCCTGGCGAAGCTTCACCCACAGCGATTTGCAGCTGGAGCTTCTTTGCCGATATTTCCATTGAAATGCTCGGGAGAAGACAGGGCAACGCTGTACTTTCAAGCTTCTCGTCCAAATACTCCAAATGGTCGCGATTATAGTTATGGTTGTTGTCGTTGTCGTCGTCGCTGTCAAGGTTCATGTTGCTGCTGTCCCTGCTGTTGACTGTTGGTGCTTGGTGTTGTTATCGTTGTTTGTTGTTGGTGTCGTCGTTGTCGTTGTCGTTGTCGTCGTCGTCGTCGCCGTCGCCGCCGCCGCCGTCGTCGTCGTCGCTGTTGCTGCTGCTGTTGCTGCTGTTGCTGCTGTTGCTGGAGTTGCTGCTGTTGCTGCTGTTGCTGCCGTTTGCTGCCGTTTGCTGCCGTTTGCTGCCGTTTGCTGCCGTTTGCTGCCGTTTGCTGCTGCTCCTGCTGTTCCTGGTGTTTGTTGTTGCTGCTGTTGCTGTTGTTGCCTGTGTTGCTGTTGTTGCTGTTTGTTGCTGTTGTTGCTGTTGTTGCTGTTGTTGCTGTTGTTGCTGTTGTTCTAGTGGTGGCGGCTGTGGTGGCGGTGCTGGGTGTGGATTGTGGCTGCTGGTGGTGGTGCTTGCAGCTGTCGTGGTTGCGGTAGTGTGGTGGTGGTGGTGTTGTGCTCAACTGCTTGCTATAAGGGAACTGAAACATCTTGCGGCTCTTTCCCTTTCAAGCCAAATTTGTTTCCACATTGACGAACAAGCTCGGCGAAGAATATCTTGGCTAGCACGCAGGCTTTCCTGAGCATCAAGACATACAACAACGTGCCACTCGCTGCTTACGCATCGCCTAATATGACAGCGCTTTGTCCTGCATATCGGTGAAAAGCCGGTCTACTGTCTGCAGCAGATCGCGGCCCTCCCGTCGAATTGCATCGACCTCGACCTCAACAGCTCATGCGGGCAATCCCGCGTTGGAAATACATTGGAGGATGCCCTCCATGCAGCACACTGTCCATCACTTTCCGGCCTGCAGTCCAGCCATTGTTTCCTCGTCTCCTGGTCACCGCAAGTCGATTCGAGACTTGGGAGGCCCTGGTTTGCTCATGCTCTCGCCAGAGAATCAAACTAACACATATAACAAGTATGAAAAGCATTGAAAGCCGCTCTCCTGCAGCGTCTTCGCGGACGTGGGCTGGGCTCTGACGCTCCACCGCAACCTGAACTGCCTGCAAGACGACATGGGTCAGCGGAATTCAGCGCAAGCTCATATGCTGAAGACGAATCTGCCTGCTCCAAGTTGCCCTCCTCAAGAGCTACCTCAAGGATGTTGCGGAGCCGCCCACGCAAGCTCTCCAGCTCTGATGTCGCCTGACCACGATCTGGCTGCCTAGTTGGACCTAGTTCAGGCACACATCTGCGCCTTCTCCAACCCAGGGGGTTGTTCCGCAACCTGTACAGAGCATTCATCAACAATGCCAGGAGCTCAACATTGCTCAGAAGTCCCCACGCTACTGTGCTCGATTTCCCACCTCGTCCGCTGATAGCGGGTCCTCGTTCGATGCTGGAGCCTCAGAGGCTCTTTTCAAAGGGCGTGTCACAGTAGGACGGAGCAGGCAAGCGGCGAAGATCGGATCTCCCGGCCCTTGTTTTGACCCGCATATCGGCGTCAGTGGGGCAGTCGGAATCACGGTGCAGCTCTGAGTGCTACTCAGATGCACCTATCTGGGCAGGCAGCAAGTGGACAGTGAAGCCCATTGTATTCGCAGGCCCAAATGACCCAAAGATACCCAAAGCATACATTAAATTCAAACTAGATGGAGTTAGGTTGCCGGAAACATATCCCAGCTGCGAGCTTTCTCATGACTCGGCGAGTGCCCATTTGCCTTTGCCTGTCCTGGAAGAGTCTCGACTGCAACGAAACCGTGAACAGTGCTTGAGCAGTCGATTGATTTCACACGTATGCACTGGTCTGGCACTGCAAGAAGCATCTCGCGTAACAGGGCATCAGTTCAGACAGTGGGTAATCGGGCAAGTAGCAACGGCAAGCAGAACTGCAACATTGTTACAGCCCAGTCAGTGCCTTTCAGGTGCACACGTCTTATGCGCACGTTCTTTTCGGCAACATTAAGTTGCGGCGCATTGCCCATTGAAGAAGAACCCCGGTTCACGGATAGCAGCAACAGGCCTAGAGCAAGAGATCCTAGAGTCTTAGAGCGTATCACAACCACACGCTCGCTGAATGGGCTAAGCGCAGCAGTCACACAGCATCTCCAGGATGGAAGGTGTTGAGCGCAATGCTGCACCCAAGGCTGCTTGCGGATTGGGTTCCCATAGGCTCTGCCACGTTACCACTCGTTAGTCGCATCTGATCCAGATTGGACAAGCACTAGCAGCTAGCATCAACTACGTGCAAGAACACAGGCGACGTGTCCGAAAGCAGCCGGCGCAGCTACACCAAACTGAAACACACAGCATCATACAGCAATCAGAAACAACTCATGCAATATATGTGCATACATAAGTAGGTAAAGCGCAGAATAGTGACTAGTGTAGACAACACAAGTGCATGGAATCTCGCGCGCTCTGCTTCCATCTGTATACAGAGAGCTGGCACCTCAACTCTGGACGTTCTCCGAAACAAGCGAAGGGCTCATTCTCGCAGTGTGACGAGAACAAAAGGGTAAGCCGTTTTAAGCCAGAGTCGGGGCTTGCATAAACGCAGTAACAAGGGCAGCACTCTCAGAAGTGCTGGCAGCAGCGTTCATCATCCAGACGCTAGATGAAGTTATTCTTGCTGTCACCGGATTTTTCCTCGAACTTGTATGGTCGGATTAACTCAAGACGTGCCAGGCCCTTCAAAGACTGATCCTCGTCCATGGCACAAAGAGTAATCAGCACGTCCTTGCCATTTGGGTCGATCTTGTACTTGCAACGATCCACCGCCAGGTACCCTGGCATCGTGTTCGAACGAGCTGTCCATACGTAGCCTTCGCAGTCAACAGCTTGCATGGCGAAGTTCATGGACAGGAAGTCCACGTGCACATCACGGAAGGTGGTTCCTAAGGGGCTGAAGTGCTGTGGCGTGATGCGAATGCGCACACGTCCCGAATCCTTCGGCGATGTCGCCTTGGAGTCCTCGCTGGACACGCTGCTTGCGATGCTGCGGGCTTTTGAAGCAACCTCCTTGACCTTGTCCATGTCCTTCAGGCCCATGATGCTCAGTTTGGTCTTGTCTGTCTTCATAGGATCTTCGTCTAAGTTCTCGTAGCGCTTCTCCTGGAGCTTCTCTTGCTTGACATAAATGCTGCTAGTCCGTGTGACAAGGCCTGGGCTCAAAGGAGAAGACGCCATCGATGCTGCGCTCTTCTTGGGGTTGACTTTACGCTTCCACTGCGGCTTTGCCTCCGATGATGATGCACCACTTTGCTGTGGACTGCCGCAATCACTTCCGGGATTGTTGCGGTCCATACTCGTCAGCAACTGCAAGAACTCGTGGTGCGATTGCTCCAGCACTGCCTTCGCGGTGCTGTAGATGTGGTTCGCGACCTCAGTGATCTCTTGACTTGTTGGCTTCGTAGTTGGGTTGTCATCGTGCATCTTGTCGGAGCCATGACTTTGAGAGGAAGCCTCGACGACCGGGTGGCACTCGGCATGCACCGGGTGCGAGGAGCCATACCCGAAGTCACGTGAGGCGGCTTTAGATTCAACTTCGCCTGGCAAGTGCCGGCTGGTTCTTCCATGTTGCTGGTTAGACAAGGTTAGACTGCGAAGTTCAGCCTGACATGAACTCGCCTTGAATTTTGCACCTCGCCCCCCTTTGCAACAAAGCGATTTCACTGGGCTCGTGGAACTAGGACCCACAGCCCAAACCTTTGTTGCTGCGGGACTCTAAGCGAGTAAAAGATGACGCGCGGCCTGGACAAGAATGCGGCTTTTTTGGTTCTGCCATTTGATTTCATCAAGCCTTCGACCCTCCCGGAACACTCCCACACTCCTGCCACCCACTTCCCTCCCGCACAGTACATATCGGTACATGGTCCCGTTGAGGCTGGAGTCGAGGCCACAAAGAAAGAAGCATTGAGAGCAGAATTGGAGCACTACATGAAACCACATGCACCTGCTGCACGGAAGGCTATTGCACACATGCAGCTGACCTGTTGTCATACTTCCCTTTGCAGGCCTGCATCTTTGAACCATTCGGACATCTCCTCCAACGCTTGGTCGAACTTCGGTGAGCATTGCCATGCCATCAGATTTCCTGCCATGCCCCGCTCTCAGGTGAAGTCGAGCAGCAGCTGATGCGACTTGAACTACACAGCGGCCCACCTCGAAGTAATCAGCTTTGCAGCTGAAGGGATTCGTGGTGGACGGTCTAGCACCGGCTGAGTGCTTGAGCCATTCCCACTTCGGAACAGCTTAAGCTCTGCCAGCTGCAAGCAAGATCAGGCAAATCACCTTTACAGTCAACGCTAGCAGTCAACGATTTGCAGCCATGCGGCTTCTCGGGGAGCCGCATCTGGTGCACTCTCATCGCTGCCCTCAAGGCATCTAAGATACTGGCAGTCTCTGTCTGATCGACTCCATGAATGAATGATTTTGCATGTGCCTGCACTGGCTGCGCCGCAGTTGGGACACCCTCTTCCTTCCAGACGAAACCAACCCTACACTGCACGCAATTTCTGCAGCGACATTGGCACAGCAAGTCCTTCTGAAGGGCTCGGAGAGTCTCCTCCAAGCGGCCGCAGAGAGCCGCCTCGACATGGCACAATACTTGCATCCCTGGCGCACTCCCTCACCCTGCCTCACAGTCTTTCGCACTGTGTCACAATGTTTTCACCAGACAAAACAGGGACGCTGAGCTCAGCCTTGCCTCGGCCAGCACCCCTCGCAGCTTCACAGCCGTGGCCTCTACATCGGCACTTCGTTGGTCAGCACCTCCAGTGCCCAATGCCGAAGAATCCCCCCGTGCTAAAGCGTCTCACCGCATCCCACCGAATCTCGCCGATCGCCACACGCAAAGCCAGCACTTACTGAGTCACATTAGGACGGCCCACTCGCAACTCTGCTAGTCGTATGCGCTGCCCTTCGCACAGTCCATGCCTTCCTGGAGGCAACGTGCGGAGGCCAAGGCATCTGCAAGCTGCCCGCACCTACAAAGCATGCAAAGCTTCCGAAGCAATGGCATGCACTCGAGTGCCACGAAGCCATGCTGGACCGTGCCAAGGCACTCTGCTGCATGTTGTAGGGCCTGCCGGAAAGTTGAAGGATGTGAAAGGGGAGATTCTGAGACTTTCCTGTGTCAGCTTCTGGTGGGACCATATGGCTCGTATTTCTCAAAGAAGGCTAACCTGGCATGCGATTCCAAGGGCAGCCACGCAGTAAGACTCACTCCTTTAATACCCTTCTAGCTGGGTGATGAATCCTAGGGTCTAGATCTGTGGGGCGGTTACAATAAGCCTGGAAACAGAGGTTGGGTCTCAAGGTGTGATGGGTGAACGAGGCTGCTGAACAAGAGTGAGAGAGATGAATGGTACGGTTTCGATGTTGGGTTCTCAGGGGTGATTCAGAGGGTGGCTAACCTTTACTTTTTCCTTTCGTACAGCACCAGTCTCCTGACATGTTCATACGTTCTCCTCCTAGCATTCCTCAAGACAAGGACCTTGGACTCATCGCCCAGTTCTTTCTAGCGGTTACAAATGATTTCCTCTTCCAAAATCCTGTCTCAAAGTGAAGGTTGTGCGTGACTGAATAACCTGTCATGATGAACACACGGTCGTACCTCAATGACCCTAACGATTATATTCGAGATCCTATGATTATAAGGGGCGCATGAATACAATTATTAAGCGTGTGGCATTTAAGTTTAGGGGGCCGCCATTGAATCTTTTAATTTGCGCCATTTATCTTATATTACTTGTACTTTCATTGGGGCACTTTAATTATTCTTTCTAATGTGCCCCTTGGAATTTAATTTCTATGTGAGCGAGTAAATGAATTGTAGAAAGGACTGCACGAACGATGAGACAAGAATAGTTGGGCCGCAAGAACACGACGGACTGTAAGGGAGCATATCCTCTAGAGCGCCTAGGGCAGATCTCCTGCTGTGCCACCTGAGATACACACAGAGTTCGGGACCGGACCGGCCTCGCGCAAGTGGGCTTTCATGATCTCCATTTCGTGCGGCGGCTCCCCCTGCGGCGGGGCCGGCTCCTGCAGGACAAGTGGAGAACTCGCAGGTGCTTTCGTCTCAGAGAGTTCCAGTTGCTAACATCCTCATCCCTTCGCGGCCTTGCTGGGCTGCTTGAGGAGCCCCACTTTTGTCGCCAATGCGCCCGAAGCCAGAGCTTCTCTCAAGAGCCTCCTGAATTTGTCCTCACCGTCATGTGACTTGAAAAGCTGCCACACACGTTGTGGACTGCGCAGCGGGGAAACAGCATGGGTCACGCATGGGTCACGCATGGGTCAGCTCTGGCCTTGAGGGATATCTTGGTACACTTCTTTGTCTTCCCAGGTTTCTTCTCAGCTTCGCCATCCTTCCTGACAGCATCCAATGCCGCGGCCAACTTGCCAGAGTCCACAGCCTGGGTCTGCATCCCACATGTTTTCGGAGGTTCGGGGTCGACCCTACGGCCCTACGACATGACCCCATGGCCCCATGGATGCTGCCACGGGGCGTCTTCCACGACTGTACACAAGTTGCTCCGCACCGCCTCCAGATCATCCTCGGGGGCTGCCTTGATGGTCTCCTGCTGTTCTTCCTGCAGCAGTTGCAGGGCTTCCTCCAGCTTGCCGCTGCTCGAAGCTTCTTCTAGTACTCCTCGCAGCTTCTCGCCCAGCTCTTGAAGTTCACTCTGGTTGCTGGGCTTCGATGCTTTCTGCGCGGCCAGTTGCTGGAGGCCTTCTTCCAACTTTCCAGAGGCAAGAGACTCTTGAACAATCTCTCGAACATTGCTTCTCAGAGCCTCTTTCTCAGAACCAACCGGGCCCGCTGGTTGAGCAGGTGTGGCCGGTGCAGCAGGCACGCTCAGCAGAAGCTGCTCCAACTCTTTCGCAAGGGTTCCCGTTTCTGCGGCTTGCATCATGACCTTCTTCATCCTTCCCTTGATCTCACTGAGTTCCTCCAAGGCTATGGACTCTGCCTTTAGCAGAAGCCCTTCTCGCTCGGCAGTTTCGTTCATCGTCTTGCGAAGATGGTCTTTTGCTGCTTCTGCAGGGGCTTGAGACCTTGGACCAATGTCTACGACAAGCGAGTCAAAACCAAGGCACCGAGAAACAACAACCATGATGGACAACATGTTGAGCGATCGATGCAGTGGAGGAGCGGATTTTGCATGACCTGCTGCATACGTCGGAGCTCTGAGTTGGTAACCGCGTTCCATTTGCACAGGACAGTGTGTGACCACAGTTGCGAGTCACAAGGATTCTGCCCACTTACTCAGGCAAGGGCCTTCTCCAAACCCTTCTCCAGCAATCCATTTTTCACGCCCTCCTGCATCTTGGCCTGCGCATTGACCTGTGGAGTCTGTGGAGTGTTCAAGCTCTTGGGATTTGGAGAAAGCATGAGAAAGCGCTGTTGACGGCTTAGGCCGAAGCCAGGTTTGTTGCGGCATGGGCCGGCAGCACTGGAGCACGGGTGCTGGCGGCTGGAACTCCTGGTCGAGCTACGGGCAAAGGCAGCAAGCCAGCTAAGGAGCTGAGCTCACCCGCTCTGGCAAGTCTGGCAAGCTCCTGAATCTGTGCTCTCTCTGGGCTGGGTCATCCGCTGCGTGCTCCTTAGATGGAGCTCGGCTTGTTCAAGCAAATAGCCTCGATAAACGAGGATTCGAGTTCACTACCGCGTGCAAGCTGCTCTAAGGCTTGCAGGACCTTTTTGGAGTCGGCATCAAAGAGCGCGGCCTTCATGCGTTGCTTCAGTTGCTCCATCTCCTGGCTGCTTCACAGATCTTTTTGCCAAAATCTGCCTATTTGCACCGGGGCGTCCCCTGCTGCCACTGCCCATATCTCCCCTCAAAGGCTTTGCAAAGTCTAAGGCGCAGACAGAGATTTCCTCCAACACCTTCTGCGCTGCTTCCTCCTCGACCTTCTCCGTGGACATCCTCAGCTAGAAAAGAGGCGGCCTTTTGGCTTGATGGGCCGACAGAGGCATTTGAGCAAGCAGCTCTTGCAGGATTGCGAGAACTCTGCCGGACTCGTTAGCATCCATGAGAAGGGTTTTCCTGGGCACAGCAGAGGCATGCTTTCAGGCTCTCACGTTCAGTTCGGGCTTCCCCGTACAGCGAGGACACGCACCGAGAAAGAGCTCTTAAAGCGGATGCAAACCCAGGTTCAAGTGCACCTTCAGCCTCTCAAGCTCCTGAGCCAGTGTCAAAACATGGTTCAGTCTCAAAGAGTCAAAGAGGGGCGTGCCATGGAAGCCCTCATCCCAATAATAAGCCCCCACGGCTGTACCAAGTGGCGCTGGACTCCTTTCCTGGGCTGGCAGCCTGGGGCTCCTCGAGCCTGGAGATCCTAAGCTTGGCAAAGTCGATACCAGTGCTCTTACCATTGTGTACCCAGTACACCCCCCCACCCGGCCATGTGAATGGAACACGTGTTGTCCTCAGGAAATCTCTGCCACACAGCCACGATCCAATGTAAACAACACTGCACCATGTTGCGGGGGTATCTTCCTGCCCAGTCGCTGCTCAAGTACGGCCGACACTTGGCCTGACTCGTTTGCATCCAGCAACACATCTCGCAGCTGCCCCTTCAGCTTGTCCAGGTCCTTGCTCCAAGAAAGCACGAAGATCATCATGTATCGATATGTGGTGGCGGATGGAGTGTCCCGTAAGAATCTGACACGCTGAAGTCTCTCATCCGAGCTGCTGTTGCATCCTTCGTCTCCATCGTCCGCTTGAGGGCCGCTTCCAGCTCGCCTCCGAATTTTTTTGGGGGTTTTCTAATCACCCGTGCTTCATCGCATGCACTGCGTGTTGAAATCATTCTCACTTGGGCCATTGTGTGATGATGCCGATAGGTCTTGGGTGACCTTACAGGCTTCCGAGGATCAAAAGAGCCTGCGATGCCTTTGGATTCCACTCTTGGGGCCTCGAGGCCAAAGCTTGGCTGCAGATTCCTTCATTTCCCTCCTACACCATACTATACAATGAGTTCCCGGGAGGACCCCTTCCGCGAGTGCGCCCGAATCCAGTCCATTCCAGTCCCTTCGTGAAACATCTAGCCGAAAAAACCAGCCTGAAACGTGCATTCCTCTTCTCCTTCTCATTCCCCTTCTTCGCTTGAGTGGCCATGCTAATGTGCCCAGCGAGTGGTAAGCGTAGCCACCCCAAGCCCAAGAAACCCGAGAAGGTGACCAAGAAGGTGTCGGGGCCTGTTTCGGCCGACTTTTCCAGCAGCGCCTGGATGCGGTTGCGGCTCTTGTCGACACCCACAGCTGAGAGAACCTCGGAACCGAATGGAACCGCATCCTGCATCACGCTCACGGCAACTCTGACCCTGAAATCTGTCTGTGGCTTCTTGCAAGATGGTATAAGTAGGTAATATTTCGAAGCCGAGTCACCACACCCAAATCACCAGACTCGCACCCATCCATGGCAGTCTTGAGGAGAGACAGTTTCAGGTCCGCACCTTGCTGGCATATTCATCCGCATGGCAAGACGACCGGCGACTCCCTGCCCTTATGTCTACAAGTTCCAAAGGACCACCTGTTCTTCATGCGTCATTTAGACAGGGTTCTTCGGTCCAACTCCTCCAGATGCTTCCTTTGCATAGGTGAAGGTTCCTGGAGAAAGAACAGAAACATGATCAAACATTGAATCGATTTGCATCGAGCGAGAGGCCTGATGCAAATGCATTCTGGGCATAAAGCAGCCCCATAGTCCTCGGATTCCGCATTGTCCTCCCTTGTCTGGGCAGTTGCCTCCTCCAGGTTTCAATCATCTCACACCGCACAAAGTAGTTCACAAAGAGCACGGGAGCATCGTAAACTCGAGCGGCTGGTATCCTCCTCTGCCCTCTGCTCATTGCACTCTGCATTGTTGACACAAAGCTATGTTCTCGGGAGTCGGGTATGATTAAATGATTTTCCCTGATGTCGGGAGGACATCCCAACATTACGCAGTAAAATCAAGAACATCTTTTGCAAGATTCCCCGGCCTTCTCTGGCACTGCTGCGGGGGACGGAGCAACTGGAGAGCTTTCTGCAGCCTCCTCTTCTGGGACTCGCGCTGCTGCCTGCCCAGACCTGCATAGCACATCATACCCCTCATAGCATTTAGGCCCATTTCGGCAAGTGTGTTTGGCGCACTCGAATAAATTCGTTGGCAGGCGGCGGGCGCGCTGGAAGTGCCGGTGGGTCCTCTTGGGGCGCCGGAGCCTCCACCAAAGGCTGCCTGGGAGGGGCAACAGATACCACAGCAGGATGCGAGATTGCCCGGACTCGACATGTTTCGAGTCTGGAGGAGTTGTGGTCAACACAGACGTCGTAGTCTGAAAGATAGCACTTGAGCTTCCCCTCTCTAATGGTAATACCAAGTTCTTTCCGAGCTGCGCTTGCGGCGGAGTTGGCCGAATGTGTGCTGCAGATGTGGGCCTTGAGTCCCGCACGGTGCGCAAAACGTGCTTTTGTGTGCTGGTCGGTTTTAGCAGCTCGCCGCTTAATGGGCGATGTCATCGCAACCCCTACTGCTGTACTTCCTGAGCTGCTTCAAAATGGAGCCGAAAGCCCTGGAGAAACCATGATGATGAGAGGGCAAGGGAAGAGCGAGTGGACCTAGTCTCAAGCAAGTCCGTCACGCCCCTTCGCATTCTGAGGCTGGCGACCGCATGGCGCTGCTTGGGCGGCTCCGGGGTACCGCGCTCGTTGGCCGCGAAAGGACTCGCGCACAGGCTTCTGACTTGCCTGAGAGCAATAAGTCAAGGTATCATGAAGTAACTGAAGTCACTGATGTCACTGAAGACATGGCCACGTGCAAAGATCTCGGATTCTCTCCGTAAAGCGCCATGTACTGCCAAGTGGCTCTTGGCCGCTGTCAGCTGCTCAATCATGTAGGCAAACCTTGAGCTGAGCATGGCAGAACGCATTTTTTATAACATCATATCGTATCATATCATAGTCATATCGTACCGTACCATATCATATCATATTAGATGTAATATGATATTTACCATACATCTGCAGATATATATATTTCTATATATAAGAGTAGCAGGTCGCAAACACTTCGATTCGCGGGTCGGGGCAAGTCGAAGTCAAGCCAGGTTACGGATCGTTAGGCTTGTCCTCCAAATTGCGGCACAATTGAACGTGTTGAAACCATCTCAGATGTTTGAGAAGTCAGGTCCCGGCACATGCTGCGACGCGGATCAATGCTAAAGAGGGGCAGGATGTCACACACACACGCGGGTCCTGGATTACGGCATGGAGCAGGGACTGCACGTATTTCAGCAAACCGTTCCTTGGTCAGGGAAAGCAAACTGCCGCACACGTCTCCTCTTACCGGGGTCCTACCTGGGCCTACCTCTGTTCATCAGCATGAGTGCCTCAATTCTGCTTTTGGATTGAAGCAAGGAGTCTGCTCCAAATAGTCTTTCGCAGAGGCTGCCGAGTCCTTGTTCGGCAGCGGCAACTCTTTGGCCGGTCCTGGAGTTGCGGTGGTTTGGCGGCGCAGTGGTGACATCAAGGGGCTAGGTCAGGAAGGCGCGTTCTAAGATGAAATAGCTGAAAGCTCCCCAGCCTGCTAAGCTAAGGGCAAGGCAGCACCAACAAACATCCAAGTTGCAGTACGAGAGGGCCAAGCGTGCATACATCTGATTTTTACCTTCAGTCCTGAATCTCCACCAGATGATGCTCGAACATGCAGGCCCATAGCGACGCTCTCGGCGTGCTCAAACCCGATCCCATAATGCTCCTGCCAACAAGGACATGCCATGGCATGTTTGGCTGCAACTGTCACGGAGCTGTCGTGCCAGCCAAGCACTGCAGTTACTAATTTGGTGCAAACATCAGGCACGATCAGACATGTGGCTCTGCGGCATCCTCATGTGGATGGAGCACTAGGCGTGTGGACGCTATGGGTTGGAGCACGTCAATCTTCAACGGCTCACCTGGCAAGGAGGTGTGTACATGCACGAGGGTTGTTGCCGCGACGCGCCAAAGGATGAGCTCAGACAAGGCATCCAAACTGCACGGCCCGTGCTGAGCTCATTTCAGGCTTCGCTCTTATTGCCAAGCGGCTGAGGTCCTCCAGCTGTGCCGGGAACTTTAGGGGGTGAGACAATGCCTGGCAAGCTACCGGCAGCACGTCTCCACCACATTCCCCACACAGCATGTGGCTAGGACTGATCGTCTCTCTTGGGGATGGGACGGCCTTAAACCACGCTCTCGCACCCAAATGTACCGTAAGCCCTGCCTCTGCCTGCTCATGAACTCAAGCCATCTGAAGGCGAAATGTTTGTTCGGTCCGTTTGTTCTTCTCTGGTCATGCATCTGTTTCCTTGTTTTGGTGCATTCGATCCTGTTCTTGGGTTTCGTCGGCTTCACATGAGAATTTCATCTGATTCTGCCAGTTTATCCTACGAATTCTTGCAGTTCCGATGGATGTTCAGAGGCTTTGCATCGAATTTCTCTGTCCAGAGTAATGAAGCCCGATTCGATGTGACCTGGAACAAAAGCCTGTAAGACGCACACCCCCATCATAACGCTCGATCTCTCAAAAAGCTCTTCAACAAGCCAAAGCACAACAAGAATTGACAACAACAGATTCCCACAAAAGATAGAACATACCAAAACATCAACATGGCAAATTTGATTTGAATAGCACGGCAAAGCTCGCAAGCCGCAGGGTCCCCTCGTCGCTTGCCGTCCTAAGGCGTCCCGCCGCTCCGCCAAGAATCCACGCACCGTGCAGCTTGGCACTCCGAACGAGAACCCGAACCCGGGGGTTGGGGAAAAAAGGAAAATGCCCAAAAAGATAAGCAAAGACAATCCAAGATGACCGAACTTTAAGAAAGCTTAAACATATGACAACGACGCAGAGAAGATGCCTCCAAGTGCTCCCATCAAATAAGTGCAAGTGACTTGGCTATGGCTTGGCTTTGCTCCCCCCTACCCGCATTTGCTACAGCAGTCTTCCAGGCTATGCATGTTGAAGTGAACAGAGGCTTGGCTTTGGCTTATCTTCGTTTAGAGCAGGTGGGGTGGGCAGGTGGGGTGGGCAGTCTTCACATTCATTGTTTCCTTCTTTCACTCGTTCGTTGGTTCCTTCCTTGCTCCTTCATCTCCTTCTATTCTGAGGGGTGTGGCAAACCTATATACACACGGGGTGCTCATCCATCAAAAGAACTAGCAGGACCAGGGGCGTCTTTGCCTGAATGCCTCCCTCAGCTCAAGCAGACCGAACTCTCCCACCCTGAAGTAGAGAAATGGACAGAAGCAGAACAAGCGGACAAATCCAGGAAAGCCCAGGAGAACGCAATGAAAGCAAAATTTGAAGACTTTTGGAAGCACGAAAACGCAGTAAAGCGAGAACAGAAGGAAAGCTGACCGCAAGGGGCGAAGCGGAACAGCGGGCAAAGTACAAAAGCAGAAAAGGATGAAAAGGCTAGCACAAGAGAGAAAGCAGAACCAAAACACGGACGAGACAAGCAGCAAAAACAACAGCAAAAAAATTGCTACTTCATCTCGGCCTAGACAGTAGATCATAATCCTGCCGAAACACCGACTCCAGTGGAGCTTGTCGCCTGGCAAAAGCTTCTCTGATTCAATTCAAACGCGGAACCCGGGTGTTTCATAGCATTTTCCACGTCTTGCATGCTTCAGACCACATCTTGCATCAAAAAACGTGGTCGTGGACACATGGGCTGAGGAGACGAAGTCCCCATGACTTTCTTACCAATTCTGACCTGGTGGTGCCATAGCGTATGGACACGAGCACGTCGTCGGAGAGGCCAAAGGCATCAGTGACCAGCACCTGCTTGTCATTTGTCATCGGATCGAGATGACCTACGCCCCTTCCCCCCGCTTGTTATCCTGGCATGTGGACGCACACACGCCATCCCTTCTGCAAGCCTCCATGGCAGGCCTTGTGCCAGAACGCACGAAAGTACCGAGCCAAAGAGGCTGCGATGGCTGGCCCACGTGCATGCTTATTACACCCATCACAGAGTTCGACAATTTGTCGAGAAGGCTTCGCCAGGCTGTCAGCTCAGGGCAACAAGAGTTGGCGAACTCAACCTTGGAGCAATTCCTGCTGTTCACCGAAGATACTTATCCAACAGTAGCATGGGAATCAGAAACTCGATCGCTGAAGCAACGCGCCACACGCTGAAACCGAGATGTGACCAGAAGCCTCCGCCCATTGATCCCTTGAAGCGGAACCCTGTGCACAGACATGGGCAGACCACCTGCTTTGTTCCGGCAAGGTGATGGGCAGCCCGACCCCGCCTTTCTGCAGCTGAGCAAAATGCTTTGATTTAGTGCTTTGGGTGCCCAAGCTTGTGAATGTGCAGCCGCGTCCAAGGCGTCGGCTTGTTGGGCTGTGAGCTTCCAGAATCTAAAGCGACACAGGAGCCCAAGCAGAGGCATGCATTGCCATGGTTCTCAAAGCATCCCAGAAGTTCACACGCTCCTCACCTGACTCACCTGACTCACCTGACCGCAAGGTCGGATCGCTGATGGCAATTCAGAAGCGAGTGCTGCAGCAAGCTTTTGTGTCAACGCGCGCAAGCGGAAGCGCAGCAGAAACCGCCGTTTGCTAAAGCCACACAAAAGGGTGGCAGAAGCGAAGGCGTTGCACCATGTGAGTCGTTCACTCATCTTCTGGCGGCTCCACGAGCCACCTTAGCAGCTTCTGCCGTCACAGGCACCAAAAGTGGCCTGCCCTTGCCTGAAAGCTTGCTCAGGGCCTTGCCAGAATCCACCTCCTAGCCACCAAGGGGCTGACATGGGCTGCGCTTGGGGAGCGCTTCCCAAAATAGCAGAGCAGGACAGAAATCATCGTTTGCCACAGCACATGCGACGTGAACTTGTCCTGTGCCGATATGGAGATCCGTGCTGAAGCGCTGGGAACACACAGCCGTCACCTGATGCAACATCACGATGTCCTTTAAAGTCTGTGGATGTGCTCGAGTTTGTCAGGGTTGATCTTTGGTGCAGACTTGAATTCGGCTGGTCGGGTCTGTGAGTTTCTGAGTTTGACAGGCTGCTTTTTGCCTTAGGAGGGCTTCCTGCACGAAACTCACGAAACCCAACCAGTTCTGGACACTTTCCACCCTTTTTCCTGCACGCGCGCAGAAAGTTGAGTGTGAGGAATTGCAACTACACAACAACTTTGGTGTGGCACCAGGTGCCAGCCAGCTCCGACTAGCTCGGGATGCTGAATGGTCACCATGGAATATGCCGGTTGCTTCTCGCACTCGCAAAAGCACCGCAAGGCACAAGCCTCGCGCATCACACCATCACAACCTCGGCGGCGCCAAGCGACGACGATGGATAGCATGGTGATGCAAGATCAAGTCTCTCCACACTACGGTGCTATAGGTTCCACAGGCAGCAGACTGCCTCGGAATGTTACTCGGCAGATATCGCTATGTCCTACACAGTCTGGCAAAGTCACACACACACACACACACACACACAATCCAGCACAACAATCCAGCTTCGGCCCGCGGAGCTCTGCTCGGCGAATGTGGCGCAGGCGCGATCGAAACCCAGAAGCGTCTCTGCAGCTGCAGCTCCTTCCAATTTCACAAGCAATCTCACAGGATCGAGGGCCCGCACCCACAATGCAAGTGCACGACGAGCACGTCCTTGGGGTTTCCGGCCATGAGGTCCACGATTCCCTGGCAGACTCCGAACAGACTCAGACACGAAACCATGGACCAATGTTGCGTGGATCTGTGCGGAGTGCACCCCTCACCTCCGAACGCTGCGAAAGAAACGGCACAACAAACCTCCATGTCCCCCACCTCCCCCCCTTCTTCTTAAATACGTCAAATTTCTTGGAAAACGCTCACCTCTTCAGTACCTTTGCTGCAGCTCATCTTGACGTGCTGAGTTTCACGAACTTGGGGCACCAAGTGGCAGGCATCACTTGCGCCCGGGGGGCGGACACGAAAGCTCAGCAAGAACGCGATACCTACTAGGAGGTTGCTGGCGCATCATGACATGACCTAAAGCTGGGCTTTTTCTTGATCCCTCCCCAGGCCCTGACCCACTCCATCCTGATTCAGCAAAGCTGTTCTCAAAAACGAAAGCTCCCAGGAGGGAGCTTTTGTAAAATTCAAGACTGCAGCGCTGGGTTTGCCACATTCGGCTGGGGACATCAATGCGAAATTGGCAGGGGAGCTACAGGTTCCACACGATCCCCATCTGGTCGAAGTCACTTTTGCATTCACCGTTGCTGTTTGATAGTCTCTGAGTTCTACTACTGATTCCCATCGCACGCGCCTGGTTGAGATCGAACAAGACTGTGGCCAGCGTCCAGTCACTCATGTCTCCTCTCGCATGTGAGAGCTCATCGTGGAAGACAGGATACCTGGCTGCCATCTCGGCGAATTCGACAACTCAGCAGGCCCATTGAAAGTCCCAGCATGGCTTGCTTAAGTAACTCGCTCCCTTTAGCGGGGCTGAGGGTCCCAGCTTTGCCAGCTATGCCTACCTGACTAGCCGACTGGCATGCAAGATGCGCGGTGATGCCGTGAACCCTCTGTGCTCCTGTACAAGCTGCAAAACCTGAACTTCCGCAAGGCTGCGAACGGTCAAGCTGGTCACCAAGCATGTGCAAGGCGTCCTGGCTCAGGGCGAAACATAGAGCGTCACGGAACTGAGCCTCTTGTCTTAGCACTGGCCAACGGTCCTGTGGTGTCTTGGGGGCTAGTAGCATGCGAAGCCGCGCGAAGCGGTGCAGCGAGCTGTTCCCAACCATCCTCAGTCTGGCTTTTAAGAACTTGGGCGTCACCATCGTCGTCATCGTCGTCATCATGGTCATCGTCATCATCGTCATCATCATCCGGCACTCTCCCGGTGACATGCTCTCTTCATCTTTGGCTGCCCGGGGTCTGATTGGGAACGCTCAGCGTCTGGTACTGGTTCACGTGAAAAAAGGCCTTGTCCTCGATGGCTCTCTCGGACACCTTGAGACTTGTTATACAAAGGTTGAAGCCCGACTGTTAGTCTTTGCAGCTGTTTTGGGCCTGGTCGTGCGCGACCTCGAAGTTGCCAATACGATGGTTCTTAAAATCCAAGAGCTGGTAATTGTGGCCTGCGACGTGTGCTTCGGATGGAAAAGACAAGTTGACAACGCCGCAGGAGCCCATGACAGAAGCCAAAAGCAAGCGGACGACCTGCAGCATGCCGCTGGGAGATGATGCGCTGCGCCTCCTCCCAGCCTGCAGCTTCGCGCGGCACAATTGCGGATGGAGTTTCACTACGTGACCCTGACACTTCGGAATCATACATCAGGTCAGCTTTTGGAACCACCGCTACCTCCTGCTGTCAGCAGTTGCCTGCTGACGAAGTTGCGGCCCAACCCTGCTGAGTCCTTTGCTTTTCATCACTTCCTCTCTTCGAAGCTCGCCTTTTCGGTTAGAGTGTTAGAGTCGTCACCTCTACAGCCTCTACAGCTGTCATCGCCTCCACTACCATTTTCCAAAGGCGGCAGCAGATCTTGCAGCTCTTGCTGGGAAGTGCTACTGTAGGACTCAACGCGATCTTTGCTAGCAGCTGTTGCTGCCAGATCACTATACGCACGGGACCACAACAAGTGGTCGGTGAGTTGGGAAGGGGGAAAGGGGCAGGGGGGGGGGGGGGCCGAGAGATGGGGAAAACCTTGATGTCCAGAGTAAGACAAGGGCATGCAGCGCTGTGCAGTTCTGCATGCTTTGAGATGGGCTCAACACACTGGCAAGGGCATCTGCACCCAAGCCGCGCAGTCTCCCGGGCCAACCCAATTCAGCGAGAATCCAATGCCATGAGTGTTGAAGGCGAAGGCCGACCTAAAGGCTCTCCAAGGACGTGTTGAAGACTCCCCCGGGCTTAACCGGCTCAACCCATACCACTTGTGCAAAACAAATGCAAGGGGCATTCCACCAAGCAAATCACCGGCGTAGTTGAGAACCGTGAAGTTGCTCTTTCCGAATTGGACGAAAGCAGCAAACAGCCACTCATCCTGCGAACGCAAGGAAATCGCTTGTTGGACTGTTGGACAGAGTAGCAAACCTTTTGCAAGGGTCTGCAACCTTCTGCAGCCATGTCTCGCCCTTGTCGCCATCTTCATTGTGAGCATCGAAGCAATACTTTGAATTGCCTCTCAGTGCGGCATACACGAAGGACGCCACATAGCCAAGGCATGCCAAGGCATGCTACAACGACTCGACGAAATGAATGCAACCTGGAAGCAAAGCATTATGTCCTTGGCTCACAGGGAACTGCCGGTCGTAAACAGCCAGCAGCGGGTCTGAAAGGAAAATGAAGACGGCCTGCTACCAAGGGTCCGTGCAGTGGTCGACCGTTCGGGCACTTGCCAAATGTGGATGGTGGCAATAGCCCAACTCCTCCTGCCAAGGTGGTACCCTGAAAACCCTCTCTGAACTGCGGGCCCAGTCATGAATCGACCGTGCTTGGAGCAGAGTGGTCCCTCCCCACGCATCTATGATCACCCCTCCTGCAAGCTCATCGCAAGAAGCCGCTCTCCCGACACGTTGGCACCTGCGGCAATGCCCCGTAGCTCCATGACAAGCTCCGGCACACGCCTTGGACAATCACAAGGCCTCAGGGACCTAGCCATACCGTACTGGAGCTTGACACTTCCAGCACCAAAAATATTTCAAGGCTGGGCCGAGCTAAGGCGCGTCTCATGGGTAGCCAGCAGTTCTTGAAAGAGCTTCCGGCACCTTCCATGCTGCTGAACGCTCGCAGACTCGACAGTCATGACAGCAGCACGGAAAGACCACAATGAAGGCATCTGAAAGCAACAGTGCCCGCTCACTCAAAAGAGTGCTGAATTAGGGATTTCGGGCTTTTTTGTGGATATTTAGTGATTTTGCTGAACCCCAATCACACCACATAAGCAAACTAATCTATCCTGCAAACAGTGCCCCGTGCATGTCTTACGAAAATCCAAAAACTGCTTCTTGTTCCTGAACCGCCTGTCAGTGCTGAGGAGGTGGTCGAGCACGGCTTCCTGAGTCACGCGTCACCGAGTTGAGCATGAGCGGCTAGCACAAACAACGGGAGGACGTGCAGGTTGCAGCATTTCAGAGACACACAGTCGATTCTGTGGGGAACTGCCAAGAAAAACCGCCAAGCTGCATGAGATGCAAGCCTTGCTTGGACCGCTGCTCGATAACCTCAGACAAGTTTTTACTTTTCCCAAAAGCCGTCTTCCAGATCTCTGCTAACCGTGACTCGTAGACAACTTTGCAGCTCAAGACGCACACCAGAAGCCTCGAAGGGTGAGAAAAGAACGAAAAGAACTGTGCTGAGCTATGGGCTGGAGCCGAGGGCCAGGCCCAGGGCATGGTGGTCCTCTGCAGTACACACACATCCAGACGCATCCAAACGCATCCAAACGCATCCAAACGCATCCAAACGTATCCAAACGCATCCAAACGTATCCAAACACTCAAACTTGCATGACCAACAATCGTGTCGCAATTTCTCGCTCATGTTCAAAGGGTACCTGTGGTGTGGTGATGTAATTTGATTTCATGTACGCTGCAACGTCTTCGAGGTTCGTGGTAGTCCGGAACTGCCATGGGCGACCAACTCTACACTGTTCTGCTTCTCTTGTGAAAGTGGGCTGAGTGTTTAAGGTAGCTTGATGGAAAGGATGCTATCCATCCCGACGTGGTGCGCGTCCCAAGCGTCTTAATCGCTGTTCTTCGAGAACTTCCATGAGGCCTTGATTTTCTTGCGCCCGCGCCCGAAATGACAGTCACATCCTTTGCGGGCCTCAATCGTGACGAGCTACCATGTCCCGGCGGCAGTCAAAAGAAAGTCGCAAAATGTCGCAAAGGCTGAGCTTGGAGGCTGTGGTGGTTCATGAGTCAATTAGAGATGGACAGTTTTCGTGGGGCGCCCCCCAGTCTCAACAGGAACACAACTGGAAACGTGCCTCATCGTCGCTCTGGAAATGAAAGTCGGCCAGCAGCTGCGCAGCTTCTGCAGTGAGAATCTGAAGAAGCCCCGCCAGGAAAAGATGGACCATCATGGCGCAATTCTCTGTTTGATTTATCTTGTCGATAGTTTAAACCTTAGAGTCTAAAGCTCGGGCGTTTAGAGGAATCCTCTGCATGGAGCCCCGAGGATTGGACGGATCATTGCAGCATGAGTTCTGATAGACCGTCGACGTAGCTATGGGCCATGACCACACCATAAACGCGCATGAAAACAAAAGCAAGCTCAGGCTTTGCAGTTTCATTGCTGAGGGTCAAACTATCTCCGGCGACGTGGGTGAAAAACCTACTCCGATCAAGACCTCGCATGCGCACCGACATTTGCGATGGTAGGGGAACCTTGTGAGACGTGCGCAACCAAGTGGCTCCAGCAGGCTTCACCTTGGACTCCCACAGAGCCATCTGCTCCTGCGAAAATCTCCGCAACTGCACGAACTTTCGACACTGGAGCCTACTTGAGGCAGGCTGCTGCGAGGCCTGTGCCGCTTCCGCAGAGCGCCCGCGGAAATCGACCAGGGCCACATCCATAGACCTGCCCACAAGTGGCAAAGAGTCTTTCTTTCTTTCTTTGGGCTTGAGGTTCCCCCCTCCCCCTCGCATTCCGTGCCCAGGGGAAACTAGCCCCCAAACAAGTTTCGCTCCCCCAGAGTTCTTGGGAGAGGCAACACGGCAACGCTGCTCTTTCTTTCTTTCTTTGGGGCATGGGCAACGCTGCTCTCTGTCTCTCTCTCTCTCTCTCGCTTACCTCGCCTTGATGGGAAGGCATCCACCGCCCTCCTCGGAATGCGAGAAGACTTTTCACGTGTCTTGATGACTCAGGTGCCTGAGTTCCTGAAGGCCTTGTAGGCTTTACCACTATTCATAACCACTAACTGCTCATTCTGGCTACTGCGCGGCTGACGTCGTGCAGAGTCGTGCCAGGAATAGGTGCTGCTTGACCGCCGGCCAAGTCTCCGCAAGGATGCGAAGTAGAGCATGCCGCGGTCTCCAAGAGATGCTTGGAGCTCGGCCTTACACTCAGGCAACATGCTTCCAAGGCTTGTCATTGCTTGCATGTCGCCCTTGAGAGTGCGAGCGCGGCGGATCAAAGAAAGGCAGGTGCTCGTCGCTGCTCGAACATGCTGAAGGCTGATTGTCCTGCAAATCAGCGCATGCGCTCCGATCGGGATCATGGACGGCGTCACAAGAAGCACAGACAGGCGCGAAAGATGCCGAGCAAAAAGCGCCTTCAGCCTGAGTCGGATTGTCAGGCTCAATCATGATGCCGGCCTTACACCAGGGGCACACTGGCACTCAAAAGAAGCGTCGCAACGTGCTTGCGTGATGCCATCGTTGGGGAAAAGCATGTTGTGGTAAATCGATGAACTGAGGGCAGTGCATACTGCAAACCAGGATATTGACTTAGAGTAGCAGGCGTTGACCATTCCTGCTTTCATAATCATCTTGGCGAAAACGGCTGAGATGTACGGACATTAATGGAAACTGTCGACCATCGCACCGAGCCTCCATGGGCACACCAATTTCAACCAAAGCAATCTGGCCCTGCCCATTTCGCACTATAGTGCCTGCTGCGAGTGGCTGTCTGGACTGCGTAAGCCGTAAGCCTTGCAAAGTTCGGGTTCTAGACCCGTGAGGTTCCGCGCCTATCAATGCGGCAATCATGTCCTGGAAAGACATGTACCTGGGCTCTCTTTCTCTCCTTGTTTATCATGTTTTCTTGTTTCTCGCTCTCTCTGCCTCTATCTTTCTCTCTCTCTCTCTCTCCCGCTCTCTCCGTGTCTCTCTCTCTCTCTCCCTCTCCCTCTCCCTCTCCCTCTCCCTCTCTCTCTCTCTCTCTCTCTCTCTCTCTCTCTCTCTCTCTTTCCTTCCTTCCACAGCACATAACCCCCAAGGGGGTCGTCCCAAGGGACGTGCTCCAGCGATCCAGTCGGGTGTTGTGGTGACACTGTCAATACAGGTTGGAGTTACATCCATTTTAGATTGCCCTCCACTATACCTGTATGATCTTGACCAACAAGAAGTCTCTCTCTCTCTCTCTCTCTCTCTCTCTCTCCAGCTGGACCGTAGGTGTCCTGCTCTTCGTGCAGGATAAGAACGGGTGCACCGCGCCCCGGGACACGGAGGTCACGAACCTCGCATGAAACGAGAGAGGCGGCCTCCACTTTGCAGAATCACACAAACCAAAGCTTCTGGGATTCTAGGCGCCTGACCCATGCGTGCATTCCTTGGCAATGCAACAACTGATGCTTCTACCACAGTCTAGCGTGGCAGAGCAACAGCTGTTGTGCAAGCATTGACAAGCTTTAGCAAGGTGGACGATGAGGAACCCAACTGTCAGAAACAATCCGCCGAGGCCTCGGGCCGGAGGTGTATAGGTTGTCAGAACAGGCACCCCCCTCCAAATCCTCCCCCCACACCCAAAGCCCTTTTTTGGACCCCTTTTTTTGGCCTCAAATGGGTACCCCCCCTGGGAAACCGGGGTCCGCAAGCGGACGGTTCGCCAGGACCAGAGGCAGTTGAAGCCCCTCCCAGCAGGACCCCCACCCCCTTTCCCCCCCCCCCCCCCCCCCCCCCCCCCCCCCCCCCCCCCCCCCCCCCCCCCCCCCCCCCCCCCCCCCCCCCCCCCCCCCCCCCCCCCCCCACCCTTCTCCTTAAACCTTAAAGGGCCTGGCTCAGCCCTACGATCACTCCAAGCCGAACCCTAAACCCAAAAAAACCCTCAACCCCAAAGCGTGAACCTTGAGCCCTAAACTAACCCTCAACCCCAAACCCCAAACCATAAACCATAAACCCGGAACCCTCAACCCTCAACCCTCAACCCAACCCTTGTTGCTTGGGGTCCAGCGACTTGGGCGCTGCGGAATCACCATGCTCACGCGGATGCGCTGGGCCGGGCCGAGGCGGGTCGCGTAGCGTTAAAATTAAGACTACACTCCCCATTCAGATGCTAACCGACAGCTTGTATTCGAATCGACTACTGAGTAGTGCTGTGTGCACGGCGACCAAGATGGTTGCACACTGAGCAGGAGTCCGAGATGCCAAGCCAGCATCCGGGCTCGTTGACCTTAGACAGTTGCAGGTTTCAGGTTAAAGCCACCTGCCAATGCATGCCATTGCTCTGCCAGTAGGATCGGCAAGTCAACACAGGATGTCTGCTCAGCATGTGCTGGCTTATGCGGGAGAACTGCTGCTCAGCTCCGCAACCCACCGTCTGCACTAGCCTTGCTGCCAGCTCCGTAGCTGCGAGACCCGGGGAAAGGCCCGGCCTGACAAATGTCACGGACTGCCGACAATGCCTACAAGACTTCAAGTCGTGCTTCGGCTCGGGCAATTGTCGCAAGAAAGTCTGCAAGTCCTTGCGGACACTGCCCCGGTGTGCAAACTACTACCACATCATGTCGGCTGCACCGAGCCGACGACTGATCTCACGCTATGCCCAACCTGTTCTGAGCAGAGCGGTGCATGCACGGGAAAGCCGGGAAAGCCCGCGGATTGCTTAATACAACCAAGGCAGTGACTCGCAAAATCGGCGAGCGCACCCCTGTTTCAGGAAGGTAGTCCTGACACATCACTTCAAGGCGTTTTAACTTTTAAGTGTTGGCCAACTGTCAGCGCTCTCGGCAACAGCCCATGCAAGTCAAGGCCTTCGCAAACGACCGCATGCGCTCGTCGAGTGCCTTCTCAATTGCCTGGAAACAAGAGAAGACAGCAATCAAAACTAATTTTAACCTGACATTTATACATCACACCTAAAGGATTGCGCTTGAGTTCCTGAAGCGACGTCACTTTTTCCGACCACGCTAAGCTTGGAGGTCAGGCCAGGGACAGATGCAGGGGCTTCAAGGCTTGCTAAAGACTACGGGGACTTCAGGGCTGTGTAGGGTAAACGATCTCAGGAATCCTAATAAGCTTAAGTGAAAGGAGAGGCTCGCAGAGGCTGTCCTGCACCAGAGGCTACTAAACAGAGGTTTTTGCCCACCCGCCTTTTGCCACAAGCGAGGCTCACTTCCGGAGAAAGAAGCAAAGCTGAAGATGCAGAGATCTCGCCGAGTTTTCAGTTTATACAGTTTACACACATTTGCATTTTCATGAGCACATGAAACGACAAGACTGTTTAGGGGGGGGGGGCCATGTATGCATGATGATGAAGAAAAATTTGCTCCTAAATGCCATCAATGAGGCGAGGTGGAAGATGCATGAAGTGAGGTCCCCCAAGCTGCCCAGCAGGGCCCATGAGCGGACGGAGCATTGGTACGTTTGCACGGGATTGGGGAGGGGGGTCGCTGACCAGGAACCCCTCCCCACCCCTTCAGGCCCCTGCATAATTGTAGCGATCATGCGCGCAGGATACAGTCGGAAATCACCATGTCCAGGTGTTGCCACGCACACACGCACACACAAACATAACAAACCCAGCTCACTAGAAGTAGAGAGTTAAAACCCAATTCCTCACAAACAAGGAAGGGGACTCCCGGACTCATCCAAATTTGACACTCTGGCGTCGTTCGGTGAGCAGTTCAAAGATAGGGATAGTTACTCAGCCTATCGTAGAAAATTCAGAACCAGTCAGGCTGTTTTGCTCAGTGTTTTCGGGCTTCGGTTCCAATTGAGGTTAGGGTCGTAATGTTTCTTGGGTCTGATGAATTGCCTTGCCTCTTAGATCTCTTGGCTGCCAGGCCCTTGCAGGCCTGGTCCTTCTGGTAGGCCATTGACATTTTAAGCCCAGCGCACTGTGGCTTTCAAAGCCCTGGCCTCGTGGCTCACAGGCCAGCCCGTTGAAACCTTCAGGCCAAGGGGCCTCCGATTGCACAGGCCTGGCCTGTTGGCTTAAAGGCCAGCCCTTCAAATTGCCCCCTTTTGAAGCCACAGGTTCCGTCTTAAGAGTCAAGAAATGATCCAGCCTGGACGGGGCTGAACTGCTCCACAACCTGCGAGCACCTTGAATCCTCAGCTGCTCAGGACGTCTGAATTTAGGGATCCTTGCGTGGGCTGGGTGCCGCACTGAATGCTGGCACAAAGTCAAATAATCCAAAGTCGAGCCCAGCAAGGAAAGTCCTCCAAGGTCAGGAACAGTTCACGGCACCATCTTACTAGGGCACATCCCGGCGCAACCCACAGCCCTGCCTACGTCCTGTAGCAGCTGGAATGTTGACAACTCCAAGGTGGTCCTAAGCTCGGGCGCGCAAGCTCGGGCTCAGGTTTGGCTTGTGCATTCACCTTTATCCGGCCTCTGGTGCGCAGCTGTCAGGCCGGCCTCTGCAGGGTGCACAGCCCCCGTAGGAACACCCCCTTCACGGGGAGCGAGCACATGTCACTGCAAGAACTGACGCACTCTTGCGCACTCAGCAGCCATTTTCGTTGATCATCCAAGCTTGCTCCCCCACCTTGCCCGCCCCTGCACCAATATCCTCTGCTTGCTGCGGGCTCGAGAGCAGCCACTCGTACAGCACCTGGCTGCTGGAGCTCGGCAAAGGAGCCGTTGACTTCCCCAGAGTTGCAAGGCATCTACCAGACCAACCCCACGGGAAGCTACCAACAGCGCGCCAACTACATCCAACTCAGAGTTATGCGACCTGGAACTCGGCCACACCGGACACAGTGATGCATTGCTGGAAATTGTTTGTGCAGGGCAGCAACCTTGGAGACAATCTTAAGCAAGCTGTGGCTTGAGCGTGGCCTAGTTGCATGCTGCGTGCTGCCAGACACCCTGAACGTCTGGGCCCGTGGCGGGACCGAACTGAGTGCGGCTGACTGCCCCGAGATGCCTGACAGCCCCCGATGCCAACAGGCCAGAGCAGTGAAAGGTGCACACCTAGTGCTGTGCCTGGCACAGCCAACAGCAAAGTGGCATGGCGAACCCTGATCAAAGCCCCACCCATAGGCCCAGAAAAAATTGAAGCGAGATGGCATGCGTGGTTTACAGGGATGTAGTAACAAGGCATGCTGCGGTATGCATTTCCCATCTTCGAGTTGCACGGCATACTTCCCGACTACTCTTCCAGGGCGCAATGGATGCAAGCCATGGTTCACAGCAGCGCGAAGTGCCTGTCTGTTATCAACGGCATGCAGTGTGTTCTGGCTTGCTGCGCCTAGCAAGTACTGCAAAGTTGCTGGGAGCCAGGAAGACCGAAGCAAGCGGTTCTCGACCGAAAGATGACGAGCCACCAAGCTAGCACCATGCAAAGTCCTAGGCTTCAGCGCGCACATTCTATCGTCGTTCACAAAAAACACAAATGTGGCGCGAGTCTGTTGAAGAAGATGGTCGTGGTCAGCGAAAGCTTGTAAACTCCTGCTGACCTGGTGCTCGCATGGAGCGCTGCAAGCAGTATGTTGAGTATCTCTAATCATGGAATGACGGCTCGATTGCATGAATGAGTCAGTGTGCATTCATGCACTCCTTCCCATAACATGCCGAGTCAAGCAGTTTGTTTCCAGCTGGGCATGAGTTCTACTTGAATGCGTTTCTGTCAGCTGGAAAGCAAAAGCTTGAAGATGATGTGTTCTTACCGGAAGCTTCAAAACTCGAAGGCTTTGCCTGACTGTCTCCCAGTCTACGACTACACAGCAGCGGCCGAGGTGCTTGTGTCTCGGACTGGCTGATTAAAAATGTGTGTGTGTGTGTGGCATCGGCACACGGGGCGCTGGAGCCTTCAATGGCATGAGTCTGCTTGTCTCTAGAAAACTCTAGACTACATTCATTTTGCCAAAAAAAATGCACTGAGAAGCAGGGCCAAACGCGGCTTAGACCTGTCGAAGTGCTTTCGCCGTCTGCTACCGAGGTGCTTCCCTCTGGGAGGGCACATTTCTCGCTGGTGAAACATACCTTGGTAATCCAGCGATATGGCCCCTTGCATGCCCCTACGGAGGTTCCGCCTCCTCATGACAGGAATCTGCGGGACTATCGAAAGTGACGAATTGCAACGTTGACACAATGGCCCGACGAAGCTGGCAAGCTCGAGGTACCAGTCAGAGCCTGGCCAGTTGTCGTGTGGCGGCGCGAGCTGTGATAGGGCTAAGCGGGCTTCTACCTGAAGCAAAGCCTGAGAGAGGCTAAAGCATATTCACCCCTCGATGTACCCCAGGTTGTGAAGTCTCGGAGAGGAGCCTCAAGCGTCCCAAACCCTAAATGATGCATGTGGGGTGTAGGGTTTAGCCGAGCCCTTACCCTCTGGCTGTGTCCTGACGGGCTAAACTGAGATGGGATGAAACAAACTGAACTCCCTAGATGTTTCCAACATTCTCAAAGGCCCTGCCATGAAGCGTCCCTGAAGCAGAATCCAGCCCACTGTCACGAGAATAGCTGATTCAAACCCTCAACAGGCATCTCTCCAGCAGAACCGCCTCTTGTCTACACTTCCTTGACCAAGCCGTCCTTGGAAACATGGTGTGGGGTTAGGATGGGTTAGGGTTCAGGTCACGCTAACCGACAGAACAAAAACACGCATTGGTTCCGTAAGGAATGACCGCAATTGGGGCTTTGGAGCTCGCCTGAAGCTCCGCTCACTGCAATCAGCTCCAAGAACTTGCATCTTACAAGGTGATGGCCTTCCGAAACGCTCTGACACTTAACTTGGCAGTAATCGTCGTTTTCGAATTAACAGAGCCGCTGACATCTACACAAGTGTGCCGGCGTAGATCCCAAGGCTCACTCTGAGAGTTGCATAGTTGTGCTCTGTCAGTGACACACACGCAAACGCATGACACAAAGAAAAGGGAAGGGGCAAAGACAGGTCGTTTCTGTGCATCTGAGGTGTCCAGAAGAGCCTTCCTGCCCCGTCCGGTTTGGTCCGCTTGCAGACTCTGGCTTTTCGTTAACTTCGAGAATATGGTAACCCCGGCCGCCAGAACTGAAGAACTTTAAGAATTTGGGGCGAAGCAGCCATTCGCAAGTGCTGCGCAGAAGCCTGCGGCTGGAGCACCTGAAGACCGACGCAAGCATAGAAAGCTTGTTTAGGCTACTGCACATGGTGTGAGAAAGAGGACCTACAAAGCCATGTCACATCTTGGATGGTAGTCAGGGTGCTGCACCACTGGGCTCCGCATCCGCGCGCTGCACTTCGCAGCCCTCGGTTTGAGTCAGTCTCTCATGGACTGAGGAGTGAGATTGGAATGGCATCACCCAGCGAGCTGATGCACAACAAGCGCATGGCAATTCTACGACACGACCGATGGGCCCCCTCAATGAATTTCCAGGCGTCAGGTCCGATGTCAAGCGGCACCCGCCAAGACGTAACCTTCCTGGGCGCGCACTTGTATGAAGCTTAGTAGGTTGCTGAAGCTAAGCAGCAAAACGGAGAGTACCCCAACCAAGTGGTATAAGCTTCTTCGACGCTGTTTCACTTCGCTCACATTTGCAGGTCCGGCGTCCTTGGTGAGGACCCTTCGGAACGAAAATTTCCTCAGCAAGGAGGCAACATGAATGCCAACGCGATGCCAAAAGTGATGTGTATATGGGTGAGGGGATCACAAGGGAGCATACAGGAATCAACAACATCAAATCCTGGGATCAGATCTCACAGCATTTTTGCATATTTCCAATCCAGATATATTGCCAAAAAAAAGCATGTCTCTCCCTTCCCTTCATCCTTCCCTCCTTCCCTCCCTTCTTCCCTCCTCCCCTTCCTTTCCTTCCCACCCTTTCTCCTTCTCATCACTCCTTGATTTGTCATGGATTCCTAATTGCTCTGTCTTGACCCTGGTTTGGCTTGCTGTTCCCTATTGAGGGCGGAAAGAGATGTGCAGAGAAAAGCAACAGCTGCCATACACAGTGCAAGAATCCGCGGCTTGATGGTCCGGAATACACGGACGACGACCCTGGTCCACAGTAAAAGTCGGAAGGATGCGTGTTCTCGGCATCGGACTCCATGACCGACTCAAGCTGGCCATTCGATGCGCAGTCGAGCATGGCCTACATGTCGTCAGGCTTCAAGCCTTGTACTACCAAAGCTGATATCCAACCACATCACACAAATCCACAGGTCTCAACTGCAGAGACCTCAATTCGGCCCCACTCTGGTCATCCACCCCGCCCCTCACTTTGCATGCTGTCGTGAATCTTTCTTGACACGCACACGCTCTCTCTAGCTTCTACACAGCCTACTGGCAATTCTCTCCCTCAGAACCATGCTGGCCTCTGTTCCGCAGCTCGCAGACGAATTGCCATGACTGAGATCCTTTCCCGGAGACGTAGATGCCGGCTGCAACGAGTTGTCGCTGCCAGCTCTCTTCGACTTCTTGGAACCTGTCCGAAGGTACGTCTGGTGGGAATTGTGAGCAACTAACTTTCTGCTTCATGGGCGATCGATCATCTGAAGGGGACTGCTCTACCGCTTCTCAAGTCTTATAGCATCCCACTCCACCTGCCTGAGGACATCATGCGGCCCATGAAGCTTGGCCATGCCGGCTTCTTTGCATTCTCTGGCGAGCTCAAGACCTTGATAAAAGCAGAATTAAACCGAATTGGCGAGGCCGGAGGTCACGCGGGTTGGGGTAGCAAGGCTTGAGGCCCCCTTTGCAAGACTACCAATCCCTGGAATATCAGGGCTTGAAATCCCCAGTCACTAAGCTGCAAGGAGCTAGCGTTCGTGATTTAGAGAAGTTGAAAGTGCCTTTTTTGACAATTTGCCTGACACCCGTCATGACTTCATTGGCGGGGTCTCAGACGCAACGACTGACATGGCGGCAATCTCCGAGTGCGTTCGTTTCAATTGAGGTCGCACGGCCGTGTACATGTATCTACTACGGCACGGCGTGTCTCCTGTAATTGCCTGCGTACGGCCATGTTCCAACCAATGCAAGGGTGGGACAAAGACTCACAGCATTTATGGCCACATGCGAGGGACAGAATCGGACAGAGACCAGCTCTTGTAGCCGTGACCGGCCCCAGACGTATGATGTTGCACGTACCCTCAGGGAGGAAAAGAAACATACCCCAAAGCTGCCAGGCAGCATCTTGAACGCGCTTCTGATAATCGGTAAGAGACACCTGCAGGAATGTGACTGGCTGGGCAAGACACGGGCAAGACATTGCCAAAGAACCGCCTACCCCGGATTCCCACAGGGCCTGGCTGACCGACTTCTTGGCCATGAAAGAGCCTCGCCGGAGCTGAACCATGCTGCGACGGCCGCGTTTGATGTCAGCACCTACAGGACCACGAAGCGATGGATCTCATACGACCACACAAAGTTGTAAGCAGCCCCATGATGTCACTTCCAGATCGGCCTTGCTCTACCTCCGTGGCCAAGTTCTTCCACAGAGTGTCAAATGAAGGCATCACCCGCTCTCGCTCCATGTCGAGCAAGCACTCCTTGGCCAGGAACGAGGAGCAACTTTCCATCGCGAGAGTTCACGAGACATGGAGAACATCGTCTGAGCCTGCTTTTAACTTTGAAGCTACGGTCACAGTTCCACCATGGGTCATGATCCTGCACATGCTGCCCCGACAGGCATGGCAGCTGCGCCGAGATAGGGTCCAAGAGAAGCAAGAGCCGGTTGTTCATATCGTGCTGCATGTCATGCACCTGATTGTGGGCGTGGCGACCCATATCCAGATCTCCAACACCGATGGGTCGATCAAACTGGTGTGAGAGAGAGAGAGAGAGCCAGAGCGAGAGAGAGCGCTGGGGAGTCGATCTGAGACAGGAGCGTCCAGGTCATTGGCATCTGCCCCGAATGGGTTCTCCAGCCTTCAGCATGCTGTTTTGGTTCGGGACTCTGACGGAGCTACGAGTCACATCCATCATGCATTTGCAGCGCCCAAGTCGCTCAATGGCAATCGAATGCAAGCTCCAAAGGATGAAGACTGTAATGAAGGTTAGGATACCTCAGACACACGCTACCATGCAACCACCAAAGATGCAACGATCAACGTCACTGCAACTGCTGTCAGAAAACCACTGTGCGGAGATGTGCCAAGATGCACGAGATGGCTGGGGTCTGGGTTCCCAGCGTCATGACAAAGGGCGTCAGGGCCCAGTGAATAACCAACAACATCAGCGTGGCTTGGGAATAAGGAAATGGCACTGCGATTCGCGCGATCTTGAGGCAGTCATGAAACTTGACCATGCCACTTGCCAATTCGCTGTATGCTCGCGTCAAGATGGGTGACGGCGCTGACATGATCCCAGAATCGATGCTGCATACCACTATCGACTGGATCCAGTGGAAGACCAGCTCGACTTTGCATTCTGCCTTCTTCAAGGATTTCAAGGAGGTCACATCGATGCCTGTGCCATCGATGACACCTGCACAGTTCTGCAAGCAAACGTACACACAGGAGACGAACTGGACTGATTGCCTGATAGTTGCTGCTACCGATGTGAACATCTAAGAACCCAAGCGGGCAAGCGAGCTAAACACTTCGGTCAAGTGTCGCAGACGGTAGGCCCATCTGTCATCATCCTCGTCGTCGTCATCCTCTAACTCAGCCAAGCTGAGAGCATGCAACATGCCTCGGCTGTCCAGAAAGGGTGCAGACATGCTTTAGGGTGGACAGTCCAATGACACGATGCCGATGACTGTGCCACCAAATCACTGAACAGGCGCACCACTATTTGTCGAAACTCCCAGAGTTTCCTTGGCTGAGTGTGAGTGGAACATCCAGTTCATGCTGAATGGAATCGCAAGTCAGCCCTTGTTTCTGATGTCAGGTGCTGATTGCTGATGCTAAGCTTCTTGGCATCTGCTTTGGATGTCCTGAACATGTCTTCGTAAGCGTAGAGCAATTTGTACAACGTGAGTGCACGTGTGGCAGGCCCTATGCCTACCTATGTCAATAAACAAAAAATATCACCCATATATATATATATATACATGTGTGTGTAACCAGCAACTCGACAGGACCGCATTTGACAGTGCGATCGTTTCAGTGCAGGGCGTATTTCTCAACCAGTTTCAACCATCGCAGCATGTCAACGAAAAGTTTGTCTGAGTCACGTTCCCTTTTGCTTGGGGGCCAGGGGCGGCACCCAACGGATGAAATGAGTAGATGATGCAAGGCAGACTCAATACGCCACAGCCCTGCTGCTTTGCAGCAAAACCGCGAGCTGTGGCTGACTATGCGATCTCTTGCATTGGGCATTCTGGTTCGACTCTATCGCTGTAGCCACAAGAGCTAGAGGAGTTGCACTAGTGGTGCTTACAGACTGAGTCAGAACATGAACTTCACACAGGCACACAGAGACAGCAAGCCTCGTGAAGGAGATGATGCTGCTGGCAGCATCAAACCAATCCCCGCGCATCCTGAGGCTTCCGAATTCAGGCGTCCGATTACAGCCAAAGCTTCAAGAGCCCCCCCACCCCCGATGGCCAATCTGCCAAGAGGGAAAAGCAACCCAGCGTCTGATGCGTCAGCGTGCTTCCATCCCAAAATCCTCAGCAAAATCTTGCGAAAGATGCATCTGCGCCCGTGTGATAGCAACAGATACGGTCAAAGCAGAGCAGAAGAGGTCCAATAGCGGCCAGTGTTTTGGCTGCTGGTGATGGTGGTGGTGGTGGTGGTGGTGGTGGTGGTGGTGGTGGTGGTGGTGGTGGTGGTGGTGGTGGTACAGCTTCTTTGAAAGTGGTAGTTTCTTTAGAGCTGACACGCACCTCATCATCGGACCCGCGAGTTGACCTGAAGTTGCTCTACTCTAGAACTGCCACCGACAAATTGTGACGACGTGCTTGTGGGCTCTCAGCCTTGCAAGCCATGCGGGGAGGCTGCAGTGCTGCATAATGCTACAACCACACTTTGCAAAATACATGCACCTAACAAGCTCTGCTTGAAGAGTTAAAAGCAAGCCCAGCATCTGTTGTAGGCTTGCCCGGTCCGAAACACGACCAGTATCCTGGCACAGCAATTCGGTGCCAACATCAACCACACGTGTTGCGCTCCCCTTGCAAAAATGCTCTGAACTACTCTAAGCTTTGCCACGACCGCATCAAGCAGCCAGGCAGGCAAAAGAATACAGCGAGAGAGAGAGAGAGAGAGAGCAGCAGCAAAATGCAGCAAAGTTGCCCGAGAAGGGTTGAGAATGCGTTGTAGACTGTGGCATCCATCTCCGTGTGGGCCAGGATGTCCGTAAGGACTGGCCACTCATGAACCTCTCCATATTTGATCAGAAATGCCACCTTGGACTTGGATGACATGGCAGTGGTTGTACACGGTTGTGATGCTATGAGAGCTCTTTCAGACACACCACAGTTAGGACAAGCCGCTACAGCACAAGGAAATGCAACCTTTGTGGCAAATGGGAAGACACTGCCATTCAGGTGGAAGAGCGCTGACAAACTGACGCCTCAATCAACAGGCACTGGATGGCGCTCGGTGCCAAGGAAAGCAGCAAATGGCAGCAAGAATCCAAAGCAAGTCCAAGGAAGGGTCGACTTTTCAGCCGTGAGTAAGACAGCATCGCCGGGCATGGCACATTAACGAAGGCATTGCATCTAGTTACAACCGCTGCACGAACAGTAAGGTACAGTTTGGGCAGCTCGGGCTTGGAGTAGCGTAAGTGTGGATGGCATGCGTGCTCGAAGCTTGCAGGGATCGTTTAGAAGGGGTTCTGCGGAGATCTTTTTTTGCTACCACCCGCCTAGCTGATGCAGAACATCGCAGAGATCTTTGAAGCAGAGGGTCATGACAGAGACAACTGAACCAAATTGCAGGCGGCGATCAGACGGCGAAGGCTTAAGCAAGGCATGTCTCTGCAAGCTCGGATCGGCGCTTCTTGTTAGTCGCTTCTTGGTGCTGGGCGCTGAGTTCGACACCGGCTCGGCCGGCGCGCTCAAGTTTGGCCACATGCACTACTACTGCCACTCATGAATAAGCAGTACAAGCCTAGTTGGGCTTCATAGTCCGTTTATGGACCCTCAGTTTCTGCACCGTTGGTCGGTGCTTGAGCATCTGCTGCTTGTGTCAAATTTCATCCCCGCTGGTCCGAGACAAAAAGCCATGCCTGAATGCCTCGTCAGCGCAGCCAGCATCTTCCGGGGGGCCAACCTGGGGACAAAAAAAGTCAATGTGTCCTCAGGCAAAAGAGCACCCGCGCAGAATCGCAAAGGCAGAACGGTTTTGGAACTCCACGACGCCTTGAAGCGTACGGAAAATCCCAGCTATCGTACAAGAAAGGTCCCAGCAGAGCGGTTGGCTCGGGACAACGCTTGCTCTGGATCCTTTTACATGCTGCAGGATGTGAATTGAAAACGCTTCAGCCACTGCAAACTCCCCTGTGAACTCCCTTGACGCTTTCTGTCCCGTTTTGGCATATGTGGTGTGCAACTCAAACTAGCGCCAAGAGAACTCACAGACTCAATTCACATTTGTTGGGAGATGCCGCTGACATGCCCGGCATCAGAGAGAATCAAGGGCGCCAGAATGCTTGATTGGGTACATCGGTCACCATTGCAGCTTCGAGTCAATCATTGCGCCCGCTAGTCACTCAAACTTGCATCAAGCATAAGCTTGCAGGGACCTTGAAGGGCTGTTGGTGTCTGCGCCTTGTGAGGGCTAGTGTGTCTTAAAAGGTTTAGACTACCGCCGTGGCTCATGCAGCCCGCACCGTGGTGACTCCGTCCAGGTTCCTCGACCAAGCCCTCTCACCAGGGAAGCGGGGAGGTTATCAAAGAGAAACCATCTTGAGGGAGTCATGGCCCACCAGCCCTTCGTGCATGCGGCCACTTTGGAAGGATGCCGCAATCAAAATAAGTCAAGAGGCAGACTGGGCGGAAATGCTGCTCAGCAGCGCGATGCTGCCACAAGGATTGGTGGCAGCTTGCCCAACTTGAAGTTCGTGCGGATGAATTCAGTCCATGTTGGACTGTTAGACGCATTTACTACATGCCTTCGGATAGAACCAGAGGCACGCCGCATGAGGATTTTCACTGCCCATCTTTGCATACTGGCTGCCACAATCTGCCTGCACCCCAGTGCACCACGGCATGCCGTATTCTGTCCCCTACTTCGTCTCGGGCTCAAGATCTTATGAAAACTTCGTTCACATGCCAGCAATGGCCGGCAGGTCTGCAGCAGCGCATGCAAGCCGACCTAGTGTTAGCCTAACTGTCACTTGCGGCATTCTCACGCGGGTCGCTCAGTTCGGGATTTGCCACCTGCACTCGACATGCCATACATGTCAATTCATCCCCCATACGACCCCCCCACCAGCCGATTAACCGAACAGTCTAGTACGAGAGCTCGGGTTCCCAGCCTCCTCGTTACTGCCCTGCGACCGCCACTGCGCCCTCTCTTTGCCTCAGCTTCACTTGCTTGCAGACATGACTTGCGCATACCCGCAGAGAGTAGTTCACTTCCTCTCTTCAGCTTGGAAACTTGGAGGCGTCATTGGGGGCAGGTCGAAATCGTTTCGCCAAGACCTCAGCCCATTTCAGTATGCCAATGGTACTGCGCGGCCTGATTAAAATGACTGAGGCACTGGTCGGCTAGAATGTTGGCGAGCCGAGTGTTGCCCACTGGCACTTGCGAGGTCTTCTTGCCTGCACTTTCGGCCGTGTGTTCACAAGCAACAGCCACCAGACATGGAACCATCATCGTGAGCCGATCAGCACTGAGCAGCTGGCTCGTTGAACGCTTTGTGATGCTGTCAAGCGCCAACTTCGCAGCTTTCGCACTCATCTGAGGCTCGAAAAGGCTCTTGTCCTCGGTATGCCAAACATCACTGACTGTACGGAGTCGGCTCAGGGTCCCCTCGCCTCTGCCCACCATGTTGCAGGACCTTCGGCTTCAAACCTCCAGCGCCTACGGGACCACTATGGACCCTCTATGGAAGCTTCTATGGCGTCCCTAAAATGGGCCCACTTACGGACCCCTTCACATAGTTCAGCACGCACACTAGCGTTCCCCGGCGGCCACTGAAGAGTGGCTTGGATGAGCGAAACAGATGATTGCAGCTGCTTGCTTGCTGGCGCATTTGCGGACGCCACGAGACGACTTCCTGCGAACACGCTTCTTGAATCGGTCTGGCCACCAGACCCCGCACTTGAAGGTTCAACCAGGCAAATTTATGCCCCCAAAGTCGCTTCCCTACTTTTGCCCAAGCAACAATACGCAGCCCAAGCCCAAACAAGTCGAAATCCACTGCTGTTGAATTTAGTTGCACTAGGACCTCTGTCTGCAACTGCACCCTCAAAGATGTTTTCAGTTGTCGTGAGCAACTGAGATGTTGAGGAACATGGAGTGGGCGGCTTCCAAAATTAAATTCCTTGTTCTTTGCCAGGACAGCCTGCGGTTCAGCAGTGCGATGAATCCGGGTGTTCTTAAGGACAGGGCTGAAGTAGCCCGTCTCAGGTTCGTAAAGGCTTCGTGCAGTCCCTGCCTTACTGCCTTCGCCGGTGATTCAACTGGATTCAACAGTTGTTGCTTGGGTTTCTTTGCCTTGGGCTTTGGCTTGGCTTTGGCGGCCTTCAGCGGCAGGCTTTTGCCATATTCCTTCTATGTACACATGTACTACTCAGCTTGCCCTAAAGATGTACACAATGCTTCTATATTGCAGCTATCAACTCAAATACTGTATTCACACCTGTTGGTTTTCTTTGCTCTTCAACTCTTTATCGGCGCGACTCGGCTCATGAACGATGTCGATGTTGAGTACGGACGTGTCTGTCATGGCATCTGAACTCAGTGGCACCGAGCGGCCGCGTCTGGGTCTCCACCCACTGTGCCCGCGCAGCTCATCCAAGTTTCAGAAGGTGCTATATCGCCTCGAGGAAGGTTCGGGCAGTTCAGGCAGGAGTTTGTACTCCACACACAGACTCGTCAAATAATTATGGAAAGGGTCTTAGTTTAGTGTTGCAACGCAGTTTAGAAGGGATCGGGATGCAGGTCTGGAGGTATCTTGATTGAGGTCGCATGCTGGGAGCAGCATGCTTGAAACTTAATGAGAACGTTAAAGAACATAGTATACTTGCGCTGTTTTGAGGCCCGAGATCTGGAACATTGAAAGAGCAAAGGGCGAACCTGTGCTTGGTAACACGTCCGATGCTGCGAAGTCGTATGGCAAGCAGACCCAACGCCGGCTGTGGTCCCGAACGCTCCCTGGAAGCCCCAGCCCCCTAAACACCACAAGGACCCGCGCATCAGGAGCATCAGCATACCTTCGTGTCTCCAAACATCGGCTGCCAGGCAGTGAACGCTGCTCACAAAAAGGCTCGCCCCAAAAGCCTACACCAGCCGGGATTAGCCTCGAAATCCGGACCAACTTTGGAGGGGGGAGCTTGTTGCGAAATATCCAGGAACCTGCGCAAGGGAGCGGAGGGCGGCAGCCCTGATTTCTTCCCGAAACACGATTCAGCGAAGCAGGAAAAGAAAAAAGCGTGAGGCAGGAGAACGCCCTCCCCAGCTCGCAGGGCATATTTCGGGGCCGGTTCTTTCGCAAGTAACTTGCACAACAGGGGTACATGTCATTGACCAAGCCTTCGCGAACCAAACTACTGCAAAAACTAGCCAAGGGTCCCAGGTCTTGAGCGCTAGTCTCCACGTATGCGTGGCAGCGGCCTGCGGCAAAGCAGGTGCAAAATCCACGAAAGCGAACAAGCCTTCACTATGGCTCTCTCCTGGCCTAGCTCCTTGCTGCTGAACCAGCTGTAGGAGCCGATGCGCCAGGCACCGTTGTGGTACCACATGCACTCGAGACCTTCTCCTTGCCATGCCAGCTTCTTCCACGCGTGAACACTTGCACGTGTCACCACTCACTCAAAAGACTCCCAATGTTAAAAGAGAACTGCTGGGCGCGCGGCTTTCAAAACCCGAACCCTGGAACCACAAACCTTATTTTGAGTATCTACGTTCCAAGTTTCGAAAAGCTCGAGAACAAGACAGCATGATACTTTAGATTAAAGCTGTTCTGCCTACCGGAGGGGGGGGAAAGCATCAAACACATGCCCACACATGACCTCCCTGGCGTAAGATTGTATTGACGTGATAGCATCTTTTTAAATGGTGCTTGGGGCGCGATTGCTAGGGTGTGTTCCAGAGGTATGTTCCCGAGGCGATTGATAAAATTGCTTCTGCGCTGCGACCAACCCCGTGAGACCATAAGTCGCTCATTATCTTGGTGTGTCTGCTGCACCTGCCCTATGAATGTTTACCACATGAATGACCAGTAATTACGCGCTATGATTTTAACGGAGTTCATGCACTTCTTTTGTACCTCCATGGAATAATCGCGTTGCCTGCCTCTGCTCTTTCGTTCGCACGCTGTCCCCCATCATGATGGCTTGCATCGGTTCATTAGACTCGTTCTCATGCTTAAGGATCCAGGGACGACGTACAGCGACCTTGGAGAAAGACGTCTAACTACCAAAAAGGAACATCGAATGTGGAACGACGGATCTCTGTACGACAAAGCTGTTGAGGGGGAAAACCGTGTCCCTTGGGGGCCGTGGACTAAAAAACCCGTCTAATTACTAACGACAGGTTCAGGACATTGGTGACAGTCACTTTATTGTGGGATCAACTCTTCTTTCTAATAGAATACAAGACAGGTAGCTCGATGTATGTGGGTTTAGTTCCGCGTTTCGCGACTGAGCCAGCGACCCTGGCTCTGGCTGTAAACCTGTTTGCCATTCACCGTGTTTCCATCTGGCACGAAGGTGCCATTCAAGCCTGAGGCCATGTCATGAGATCTCTTGACAACATGTCATAACATGTCGGCGCAAACGTGTGCACCGTGGCCATCCCAGACATTGGCTAGACACCTTGCTGCACATTTCACCTGCGCTTGGACTGATTCGAGCAAGCATCATCTGGGAATTTTCATCAAAGCTAGATACGTACTTGCTCTGTATTGTGGCCAAACTGCACGAAAGCACTCCTGAAGCCAGGATACAAGCACTGTCGCCCGTAAAGCCGCTCCTCGTGCCCGTGAGAAGGGCCCGAATCACGAGGTGCGGACTATGTGGCACATGAATGCATCGGCGCACCCATAAGGCAGCAGCCGCCCTTGAACTTGATTTCACCAGACAGTACTTGTTGGCTACGAGACTGTTGAGCAAAGCGTCAGCTGCACGGACTCGACAGGCTCCGGCTGCGCCTTAGACAAGATGTCCATTGCTGTGCTATGTTGGGTCGCGCAAGACATGCGATGAAGCGAAGGCCTGGGGGGCGTGATGGGGGGTGCTCTCTATACAGTTTACTCGCACTAGCAGTTGGCTGCTTGGAATGAACCTGGGCCGCCAAGCATCATCAGTCATCTCCGGCTGCGCTTGTTGCTTCTCACTCGTCTGGTCCCTCACTGGCCTTGGGGGAACTGATGCTCCACAATCGAAGGGCACAAGAAACCACAGCGCACACATGCCTCTGCAAAACACATCCCGTCTCCAGCTGCACTGCACTGAGATGTCGTTTTTGAGTTCTTATTTGCACCGGCTTCCTCGATGCCAAAAGGTTGTTCAAGCTGTTTAGGGTCAAGGTTTAGGTTGTGGAAATCTTGCGTGACAAAACTGAATCAAGCACCGGACTCGCTGGTGCTCCGCACAAAGGTCTCGAGAGCAGGAGACGAAGAACGTGTTGCACGCCTTCACTCCAACATCGACACTGCGCGGGTCTGGGCAAAACTAAAGCATCCTTCAACATGTCATTTGCTTAGGACCTAGGAAACCCCGAAGGCTGCCCGAAGGACTGGCAAAGGATCGGTGTGGCTGGGCATGCTGGGCCCTTGCCTTGGATCCGGCCGCTCATGCCGCTCTGGCCTGGCCGCATCTCTTGGCCTCGCCTCGGTCTCTCATTTTTCAGCATTGGCCGCCACTGGCACTTCTACGGTGCAACATCTGCGACGTATCTGCGACATGTGGACATAGATGACCATCTACAAAGATTGAGTGCCAAGTCCCGCACACTGCCGCTTGTCGAACATCTCTCCATCGAAGCTGCAAAACTGTGTGTACGCCTCTCACGACTTTTCAGCTTGAACTGTCGAGCTGCGTGCCTCCCTTTCAGAGAATCTCCATTCGACTGCCACTAGGCCAAAAATTGCCCGAAGTGTCGCGTCGGGCCTGAAGTCTCTTCGTTCTCGGCTCTTGCCCTTAAAGAGATTGCTGGCGGATGCCTCTGCATTCCCGGCTAAACAGACGACAAAAACTGAAGTCTCAGCAAACTCCAAGATGGCACAGTCTGGGCCATTGTTCGGCAGGGGCCAGCCTGCAGTGATGTCGATGAGCGCATCTGCTGAGTCACCTTGCGTTTCTCAGCTGAACCCTGGGCATTGGCGGGGGCGTGGAAGCCATCAGAATCTTCGACTGTCTGAGATGCCCACCGCAGCGCGCGGCGCCTGCCAGCAAAACAAGAGACATGAGAATCTTAGGAGCCCGGCACCACAACCCCACCACTTCGGACACCAAACAAAGCCAGCCAAATCCAAATACAAAAAACAACGACGTAGCATGCTTCACAAAGAATGCACGCGCATGAAACAGCCCGCGGCCAGGCCCAAAGCCTAAAGGCTAAAGCCTAAAAAGCCTGGGGGTGGGTTGAAGTCTCGACCCGCCTGTCCCTCTCTCTCTCTCTGTTTTTTTTTTTCTCTCTCTCTCTCTCTCTCTCTCTCTCTCTCTCTCTCTCTCTCTCTCCACCTCTCGTACAGTCGAAGGTTCTACACTACTACACACTCTGGATAGGCAAAATGTGCAGGGCCTGGCGCGGGCGACCAGCTCTTGAGGCAGCTTGAGGGTGGCAGCGAAATTGCTTTTCCGTTTTGTTGCAATGGCCCATGAAGACCGCCCACGGGCCCAAAAAATGTCAACTCCAATTCTCTTAAGCCTAGAGCCCTAAACCTGAAAGCCCTGATAAACCACAAAAGCACACTGCGAAGCTCAAAAACCCAAAGACCCATGACCCTCAAGAACCGCCCACAAACAACCTTAAGCCCCCAAACGCACAAAAGCCAGAAACCTAAAGCCCTCCAGATTCCAAAAACCACTACAGTCACCACAGTCAAGAGGATCGTGCGTACGGGAAAAGGAAGGGGCAAGGGGGAAGAGCCCTTGATGCCCCTGCCGCTCTAGTGGATCCTGTTGCACAGGTTGACGAAGGCCTGGCTGCTTTTCCTATGCCGCCATCGGACCAGAGAGCCCTGCAGCATGATGTCGCCCTGACGGTGAAACAAGCGAGATGCGGAGCAGACTAAGAACACCCAAGCCTGGAACAGGAGCATGGCCGCAGCGTACCTGAGCTATTGCGTCCAATGCATCGCGGGAGCTCTTGGATCTATTTCTGTGTCTATCGCTATTTCGGCAATCCATGGCACTTTTCTGAAGACAAGTGGCAGGCTATGGCTCAGCCGCGGCCCGAGCTCGGTGTGAAACTGTGTTCTGGCGCTCTCGGCTGTTGCTGCTGTTCTGCTGTTCTCGCATGGAAAAATCTTGGAAAACATAGAAGCTCAAAGTGCGCCCACTGCCTTGCCCCATGAGATCTAGATCGCCTCAGGCCCAGAAGCCATGTCATCTGGAGGGAATGGACCCCGTGCCCCTCCCACACTCCCACATCAAGAGAGCCCTTTGCTCTTGCACAATCACATTTCGAGCCGATACAAGCACGCAGCATTGCAGAACCACAACTCATCTCGATAGCTGCTTCCTCTGCACAAAAAGCCTCCGACCTCGACTGCCTCCATAGCGCCGCCGGCACAGTTGCACCACCGAACAGAGCAAGGACCTCAGTCGGTCAGCAACGACGGGCCCTTGCGATCCGGATCGACCTCTTGCCTGCTTCCTTGCTGTCATGTACCGGCTGCAACAGCGTAAGGCAGCTACAGTGTGCCCCATCGCGGGCAAAAATCATTGTGTGTCCTCGCTGGTGACAGATGGCGGCAATGAAGGATCTAGACGTCCACTGCCACCCCGCATCGTCTATTTCTAACGCATCGGCGTAGGTCACGGAGACGGGTTCGTGATTTCTCAACGGCCCGGTTCTTGGAAGGCGGTCCAAGAGGAGATGCTAAAGCAAACTGTCAAGTCCAGCCATGCTTAAAGTCTCCTCATTGATACGCCAGCTCCAGAAGAGTACATTGACAAATTGTAGCATTGGTACCTTCATTAGCTTGAGTCGTACTTCACGGAAGACTCGAGGTAGTGCAACCTAGCACAGTCCCTCAGAGCATCCATGGATTCAGACATTTACACAAATCAATTCTGAAAGTGAAACACCTATACACGGTGCAGCTTACGCTGTCTTGGGCTATCTCAAAGGAACGCTCGCGCTGCCTCGGCTCATTGGCAGGCCTGCCATGGGCTCCATCTGGAGCTGCACACCTGACAGCTGCACACCTGACGGCTGCAGTCGGATCGGGGACGGTGTTCGGGAGCTGGCGATGGAGCCGGCGCCACGAACGGTGGAGGGCACTGTGCAACTCTGGGGCCACACCTGCGCACTGCCCAGGGGGGGCCCAGTAAACGCCCTGGTTCCAGGTCGTGAGGAGTAGCCTGGCATGCCTGCCATACCGGCCATACCTGCTGGAATGGGGCCTTGCTTCTCGTTCACGGCGGAGGTTTCTACCTCCACGACACGTTCGATATAGTTCATGGCCACCTTCGGAACTTCCTTGACAACTTCCTGGTAGACAGGCGCGAGCTCCTCCCGCACAACTTCAACAAGGTTGGCTTGTGGGAGTTCCACGGCCTGCTCCTCCACAAGGACTTGTGGTACGTGGACCACTCGTTCCTGGACTTCGGTCGAAATCTTTGGGACCACACGCTCCCGCGGCTCAAACTTCGGTCGCAGCACTTGGGTCACAATATCCACGGCCGCTACTTCCTCCACCTCCACCGGCTTCTCATGGACCAAATGAATAGGGACCTCCACATGCTTCGTCTGCGACTGCAGCTGCACCCTTGGGAACTCTCTCGGAGCGTCTTGCCACTCCACTTTTGCGACCTGCCGAACTTGTTCCACGCCCATGACCTGCGTCACCTCTACAGGTTGCTCGTGCTGGAGGTGAACGGGAATTTCTTCTACACGCTCATAGTAGCGGATGTCTTTCTTTGGGATCCGCTTATCCACATATTGGACGAATGTCTTGGGCACCTTGCGCAAGACCTCTCGGATTTCAACCTCGGGAACCTCTACAATCCTCTCCTCGTAGAGAACTTGCGGAACCTCAACCACCCGCTCCACATATTCGAAGACTGGCTTCGCAACTTTCTTCTCGACGTACTGCACCTCCACCTTTGGGACCTGCCGTACGACCTCACGCATCTGAACTTTAGGGACCTCGATGATGTTCTCCCTGACCTCGACATGGGGAACTTCGTCGTAGCGCTCCATGAGCTGGATCTGGGGCCGCTCCACTTGGCGTTCCACCTGTTGCACCTCGACCTTGCCAGGCTAGCTGTCAAGATCAAGCGGTTTGTTTTCAGGCTTTTGGGTGTTCAGGTTTTAGGGTTTAGGGTTCCGGGCTATCTTCTCCTTCACATACAATATGTCATATATGTATATTTGTTTTTTATTTTTGTACTTGGACAGGATTGCACACTGCTGCTGAACCCTGGCTGAACCCTTCTAGCAGAACAGCTCAAGACATCTCAAGACTCAAGTGGCCAGCAGCTTCTTCAAAGACATTTCTTTTGAGATCTTACTCCTAAAATCGAACATCCACAGCGTCGCGCAAAAGGCCGCACAGGAGTGATGAGTCACATTGAGTCACATTGAGTCACATTGAGTCACGCTATGTCATATTATGTCGCTATGTTATATTGTGTCATGCCACACTCTCAGACTCTAAGAAAGGGAGATGCTTGTGACAGTTTGTTGCTTTGGAGGGCTATACACTCTCAGACTCTAAGTGACTCGGTCTGAGCCTTTTGGAAGCCGGACCACGCAACTGAGCCATCGACCTTGGCCACTTGCTTCACCAGCTCACAACGAGCCGGCACGGGCACCTCGGTGACCTGTTCGTGCACGAGTGTCTGTGGGACCTCCACGGTGCGTTCCCTGAACTGATACACTGGCTTTGCGAAAGGCTTGTGCACCTTCTGCTCCACAATGCGGGCTACCTGCTTCACACAGTCCAGAACCTGCACCTGGGGCACTTCCACTGCAACCTCCTTCTGCAGAACCGCCGGCACCTCCTGCACCATCTCTCTTCCTTCCAAAATGGGCAAAGGCACCTCCCTCACAACCTCTTGGTATTCCGGAACAGGCACTTGCCGAAGGGTTTCCAGTATGTGTGTCTGTGGCACTTCGATCACCTTCTCCTGCGTAATGCGAGTGACAACCTCCTGGACCTGCTCGGACACCTGGAACTCGGGTACCTCTATGTGCTTCTCCACTGTTTTATATTCGGGCTTCTGCTTTACGATCGTATGATGCTCCACAACTTCGCGTGGGAGATCCCTCATCAACTCCTGCAAGCTGACCGACTGGACTGGAGCCACTTCCAGTGAAGGAGACGAGCGAAGCGTCACCGGCTCCATCATGTGAGGCTCCATGGGCCCTTCCAACCTTCCCAAAGGCCGGGCTCAGCACGTCGCTGCTTCCTGGCCCATCTGATCGTAAGGACAACATGTGCTGGCTCGATCCGAAAGATTTGCAAGACCGGGCTTATCACGGGCAACCTATACCGCAAGAAACATGTTCGCATTGGGAAGTAATCTGTCGAATCTCGCTTCCAAAAGGCACGATGCAGGAAGCACTCCTTGCGGCTTCCTTGTGCGCTCTTCCGGATCCGTTCCAGCTTTGTCACGTCAACACGACCCAATTCAATGTCTGCGCCTGCGCCAAACGCAAGAACCCATCTAAGAACGACACACCTAAACCCGCAGCCATTGAGAAGCAGCCGTCTACAAAGTCTGGCGTGCTAGGTCCCTCCAAATCCCACATGGGCGTGTGCACCCCGTACAATCATGCTGCTTTGCAAAGCTCCGCAGAAAAGACATGGTCTCATGGCTGGGACGTGGCTGCGACTGATTTGTTCGAGACCTCTGTGTACATGACCTTGCAGGCAATTCAGCTCTACAGCAGCGTCGAAGAAAGATCTTGGATTCTTCGTTTAGCTGGAATCTCTTGAGGCTGTGGGCCGCTTCAGGACGATTTCGTCTTAAACTTGGGCGGCCGGATCATGCAGGAGGTGTCCAGTGTCAAGCAGACCCACGCCGACTCAAGCAAAGGGACACACCTGAGCATTCGACAAGCAAACGCCAACAGAAGGGACCCCGACATCTCTCTCGCCCACGGGCGCCACACGGAGGGAGGCAAGGGAAGACCAGCCTCTGATAACCCGACATGCGCTACCACCACCTGCCCCCACATGATAGGAAGCCAGCCTCACGGCAAAGCATGTCTCTTCAGTCGAACCAGGAGCCCCTTCAGCAAATTGCATTGCGAAGGCAAGCCGGCAAGCCTCCGAAAAGCCAGAACAGCGGCACTTGCCACCCACGGCGGCCCCACCTTCATTTTCCATGAAGGACAGCCAAAGCTCCCAGCCCTCAAACATGAAGACCGAAACTTCCGAACACCCCGGCAACTCCCCACCCATGCCGATCCCATATGAACAGAAAACTAAGGGAGAATGGCCTCACAAAACCCCGACATCTCGTGCCTATATCAGCTCCACATGAAAGATGAACAGGGGAAAAGGGAGAAAAGTGATGGCAAGCCCCTGATAGCCCGACATTCCCTGCCGAATGGAGGAGCGGAAATGGGGGGGAACCACTAGATTTTGGCCGATAACTGTTTCGGCCACATGCCCCACCTACTCCACTTGCCCTGCTTGCCGCACCCTTCACGGAAGTCCAGGCTTCTGTTGGCGGCAAGCACGTGTTGTGGAGGTGGGACACTTTGCCAAGTGATTCTGCCACCCGGGGGGGGGGGGGGGAGTGAAGCAAACTCAGTTACTCTTCCGGACGCAAGTGGGGCACTTTCAACTCTCTCTCTCTCTCTCTCTCTCTCTGCCGCTGCATCCCAAAGGTCCCACTGCACTTTCAACTGGGGGTTGCAGTCTGCGGCCACGATGTCGCATTTAATCGTCAAGAACCCTACAGTAGACTACGCTGGTGTGTCTGACAGGTGCTGAAGCGTTTCCGTGCTGCTGCAGCTGTCATATCAAGCAAGGAGACTTAATTGAATGCGTCGGTTGCAGGTACACAGCAGAGCACGAAGTCAAGCAAACTCCACGTGATTCCATCTGCCCTTGAAGACATGACACGCCAGTCTTTTCGGTGGCCACGACCCGAGCTTGCAGAACGTTCACGCATCGTTGGCATGATACTTTGAGAAGGTGAAACTACTGCACTATTTTGCAGAAGCTGTTCCAGATTGTTCCGAAGCGCCATGCCACTCGTGCCAGCATACTCGCGCTGGTGCGCAAACGCCGGAGCCGGCAGCACCTCAGCTCGTAACTACGAAGTCTGAAGGCGCCAAAATCAACCGACTGAAACCTCGGGGCGCGCAGAAGTCTTAGCGTTCTGAGCATTTGAGGCAGTTTGCAGGGGAAGCCTTGGATTAAGTACTGCTTCTCTTGAAGATCAATATGTTTCTCAACTAGCTCCCATCAAGTGTCAAGCACTCCTGCGATTTGTTTCCTTCTCCGAGTCTTGCACAGACCCAGACATCTGGCCAGAGTCAGGTGGACGCTGGGGCAAACTCGTAACCACTCGGCGAGTGCCTGTGTGACAGATAAGCATTTTCAACGGGGGGGGGGGGGGGGAGAATTCGATGCCCCCGCTGCGTGCCTCCACCGCATGGTCTTTGCAAGAACAGCCACAGCCGCAAGCGCGCTCAACCCAGCAAGGGCCAGAATTGACCAAGCTGGTCGTGGAGCCGTGATGTCTCTCGACTTTCCTCAGCCCAAGAGCAGGCTCGATGCGTTGCTGATTACATCATTTGCTGGCCAAGACAAACAGGGACAAAAACGGCTACCGAAGCCACTCACCAGCACTAGCACACACGCACACTCTCACCATCACCTACCCTCACACCCTCACACCCTCACGCCCGCCGCCCACACACACACACACCCACACCCGCGCGCGCGCTTAGCAACACGTTTTCTTCCATCATAGGTTTTGGCAGGTCACGCAAAGCCCACTTTTGCTCGGCTGCCTCTGGGCAGCCCAACTTCTCATGATTGCAGCACCATTCTTGTTTGGCGGGGAACCAAACCTGTGCCAGAATGCAGCAATGAGTGTGCTTCTTCTGGAATCTGCACTGCTTCACATCTAGAGCCGGTTCAGTAAATCGCAGTCACGTGGCCAATTGCCACATGTCCAGGCCCTCGTGACAGTCAAAAGGCTTGGCAACCACGGCTTTGGCATGGCTGTGCTTCTTATCCGCGAGAGTAGTCGGAGGAGGAGTCGTTGTTTCCACCTTAGCTTGGCCCAAGCTTGGCCCCCAGCAGGAACGTCATGAGCTCCCAGGGGACTGCGGCACTGGATGCTGGGGCTGTGGCATTTGCAGCACCCAGACAAGCATGGCCTTAACTATGAGGGCAGTCATGTCAAGAACACGCAAATGCCGAGTCGGCGACAAGGAGGGGCTGTTCCAGGAACGGCGCTGCATCACGAACCGTAGCCACAGAAGGCTCAAGGTTGCTGACTTGCATGCAGGGACAAAGTTGCTTAGTAGACCCGATGTAACCCTAGCCGGTAGCAAGTTGTACGGCAACACGCGAACCAGGCGCGTGTTCGCAAATCCGATGCCAGTGTGCGGACATGATGCACGGGAAACATTCCCAAACATTCCCATCACTCCGATTAGAGAGTCTCAAGTGCGGCCAGGTCTCTGACGCTGCACAAGTCGCAGAGACCCTGGCACTCGTGCAATACGAGTTCGTGTGCGGCTTGGCATGGAGATACCTCGCCTGAGCAAAAGCGAAGGTTTTGTAGTGTACTGTATAATCCTGTGTATCCGTATGTAATCGCGATAGTTTCCAAAGTTGTGAGAAACAGTGCATGTGACGAACATCAATGAGCATCATTCAATCATAAAGCTTCTTATCAAAGAATTTTAAGTACAAAATGACACTCCGCCCGGCTTCACGCACTGAAAACGATAGTACGACTTGCCAGTATCACGTGAAGTCACAAGTTCAAGCCCGTGACACCCTACCGCGCAGCCAAGTTGCCGAGAAACGTGTGAACAGACGCAAAGTGAATCCGCTCCTCACAGGTTACCTGGAAACGACATGGTGATTTTCAACATCAGCAGGCTGCAAACAAGCTGCGCTCAAGAGGAAGTGCCAGCAAACTGCCTGCACATTTTGCAGGGTACAGAACTTCTTGCAGCCAGGGAAGGTCGTGGTGACGGTTTCGGTCCTCTAACCAAGCAGCATGACACCACAACGCTGACAACTAAGGAAATGCAAGGCTACCAGCAGAACCCTCATGTCTTTGTCGTGGTCAGCGTGATCGTAGTAGGCGGGCAGCCCCGATTCGTGCGCTTGCAACACCAAAGCCTCACACACCCGGAAGCAAGCAGTGACACGATAGTCATGGACCAGGGCACTGACCTGTCAAGATGGTATGTCAAGATGTTGCGGTTGACTTATGGTTCAGTACCGAGCAGCTTCTTGCCGTTAGACCAACCGTGGACCCAGTTCATGTAGCCCGAGTCGCAATCAAACCTTCAGGCACCGAAAACTGCAGAAAGCAGAAAAAGAAGTTCGCACAACTTGCAAAACCAATTGTCCAGCGAGGCAGTCGGGCAGCGCGTTGTCAGGGCAACCCATGCCGAATCTTGCACAGCACCGAGCTTGTTTCCTGAGTCCCAAATCCACATGCACTTCTAGAGCACATCCGGTCAATGCCTCTGAATCTGAAGGTTGCGCAATGCGGGGAACTACAGTAGTTTGCAAGCCCACGCTTGCCATGACTGTCCTGCGCGACTTCAACAAAACAAAAGGAAACCTATCATGGACGTTCGCAGCTGTGCTTCTCGATGTCCCAGTATAATCTCACCTTAGCCAAGATTTCCATCGAACTATGACTATGAACGCATCCTGGAATGGCAGGGGCTAAGCACAACAGTATAACGGCATAATATGGCATGATCAAAATTACGAGTTCCTTGCAGGGTCCGGGTTCCGGACGTCTTCCAGCCCCTCATTGCAATCGAAGCGAGTATCTCCATCTTCAACAACTGCCTGCAGCTCAGTCGCTGCGCAGGACAAGTGGTGAAGTCTATCAACTGTGACATGGCATGCGATGCAATGTATGGGCGGCTGCCTCAGTCATTTCGAGCTGTCTTGCTGGCACCTCTTCCCGACATCCCAAGCCATGCATCAGGCAGCACCAGACCTGACCGCAAAAGTCAAACTAGTAGTTGGGAACTCTGCGACTGCCCAACTCTTCGCTTGACTTGTGACTACTACAGCCAAGGCCTAATTGCTGAGTACCCTGGACCCAGAAAGATTGACCTTTCAATTCTGGTAGGATTATCTTTCCCCCAAAAGGTTAAAGGTTACCGACTGGTCGCCCGGCATGCAAGGTAAGAACATGTCACGAACATGCAGAAACATCCAGGAACACGGCGCGCAAGCAATACATTTGCTCTTCTGGAGGCTGCCCCCTTGCCTTCTCCTCTTCGAGCACAACACCTGCTTGGCAGGACTCCTCGGACAGCTCCGCAGCCTTGCGACATCTGGAGCGTGCTCTGAGCATTGCAGAGCTTCATAGACATAACCGTGACATAACCACTCAAAACACCCCCCCAAACTCAAAACTTTTGCCAAGACACCGCTTGAACCAAAAGCAGGGCCAGGGACCAAAGCTTGTGCATGGCCTCCCAAGTGGCCACTACCGAGACTCTTGGAATGGCAAACCAAACTAGGCATCCTTGCCTCCAGGATTCACTTCGCAGCAAACTTTGTGCAGCTGGAGGCGCCCTGGACCTCAGCCCTGCTTGAGCACTAAGCCTGCGCGAAACCGCACTGGCAACTGTCAACTGTCAGCTTAGAATGAGAAGATGACGTGCCAAGCCCGTGAGTTCGACATCCTCACAACACTTTTTGCCACACGCACGGTTCGGCGTGCCTTCGGTGACTCCACCACCCGCTTGACAAAACCCCGTCAGCTAAGTGGCACAGAGGACAGAAGCGGAAGGCCTACCAGGCCTGACTCAAACAATCACGACGCAACATGAGACAAAACAACAACAAAGCAATAACCATCATAACGTGTGGCGGGAAAAAGTTGTGGCTGCTGAAGTGCGAAGATAGGCAGAGACATGTAAAGACTCCCAAGCTCCCGTAGCTTGTTAGCATGCATCCTGAGCTCGGCCAGAAGAGCGGAAGCAAAGGCCCTTCTGAACTCGAAGCTCTTAATTATTCAAAAATGTTTGTGATGTTGAAAACAGAGGGCTCTTGTGCCTCTTAGTCTGAAACCTGCTGAAAACATCAGACTGTACATGATGAGGCCAGGTCACCTCATGGTTGCAAGGTACAAGGAGCTGGCAGATTCAGCAATCGAACTTCAATGTCGGCACGCTACCAGATAACAGGAATGTGCGGCAAAGCTGCAATAAGACGCTATCATGTGGGCGAAGAAAGTTCGCTGAACTCGACAGGCTTTGCAATCGGCAAGTCCTGTACCAATTGCAGAACAAGTTGAGAGGTTGCTTGAACAAGATCATCCGGATCAAGGTAACACTCGTTTTTGCCGTCCTTTAAGAGCGGGTGCTGAAAAAGCGACGGGAGTTGGGGGGTAATCTGCGCTGCTGCCGCAATGACCTCCGCGGGCGTGTTGCCCATCCTGGACGGAGCCGGGGCAACAGCCAGACGGGGTGTTTGCTGCTCAATGATAAGGCGCCAGAAGATCTAAGGCCCATAAACAAAGAAGCGTCTCCCCCTTACACCGTCATGCTTGAAGGCCTGCTGAGACATGATCTGGCTTGGGACTTTTTGAAGTTCGTTTGGTTATCTGATTTCGGATTGCCTCATACAGGTGTTCGAAGGCTCGCGAGGTTACGTACCACAGCTGTTCGCAAGTGCGTGTCAGAGTGTTCGACAACTCCAGGTGCTGCAACACTCATAGTGTCACAGTGTTCGACTGCCTCAAAAGCTGCACACTACAGCATCTCCTGATGTCAGGCAACTCGAAACATGGGAAATTATCCAGCATTTCGAGGCAACAGTAAGACAACTCAAAATGATGTGAGTTACTCGGTTTCGCAGCTCCTACTTTCTCGCCCTCCTTCATTGATTCTCTCGCTCCCCGTGTGTTTCCTTCCCGTTTTTCTCGTGCGGTCTCTTTGTTGGGCCTCCCAACAGCTGCTTGAATATCTTAAGCTTCTGAGTTGAAGAAGTGCAACTGCGGAATTTGACTTAGAGTCCAGCTCCCGAACTTCCCAAACGTGTTAAAAAAGCTGAGGCACTTGGCCACCAGCGGATGATCCGCCAGTCCTGAGGCCAAGTGGAGAGATGTCAAGAAGCAATTCGAAGCTATGCAGCGTGGACATGCCGCCCCGCATACTGACACAGAAGGGTCAGAAGGTTTCAGATGCATAGAGCCTGAGGCCGCACACCCCCGAGACCTTCACTGTCCATAAACCTCTCCCGACTTCTGGAACCATTTATGATATTTATGGCTCGTCGCTTTGTCCAATTTCTGTTCCAGGGCTCGTTGCAAGAACTCGCGGCGGTGGCCTGACAGGCCAAGCGGTAGGTCTCCCATCGTCCCGCCTTGGCTCAGACTGGTTCGGACTGGGAGTGTGGCTCCTGCTCAATCCAGCACATGCCGATAAGATCCTGTAAGACGCAAGCAGAGTACAAAGGTCAAGCGAATCACAAGAGGCAGGAGGAAGAAAGAAATGCCAAAGCCAGACATGGCCTAGCTGCGAACTGGTGCATCCAGATCCCTTGGGTATAAAGGACGGTGAGAACGCCGCGCCAGTAGCAAGCAGGCGTCCTGGAAAATGCAATTTGCATCTTGCATATGTCGTTTGCAGCAGCATGGCACCAGTGCCACAGACTGCAACCTTCGCTGCAGCAGGCGGCCTCCCGGCTGAGTGGCGGAAGCTCCACCGCCACAACCTGGCACATGCACAGGTCACCATCCTGACATGTCCTCAAGGTCCTACTCGCAGGGAGAGGTCCTTCCCAGAGAGCGGCGCGTCGTAGCGAGGGCGTTGGGAGGCAAGGAGGACACGTAGCCCAGGATTCTCCACCAGCATCTGGAAGGAAGGATCAACGAGCGCATCACCGTGAAGGAACAAGGTGATGGCTGGGATAGGTTACCAAACACTGGATTTCAATCACCGCACTCAACCATAATCGTCATTGCTCAAGGGTTGCAAGCGCAGCAAAAAGCGAACCGAGTATATAGAACCGAGCAAATTGGCCTGGACGTACATTCATCAGACCGGGACTTTAGGCTTTACACATGCGTGTTGAAAACTCGGTCATGGCCTCTTCCAGGAAGGCCCACAAGTCTGCCGCTGCTGGCTCAGAAGATCCGAAGCTCTTGTCCACGCCATCGACAGCAAGAATATGGCAACGAACTCCTTCTTGGGGCCAAAAAGCAGGGGAGGGGACACCAGTAGTGACAGATGGTCTCACAGTGCATCCGTATCTGGTACTGGGACTGCCTGGGTTCCCGGAGCAACACCCTGTGAAGTGCAAAATAAACAGCAATCTGCTTCGAACAGGAAGTTAATGAACGCTGCTTGGACCTGTTAAAGCTTCGCGAAGTTTGCCAGCCGCTGCCATGGGCTCGAGCCCTGACCTTAGTAAGGAAGTCTCTACTATTCAAGGCCCCCTCCATCTTCGCATATCTTCGGATTTCTTCCGGCTTGAACTTTGCACGCTGTGTGCGATGTAAGGCTGCGACAGCCGCACCCGCACAGCCCCACACTTCGAGGAAGCGCGGCCACCCGCAGCGGCCTCCGCCTGTCAGGAAACTGCAGGTGCAGGCTCAAACCTCAAATGAGCCGCAGCTACAACATGCTACAACCTCACCCATCTCAACGCTGAGATGCATAGAAGACAATAAAAAAGATCATAGAGTGGCTGGAAGAGGTAGGGCGTAAGACGGGCACAATGCAAGGCCGTCTGAACGAACCACCGGAATCCGTCTCAGATGTCCTTAGCGCGGGCTTTGCGCCTCGGAGGGCAACTCTTCTCGGCTACGGCAAAGCCGCAGCGCGCTGGGCGAGAAGAGCCTCCAGAGCAGCACAGCATAGCACAGCCTCGCTCTGAAAAGCCAACCGGTTTCAGTGGCCTGTCACCCGGCAGCGAGTAGAAGCGGCAGAACTCGGAGATGAAGGCAGATTTGCCGATGCCCGCCTGCAATCTGTAGTCTATGTCAATCTACCAGGCAGATCTCCCCAATGAGATCATGAAAAATATACGCCGTTCACGTAGCTTCGTGGCTGCCATGCCGCAAGACCCAGATCTACATGAGGATCTATTCCTGGGCCTTGCCATGAAGCCAGACTACTCGACGATGACCCAGGAAGGCATTGGCAACAGCTGCCATGGTAGAGCCTCCGGAGAAAGGAGAAACAGATGGCTTAGATCACTTAGATATACTTAGATCATGGATCACTTAGGGCTGCGGAAGCTCCAGTGCCTCGTCCAACAAAGTCTTCCACAGGCGGAGGGACACCCTGCACATCCAGCCTGACAGGGCATGTCGCTGCACCCCCATCCCTCCTGATAAGAAATGCTAAGCTAATTTCACCTGCTACATCATTTTGAGTTGCCTTACTGTTGCCTCGAGCACGAAGGCTTGACTCCAAGTGCACAGAGATGCCCGGGGTGCCCGGCCCTGTCAAGCGCGGCATCAGCGCCAAGCGCGGCAGCGGCACTTCCGGGCTGGGCGCGAGCGTTGCTGGGAAGAAGCGGAAGTGCTCGGCCTTTGAAGAAAGCAATGGGAAGAGCATTCAGAACACCAGGGAGGAAGCACCACCCTCTGTGCATTTTCTTGGAGCCTCCGAGCGCAGGCCCGGCTGGGGCGACAAGCGCACAGCACGCTGAGCTGCAGCGAAGGAAGCACGCGCCAATCCTGTGACCTGAAGACTTGCTCTCCGCTCACTCCACTCATCTCCACTCATCTCCACTCAGTTCCACCCTCACAGGGCGGCAGCCCACGCTTCGCGAAAAGCTGATGAAACATTCTTTCTAACTTCGCCTCCGTTCTAGGAGGCCTGCACACAGAAAGTGCAGATAAGGCGAGGCACAGGGTAAGCTGACTTCGGGAGTGCAGCTGCCAACGACCGCAAGAAGATGCCTCAGCAGGTCCCCCTTTAAGAAGGCGACGTGCAGAACACATCCCTAATGAAAATAGTCAGCCACAGGGAAACAGCTTGCCACAAAGGAACGGAGGAACTCGCGTGCCGCAGCATCAAAAACTTCGCCTGGGAAGTGGGTGTTGGCGTATGCTCAGGGGCCAATCGACGCGTCCGCACGATTCTCAAGAGATGCTCAGGCCCGGGCCTGAGCAGGCGACAGCACAGCTGGCCCCGGAGGCCACGAAGCGCTGCGCCAGCGACCTTAGACATCTCCGCAACCCCATCGGTAATTCCGTCGGCAACTCCAAGCATCCGGAGTCCGGAGCCGACCAGCTCTGTGGTCTAAGAAAAACTTTCTCTTCGTGTCCAAGCTGCTCGGAATGACACGCATCCACAACAACCACATCGAAGTTGTCTGCCGGGGTGCCTCGCTCATTGTTACGCATTCCAGGCTCAAGTCTCGTCGGAGGGTTTCGGCATACAAGTTTAAGGGAAAGCTTCAGACACTCACACCTGTAATTCGGTGATCTCTCATTTCTGCAAGTACTGCAACTAGAGGCCCTGCAACTTGTGCTCGCGTCCATGCGACTTTCAAACTGATTCAGTATGACTTTGCAATGCATCCCGGAAGTCAGGGAGGTGGGCAGAAGACGTGACGCCTAGTGGCCGAATTCCATGACATGCCCACTTCTGTGCATGCCTCGACCTTGCCAGAGTGAAAGCAGTGCTTCTTCTTTTGGTGCGTGCACCGTGCACCCAACCGCCCGAAACAGTGCCAGACCGGATAGGTTGCAAGAAGACCACAGGAGTGGAGATGCACATCCCGCTCAGCCAGCCGTTCGCGCTACCCACCCAGACTCTCAGGGAGGTAACCAAGGCCGTGACTGCTTGGCTAAAGAGTGGAAAGGGCAGACAAAATATCGGGCTGTAGGCTCTGTGACAAGGTGCAGGGTTAGGTTAACTCTGTTGCGTCTTACCCTGTCCCAACCTCTTGGCCAGTCAGAACAGGAATTGAAACTTTCTTATTGCCGTCTTATCATGTCTTATCCTTGTTCCTTACTTCAGCGCCCTCAGGGCTTGGGAATGACCCCGCTTTGACATGTTCTTGATTTCTTTCTGTCCTTATTTCCTTACTTCCTTTGTCTTTGATCCCCACTTCCTGTTTTCTTTCTTTCGGGAGGCTTAATCTTCAGACCCTCAAAGACCCTTTCTGTCTTTCGTGGGGCTTGAGCGCCGAAAGTTGCACTTAACGCGCCCTGAGCGAAGTACTACTGCCTAGATGATGTAGGGACTTTTGTTGCCTCTCTCTCTGTCTCTGGGGTGCCTCCGAGCCGCTCGACTTCTCTCCTGCTGCTAGATCTGGACCATTCAGCGCAAGCAACTCATCTATGTCCCGGATGCCGACCACTTGTGCATGGCCTTGCTCTGCCAGCATGACTTCGGCCGATGTACCACAATTTTCGGTTGGTCGGCGATGTCTGTGCTGGTTTTTATTTCTTGACGTCAGGCACAAACTGTGTGTCATGTGCTGCTCTTGTGGGCTGAGGCATGAACCCACCGCATCCTCCAGTAGCAACGCGGGCTGCGCCTTCTCCACTGCGCAATGCGCAGCCAGCACGAGGACACGAGGTGCCAGCGAAGGACGTTCCGTCCTGCAAAGATCTGCAGTGAGGGATTGCAGTTGACGTCGGAGCCCCTCTGAACCCAAAACGTGTGAACCCTCAACACGCAGAAAGCTTTGGGATATCGGGGAGTATAGGGTCGCCATAAAAGCAGCGCGCAGCAAGGGCTGAACAACCATATCTGAAGTTGTCAACTCTACTATTTTGCTGTCTGATCGCCACCGCGAAGTGCTGCCAAGGCTATTTGGCAATCTTAGTTCCCTTGGGGTCGAGGGCACCTCCCCTCGTCGTTACCATGCTGCTGCAAGCAGTAGTCCCGAATCATGCCTTCGATTGGACATTTGTTGATGCCGCCTGGTTGCAACTCACCAGCATCGTCCAGCATCGCCTTCCAAGATCGTTCCATGTAGTGGTCTGCTGCAGAACGAAGATCACCACACCGACTCATCTCAGCCAGCAAGGCTTCGTAGGTTGATTGCGGCCATCGCCGGAGGCGGTCCGCACGAACTGCAAATATGTCGTTAAAGAGCACTCCAACACATGTTGCGTGCTGCAGATCCTTGTCCACGAAGCTTTGGTACCAGGCTCCAAGTGGTCTCACAGAAGCGTTGCAAAGACGGATGTGGCCCCATTTTTGCGAAGCATACGTCTCGATGTCAAAGGCAGGGTTGAAGGGATTGAACTCCCCTGGAAATGTGTGGGCCATGGTGGAGAAGTTGCGAAAAGATTCGCGTTGACTGGGCCGTAGCTGTGACAGCACGTAGTTCAGCTTCCTGCAAAGAAGCTGGTTGTTCTCATTACGCATGATGCTGCCCACACTGAAAACCGTGATATCAGCAAGCGAATGATAGTTTTGAACAATGTGATGCAGATACACAGCGTTTTCACCTCCAAGATTGGGCACTGCCATGCATCGGGAATCCAGGTTGGGATCGCCAGAGCAATAGAGCTTCAGCTGGACATCAGGACCCACGATTGCCAGCATCGGCTCGATGAAATGCAAGTTTTCATTGAAGGCTGAGATGACCAGCTCCACACTCTTTGATGGTGGAAGAGGCTCCTTAAGGTCCTTGCCAGGTGAGGCAACCACTTGCGTTGTGGAACAGGTGCCTGGTACTGACACCTTTGTGAGTGGCCGATGGTCAGATGGTGCAGCACAGCTTTTTGGCTTCACAAGCGTGCTCCAGGGCGTGGATTGCCCTGCAGAGACAACACCCGTGCAAGCCTGAAACCAGCCTTTGGAGATGTTCCGAATGTCGCGACCGCCCTCATGGAACCAGTGAACGCCTTTGCAATATGATGTGGAGGCGCAGAATGCGAGCATGGCTTCCTTAGGGCCGCCCTTCCAGTTCTCAAAGCTTTGGGAGCAGCGCCTGCCTGTCTGCAACACCGCCTCGGACCAATCACATCTCCAAATTCTCCGATAGGTCGTGTACCCGTCTTTGTGATACTGCAGGTTGCGGCAAGTGCCGGCAGTGGCATCAAATCGAGAACACGTAACGCCTTTTTTGAAAGAGATGAAGGTGCATGCAGGATCAGCAGAACAAGCCAGCTTGCAGCTTTCTAGATGCTGAGAGTCAGCTGTGCCCCAGCCTGAGTAATACCCAGTTTCACAAGACCCATTGCCGTGGAATTGGAAATGTGCCATTGTGGGGACTACTGCTGCCTGGGACATTGCTACAGATGTCGTCGACTCCTCCGCGCTCGGCTCTCCCTTCGGCTCTGCTTGCTGCTGGTCTTGCAGTAGCCACTTGCTATTGCCATCAAGTCTTTTCTGGATCTCTGGATGCCAGCGAAGCCAGTCTTGAGGTACGGTGATTGACAGGAGCACGCATGCCGTAACAGCCAGTGTTAGAAAGGCGGGTAGGCGACGACCACGCTCCTCGCAGGTCATCCAGTCTTTGGCCCATTTCGACCGGAATCGCGCGCATTAAACTACTCGGCCATCTGAGATATCTGTGCACACGGCTGGGTCTTCAGCCCAACGTGGCGAACCTCAGAAGTGTGGCTCGACTTGCATTGCGACCGCTCTCTCTGCAAACAGCTACTAGACAATGCCGACGTCATGCATCATGATGCATCCTGAATGGGTGCTTGAGTTGGAGGGTCTAAGGCCTGGAACACTATAGGTTTTTTGCACATCGCTTCAGACACTTGCCCGATGCCTGATTCGCCGTGGCTAGAGGCAATTTCGTGGTATTTGTGCACTCGTGACATGTCATGGCATGGGTGAGCCAAAGATCAACAAAACGAGTCCACGCCAGGCTGAAACATGCAGTGCAACAGGAACAGATCTACATCTTCCATACCCGGTGGGACAGCTGGACAAACGTCCTCCAAACTTCTGCCAAGGTCTCCGTCGTAGCTGTGCGCACCTTTGAATACTCTTGCCGAGAACAGGCACGGAAAGCAAACAACGACAGGTTATCTCATGCATGTGCATGCCTGTGCTGCTTCTGATCTGTCGCAGCTTTCCTTGCGACAAGATGCTGAGAGGTACTCCACCCCTGGCATTGTGGCGAGAGCTTCGATTTCAGCTCGAACATCTAGTGGGGCGACGTCCAGTGGAGAAGCATAGAGGTAGTCGAGGTGAAGCCCCGTTGCCTCTGGATATCTGTAGGATTCTGCAGATCACAACCGCACTGCAGAACACAACAAAGTTGGTACGTCCAGGGCCTTTTGCGACACACGCCCCACTTCTTCGGACTTAACAAGATCTTTCTGTTGGCAGGTCGGGGTCCTGCAGTCGGACCAGAAACTGGCGTGAACACGCCTGGAAAACCCAAGATGCTTGTCGTGTGGCAGTCAGGCCTCCTTTTGTCCACGTCTTCTTCAAGCTTGTGAACCCCTCGCGGGGACCCCGGCCTTGCAGACAAAGCTTCAGCCATCCCACAACTCCGCCAGCAAATACAAAGCGCACGCCCAGCGAAGTACCCCGGGCATGCATAAGAAGCGACAACTGCTTCCTAAAGGTCATTTGCAGGAAAAACATGCAGGAACCCCAAATGTAGAGACAGGAAAAAACAGGAACGGCTAAAGCACCAAAGGAAAGCACACAGGCAACCAACACACAATCACCACTCGCAGAACGGCTTTCGCCACGGGACTGGGCTCGTTGGAGATGATGCTGTCGCCAGTCCAGGAGCCAGGAAGGCAGGTCCTCAATGAGGTCACCTGACTGGGGTCGCATCATCTTTCTGATGGGTTTGTGCCACTATGGCACTATGGGGCAGACAGGGTGCAAATGACAAGATCCGAGAAGCCGGATCTGGGGCAAACAGCTAGGTCTTCATCCCGAAGCACGCCGTGCAGGTCAAGGACCTCGCCGCAGCGCAAGCTTTGACAACAATCCCTTCCGAACCAAAGCTCTGCAACCATTCTGCCGCGCAGCATGTGTGTGCCCAGCAGTGCAGGAAGGGCATCGGATTCCAGCTCGAAAACTTATCCTGTACAGGTTCAGTAAGGCACAAGTCGTGCTCGGACCTCTGTCCCAAAACCATCAAGGCACAAAGCGAGGGATCCTTGGCAGCCACGCTGCGATTGCCTCGCGGAAGTTGTGTAGAAGTCGCTCCTCAGCGCGACAAACAATGCACAGACAGCAAGCATTGGTCACACAGACACAGAGATGGCTTTAACCATGATGGCATTCCCAGCTTCGATATGGCGCCAGGACTGTCTTGCGGGTGCCTCTCAGGAAAACAAGAAGCCAGACATGCCAGACTTGCTGACTGTTTTGGATGTCGAGGGTTGGTCAGTTTTCGGGATGGCTTTCGAGCGCTCGCCACCTCAGTGCGGCGTGGTCGCAAGGAGATCCGCAAGAGATCGCCACATGGCCTTGATGCGCAATCTCAGAGCTTGATCATCCAAAAGAGCACACCATGGCCCAGCACCCACATCATGCTCACATCGCTTTGCATCCGAAGAACTGCACGGACACTAAAAGGATCCTTGCTTCGCAGCGAAACGATGCACACTAGCACACATTGTCACACTAACACCGACATGAAGAACAGCACGCCACATCTCTTGCTTCAGAACTCTCACGCGATGCTTTCAGAATTTGGCTCAGTCTCTCTCTGGGCCGCCAGTGCCCTGAGTATCGCAGGGAGTCCCCCTGAGCTTGGCCCTGCGTGGACACGGCAAAGGTCGCCTCGAAAAACTCAAGCGGTGGCATAGCTCTGCAGAGTCTGGGAGCACCCGTTCAAAGAGAAAGAAAAGCAGCCAGCAAGGTTTACGAATCCAAGTCACGAAGTTTGCATACATCGACAAGATCTGTACTCCAGACTCCACCTTGCTCAAGCTGCAGAGCCTCAGAGTCTGAAAGTATGGGCCAAGGATGAAAGGCTGGCGGGCGTTGTGCGGCTGGCTTGCAATCGCGGGATCAAGGTTGGCAGAAGGCGACGGAGGAGACCGTGGAAGTCCAAGTACAGCACGCATCCATCCTGGCTCTCGTCACCTTCGCGCTCACGCAATGGCCGCAAAGGCAGCTGCGACGGCACCAGAAACATATCCTGCCTCAATCCGGCGGGTAGGCGACATGAAGACATGAACCAAAGCCGAGAAACAACAAATGCGAGGTGGCAGTCTGTACGCCGCGTGCTTTCTGTGGCCAAGACGCCGATGTTGAAGCGGGCTCTGCTTGTCGTGCCCCCAAGCCAGGAGCAGATCCAAAGCCTGCAGTGACAACCGCACCCCGCATGCTGCCTGCACGCAATGGCTCAGATTTCCTATATCCCCTCATCGCCCGTGCCTGTAGAAGGCCGACCAGCTCGCTCTGATGCTTGGCAAAGTGCCGGGCCCGCCACACAGCTGCGAGGAGCTGTGCATGGAGCAGACCTTCAGGTTGCTCTGCACAGCAAGAATTAAACGACAAAGCAGTGCCAGTCGGAACTAGCCGCTGCGTGGCAACTAAATGCATACCTAGATTTGACCTAGATAAGCTGACCTGGCAAAGGGCACATGAACAGCTCTGCAGCGGACATTAACTGAGCCCTGGCGCCTTTCTCTTTCAGCTCGGCAACGTGAGTGACGCAACCTTGGAAGACCTTGTCCTTTGCCGTGAGAACCTTGCGGCGACATGTGCTTTTGGAGTACGCTTTTGCCGCTTGCGTGCGTTGTCAGCGAGCTCTTCTTGCGAGAGATCTTTTGAGCCATGGTGCGGCTGCCGCCGCGTCGCCAACCCATCCAGGCTTCAGGCAGATGACATCTCCTGTTGCCATGCGGCTCTCGTTGTTTGAGTTCGTTCGGCTTGCATGGCTGTGTTTATCAAGCCGAATAAGCAGCCCGCCAACAACGATACTGTGGCCACGTGGAGAACACCAATCCAACTTAAGAAAAGTTCCCATGTGTGCTTTGGGATGTGGCTTCCGAGACCAAGCATGTGCCAAACAGAATGACCAGCAAACACTGGGTTCTGGTAGACAATGTGTCAAGCTTTTGTGAGGCAAAAAGTTCTGCGCAAACGAGATGCTCAGCTCTTCGAAGACCGAGTCGGGGAAGTGAAGAAGGGCCCCGAGACCGTGAAAGTGCCGTAGGAAGCTCTGCCTGGTACAAGGTCAAAGGGTGGGCACTTGGCATGGAACGGCACCCAGAGAACATCAACTCATGCTTTCCTGTCTGCGCTCGGTGATCGATTCCCTTGCAGATGCTGACAGGGTCTAAGGCAGTGGCAGTTCACTCTGCGATTCAAACCCGTATCTTCGGCAGCGTGGCCAGAGGTCTTCCACCTCAAATGATCCCAGTCTGAAGCTGCTTGCAATCGGCGAGGGCAGCACTCAAATATACTCAAACGCGGTGGCGATCGGCGGGATCTAGAATCGTTCATTGAAGCCTTCATTGAAGCCTTCTTGACGCCAGGCCACGCGCGTCAGCGGTCCAAGGTTGCCACTTCCACCGGTCCGCTGCAGCACCGCCCATAGGTGGCTCCAGCGAAGTGGAATAGGCGTCCCAAGCGGTCCTTTGGTCGTCGCTGTCTGTGCAAGGCACTGCAAGGCACACGCCGCAGATCACTGCAGTGGCCGAGCGGGTCCTTGCAATAACTTCGCAACCATGTTCTCAATTGCCTCTCGAAGATCAGAAAGAGATCCTGACATTGTCAAACAGGTGTTCACTGGTGAATGCCGCAATACGCGGATGAAATGCCCGACAAGTGCATGACGACATGTACATCCGCCAAGTGGCTCCCACTGTCGACTCCGGCATTGTCAACCGGGAAGAAGCACAGCTGGCTCTGCTCATTGATCTGCAGCTGCCTGTTCTCGCTTGATTACTGGCCATTATTGAAACTCAAAAGGCAGACTCCATGCGCTTCCACACACACATCATGGCCACTCTGAGGCAAGTACTCATTCAGTTCGGGCAGCTTGGTGCAGAAAGCTGAAATGCGCTCATTGACCTCTGCATAGACAGCTCGACGGGAGTCTGGCGAAAGACCTCATGATCGCGAAGCAAACTCAAACAAGCAACCTAACACAACTCAAACTCAACTGGACTCCGGGGAAGGCACAATCGTCATGCGTACCGACGATGGCTACAGGCGAGTTCGGCGCGTGAACGGCAATGGAAGCCAGCCACCACTCCATCGCTTGCCAGGTGTTCCAGGCCCCGGAGTCCTTCTCTTCTCTCAGATCACCGCCAGAGCCGACGGCATTGAAGGCAGAAAGGTCGATGCAAGCCAAGTAAATGCCATAATCCTCAGTTGCTCACGTTGTGCGTTGCGAGCGCCATGCTGACGCTCAATACACGATGCCGACAGAAACAGCCGCCGCCAGGAAGCACTGAGAAACAAGTGGTGCATGGCATAATAGACTTCCTGCCCGCCGAAGTCGTAAGCCTCAACACCAAAAGTTGTTGCAGAAGATATATTGTCGACAGGACCGTGCTTCTTGAGAACCAGCTGCGCCTCCAAGACAATAGTGTTGTCTTCGTGGGAAGTGTTCGCGTTGGCTGCTGTCTCCCCCAGCCGCCTACTTATTACACTGCAAACGGCGAAACGGTGGAAAGAGCTTGATTCTGCAATGCCACACAAGTCGCCCGCCTTGCAATCAAATCCACAGGCATGCGCTTCATGACGGCTTTGTCATCCAGGGCTTGTCTTCCTGGCAAGGCCGCTGCAAGCTCCAGGCGTGGCACACCATTTCTTTCAGTCCAGGGTGCCCATCTTTGCCGCACTGGGCGGCTCGGCATTCCCAGGCGGACGTACTAGGTCTGCCACATACCTGAGGTAGAACTCCAAAATTGAAACCTGCATACACTTGAGGCGCTTCGAGGCATTTCGTTTACTGCTGACTGTAGGGCGCAAATATCATCAGTAAAACTGTCCCTGGAACATCAGCGCCAAAATGCTTCGCAACGCCGCGGTCCCAGCGATTGCTGCTGGCAACAGCCTGTGCGTCCTGGACATAAAAAGTGTCTCAGGCCAATACTAAGAGACCAACACATCCCCAACACTTGGACGCTTTGCCCGCACTCTCCTGCAGCTGCCAGCGCTGGCCCGGAGCCGCTGACAGGAGCTCCTTTGCAACGGTGTGCAGATGTCTTGCATTAGAACTTGGTTTAATTCGCTCGTGCGTATCGTGCTCCCGAACTTGAAGCCGAAAAACATGGGTTAAGCTTCCTCAGTTGCATCAGAATGGCAACAAGAGTGCCCAAAGCTGGACACCACGAGCATGCGTCTTGATATTGCAACTGCCTCACTCCAATTGAATCATCCTACGTTAATACAGAGGTATATTTATGCCACCAAATTGATCACTTGCATCGCAACTTAAATCTCATTCGATGAGCAAAACGATATATTCATGTGTTTGAACTTCCTTCCATATGCAAAAAACGATAAGCTTATGTAGTTCTCCCACCACAAGCATATTCAAATGTGCCGGCTCCTGTGATAGTGCCCAACAAGCCAAACCGTGCGTGCTCTCCTGGTCGCGCCTGACATTTGGTATGTCGCATTGCTCTTGGCCTTACTTTGCATAGGAATGCATGGAGGTCCTGCCTCAGAGGCAGACCAGCCAGCGCCTGCAACCGTGGAACAAACATGTACAGAACGCGCAAACTTCTATCCAAACGTCTTCGAGTTTGACTCTGGTTGCTCAGCAACCGCAAGACAGCACACTTCTGATTTTCGCCGGAAGCCTGCAACGTCGATGTCTTCCCAGCACGCGCAGGGCCAACGAATCCCAACTTTGCACAGCGTGGTTGATGTGTTCCTCAGGCAATCTCTAATTCTAACAGCTTTGCATCTGCATGTGTCTGAACAGTTCTGACTGACAGGATTTTCTGCTCGTTCGTTTTATTAGGCACAGAAGTAGATTTGGCTGTGCTCCAGTGTGCCCCGCTGTACCCCGTGACCCGCCTTGGAGCAAAGCTCTCCGGAATGCATCTCGGGCATCATCACCGAGGGCTGTGGCCAAATGCCGCGCAGCACCTCGCTGAGACCGGAACTTCTCCAGCTTGCCTGAGAGAGAAGTGAAAACAAGCAGTTGCCCTGCTCTCTACATCAGAACTGCACCAAGCTGCAGAAACCCTCTTTTTCCCTGCAATGTGCAAACGAACTTGGCTGCGTGCGTCGCTAACCCATCCTTGAGTGCGGCTGTCTGACGGCTCTACACCACTTCACAGCAGACAACGGGGCGTGCCCTCCCAGACTTCTGTACAACGGCAACAAGACAGGGCTTTCAAGTGGCGTGCAACTTTGGCACATCCATCATTTTACTCACACCCTACACAAGCCGCCACGAAAGCATCTTCGCCAGCACAAGAGTCGCCAAAGATGCTGAACTGCAGTGGAAACCAACATGCCAAGTCAGCGTCGTCTGCCACCTGTACATAGGCCCAGCCACTCTAGAGTCTTAGAGGCACTAGTGACGACACCCACTCAAGCCTGCGTGCCAGCATACCCTGCCTCCCATGAGACACTTTCTAACTGATGGCCGAGACACCTTGCCCACCGCTGTTGCTAAAGCTTCCATAAAAGGTGCTTTCGCCGCATCAGTCAGGTGTCCTATTTCAAACTCTTCCTCCCACGCAGGGGAATGGTTGTCCTGTGCCACATGGCATGCTTGCGACCGAGCACATGTGACAGATCTAAAAGACAACTTTGCTCTCCGCAACAAGTGTCCTTGATCACTGTGCTACAATGGGCGGGAGTGCGCAGAATAGTGTGCATGAATCCCTGGCCCAAGTGCTTGCGCACGACGTTGGCACTGATGCCCAGCGCCGAGACCTCGACGAAAGGATCTGAAGCACTGGCAACATCACCTCGGAGCAAATCCAAGTAAAGGAATGCATGCAGATGTTCTTGAAGTGTTTTCGATGCTTTCAAGGCACACTTGGGGATGTTCTTGGCCTCGTGCAGGCACACTTCCATGCCTTGAGGGAGGGCACAGCCTCATGCTTGGCACAACAGTTGTCCATTGTTCCATTCTCCTGCCTCCACGCAGGCGTGATGTGGTGGGGAGGTCCAGCGGCCGGAAAGAGACTTTCAAAGACGTCTCTCCCTCCCAAAGCAGGCCGCGATATGGCGGACATGATGGTCTACCGTTGCCAACCGGTAGGGGAATGACTGTTTTGGGGAAGTCCTGCTGGTGGCTCGGGAACTAATTATATTTTGGAAAGGTAGAAGATCATTATCACATGACATGTACTGTAGGGGTATACGATCAATTCTTTGGAAGCAATGCCTTGAAGAGGAATCCAGCTTTCACGCGGCTGCCGCTCAGGTCCTGCACACAGAAAGGCATTGGGCCACCGACATTCAAACTCTCAGCCTGGGCTCGATAGGGTCCTGCAGCTTGAGGTCCTTCATGCCAACAGCATCTTCCGCTGAAAGAACCTGGATTCTCGAATTTCAAGCTGGCCTTGAACTGCATAGAATGGAGCGCTCACCAGGGCCGGTCAGTCTCCCTCTCTTCTTCTTCTTCTTCTTTTTCTTCTTCTTCTTCTTCTTCTTCTTCTTCTTCTTCTTCTTCTGCTTCTTCTTCTACTTCTACTTCTACTTCTACTTCTGCTTCTACTTCTACTTCGACTTCTACTTCTACTTCTACTTCTTCTGCTTCTTCTGCTTCTTCGCGCTTTGAGGCCCCCCTGTCGTTGGCTTGCCCCTCTCTGTCTCTCTCTCTCTCTCTCTCTCTTTCCTTCTGTCTTTCTCTTTTTCTTTCTACGCACTTAAGCCTCCCCCATTGAGGAGGGCCGCCCTCTCTCTCTCTCTCGCTGCACGCATGGCCCCCCGAAGGGGAGCCGAAAGTGGGCCGTTTGTGAGCAGTCTCTCTTTCAATCTTTCTCGTCTCGTCTCTGCGTCACAGCTTGCCATCGCTTGACACAGATTGTGCAGTTCAACTAAGCTAAGGTCGGCAGCTCCGATGAAGTCGTCATCTGTGAACGCATCCTTGTCCCAAATCCTGAAAGTAATACTGGCCACTGGCTTCCAGAACCTCGCCACATAGAGGCTGCAGCAGTTGTAGAGCAGCTTCGCTAAAGCCACGCGGTAGAGACGCCAGAACTTCTGCCTGTCAGCTTGCTCTGCTTGCGAGAGCAAGGCGTGGGAGTCCTCGGTGTTGAGCTCCGAGCGACCCCAATCGAAGATGTGCACTCGAGCTGGAACTGGAATCTCTGGAATAGTCAGCATAGTTTGCACGGCACTTCGTTGAGGAAGGCTGGCACAATCAAAGACGAACATGACAGAAGAGCCTCGTGCGCCACTCTGAAAACCAACTCTCAATCACGGCGTGCAATGGCAGCTTTGGGGCGACTTCCATTTTCACAAGTGTTGAAATCAGCTCACACCCGACCCGCCTATCCATTGTTGTGGAACCGGCACCTCCGAGGGTGCTTCCAGCTGAACGGCAACACTACTGGGCATTAACGTCACGACCCCAATCGAGCTGCTTTGGCTGGATTCTGGCTCTAAGTGCGCCATCTAGGTGAAGGCGTCTTGGGTGAGCATGGTCGAATGATCCAGCCCTGCAAAGGAAACCTAGAAGTCTGCCGGTCCATCAGAAAGAACTTGCACATTGCGAAAAAGTGGCAATGTCAAGCTTGTTGAAGCAAAAGGTGATATTACTATGTTTAAAGATGCCGGCAGCACAAGACATGTCGCTTGCCAAGTCGCCACCAAATACTTCTAAGTGAGCACAAGATGTGCCGCAAGGTTTCGCGCATGCTGCCCAAACTGCATCACGGACTCAGGGCTGTAGATTCCACTATGCAAAACTCAATCCCCACGAAGACCTTAAATTCAAAAGGTCTTCGTATAAAGGCCTTCGTATCGTGAGCCAGAATAAGTGCTTGGTTGTTTTCGGCTTTAAGGCCTCTTAGGTTGTCAATACTTCCTCGGTGCTCAGACATGGCAAAAGCCACTGCCCCGACATCCCTTTTTGAGCAACTGGCTGAATCTTTCAAAAGCCTATCCCGCCTTGCGACAAGCTGCCACGAGACCAGCAACCTCGGTTTGATGAACTGCCCTCCTATTGATCAGCCACCCATGTGATCCTGAACAAGCACACACTTCACTGAGTCGAGACGAGAGACCTGCTGAATGCACTGAAGCAAGACCAGCTCCTACAAAGGTAAAATAACAAAGATGCCGTGATCATCAATGTGTGAATGCGATGGCTCGGGCAAGAATATCCTGAACCTCGATCGCCCGAAGCTGACTTGCAGGGGGAGCCTCCGACAAGTGTGGAAAGGCTGACTTCCACCTAGTGGACCCTGTATGCACTGGTGCACAACATGCACCATCTAAATCCTTGCAAGGGCCTAATGATACTTTAGCGTGGTTGGTGCAGAAAGCCGAGGCAAGCCTGCAATTAAGCCCTACCACTAGATCCATTTGCGGCCTGCGTCGACGGGTGACCCGAGTGGGCCGGGTAGGCCGGGTGGGGAACAGGAGCAGCCGGAGTCGAACCATAGCACAGGAGCTTCTGGATGGTCTCCCGCGTGCTGCGCCGCCTGGAGCCTTCGTGCAACATGAGCATGCTTTTCGTCTGAAGCAATATCTGGTCCAAAGCGCAGCATCGACAAAAGCCACCTTGGGAGGCTGTCGAAGGCTCATCGTGCCCATCCGTGTCTTCCGAATTCTCCCGGCCCAGGTGTTCTGGGACTCGATGAAGGTCCAAGAATATGCGAAGAAACTCGTTGGCCTCTCGCATTCATGCAACACGACACAAGGCCCATAGAACATCCTTACCATGCCCTTCAAGTACCCTGGCTGCCTGCATGCGCTGCAGGTTAAAACGTCGTAGCCGCCTGAGGTGAGTGCACCCGTTTGCCGCCGCCCGCGACCCTACTCCAAGCTTTCCAACCCCTGTCGTGTCAGCGAAGCAGCGTATTCACAAGCTTAGCGGCTTCTGTGCATGCCGAGGAATGTGGTTCAACTGCAGATGCTCGATGCTTCGGAGAAGTGCTGGTGGATTGTCGAACCCCTCGAGGCCTGAGCGACATGCAATATGGTCCACAACCAAACTCTCCCGTGGAGCCACTCTAGAATCTGTGGCTTATGGGACACCATCTCGCCACAAGACTTCCTCCCAACCTCGCAACGAGCCACACCCTTATCATGATATGATGATGCTGATGGCGATGATCACGATGATAATCTCTCTCACTGCACGGGTTCCAAATTGTGTTTTTTGCCCCCCTCACGGCTCGGGTCATTAAACAAAATGCCTGCATCCTTATGTAGACGCACCTACAACAAAGAGCAGGCTTGAGGAGCGGGCGGAAGCCTTCTCCGGCCGAGTTCGTATTGTGGTCCACTGTAATGTTCCTTGCAGCAGGTCCCATCTCAGCGACTTCTGGTCAAGCACATACGCCTCGTCCTGTGAACTGAACCGAGGCTCTGCATAAATGCCTTGACACTGCCCTTGCCCTGCCATCCCCCGACCGCAGTGACGTTGCCCATCTTGATGTCCAGCATCCGGGCAGAGACAAATCCATCTCTGCAGTTTCGCAGCAGCATCCTGAGCACTTGCCACTTTCGTGAGGGACTTGTGTGCCACGGGGGTTCGGGCTCAATGATCCCCGAGAAAGGAATGATCATGATAGACCTGCCAGTCGCAATCACTTGACCGCGAACTCAGGTTGTTGTTTTCCGCTCCGGGGCTTAGGGACCCCCCCCCAAGCCGTGACACATCATGCCGCTCTAGGCCAAAGCTGTACAAAATGTGCATGTGCACGTGTGTACTTCAGCATCGCGCCGGTATTCTGCCAAGCTCGCGCTCCTGCTTTGCAGCCCTCTACTTTGTCTGTTGCACACATACGCAAACCCGAACCCTGAACCCTCGCACTCTCAAGGGGGTTCCCCGTTCCAGGGAGTACGCAGTTCCAGGGAAACGCATCTGACCCCTCTTCACAAGACCAGTCCTGTTCTGGCCCGCCCTCGCACACCCGTCGACCCAGCATCACGAGCATCGTTTCTCTCCTAATTCCAAGCCTTCAGTGGAGACTGCTCTACAAAGGGTGCGAGCCCCCCCCCCCCCCACCCCTCCACCCGTTTGCCAGAATGAGCCGGGAATTTGCCTCAAAAACGCACCCCAGGATGGCACCGGCAGATCAGCTGCGCAGAGTCTTCATTACGAAAGCTCCCTCACCGGCCAAGTTTGAGGAGAGGCTTTTTCGTACAACATGCAGACTGCTCTATGAATCCTCAAAAACGCCCCATGAGAAATGACGTGGGGAGTTCACTTGGAATCCCAAGGATCAGGTCAACGTCTTGCGCAGGCTTGCCATCCTTCTGTGCGTAAGGCACACGACAAACACCTCAGCAACAAGCATCAACAATTGCGAGCATCGGGCGCAAAGCAAAGTTGCGGCACACGCATCAGGACCTCTCAGGCTCCTGCCTTTGTAGGGCGTCATGAAGTTCAATATTTGCCAGCCCTCTTTACCCTGCAAAGTCTTGGCGACCTCGTAGAAGATCACTTCATCTCGAGCCCGGGCCAAGTCTTTTCCGATCCAATAGTGTTTGCTTGATGCGCCCTGTTCTCCAACGTCTTCCTCCTCGACGGGTACAGCAACTGCAGCCCTGAAGAAAGGGCTAGTCCTGAAATGTCTCTTTCGGCAGTACAACATGGCTGGGAGGGCATGGGGCCTGGAAAGCAGCAGCATGAATCCCGACCTTCCGTAGGCCTAATGTGAAAGTCAAAGACAGAATTCTCCGTGTGCTACGCACATCGCTCACCCCCCCCCCCCCCCACCCTACCCCGACCCGCACCATCAAACCTGCCATCTCCGGTTTGGGTTGCCTTGCCACTGGGCAGGCCCGGAGAACTAACATTAGAACCCAAGCTTCGAGAGACAATTCCCTCCCCCACCTCTTGCAAAAGCTCCATGGCAAAGAAACTGGCTGTACCTCCAGACCGGCCCATCGGAGAGCATGGCATTTTGAAGATATCTTTCGGCACTTCTGTAAACTGCAGCAGGGCCGTTATCGGCCGAAGCTTCTTGGCTAAGTAGTTGCAGAAACGCTCGGCGTAGATGTCAGGAGGCATGGTGTCAATTGCGTCCACCCACCCGATGGTAAGAGACTTCAAGAGGTGGGCCACCTTCTTCTTCCAGCCATAAGTGACCAAGATGTCAACAAGGCCAAGGCAAAGCTTACAGTCTCGAGCCTCTCCCAGACTCTGGCTTTCCTTCGCTTCGAAGACTCTGCGATGGACACCAGTGGTCTGCGGCGTCGGGACGTCGGGCGGGCAAAGCGCCAAAAGCAGCGAATAGTCCATGATGCCCTGTTCCTGAAGAAAAGCCGTGTCAGCAGCCAAGGCGTCGTTGATCGCCTTTGCGTCGGCCTTTTCTAAGAAGAGCGTGATTGGAGCGAAGTTGTTGTCTTTCAGGCAACCACCCGTTGCAGGATCAACCCAGCGATCCTCACAAAAGCAGGAACTGGCAAGAGCCAGGCTGACAATGTCGGCTTGGCTCATCAAAGCTAGAGGTGTTTCATCGGATAAGGGACGCACACATCACATTCTGTGTTGTTCAACGTGTTCTTAGCATGGAACCCACTTAATTACACCACATCCTTCACACAGGACTCTATCCATGCTCTATGCTTCGCTTCTGCTGAGTGCCATCATGTGAAGAGCCGAGGATCTTCAGTTGTTCCTTTCAGATCGAACAGTGACTCAATTGAGCTGACGCCCTCCAAGACGTTGCTCATCACAACAAAGAAAGTGTTCTCTCCTTCCAAGTTGAAGCGATATGCCCCAAAATATCTGGTAAGAACCGACAGCCTGCTGCTCTCCAAATGCTCCTGCAGGGCAAGACATGCTCTTGCCAGAACCTGCACCCTGAAAAGCAGGTTTCTAAGTTTCTAAGCCTATCCGGGATCGGGTACCAGGAATCCTGGTACTCAGGCAGCATCTTGATCAACTGGCCAACCTCTTGCTCAGAAACCGTTTTCAAAACATATCTTTGATCGGCCGTTCGCCAAAAGATTTCCCCAGACTTGCCAGAAGCCTCCGTCCTGACAAAAGAATCAGCTGGCGGAATATGGAATTCTAAGCACTGCACTAGCACAAGCCAAAGTCGTGCAATGCTGAATTTGTCAGCAAGCAGCTTGCCACCGAGGAGATTCCCAGAGACCATGGAGTGAAAGAAGTCAGCGCAGCCGACTGAGAAGGTCTTCCGGAGCGAAGCGAAAAGAGGCGCCGCTAGCGCCTCGAAGGCTGCGAGTTCACCACCTGAACAGAGAGACGTGACTACAAAGACGAACAGTCCTGAGAGCATCCGACACCACTAGTTGCACTTTTCTTCTACAAGCGAATCTACAATGGGATGTAGTGGGCCATGCGGACTCCGCTCACCGTCACTGGCCTCGCCTGTCCGAAGCCGGAAGCTGATTCGCGGCTCCAGCTTATACTGGAGACGCAGCTGCTTCAACTGTCCAGGGGCCGGGTCGACGCCAAACTCCTTGCAGCCGTTTTAAACCATGCTTTTCACTTGATGTACCTGCCAGCTGCGCTTGCTGTACGTTTAATGATGTAATGCATCCCCCAAAAACTTCATGTGGCTCACTCCTCGTTAGAAACCGTCACGTTCTGCCCGCTGAGCAGCAGCTGTCTCAGCGGTGCTATCCTCGGAGGACACATGACAAAGACAAATCATTCTGCGCACCTGCACGGCATCCGTCAAGCATGCTTCTGCCGAGGATCACATCAGCCATCTTGTCAGGAACGCCGTAGAGGGCGCACAACAGTCCTGTATGCTGCACGATCGACAAGCCAAACTTACATTGCAGATGCGTGAAAGACAACATAAAAACAATGCCAGCACACATGAAAGCATGAAGCTCAACTGCCTGCAACAACTTGCGTGCACCTGCAGCAAAGCAGTTTGAAACTGCTTAAACCAGTAACGCCGAGTGGCCCTCTGCACTGCCAGGTGGAAGCTCAAGACCTTGACCAGGGCTGTGTGATCACATCGCAATGCTTAGCGAAGCTAGCAGCACAGCAGCTTGCCAGTGAGATTCCCTCAGTTCAGGATGGGGGACAGCCAGGGGGTTCACCCTTTGCTTCAGATTATGTTTGGAAGGCCCAGGGGTCTAAGTTGGGGGCTGGCTTTGTGACGCCGGTAGCAAACCTAAACCCCAAACTAGGTGCGTTTCTAGGCATTTGAAGGGAAACGCATGTAGCGGATTATGGATTCCCACTCCGTGTGCTCTGGGGCGCGTTGAATTCAAAGACCGTCATTCGTAGCCCTCGAAGGCCCTTGAGTGTACTCATTCCAGACCCCACTACAAACTGAGGGCATGCAGTAGGGAATGTGGGGATGTCCATATATGTCCACACGGCCTTGGCCCTCCTGCACCACAACCTCCATCGTATGGCTCGAGTGCTTGTACTGGATGCGGAGCACCTTCCTAGCAAGTGCTAGAGGCAGAAGTCTGTGCTGTCGTTGGCTGTTAGCGACCTGCTACATGGAAACCCAAACATGGGCGAGATTTGCATGGAGACGGCCTGCAGCCTGCTTTTGGATCGACGCCCATCCTCTCGTTTGTTATTGGCAGCGCGTTCCCTGGCAGAGGCACAGGAAACGTCAACATCCAGCACGTACAGCCGTTCAGAGGAGGAACCACAGCAAACCTCCAAGGTTTGCTTGCATCTACATGAAGCAGGCCTTGCAAAAGATCTCGGCAAGTACAATGGGTGACATCTGTCCAGTCCTGAAGAACTCAAGACATCATGTCCCCTCCTCCAGCAGCATGGTTCTCACCCGAACATGTGGTCCTCGAAAGGCGTGTCCAGGGTGCCATACCGAGCAGAGACTAACTCTGTGATGAACCCGGCAGGAAACTGGAGTTGTTCGAACTCGCCAGCCTGGAATGCTCATGATTGCTCATGATTGTCCATGATTGGCCCATGTGCACTTCATAACACTTTCCCCAAGACTCAACAATGACTCAGTAGGACTCAGCAAGGCGGCGCCTCAGCAGTGATGACTTTGGAGTCCAGCTGCTCGCTGGCACGACGGAAGCCTTCCTGGGGAGGGGGGGGAGGGGGGGGGGGGGGGAGGGAGGGCGTGGAGCTTGTGCTTTGGACACACAAGTCTCCTGGATGTAACCCTTAAGATCATCGGCGGAAGGACTCGGCATGTGTCATGAGGGCTCAAGCTGGAGGATAACCCTAAGTCAACTGATAACATCTGTCATCCAATCGGACTTGGGGTCTGCCGAAGCATGCTGGCTCAACAGGCTAAAACATTGCCTAGGGTGCACAGGGCAAAAGTTGTCTTCACCTTGCTGGAAGCGCTTGGACCAAGAAGCTGCAGAACAGAACACGGCCAACGAGTCATGAAGCTTCAAAGGTCTTGGCTTTGATGTGACCTCGACTGCGACTTGACTTGCCAGCTGAGGTGCTGCTGGCACTTAGCCGTACGGTGTTCGTAGGCTTCTGGGAAGTGTTGCGAACGCTGGACTCGCGGCTGGCCTCGGTGACAAAAGAACAGGGGGACGTATGCCGGTCTCCTTCAAAACTGCAGCTTGGAACTCGGCCGTGGCGGGTTGCGGGCTCTTTTGCATCTTGCCTGCTGGGCTACTCAGTGAAGCTCTGTGACAACCGCATTTTTGCACTCACTTGTTGTTTGGAGTTTGAGCTAGAGCGGGATATTCATGCCGTGTCTTGCTGCCACCATTGCTGCTTCAGCACTGGCCTGGTCGATCGCCAATGGAGGCACGTTTTGCGCGGGGAGGCGTGGCCAGCATTTGGGACTGTCGTGGAGTTGGCGATCCTACAATACATGGGCTAGCTTAGCAGCGGCTAGCAATTCTAGCAGCTTGCTAATCACGGTGCCCGAGCTGCAACTCTTGGTGAATCTTTCTGAAGGTCCTGACTTCCGAACCTCTCCACAAAGAGACCGCGGCGGAGCCGAAGCTGCCCTCCTCCAGTCTTCTTCATCTAGATTTAGCTATCATATGGTTCTGTTTCCCGCTCTCCCCCAGCATTAGCATTAGCAGTCATCAGCATGCATCCTCACAGCCTTAACACGCTTCAAACCAGGCCTCATTGCCCTTTCCTTGGCAGAGACATTCCTCAGCAAGAACAACTCACCAAAGGCCAGGAAAATGCGAAGCCAGCATCCAATTGAGTCTTGAGCAAAGCTTGCAAAACATGGCTATGCCTAAACATTCACAACACCGTGTGTTTTTCTTTTTCGCCTGATGTGAGCCGAGCCTCTGCTCCTCCACGGCGTCAACGCGAAGGTTCTTGAAATCACCCGAGCTGGCCGTTCCGGGAGAGGCACGGCTCCTCAGACGCCGGTCAGATGCCGGTTTCACTTGCGTGGCTGATACAGTTGGCAATGCATGGGCAATGCCGAGCAGCAGCTTCTTGGTTGAGGGAGCCTTGCCTGCACTTCACAAGGCTTCACAAGGCTTCACAGATGAAGAGCAAACTCAAGCCTTTGCCCAGAAGAAGGACTGTCTGGTACTCAGTTCCAATGCTGTCCAGGTGCCAAGCACGACGCCTCGAGGGCTCTTTTTCCTTGCGGAGCGCTTCGCAAACCCTCTCCCCATGGAAAACTGAATGCATCATTGGCCTGCAAGTTCGATTGAAGAGATGGAGGAGGGGAGAGACTGCCAAAACAAAGTGATTCGTTGGACTGAGCTTCGCTGTTGACTGCACGCTGGGTTCCGTCATTCGCCGCACATTGTTCTTTGACGCCGCTGTGCTGATTGCCATGTTTGCCGAGTCGGCGATGCTTGCCTCAGCCGGAGCCGGAAAAAGCACATGCCCCGACCGAGCACAAATGCCTCTGTTCTGTCCGGGTTGCCGTTGTGACTGTGGACTCACTCGCACTTGCCTGGAAAGCGAGTCAGAACCCATCACCGATGAACTGACGCAAACTCTGGTTCTGCTGCCGCACCTCGCTGTCAGAAGGCCAGGCCTCGTTCACGGGCCGGTAGCCCGTATCGGTCGCGCCTCGGCGATAAGACAGGGCTGGGCACGGCGTGCCACCAGAACAGTCTTGCTTAATTCCGGCGGGCTAACGTAGGCTGCAGGCTTAGACTGGCAGCTGATGGAGACGAGTCCACAGGTGGTGTCCGTGAAGGAATGACATCGCCTCGGCCAAGTGACACGTGCCCATCCACATCGTCTCAATGCAGCTCTGTCAGGGTCCTTCCAAGACCGGCGGCAGCTGCTGCCGGAGGACGCGTGCTCGCTCTTGTCCTGCCAACACTCGCATCCAAGCCTTCTTCCAGGCGCACCAAAAAAAAATGCAGCCGCACCTCCGCAAAGAAGGCTTGGGTTACCAGCACTGGTCTCAGGAACTGGAGAAAGAGGAGTGGCCCGTGGCGCCACATCAAGCAACATGTGCTACAAGAAGCTGCCTAGTGAATCATTCGGGCTGGCTTGCGCAACGACTTGAACTGTTGATTGCATGCCTGTGTCATCCTTAGTATGGCTAGATCTCATCCATGAGCACACATGCACATTGAAGAGGTTGACTGTGAGGTGAGACTCATTGCATGCTCCTGCATTCATTCTCAATCCAACTACATCATTGAAAGCTTGGCGCGGACAGAATCATGCAAGCAGACATGTGCTATGCTGCCAGACAGTTTGCTTGCACGTGCTTTTGCTAAAAAAACACGCTCAATCACATATTCTATGGCCTTCTTTGAACTCCTTTCTAGATCTTTCTAGTAGGTTTGGTGGTTCGCTGGCGACTTGGTGGCGAAATCTTTCTGGGCCGCAGCATGCCCCTCTAAACTTTTCGCGCTTGCTGTCACTGGTCCGGCAAACTATGTGTGATTATGTTATTGTTGCTGTCGGCTGTTCTGTTCCTCCGATGTGGTGCTGTACGTGGACCCGGACATCTATTCAGTGGTGTTCCCTAAAGCACTCGCTCGGTGTCAGCAACGCCAGCATGAACGCCCTCTTTCCAAGTCGATGTCCACTGCGCTCCCCGAAGGTCCGCAGGAACGGCTTGGTCAAGTCGCCGTGAGAGCTTTGGTACAAGCCAAGACGCGATCACAGAGAGCAAGCTGTGTCTCCCAGGCCATGTCCAAACCTAATGGAGAGCCTCTGGCAAGAAGCTGAAAGGTCCCTGCCGTCAGCTACTCTCTGTTGGAAACACACTGCTGGCCTCGAAAGAGTGGGACTGCATGCTTGATTTGGTCTACAGCTTCCGCTTCGTGGACCATCTTGGGAGCGCCATCACCGCTTAGACCCAAAGAAGCAGCTTCGACCATTCAAAGGCGCCAAGCCAAAGAGCGCCACCCAAGCCTGCCATCAGGATGCAACATGTTTCAGGAAGCCACCGCACACACCGCTCTGCGAAGGATGTCGGCTAGGGCGGATTGCTTTTGGGTCTGTTTATGTCTCTCTTCAATCTCCTTCTCCTTTTGCTCTAGGAGAGTGAGGAGTATGGGTCCAGCATCAACAAATTTAACTGAAATTGTCATCGCACACAGAAACACAATCAAGAAGCAACTAAGACTCAGGTACTCAATATTGAAATTGCAGCTGTTTTGTAACAACAACAGGGCCCATACTACCCATAAAGCATTACCCGCAAGAATCGCATGTAATATGCATATATGTATATAATCATATATGCATATAAACACATGTATATATACATATATATATATATATACTTATTCATATATGTTTGTATGCATTTGTTTATTTACATACACATATACATTTATATGTATATATATATATATAATTTACATGTAAATATATACATAAATACATAAATACATAAATACATAAATACATAAATAAATAAATAAATAAATATATATATATATATCATTAAACGCATGCATCTGATTCATGGCAGTTAGAGTGCTCCTCATGCTAGCGGCACTAGGAGTAGCGAAAATGGAAGAGCAACCATAGCAACGATTGCACCAATTCTCCTCAGGCATCAGGAAACCATCTGGCGCACACACAGCAAGCAGCCAGCAGGAGGCTCACCCCTGCACTCGGAAGGCTGAGGAGGGATGCCGCGCGGCGAGGGAAGGGCAGGCGGAGGAGTGGCGACGCGGAGAAGCTCGGAGTGCTAACTGCTTCCCGCCGATCCGGAGCACGGGGGTTTTGCAGATCCGATAGGAATCAGGGCGCATGCCAACAAATGCTTCAACTGATGAGCTGGTGCTACAAACTTGGCAGCCCAATCCCCAAAGGTTGCTTGATGCACCTGGCGCGAATGAATCGAAAGATCTCACCCAGCAAAGGGGCCATTAACAACTGAATGAATCGACCCGCAGTACTTTTAGAGCCTGGCATGACATGAGCACATTCCATGATTCGCCGCCTACAACAGCCGGGACACAGAGGTGTAGTCATGAAAATGCCGAACAGGGTTTCCCCAAGAATAAACAGGAATTAGCAAGATTATCTTGCTGTGAAGTTCCAGGGATTACCAACAAGAAAGAAAAAACAATAACCAAATTATGCGTGTGCAAATATAAGCCCGCCATGCCTGAGTGCAAAGCCCTTGGCATTGCTCCACGAAAAAGGCCCGACATTCCGCTCTCCTGCGCCCAGAGGCATCACAGAATACTGATGGCAAAGGAACAGTGAACAAACACCGTCAATTCGAGTGTAGTCGTCTTGGCCAGCTACTGTCAAGAAGTTGGACCGAACGCCTGGCAAATAGCCCGCATCGTACACCAAAGACCCAGTCGACGTCGAGGATCTTCCTTAGAAGCGGGACTGCACATTTCGTTGTGCGCCATCTACGATGCTGTGTACTACTCCGTGGCATTAGATCCTCCTCGAAGCTGCTGTTAGCATGATTCGCGTTTTTGCTGCGTCCAGCGGAGTGGTGGCCACACCAGCAAATCCGCCAGCCACCGAGCCTGAACTCTTTTGCAGTACCGAGTGTATGCTGCGGAATATGGGGTCCTGGTGAAAGTTGCATTCTGCGCAGCAGGCCATTTACGCAGCCAAGCTGCCGCAATGCATGCCAATCAGACCTGATCATGCACAAGCTGACATGGTTACGATTCCCGTCCTTGTTTGCATCTTTGCCTGTACCTGAGGTAGCCAGCCGAGGCCAACGAAAGCCAGCCCAAGCGCAACGAGACGTTGTCAACCGATAAAAGGCTTGGAGGCCATAATGAGGAGAAGGACGACGGCAGCGGCGGCGACAAGATCGAGGAAAGGGCTGAACGTCAGGAATCCCTACAGCTTGGAAAGAAACCCCCCCCCCCCACCCCCCGGCCCCAAGCAGCAGCTTCCTTTTTTAACAATCGTTCGTCCATGGTCGACCAGGGCTGTTTCCTTGTCGAAGTTTTGTCTTCGCTTGCATATGAGGGGGCAGATCCCTTGCCTCATGCCACAACACGCTCTGTCGGTGACGAGGTCTAAGGTACGAGTAGTGGGCTGTATCTCGCCCACCTCCCTGCCGGGACTTGAATGCTGAAGCTGCTCGGATGTTCAGGAGGCCAGTCTGTGCAGTACACGCGGAGGTCACTGTCTTACTTATCCATAGGCTTTGTTGTCCACGAAGGACTTGTTTCGAGCGGAAGGTCCGCTCTCTCCCTCAGTACGCGAACATGCCGAGTCCGAGTCGTGTCGAGCACTCTCTCACGAGCGCTCTCAACAAGCACCACCAGGACTCGCCCAACTTCTACAAAGGGCCTTGTCTGTAGGTGCTGCCGTCTTGTTGAGACTTGCATGCCCATGGGTGGTGGTGCTTCAGCTCCTGCGGACGAAGAAGATCGCGTGTGAACTTGGAGCTTCTATGGTCAGAGCTGTCCTCAAAGAGCGGCATTTGGATGAGCGCGAAAGGCACTTCACCTCGATGACGAGGGCAGAGGTGTTTATGTTTTCTTGATGTTGCCTTTTCTATTTTCCAACATTGGCTCGACAGTCTGAGCTCAACTTCTGCTTGACAGTAACTAATCCACGGTGCGACAACTTTTGACGCGCAAGAGCTGGGTGCTAAGAACTACAGACACAAGGACGGGTGACAAGAGGACCGAACTCAAAGCAGATCCGCTTCAAGCTTGGAGACGCATAGCCGTGGCTCCAAACCCTGCGTAGAATCCACGCAATCCTTCCGCGTGAACCTCGGATAGAGAACACGCGAGTCTTGTCAGAGCATTCTTTGAGACCAACGAGCAGAATTCAAAGCTCCTGCATGCAGGACTGAGCTCCTGGCACAGGAGACGGTCTGGGAGAAACTCAAAGAAACGCCATTCGGCCCCAAAGCTTGCATTCGTTGCTTCAGCACTTCCTTAGTTGAAGAGAAATTCAATAGCTGAGATTGCGTCGGCAAGACACTGCCATAACCATGCGCTAAAACCTGGAAACATCGACAGCACACATCAGAGCGAGATTCGCAAGGCACTCTTACAATGCAGGCGCTTACATCGGCGACAGAGGCAGCAACGGCATCGCGGGCTATTGCCAAAGTATTATCGTGAAGAGCCGCCTGAAGTGCGGATGAAGTGCACGCATGCCAGAAGTAAAAACATCCCTTTTTAAATTAATGGTTAAATATCTATTTATTTACTTATATATATATATATATATATTATTTATACTTATATATATATATCTAAATATTTATACATATATTTAAATTTAAATTTATATTTATATTTATATTGATATTGAAAATAAAATTTACATTCATATTTATATTTGTGTTTATATTTCTCTTCATGTTTATATTTCTATCTATACTTATACTTATAGTCATGCTTATACTTACAGATTCAACAGTATGTTTGATGGTTCAAAATGGTTTATGTATGTAGAACTACGAATTTACATGGCAATATGTAGCACGTTTCTTCTCTGACATTCTTGCACTCAGGAATGTCAATAGCCTTCAGATATGCAGCCACAGATATGCAGCCAGACCGCTGGAATTCGACGCTCCACAAAGTGTCTGGCAGATTCATAGATCACAAAGAAAAGCCTGTCAGCCGAACATCTACCTTCTTGAAAGCATAGCAGAGGTCCAGGTGCAAGTGCAAACTTACTGCCGATGGCTTGAAGCGTGGACAACCTGAAAGGGATGCATCGTCAAGCATCGTCGAGACAGGCTTGAGGGCACGCAGGTCTCTCTGCTTTCCAGCACGTTTCAAGAATGCTTTTCAGCCCAGCAACAACTTCGTTGCCCTGGGTATCAACATTTTCTCGGTTGCGCGAAACCATCGGCGACAGCACCGGAAACCCAAAGGGAGATGAGAGTGCTTGACACTTTCACCTCTGGTTTGGTGCCAGCAACACGTCTGGCCCATCCAGCTGACATGCAAGCACGCGACGCCAACGGGCGAAGCACAAGCGTCCATGTACTTTCTGACAAGTATCGAACGAAGCAACTGCCGACATACTGCTTACAATGACAGGCAAGATGTCGGGGCGGGGGCGCAGACTAGCAACCTATAGCGACTGGCAACAGTAGAGATCGCAGGGGCCTCAACTGCAAGACAAGACCAAACAACCAACGAGGGGCAGGTTGCTTTGCAAAACGACTCAAGCTTCTGAAGCTCTGATGAGCGCAGAGTTTCGCCTGAATTTTCTGAAGCTGAACATTCACGCTTCACCATCATCTGAACCCACCCACCCCCGAACCCCGCACACAATCAGAAAACTTATGTTCAATGATGTTGGCAGCTGTTCCTCTTCTGCCATGCATGTCTGTAGCCGTGTAACGCACTTCCAGGAATCGAAACCACCAGAACTGCACTCAGCCTCGGCTTCCAGATTCTTTGCGGATTTGGGGCAGGCTAGTGAGGCTAGTGTTCTGGCGTGTTCTGGCATTTGGCACATCTCCAGCGGGAGTGCAAGGGAAGCATGTCGAATCACATCAAGCTGCCCGCTCCACAAGTTGCGATAGCCACCCGAAGCCCAGAACCTCAATGCAATCGCGAGCCCACGCTGCATCTACTTGCGCTGAACATTCAACAACCTGGATCACTAAGCACGCATCTCACACATCTCTGCCGTCGCACTCTTCCGCCAAGACTCCCGTCAGTGGACTGCATTCGTGTCTTGAGCGTGTCCAGAGGATGCAAAGGCACATCAACAGCAACCCCTGCCAACCTTGGACGATGCCCACTTATTGCAAATAAGTGTCCTCACGCCGACTCAAACAAGCCATGACGTCTTGCTTTCGCAGGCACAGCCCAGAAGAAAAGGACACCAGTGCCGGTGGTTCCAAACCCAGTTGCCGATGCCCAGGAGCCGTCGTGAGCCTCTCCAGGCAAGCAGGAGTGCACCATAAGTGCACAAAAGTGTACAAAAGTCACAAGTGCACGTGAATGCACACATGCCATTCAATGAGCTGTCTCTGCAGAGCAGCTCGGCTTTGGGTGCTAGCGTCGGTGTAACCACGGCCGGGACCTCAGCTACACACACGGGCTTCCTAAAGCAAGCTTGTACGTGAGCCCCCAACAATGATTTTTGGCAATCAACATGCGCACTCGCATCATTCCAACTACGGGTAAAACAAACCATGGGCTCTCTATTTTCCCTCTGCTCCAAATTCTTGACATCTGTGGCGCCTGGCCTGCGGCTGCACCGAGTCATTCTCGGTAGAAACAAGGTTCTTCCTGGACATCAAAAATGAAATGGAAGCTGAAGCTGAAAGCATAAAGGCCCAACATGCCCCCAACTTGCGCAGAGCTGAGCGTCTTTGCAAGTTCAAAGCTTCCCAGAAAGATGAAGCCACCAAGCCCCATCCACGCTGCTCTGCAAGTACATCCGGCAAAGAAGCCTCTAAAACCGCGCTCGCTGTAGACCATCATAGCCTCCTCCAGTCGAGCTACTGGCAACTACGTTTGCCGTGCCAGGTTGTCAAACACTACCTGAGATGTCTCCTCCTGGACCAAATGCGTCGCTTTCTTTTTCGCAGCACCAGTGCATTGGTCCTCCCGCAGGTTTAGCCGTGTGCGAAGCACCTCAAGCACAGTGATTCTGCAGAGCTATGGCTCATCAATTCTTTGGCCAAACGGACATGCTTGCAACATCTTGCAAAAAATAGTAAGATCAGGGCATCCAAGGGTGTCGAAAGGAAGGCAGACACCACTCCAGCAACCTGCTTGTTGGGCATCTGGCACGGCCCCCACAGCGCGAAAGGATGCAAACATAAATACCAGAAACAATCTGGCCAAGGTTCGGTCCCACAAGATGCCGCCTGGACTGAAACAGACAGCTAGATGGTTTAAACAGTGTTTAAACATATGCAAACCTTTGGCCATTGGCGAGTTCAGCGTGCCGTAGCAAGTCTTAAAAAAAAACCGGCCTGCCATGTTGGCAGGGCATCTTTCGAGACGCCATGCAAATTGGCAGAAACCAGCTTCAAATATTCCTCGGCTTCCAAGCGCCTTCAATGAGACTGTTGCTGCATAAACTTCTCCGCACACACCCTGATGAGTCTGCATCTTTCTGGTTTGAGGCCAGCAACGTACATTGGAAACTGCAGGCTGCTATGTGTCACGTCTCGCATCAGCGATGCCTGCACTGCATTGCAACATAGTGTTCCAGCAGCTCAATTTGACACGCATGTGCAATCCTCGCCAGCTGGCCTGAAGCGAGGCAACGAAAATCGATGTCTGTGTGCTGCGCACGCCCTGGAAAACCGAACTTAACCTTTGTCCACCACCGGCTTGCTGCCGCTGTTTGACCTGAGATGTGTTCTTCGGACCCATGGAGTGTGAAGGTTTTGGCATTCGTGCACGTGCAAAATGTTGCAGAATGAAAACGTGTTGCGCATGACGACATGCGTTCAAAGCACAAGGTCGACTGGCACGCGCCACACCCCAGCAGCCAACTCCCCAAGAATTGATGCCACAAGACCAATACCGCAGTAAGCCAGCACCTGCGCAACCACACTTGCGAGAGTATCGGTCTCCGTCGGAACAACACCATTAAGGAGGCAACGGAGTTGGTCCGGTCCTGACAAGGTATCGGCCGAGAATCCACTTGCAACTTCGTAATCATGCAGCCAAGGAACGTATGGCATCAAACAATTTTTGGTCGTCCTGCCACCAGTTTACGCGAACACCCCCCCCCTACCATGCACAACCCACAACCTGCCCACTGGGTTCTGTGTCACCAACACATGCGAACGTTCAACACCACTCATTGCGCATTGCTTAACTTTGCATGCCCAGTGGCTCGTATGTGGAGAAGAAAATTGCCGACGCAGGCGCCGCAGCACCAACGGCTACGAAGACCTTATGCCACCGATCATACTTCGATGCGAAATAGTGCGATTGCGTGGATTTCAGAATGCAATCTGAGATTTGTACGCCACGGTAAATGCTTCGGAACCCACCGGACGCCTAAGCTTGCTGGCCCAACAAGCATGCTTTCCTGTTAGCCAATGAGGCATGTCTTATTTTGCAACTGTTGGAACTTGCGGCGAAAAAACATAATGACAAAAGTCTTTCGCCTGACAGTTGTTGCTCACGCATTGTTTTCTTTTTTTTCTTTTTCTACGCTCTTTTACTCCTGCCCACTTTGTGTCCGGTCAGTGAGGGGGTCCTACGGAGCCTACGAGGCCCTACGACTACGACAAGTGTCGCAGCGGGCCCCTCGGCCTCTGCGAGGTCGGGAACACGGTCGAGCGGCGGACCCGCAACGCTGGTGGCCTGCGGCGGTTGGGGCCATGGCTGCCCAAGGGCGCCTGCTGCACTGCGACAGACAGCATGCCCCACCAGCGACGCGTCCAGCCGGAAGACGCGGCGGCGTGCAGGGCTGGCGGCGCTCTGTAGGACCCCAGTCGGACCAGGTCTCGCACCAGTTGCTGCGCGTCGCCGCCCTCCGACCTCGCTGCCAAGCACCAGGAGCTTCTGCGGCCCTTGGCGCCGGAGTTCCGGGCAGGTGGCCGCCTTGCGTCGCTCCGCTGCCCGCAGGGCGGCGCTGTCGACGTCGGCCGTGCATGGCTGTGGTTGCCCCGTGCGTGTACGTGGTGATACCAGCGTCGCATCGCAGCATAGCGCGGATCCGTTAGGCGTCGCCCCGTAGATGACACGTCTAGGCGGCGTCTGTCCTCCGTGCGCACTCCGGGCACGAGCCATTGTTGTGGCACCACCTGCCTTCGGCACCGACGGCTTCGCGCGCAACGCAGACCCACGCTCGCTCGACGACCTTGGCGCGTCGGGCGAGCAGGCCGGTTCGCGGGCAAGCAAGCGCGTGGTCGCCGAGGCGGTCTACTTGCGCCCCATAGCCGGGTGCCGGGCCCATCTGCCGTGGCAGAGGGGGAGTGGCATGCGCAGGCGGCGGTGGAGCGCGAATTGCATGGCCTGGGGCGCGAGCGTCGTGGCTGGCCCGGCTGGCATTGCAGTGAGCCAGGACCCTGCATGAGGCCCCGATTGGGACCGCACCAGCGCCCGGGCATCCGCGGCAGCATCATACTGTCGCGGAAATGTTGGTTGCGAGTGCGCGACGCATGAAACTGCCAGCCATATGTGGCCAGTCTCCCGGGCCGGTGTGTTCCGGCGGAGCCGCGCGGGCTCCTTGGAGGATCTCTCGCCAACCTGGGCAGGCTTCCCAGCCTTCGGCTCGTGGGAGCTCACGGGACTCGGCAGCAGCGCGCAGGCTGGGGGCATTGTCACCGCCATGCTCCAGTGCATCCCGACAGCGCTCGGCAAACTCAGGCAGCCGGGCGTGGATCACCGGCAAAGCATCTGCAATGCCGGCCCAGTATGCTGCGGGGCTCGTGCGCTCCGCCGATTGCAGTCCCACGCCGCCGAAGTGGGCTGGCAACATCGCCAAATCTCGCGCATGCGGAGCTTCTGGCTCATCCGCACCCCCAAGGCATTGCTTGAGGATATGCCAGACGGCTCGATCATGGGCGCGGCGCGGGCGTAGGCGAGGATCTCCTGCGGGGGCACCGTGCGAAGGGCGTGGTTGGCACGGGGGGAGGCACAAAGCAGCAGGAGCAGCCATGAGCATCAGCTGGCGGAGTAGCTGCTCCTCGTCCTCGAGGCGGCGGGCCCAGAACGACGCTGCCGCGCTGATCAGAGCGCAGGTCACTTCGCCAGACTTCGTCACCGAGCTCCGCGGTGCCTGGTGGCGGGGGCCCCTCGCGAGCCTACATTGGACCCGATGCCACGGTGGTCGGCTACGGCCTCAACAGTGGTGTCCGAAAACCCATGAATCCAGAAGTTAAAAAGAATTAAATCCTGATTTAATTGTTGCTTCTGGGTTGAGTTTTGACCTACCTCGACATACCTTATCCCTACAAAAACACAATTAAATCGTGATTTAATTGTGTTTCTTTGCGTTTGACTGGAAGACAATGAAATCGTGAGTTGATGGTGTAGCCAAGACTTGTGCTAATTGGTACCTGTTTGCACCATTAAATCATGATTTACTTGCACGATTATTATTACTATTACTATTAGTCTTATTATTACTATTAATATTAGTATTATTATTACTATTACTATTACTATTACTATTACTATTACTATTACTATTACTATTACTATTCCTATTCCTATGATTATTATGTTTACTACTATTATTATCTTTATTCTTCTTCTTATTATTCTTTTTCTTATTACTATTACTATTACTATTACTATTACTATTACTATTACGATTACTATTACGATTACTATTACTATTACTATTACTATTACTATTACTATTACTATTACTATTACTATTACTATTACTATTACGATGACTATTACTATTACTATTACTATTACTATTACTATTACTATTACTATTACTATTACTATTACTATTACTATTACTATTACTATTTCTATTCCTATTCCTATTACTATTACTATTACTATTACTATTACTATTACTATTGCTATTGCTATTGCTATTGCTATTGCTATTGCTATTGCTATTGCTATTGCTATTGCTATTGCTATTGCTATTGCTATTGCTATTGCTATTGCTATTATTCTTCTTCTTATTCTTACTACTATTATTATTACTACTATTATGATTATTCCTATTATTACCATTACTATTACTATTTCTATTACTATTACCATTATTCTTCTTCTTCTTGTTTCTATTATTCTTATTATTTTTTTTCCTATTATTATCATTATTACTACTACTATTATTATTACTATTATTATTACTACTATTATTATTACTATTATTATTATTACCATTATTATTACGATTATTATTATTTTATTATTATTATTACTATTACTTTAGGGGGGAACAATTAAATCGTGATTTAATAAGGTAGGGGGGAATAATTAAATCGTGAATTAATTGTTTTTGCGGGTTGGGATCGTCTAGCTGAAACAATTACATCCTGATTTAATTGTTTTCCTTGAGCAGCTTGCCGGCATGGCATGCTGCGTCGCGCGACGTTAACAGGCAATTAAATCGAGAGTTAATTGTGCTGGACCTAAGGGGCGTCGAGCCGGCCCGATGCCGGTCAATTATGAATAAACTTAATATTGCACGCGCGAAAAGAGGAGAAAGGGGCAAAAGACCCCAATTGAAGTACTAATTTCGTGCTTTTTTGCACTCATTACAAATTAGTACTTTTAATTTCGTCTTTTAATATACCGGGCCAATAAGAGAAGTAAATAAGGCCCGGAAAACAGTTCTCTCTTCACTTCAGAGTTAATTTTCCTTAACTCTTGGATTCACTGTCTTCCAGTGGTGTCCAACGACGTTCTGGCGCGCGGGGGCGTCGTGGTGATGTAGAGATCGTCTAGAAACGCGAGCAGGCTCTCGTCGGGGCGAAGGGTAGTCGCCGCTCGGCGCAAGGCATCGTGCTGCCCCAAGCCGAACAAGGCGGGGACCAGTGGGTCGCCTTGCTCGCAGCCCTCGCCTTGCTGGATTTGGCGGCGTCGCCCCTGGTCGTCCCACCAGCTGTAGGTGGAGGGCCGGCCATAGGACAGACGCACAAAGGGCAGCAGCTCAGGCGCGACTTCGTGCAGTTTGGTGAGGAAGGCTGCCCTGGACATGCAGTCGCGTCCATCAAGCGACACCAGTACCGTGTCTGGGCGCAGCACCAGCGCGGCCCGGACATGGGCTGCTAGAGCCTCCGTGCCGGCCCGCGCCTGCAGCGCAAATTGATACGGGCGAGTGGCTCGGTCAAAGGTCCCGGCCCACTCCTTTGCGAGGATGCATGACACCAGGCGGCGAAACGTGTCCCCGATAGCGATGCCTCGTACCCCTCCATCCACCTTCCGCAAAGCTGTCAGCCGCGTTAGGGCAAGACCATCAGCGACGTCCGCGGGGACCTGTGCTCGCGCCAGGTGGGTCGCGGCTTCCGCAAGGAGGTCCACCGCGTCGAGGTCCTGCAGCAACAGCTTCAGGTGCTCCGCACGCATGCACCGGCCGCGCCGCCTCTGCGAGCGTCACGAAGCGCAGCGGCTACAGCATTCGCAGGCAGGCGGACTGGCTGCGCCGGTTCGTACTGCAGAGCTGCGGCCGGTATGGCGGTGCGCGGTTCCGGCGGGCGACGCTCGGGGGTCCGTGAGGGCCCGGTAGGTCGTCTCATCCCGGGCGCCAAATCCGCCGCAGTAAGGACATGGCGCGCTCGGGTCAGCTCGCCCATTCTCACCTTCACGCGCGCTCGGCGCTGTCTGCCTAGCTCGAGCGTCTCCGCGTCCTGGGCCGGGCGCGCGGGGTTGGGCTTTCCACTGTTGGCGCGGGCTTCGCGCAGCAGTCTCGTCCAGTCGCCTCGCTCAAACGCGGCTGCTCTGGCCACTAGCTCGGCTCGCCCTTCTGCACCTTGTTGCGCGGCGCGGGCCAACAGCATCCGCGGCGCCAGCAGGAACAGCTTCCACGCACGCGATGTGGCGGCAACGTCACCGGTACTGTTGGCATAGTCGCTGCGCAAGCGAGAGCACACACCAGCGCGCCTCGCACCGCGGCTCGCATGAAAGGAGGGACGTCCTGCAGCGCAGGCACCGGGTGTTGCAGCTCCAAACCTCATCCAGGCTTGCCCACGCCGCGGTGGGTATGCCGGCCGGCGTCGCAGTCGGAGCGGCGCCCAACTCTTCAGCCGTCGGTCGCTGTGCGGCGGGGCCGGATCCTCACGGAGCGTCGGGCGGCGGCGGTTGCGGCGACGGCCTCGTGGGCTAGACGTCGCGGCGGGCGGCGGGTTGTGTTGAACGTCGTCGGCCAAGCTTCGCGCGGCCGCTGCCGCCATGGCCCCAGCATACGACTTGAGAAGTGCGGACTGCCCTGCTGCTGTGCGGTAACCATCGGGCGCCATGCAGAGTAGCACTGCGGCCGCGAGCGGGAGCGGTGCGTCGGGCAGCGCTGTCAAGGCAGTCGCGCCGTCACGGTCCTCTTGCTTGATGCGCCAGCCTTCGTCGGGCCTCGCACTCTGCCACCGCGAGCAGGGTCCGCCGGGCGAGTGCCGCGGGCGAGGCAGGTGGCGCCTCACGCAGTATGGACACGAGCTGGTCGAAACGAGCACCAATCCGCGGGCACGATAGCCAAGCTTGGCGGGCACCTGCCGTCAAATTGCCCGCGGCCGCGTGCAGCAAGGGGACGAGGAATTTCGCTCGCCGGGCATGGTGCTCGGCGGGCGGGCATCCTGCCAAGGCAGCGGCGCGGCTGCGTCGTCCGGTAGGCCGGTAGGCGTGGCGGCACGGCGCGTGCGAGCGGCGGTGCGAAGCCGGGCGTTGCCTCCTGCGGTGCTGTCGGGGTCTGCGCTCCGAAGATGTGCGGCGGGGCCTCTCCGCGAGGTGAGGCGAAGGGCGTGGTGGCACTTAGCGTGTCCGACAGCGTCACCGTGGCGTCAGTGTCGGATTTTTTGTTTTTTTCCGCGTCCGCCGAAAGCGGATTTATGGCCCTCCCCGCGAGGCTATTCCCGGACCGTCCGGCGAGCCGGGGCCAACTGCATCTGGGCGAGGGCATGAAGTGCTCTCTCCCGACGTTGCGCTGTGTCCCCAGCAGTTGGCGGCCCAGGATTAGTGGCTTCGCCAATGCGAAGGCCACGGCATGGATGCGGCGTCCAGGTGGTGACGTCGCGCGCTGGCCGTCGGCCATTGCCGGTTGTGGCGATAGCATGCGATCGCGGCGTCGCATGGTTGCACCGCCCCCCCGATGGGGGGAACGTAGTTTCGCTGTGACGCACCCTACGGCGCAAGCAGCTAGCTTTCAGCGGTTTTGCCTGGCGTGAACGGTTCAGCAAAGTGTCCTGACAGCACAACTCAACTGCCACAGAAGCGTCCTGAATACTTTCTTAGGTTGCTTGGTGGGGCAACTTCGCACACAAAATTGAGCTCTTCCTACTCTCTCAACTCACGAATTTCATGCGACAGTCCCTCCTATTGTCTTCACATCATTCCTCTCGCTTTGTCCTGAATTTGGAACTCGCTACGGCTGGCGGAAAACATCATTCTTGTCTTTTCGCCAAACAAACACGTTTCATACATCCTCCTTCTAATATCGCCACTCAAGAACAAGTTTGTTTACCAGCAACTTCAAATAAGAGAGACTCGGACCTCAAACAACCGCGTTCGGTCAGTAGTGAAAAGCTACAAACAAACGTATCGCACTTCTGGCGACAAGCGTCAGAGAAGCCTTAGAGCAACCTTGAAGCAACCAGCGCTGCATATGGCACACAGAAGCTACGAAATGTACATGAGATGTAATCAAGGACGGAGTATTCAATGGATACAGTGGCACAAATATCAAACGCAGGAAATCCTCGTCTGACAGCTGCGCAATATCGGCAGCACACCTGCGCATACTGAAGCCTCCAGGTCTGACGTTGCATGTTAAAGAGGGAGAAATGTCGGAGCCCATGTCAGGGACTCCAGCTTGGATTGCCACACAGACACGATTGCTGCGCGCCAGTGGATCAGCAGAAGCACGGTGTCGCGCATTATGCGCATTTCGCCCATCTGGAAATGGATGGTGGCCGCACCGAGCCAATGTCCACTCACGGACAACATGTGGCGCAAGCCTCCCGACGCGCATACAAGATGGGGCTGATACTCCAGGAAGAGCCTTAAGAAGGTACAGCCGTGAGCTCTGCACGGTACAGCGTCAAAGCATCGCGCTGCAGAAGAGGCCGCACTGCTGACCGTCTCCACTGCAGTTGCGCCGAGCGTTTGCTGGTTCTTGTGGTTCATTAAAATGAAAAGTGCGTTTTTTCCCCGGGCTGCGAACCGGTCATCGGGCCGACAGCGGAATCGTGTGACGATCACTATTGGTCTCGAGCTTCCCACCACATTTTGCAACGGCGCGTTACGCCATACTTGACCAAATCCACGCCCTGGGCCGCGGCACTGGGCCAGCCATTGCTGCGGCACCACTGGGCCCTCACTTGGCGAACTGCAACCGCACCCGCTCGACGAGTTTGGCTCGTCGCGTGAGTAGCCCCATCGTGGGCAAGCCAAGGCGTGACCCGAGGGCGATCCTACAACCGGGCCCGAGGCAGCCGCAAGAGGGAGTGGGAGACGCGACGGCGGCGCAAGGCGAGCTGAAGTGCTTGTGGGGGCAGTGTGGCAGGTGAGCGCTTGATCGCATTGAACATCAGCGCCGCACGTCGGCGTATGACATGGGCTCCAATTCAGCCATTTGAAACGAACGACCTGGCTTGTAGAATGCTCGGAAATAGGTTGGATAGGTAAATGAATTTGTAATTCGTGCGGTCGAACTGTGGGCCAACATGATGATCAACATGATGATCAGCTCTCTGCTTTGCGAACCAACCATGCATGCACTTTGCAAAGTGGCTGCCGTTTGTGCCTGGATTGACACAACGGCTCGTACACGTGGATATGCCGTGCCATGGGTCATTTATTGGACGAACCACGTCAAAAATTGATGCACGGGAACCCACGCCTCTCCAAACAGCAAGGACGGCAAATTGCGTGGCGAACTTGGGTTACGGATATTTTGCTGGTCCCCCTCCGACAACCAATCCTTGTAGCGACCGACACATGCGCGGTCCCAGTGTCGCACGGTGTACGACCTAAGTCTGCGCCGCGAGGTGGTTGGGGTCCGGGGCGTCGAGCCATCGCTCGTCTCGCAGGACCTCGTGCACAATCGGCTCGCCGGCAGCAGAGGCGACTGCGTCGAGAGGGAGTTCAAGCCCAAGCAATGAGCTTATTTGCGCGCGCCGATGATGCCACTCCAACGGTAGACGCAAGCTGCACGCAGAGCCGAGCGGACGGCCACGTGCGCACTCGCCGCGCACGCTTGTGGAAGTGCAAGGGGCCGCAAGAAACTGTGGGTTCGTTAAGGACCCCAGCGGCCACCGGTCTCGACGGCGACCATAAGGTGGCAGCGCGGTGAGCGTGACAGCTTGGGGTAGGTGTCGTGAAGTTTGCTCCATGTTGCGAGCTGAAGAACGAGGCCGGGGCAAGTGTGGTCGCTTGCCCCCGCATACAGCGTGATGAGGTATATTATGAGGTCGGGCGGAACCGTCCTCAGCTCGTGCATGGTTAGCACTAAAGCTATACAGGAGCCACGCGCATTGGAGGTCAGGTAGCTGTGGGAACTGGCGGAGCAACGAATCCTCAACTTCGAGCCTCTATGGGGGCGCCATAAGCGACGAAGCCACGCTTCTGGGCAGGCCAATTCCCACGCCAAACCGCCTGGCCCAAGGCGGCGACCCATCCCTAGTTGAAGCACGCGTGTTACCCAAATTGGCAAAGATTCCGGCATGGGCCTCGACGGGTCCGGCGACCAGGTCCATAGCGGCTCGTGCCATCCAAGAAAGAGGGACTCGCCTCGCCCCAACTCCGAGTCGGCCTGACGCAACACATGCAGCGCCTCATGTTGGCCAAGGGCGAAAGGTCAGGGGCGAGAGTGTCGCCCTGCTCGCACCCCCCCGCGTGGCATGTTCCGTAGCGCACCCGATCGTCGCCCCACCACTGGTGCTCCGACGGGCGTCCGTAAAAATGCGCGCGAAAAGCAAGCTCTGGGCGGCACGGGACAAGTTGGAAACGACGCAACCAGGCAAACAGCGCGTCCACCTCGGCTGACCTGGCAATGCAGACACTCGGGCCGCTCCGTCGCCCGCGCGCCTGACGTCCTCAGCAGTTGCGCGCAGTTTTCGCGAAGATAAGCGAGGGCAAGAGGGCACAGCCATGACCCGAATGACAGCGATCCGCAAACCCGGTGGGGGCATATGAGGCACTGCAGCCAGCCGGCGACATGTTTCGTCGGTAGGTCTCGCGTTCGTTGGCAGCCACTTGGACGCCAGGCCGTACCAGTTCGCGCTTCGCACGAGGGGGGGGAGAGGGGGAGAGAGAGGGAGAAAGGGGGAGAGAAGGGGAGAGAGGGGGAGAGAGGGGGAGAGAGGGGGAGAGAGGGAGAAAGAAAAAAAGAGAGGGCGCGCTGGTGATGGTGCGGCCAGCGTTTGAGCGCGGGGAGGAGTAAGAGGCTGCTTGTGATAGCCTATCCGTCCAAGTGGTCGACAACGAGATTGAGGTTACGCAGCCGGATGTTGTGTGCAGTGGCTCCGGCAGGCTCCGGCTTCACGAAAAAGTCCTAACGCGCGTCAAGCTACCCTGTGGCGAGTTGTCACGTCGGAGCGCAAGAAGCACTCTGCGCTTGCCCTCGGCATTTAAGCCAAGCGGAATGGTCCGGCAGGCCGAAGATCAAGTGGATTGGTAGGAGCGCGCGAGCGTGCCTTGCCACACCCGCTGCAAGCGTCGCAAGGCTTGCCCAAACAAATTGAATCACGCACGCCGCAGCATCGACGACGGAGTGCAAGGCAACTTGAGCGCAGCTATATCCTCACAATCACAAATCAGCTGCTGAACAAAACGAACATTACGAAAGTTCCCCACACATCCGGAAAAAATCTGCCAAGTTCAAATAGCAAGCGAAACTTACGTGCGGAACACCTTGAACGTCCGACACACTCCTTGTTCCAACCAAGACATAAAACAACCGCGACTCAACTCAAACACACATTGGGCAATGTTCGTAATGCTTCATGTTAATGAGCATGCTGGGCGCTCACCAAGCGACTATGAAACCATGACGACTTTGCAATCGCGTCTTGAGACCTTGGCTGCAGAGCTAAATGTGATTGCGACACCTGCGTGCTATCCTGGGCCACCGAACAGTCCAACGGGAAAAGCAGCGTTTCCGATGCAACTCCAGCAAATGCGCCTGCAGAGTCAAGCACGTTGATTGGATGACTATTTCTGTTACCAACCCCATGCTTCCGATGACTTGTCACTTGCCTGAACACAAGGGCACAAAGTATGGATTTTCCTTTGCAGCACACAAGTCATCTTGGTCAACATGGCTGAACATGAGCACACGAGGTTGCATGTCACAGTGTGTCCTTACACCAGCGCCAGAATTTTGCCGACCGCACGTCATCCGGTTCCAGCATCGTGCAGCACACGGGAGCAGCGGCATCCATCCGACCATGCGGCTGACAACGTGAGCATACTTATGGTCAGTTGTGTGTTCAAACAAACTCCTTGGCTAAATACACGTGATCAAAGATATTCAAAGATCTTGATTGGTTCACATCTTGTTTTTTGGGACATGTTTGTTCCAACGTGTGCCAAACGCTACACTCACAGCGTGCGTACAAACGTCTCAATACGAACCCAAACAGCGCTGCGGCACGGCAATGCTGAGCACTCTCATATGCCTGTTCAAGCACCCAGACTCCCGCCGACCCAGGCACTTAACGCCACCCGAGACGCAAAACACTGTGTGAGTTTCAGCTCCGCTTCGCGGTGTTGTGAAAGGTCTGTCGTACATGGCAATGTCCAACAAGAATACTTCAGCCTTCACAACCGCCGCATGTCTCAAATTGAAAGTGGTTGGCGAATCCACACTTTATCCTTAATAAAGACATTGCGTGAACTCTTATTCAAACAGCCACGTTTTGGGGCATGCGTTGCAAAAAACATGCCTGCATGCATTGCAAGGGCAAGGCCGTGCGCTGCAGGCAGTGTGCCTTGCAAAGTGAGCGGTGTTCCCGCAGCTGCAGTCTCAAGGCTGGTAACCGTTCCAAGAAACCAAGCAACCTGCCTTTCAAGGATTTTGGCCCGAATTCGAAGCCACATGACTTGATTCTCAACGCTTATAGTACTACACGAGACGGAGCCTGTTTCAACTCACATCAGCGAAATTGCTGGCTCGGGCCAAACTGCGCTGAAGGCTCCGACCAACCGTAAGCGATACCTTCATCGATCAGACGTTGCGAGATCACCATCTCTTCTGGCCTTCCAATTCGCGCGCAAGCCTCCAAAATCAGGTGCAAAGGCTCCCAGACTTAGGAATCGTCAGGCATGGCAGCAGATCAGCTCTCTGGTGTTCTGGGCATTGTTGCATGCCACGGGTTTCTATCATCGCAGGACATCTGGTATCTCAAGGCAGCAACATTAGCCAAGGGCCGTGGGGCGGTGGGCACCGCATGTCTGTGGCAGCTGCTGGGGATGTGCGGGCATGGCGGCTGAGAAAGGACGCGATCAGGGCAGCTTTCAACCCAAGTTCCCGCCAAGGTTGCGAGGGCTGGCCAGCGTCTGTATGGTTTGAGGCGTCCATGTCTTCACCTGGCGCGGGCCCTTTTGGCAGGTGTCCTCCGACGGAAATTCTGCTCCCAGGCTTTTTGTCTGCAAGTCAGACATGCAAGCAGGCAGACTTGGCTCGCCCCGTCGAATGCACTTGCAGTTGCAGCTCGACTAGTGCCAAGCATCAAACACGTCTGTACCCGGAGAACACGCAACGTCACGGATGATGGGAACACTGCGCGCCTACGAACGGGGCCCTACGAACCGTGTTCGCTCACGCGAACACCGCCAACACCGCGAACACCTTCATAAGTCTGGCTCTGCGAACTTGCAAGTACTCGGTCTGCCAGGTAGCGCATGCGACTCTGCACAGTTGGTTGTTGCTTTGAAGCAGCTCAGCGCGGGCAGAAAGCAGTTAGGACGGACAGCGGGAAGGTGGTGGAGTGTGGAAGCCCCAAGGGCGGCAATTCGAATGGCCCTGCCAATGCCAGCGGTCAGTACCAGCGACCAAGTTCTCATGCTGCTCGGCAATGTCACGAAACAGTGCTGAAGGTCGTCAGGCATAGCATGGCGCATGTGATGTGGGTCGGATTGGTGGCGTGCTGGCGAATGCCATTCAGAAGCGGAAGCAAGAGAATCAAGGGTGCCACCCGGCAGTTGCCTCGATCTCGATTCGTGCAGCCCGAGCAGCCAGGCGGCCAAGACCAATGGGTTGGCTCGACGATCGGCGGGTGCTTCAATGTTGGAATCGGGGGCCAAAGACTATCGAACTGCATGCGAGCCGGGAGTCTATGCCGTGCACCGAGATGCAAGCTCGGCTGCAGAGCATGCAGCTTCGGTTCCTCTTCATGCATTACATAGAGGTTAGGATTCAAAAGTTGAATAAACATCGATTCTAAGCTGCCCAAGAACAGCATTCCAGTAAGATTGACATCGACCCGAAGCCTTTGTCGAAGAGGCCATGCTTCGTAAACCTACAGCCAAAAAACAAAACTCATCGTGTCAAAATAGATTCGGCCCGAAAAGGTGAGGGTATCAGGTCTGTGTCGGCCCAATGAACGAAACTCGTGGAATTAAGCCTGCACTAGCCGATAAAGGAAGTTCAAGGTATCAAGTATGTAACATGTATCGTACAATCATCGGCCCAAAAACGACATTCATGGTTTCAAGCTTGTGTTTGCCCCCAAAAGGGAAGCTCTTGTTGGGATCTATATGTGTAGGTTGGCAAGGATCTTCCTGGATGAGGAGTTTGTAGTTTCAGGTCCTGGTTTAACAGGCACAGAGAACTTTCCCAAACAAGAAATTGTTGCTTTCAGGCGTTTGATTTGGGATCTGGAACGGATCTTCTCCTAAGCACATGTTTGAAAAGAGACACTTTTGCATTAAATTAAGGTTCTTGATTTGGGATCTGGAAAGGATCTGTCCAAATGGGGAAGGTTTAGCTTCAAGCCCCTTCGGTGTGTTCGGGGTTCGGGTGTTCGCGGCGTTCTCGGTGTCGCGATGTTCGCCGTTTTCCGGCATTCGTGGTGTTGTTGAGAGCCTGGGTTTTGGCCAAGTTTTACAAGCTTGGTGCTGGCCCACAGGAGGCATTCACATTCTTGTCCGCGAACAACAACCCTCTCGGTGGCCGCGGCGAGTTCACGCATGCCCGCGAACGACAAACTTCTCGGGTGTTCATATTGTCCGCGAACGACAACCCTCTCTCGGTGTTCGTGGCGTGTCGTGACGCTGGCAGTGGGAGGGGTTCACAACTTTCAGCGCGAGCGACAACCCTCTCTGTGTGTTCGCTGGGCGCCGTGACGCTGTCACGTGGGTTCCCGGCGCGCCGTACTTGTCAGGGTCAGGGTTCGCGGGCCGCCGTGACGCTGGCGCGAGGGCTTTGAAAAGGTACTTCGTTTGATGGTTGATGCATGCATGGACGTGATGGATGGTGTGATGGATTTCGTGAGTTTCCCGGAAATTCCTTAAAGCGTATTTCAGCGGAGGTGGTCTTCGAAAAGGTCGTTTCATCGTCGATGCATGGATGGATGGCGCGATGAACTTGATCTTTGTGAATGTGGTCTCCGGGGATTAATGTGCCCCCCCCTCCCCCCCCGAGTTTCTTTTTTTGTACACCCACATGCCAAGGATTGCGAGATTTTAAACAACATTTCTAGGCGAAAACGAAGTATTACAGGTGTACAGATAGCGCTGCTGCGCTGGAAACATGCAATCGTCTGGGAAAATCCAGACACGTGCAAACACGATACCTGTGAATCCAAGAGAACTCGCTTCGAGCTTTTCAAGATCGATACGAAGATTAACGCCGCCGACTTACCAAGTCCCTGAGCACTGAACCTGCCGAGCAACATCTGCGCCGACTGAGACTTGAATTGGTTTCCGGTAGAAGCGAAATAGCGAAAGCAGCAGTATACAGTGTCCTACAGTGGATGTCAGCTCACCCGCATCCGTCTAGGAGGGTCCGGACACGTATTCTCCTAAAGGGATGAGTACATGTACCTCGACTAACGCTACTTCTGGCTTAAAAATAGGAGCGTTGCTAATACCAAATTAAAGACTTCATCCTGCAGGAAAATAATTTAACGATCAAAAACCTTGATGCTCGTTTTCAAGTGGATGCGTGTCGGCACGACAATCAACCCTGGGCGCTGAGCGATCGCTCTTGCCGGAAGCTTTCTGGCCAGGCTGTAACACCCACAGTCCTCGCACAGATGGAGGATTGGGCCTGCTTCAAGCAGCATTTTTTTTGCAACGAGCTTCTTTACCACATCAGCGGCGCAGTAAGCGAGTCAACCTATTGCTTGTAAGAGGTGAAACCTCAAAGTCGCATCATCAAAGACACAAACCAACCAAAGTGACCAGACAAACCAAACACACCACCAAAGCTACAAGGGTTGGCCGACTGCAAGAGGGAGCCATGAAGCAAGGAACGAACTAGCCAAACAGAAAGATCGCAGCAGCATCCGCCAAGCACAATCATGAACCACAGCCACGCTGCTCACCAAATCAAATGAAATCCATTCTGCAGCCACTGCAGCCAGTCGAACAAATGTAGAAGCGTATCACACGGTTCGAAAGCAATTTCTTTCTCTGCCAAAAACGAGGCAAGACATACGCAAGGCGTTCCAGCCCATGGAGCAGGGTTTAGATCGCCTAAAAGGTTTCTCGGTCGGTCTCTCGTCCTTGGAAGCTGGCAGGAAAGGCGGCAAGCTGCGACGCCAATGATCCTCAGGCTGGGTATTTGAGGTTCTACATTTTAGACCAAGCGGCAAACGTTTTTTGACCTCATGGGCATAAACCGCTGCACCGCTCCAGACAGACCAACAAGCAACTTGAGCGTCAAAGTACTCAGACACGTGCTGACTCCGAGAGTTCTATGTCCACCGAGGCATCATTATTGTCAATCAGAGGCCCGGAAAGACAGACAGCTTGTGGCTTGTTGGTCGGACCATGCCAGATAATAGACAGCTTAAGTACGATTTACGCGGCTGCTTATTTCACGCAATGAAGCTGCGGAGTGCATTCTGGTAGTGGCCAGGCTTTTGCCATGGGTCAAAGTGTTGCAACTGGCAGTGTCCCAGAACGTGCCATCTCAATGCGTGCATGGAAGCAACCTCGATGAACTTTCTCCTTTCCACGGCACCGTGCGCGTGATGCCTGCACCCAACTCTCCAAGGGCTGAGAGTCAGCCAGACCGCTGAAGCGTAGCAGCTGGCGGAACATTAAATTGCAAGTTCTCGTTTTCTTTCAACACTTCCCTTGCCGGTGAGAGCAGCACCACCGGCCCGGCAAGGCTGCACGGTCCTGCTGCATGTGATGTGCGCCTGAAAAGCTGTGAAAAATTCACCTGTAATGTTTGCCCAGTTGTGGTGCCATGTGGTGTTTTACTGTACAG